TGTTGCATGAGCCTTTTCTGTTGCATGTGCCTTTTCTGTAGCATGAGCGGCTTCTGTTGCATGAGCCTTTTCTGTTGCATGTGCTTTTTCTGTAGCATGTGCTGCACCAGTTGTATGAGCGAGTTCAGATTTGGTAGTTGTATCTTCGACGCTTTCACTGCTTGCACTGTCTTGATCTCCGGGTTTCAACAAAGAGCATTGCCCAATTTTGTCTCTGATCTGAAAAGAGATGGAAAGGTTAGTTTAAATTTGACGAGTGCTAGGAGGGCCGGAGAAAGCTCGATAACTCACATGAGTAGCTGATAGTGGTGATTACTCTGTGTTCGGTTTATACGGGCATTATGTCCTGCCGAAAATTGCAGGAGGTTTGTTGAAGAACTATCAGTGGTATTGCATTTGTCTGATACGGAAGAAATGAAGGAAGGGGATTGTTGATAAGGAGAGGACGGGGAAAGGATGCGAACGGGTAACTGTTGTGTCTGCTCTGAGTGAGTGTTTCATCTGGATTTAGGAAAGACAATGAAATTTCTGACATTTTGAATAGGTCGTGAGCAAACCGAGAAGTCAGAGATTCGCATCATTTGAACTGTTCAGATATTTCAGTGTTTACCGTCACAGTAGAGACTTGCATATTCGAAAAGTTCGACCATCTCTTTGGAATGGAGATATACATCAAAATCGACTGTTAACTTCTTTATATCGGTCATGTTCCACCTTATTAAATTCCTTTTTCTCAGAGATTAGACTTAAACAAGGAGTTTGTACCTAACATGAACTTCAAAGTGAAAATTGAAGTGATTTTGAGAAGACACAAAAAGATATTTTTAAAGGCATCGTAAAATTACCTTATCGTTTGTACAGCATTGTTTCATACCAAGTTTTACCATGTTATGGGCAGCTTTCGGCACTGAACATGTGTAGTGGAACACCGTGTTCGTGGCGTTTCCACCAACCGTTTGCACTTTACATTGATAGTTCACTTTGTTGCCGTGAGTCTGATCCATATATAGATTCAGTTGTGTTGTCACTTCTTCGCTCACTGCGGCTAAACGACTTGCGTTGTTTGCATAGCGGGCTTCGCATGGACAATCTTGAACAACTATGGTGCCTTGTAAAGTCTGATCATCGATTTCTTTGATTGAAGAGTCATCACACTGTTTCATTTGAACATTGCGTGACGTAGCTGGTGACTTCTTCGTGACACGTTGCACTGGTTTCTCTGAAAGCAGACAAAAGTGACGAGGAGATCTGACATTCACATAGACATCTACTTGACAGTGCCGCGTTGGTCGAGCGCTTGGCTGTTTCATGTACAACAGGTTTGCTTGCTGTATGTTCTTCGGCCTTCGATGTGCTAGCATGTTGTGTACCTGCGAGAACAAACGTAAAAGTTGAGAAAGTGTCGCCGATGCACAGGTGCATGTTTTCGTCGAATTTCATACAAATGGTTTTATTATATTGTGAATGTATGTATGAATCGTGAGCGACGAAAGTGATCGCTCAGATAATCCATAAAAGAAGATCGGTAAAAAAATAGACAACTAATTATTACTATAGTCTTGCCTGTTGATTTCAAGAGAATTTATTCGACTACGCTACGTGAATTGAAGGAATCCAGTTCGACAGTTCATCGATTATCTCGTCTCGCTATCTTCTTGTTCACTATAAAATAAATGTGTCATAATAAACTGAAGAAAATACTTGTATTCTGAATCCCTTTTACTTACGCTTCTCAGTTCCTCACAAAAAGTGCCATGACACGAAAACACATTACAGTACTGATACGATTCTCAAGAATATCCTATCACTAACTGCTTTACTGTACGCGGAATTTGCCTTTCCACGAGAAAACACCAAACATACAAAAGCCATCGCCTCACGTACAACTTCTTAAAACTCAACACAAAAACTATTTTAAACGAAACATACCAAACGAAAACGTAAGTAAATCTACCCACTATCCCAAACACACATATCTCATATTGCTCCTGACGAATTCATCTGCTACAACTCATCATTCTCTAAGTCCTCTAAAGCATTCTTCAACTCCCACTTATCTAATTCAAATTGACTTTACCTGTTTCAACTATCGATCCGTGTGTAGTCGAAGCCGACAATGTTGCTGACACACTTTCCGATTTCACAGCAGGCTTTCCCGTAACATCCTTCGAGTGCGAACATTTACCGACTGTTGTCTTGATATCATCGCATTGTGCCGCTTTGTGTAATGAATCCTGACATGATGTGTGATCTTCTACACCTGAGCATGTGTATCCAACATGAATGGCACCACCTTCGACTTCAGTGAAACCATCAACAACAACCTTGGCAATTGACTTGGATGAACAAGATGATTGGCATTGAGATGTGAGTGTCTTGGAAATGGCGTCCTTTTGTGAGGCTAGTGATGTCTTGTCGACATTCTGAACAACGATGGTGCCCTTGATTGTCTTGGAGTCTGTCGATGAACATGAATGTGAAGCAACAGCTGGACCGGTGACCTTGGCTGCAGTGATGGCAACGGCTTTCGGAGCCGCAGTGGTGGCAGCGGCTTTTGCAGATGTTTTGGCATCGTTGCTGTTCGAATGTGAACATTTACCGACTGTTGTCTTGATGTCGTCGCATTGTGCCGCTTTGTGTAATGAATCTTGACAAGATGTGTGATCTTCTACGCCAGAGCACGTGTATGCGACATGAAGAGTACCGTCATCGGCTTCAGTGACACCATCAACAGCTACTTGAGCAGTTGATTTGGATGAACAAGATGATTGGCATTGAGATGTGAGTGTCTTGGAAATGGCGTCCTTTTGTGAAGTGAGCGATGTCTTGTCGACATTCTGAACAACGATTGTACCCTTGATTGTCTTGGAGTCTGTCGATGAACATGAATGTGAAGCAACAGCGGGACCGGTCGTCTTTGCTCCTGATGTAAGGATGGCTTTTTGAGTTGCTTTTGGAGCTGCTGTAGTGGCTTGAGATTTAGCGGCCTGTGTCGTTTGTGCCAAGTTGGTTGCAGTGTTACCTGTTTTGGAACATTTGGAAACTGTTTGCTTGACATCGTCACAGGTTGAAGCTTTGTGTAGTGCTGTTTGGCATGCTGTGTGATCGCTGACACCTGTACAAGTGTATGTCATGGTGAGATTGCCGTTTCCTAGATCCGTGACTGTGTCAACAGTTACTTGACATTTCGTATTAGATGCGGCAGATGATTGAACTTGAGTTGCGAGAGATTTAGCGATAGTGTCTTTTTGGGATGTGAGCGCGGTATGATCGCAGTTGTTGACAGTGATTGTACCTTTCACCGTTTTGGAATCAGTGGATGAGCATGAATGTGATGCTACTGTTCCTTGGGAAGCTAAATGGAAGTTAAAGATAGAGAAAGTATGGCTATGACTTTTAAATTAGATCAAAACTTTCGTGTCAGTGGAGGAAAGGAAAGTAATCTTACCTGTGAGGGTAGCGCGAACAACTAGTGAACTGCTAATAACGAGAATGGCGATGAACACAGAGTGATGTCGCATCATAGTGTGTTGGAGAAAAGTCCGTTTGAATAAAGAAATCTATGTGTATTAAGTTTGTTCTATTCACCTTTTATAGTTCGATCGTTATAGGAAATACGTCATCGATATTTTTAATGTTATCATAATAATATTTTTTCGAAGAACGGCAGATGTTTCTATCACCACATATTTTTTGTCACAGTTACAATAAGTTAATAGCGAATGCACTTTATTCGATGAAGTGCATAAATAACAAAAGAAAAGGATAAACGATTTTTCGCATTTGCAATCGAGAGAAAGTGCTTTGTGATATCTCTTCGTATTACAGAAAAGATCATTTGAACAATCCTTTTCGGTCAATCCTCTCGCATTGTTGTTAGTAGAAATTTTTTATATGTACAATTTTTTATCATTGAGATTCAATGAAATTTGTACGACTTCAACATCCTTTCGTGTTCTAAATCTATTGGCATGGCTTTGAATTGACCTATTCGATTAATGATCATGAAAAAGTGCATTGAGAGCATCTTGTTTGTCATCAACATGTTATGAAGTAGTTAGATAAATAAATGCCAACTGTTGCCGTCTTTTGTGTTTGAATAAAACGTACTATGTACTATTAAGAAAGACAAGCTAATATCAAACGCACTTTTACTAATAGAGGGCATTGTAGGCCGATAAAAAGTTGAATGAAATACTCTTTTGTGTTCTAATGTAGATCGTTTTATGAATAGATGCATCTGTCGTTCTATCCAATGCACTATTTCGTAAAAAAAGGGTTAATGAGAGCAATAACGATGCACTTTTTTTTGGCAACTTCTATATCTGTTTAAAAACAACAATAATAGATTGACTAAGAGAAAACTTCTTCGTTTCCCGTTCTCTACATAAACGCAAGTGATTTGATGAATTAGTGACATTCTGGAGAAACCAGCAGTCAATTAACATCCAATACCGAAGGTGCCGGTAAGACTGCTACTCCAGTTTGTCACTATCATGTAGCTTTGGGAGTAAGTTGTGTGTGAAATCAATCTTCGTCAGATATGGTGCTTCGAGTCAAAATTACAAATCAAATTATTTCACGTATACCACAGCAAACAGTTAGGAATGTTGATCGATATGATAAACGACGCGGAGCGGTGTAAGTGGATGAACATGGCATTGTCATACAAGAATGGCAGTGTTACAGAACATCGGTAGGCGTGCGAAAAGGGACGGTTATGTGTGGACCGACAGTGCGAATTGTTCTGCGCACTTTCCTTTGTAACATCTGCACGTCTCATGTTACTCCTTCTGCAACCATTCCATCATTCATTATTTCAATCGCATTCTTTTCGGTTTATGTCACAAGCAAGCGGGTGATCACGTCTTGACGATAAACAACGACCGAACGAGAAAAAAAACGTCGTTTCTTTTGTAATTTTATGACAACGAAAATTTTTGTTTGTTCGTTGATACGAAATTTAAAAAAAAAGAGAATATTATTCCTTTCTTTATTACTCAATGAAAATTTTCAATCTCATTGATGGATGGTTGTGAACGAGCGTATTCGATTTTGAGATCCAATTTATTAAATTGTCGTTGATAAGCTGGCTTAGGTCCTTGCTTGTTAGGACTTCCACCATTTGCCAAATATAAGATATTATCCGTTAGATCATAAATAGCTACGTGAACATCGCCGGTTTTAACGATGGCAGAAATGTTTTCAATCGTTGATTCTGCTGTTATTTTACCATATTCGCTCATCAGTTGTTCGTAGAGTTTATATTGATATGATGGGCATAACCAATCCATGCCGTTGTAAACAATATTTGGTATGGTTGGATGCCATTCCGCTGCTGGTTGCAAATTGACGTCATCAAAAAAACTGACTTTGGAATGTGAATATTGTATCATACGAGCAGTATTTAGTTTTCCATCGGCAATACCAACAATTAAACGACATGTTCGACGAACATTACTAATGTATGAAAGTGCATCGTCAACAGTTTCAGAAAATTGTAGGATATAACGCGAAACAAAGATAAAAGGTTGACCCGACATGCTTTCATCACCGAATGTATCATCGGGAAGTTCAACACCAATCGATGTCATGCCCAATAATGATGAAGACATACCACTCAGTACACCAATATAACCTAAGACGATAAAAATTCATATTTCGAATCGATTAATCATGCAATTACCTGCCCATGCAATGTTAGTAAATGTGTGGCCTAATTTCGATGAAAGAGGATGATACACCGTGATGACTGGATAATCTTGGAGACCAGCATGCATATCCCAATCGAATGCACGTAATTGAAGTGTCTTACCGCCCAATGTTGCTTTACCCCAAGCACCATAATATGAACAGTGAGCTAAATAAAGTCTCGTTCAAACAAATATAATTATAAAAATTTGATTATTTTCTTTTACCTCGTGTTAGCTCTCCAAACATATGAATATGTACTAAAAGTTTATAATCAATATTTGCTGCGTCCGATATACCACGGATCTCATTGTAGATCTCTTCATCCATATAAGGTTTAACAAAGGAATTCTGAACATCTAAAGCGAAAGCTAAACCTTTCTTTGCGATCAGTTCTTTCAACGATTCAGGTATTGGTAAATGTTCAAGTTTTTCAGTCACTTCTTTTTCAAAATATGCATAGACCTTTGGCATGAATTGTGTAATTTGTTCTCCTAACAGCGTTCCATAAGCAAATCCATAATCATATCCATTCTTGCCCCATAGATGGACAAGCCATGTTTGATCATCACCAACACCAATCTGGTAGAGTGAACCATTTTCCACATTACGAATCAATCGAGGAGCACCTGTTTCAATGGGAAGAAGATTCGGAGTACCGTGTGGTGTATCATTTTTACAAAAGCTACCAAGATTTTCAAAAGAAAATCCTCGAGCAGCAAAACTCGTTTTAACATTTGATAAAACGAGAAAAGTAAACCAGTACAGATTCATACTATTTTTTTTCTCTTTTCGTTATATGAAAACGAAGCACACGGAAAATCTTTCGTTTTATCTTGTATTTACGTGTGAAAGTGAACAGAGAACATATTTTATCGTTCTCATAACGTGCATTGTAGTCTTTTTTTATGCTATGACCAGTAAAAAAACCTTTCGTTCGCTTTCTACCTTTACTATACTGTTAATCGTTAATTAATCTCCTCCACAACCTCCGCAATCACCGCCAGAACTATCACTACTATCGTCGGAGCTCGAGACACTGTCGCAGATATCACGCCACACATCTCTGAATGAATACGAAATGGTCCCACAGGCACTACCGCAACTACTATTTGTTGTTGATTTAAAATGGTTTTGTTCGTAATTAGTCTGATAGGTATTCTTCCAACGTTGAGCTGTGTTCTTATAGCCCTCTCTGAGAACAGGTTTTTCGATAGAATCATCGTGATCTAAAATAAAGCCACATAAGTTCAATGACGTTTGTCGATAATGTGTTGGATTTCTCAAATGTGTATGCCATATGAGATCGATGTCAAAGGTCGGAACGAGAAGTTGATTTCGTTCGCTCAATCGAAGAAATGATAAATAGTCATCTACCAGAAGTGGAAAGAGCGAGCGATCGATATGCCGCAAATCATTCGAATACAGAAAATGTTTCTGAAATTTTTTAAGAAAGTCTCTTTGACGAACAGCAGCTTTGGCTAAGTCAACAGACGGGAAAAATGGCATATAGCGACGACGTCCTGAAGCATACGATGGAAAATGCTGAATATTTGGATCAACTAGTTGGCCATCTGGAAGTTGAGAAACACAATCTTTGTAATATGCCAATGGATGCAACAAATGTAGATGCCAAATCCACAGAATTGACCACGAAAGTCGCGACTGTCGATAATCTTCAAGAATTTCTTCTCGGCTCATTTTTTGACAATATTCTTTAACATAACGATTTAACAATTTTTCATCTTGTGTCATTTCTAATTGATCGACTGCTTGACGAAGTAGTTGAATATGATCGACTAAATTATCAAACGAGATTGGTGATGTTTCGTCATGCTTAAAATTCCCAGATGCAGTGGACGACTGGTTTCTTATAATAATAGTATACCGAACAATCCGGGGAAGTAAATGTCTGGTTTGACTGTGGTAATTCCCCATTGTTTGTGATTACTGAACGTTTTTTTTTCTTCGTGCTTAGAATGTTTCACCCTCGTTGCTTATAACATCACATCTGTGCCGCTACGTAGAAAAATTGCATCAGAATGTGAAGCAAAAAGAAGAAAATCTCATGAATTTATTGACGGCAATGCCATTTTGAAAATGAATCACGTTGTTTTGAATACTTTTTTCTTCCTTTGATGGAAGGAATAAAAGGAGTCGTAATGGTTCCACATTGTTAGTGTTTCTATAACCACTCATAGGCCGGGTTTAATTAATACATTTGGCTCGATTCGATGTTATTTGTTTCGGAATAAGAACATTCGCTTGAATTTTTCGCGCAGTTTTGATAACGAGAGACAACAGACAATTAGAAATGAAAGTAACACACAATAGTGGAGGAACTTTGAGTAAATTAATATTGACCAAGCAATCTTCATTGGTAAGCCGCATGTTGCAGCAATCCATAGAGTATTGAATACCAGATAGATTGTTGAAATCGATCTACGTACATATGTTTTTTTTGTAATAATACTCTCAAAAGAAAGTTTACGCTGGAACAGATCATATCGTGTACAATAATGGCAGCGATCGGAGTATAATGAAAGATAAGAATATGTCGTTCGGGCGAGTGCCAAGCAATAAAGAGATTTGCAATGGATAAAATGCATAATCCAAAAAAAAAACATCCAACATTGATGAAATGTTCTGGGCATCGACCAAGGTATATCGAAATGATCACTGCGGAGACGCCATTATATATGGATCGATTCATAGGGAAGAACCAGAATTAGAAGGACAGTAATAACGTGATCGTTAAGAGAACACCGAAGAGTAGTATACTGTGTAGGATGAAACAGAGAGTCAAGAGAGTAAAAATGAGCGACAATATGTCAAAGGTGAGAAAACACCATAATCGAATAAAATTCGATATATGGAATAATAAAAACGCTATTGAATCATTGGATAAAAGTGTGCTGTTTAAATTCGACATTCTTGAGAACGAGCGAAGTTTCTCGATTGTTTTTTCCTTCCAATGGTGTGGAAGTGATAATGTTTGATTAAAATGATTCATAAACATCCCTTTTCGTGCAAACATTGAAAAATCATTCGGTTATCACGAGTCAATAATTTGAAAATTTCAGGGTAATTCAAATGAAACCTAGAAACTTCACCATTTAGTATAGGATGTGATAGTATTTATTTCAAATCAAAAAGATTTTAGAAGAAGAAGAAAAGAAAAGTCCAATTTGTCACGCTTAATGGACGTAGCATCCAGCACTATTGACTGCATACGATGTTAGAAGAAATGGACGAAGAGCATCAGCGATTAATTCATGTACACGGCTGGTGAAGTGTATGGTATCGACGAAAACGTATCTATCAGGATTATCACAAAGCTTCACAATTGTGGTTGCATTGACTGCATTCCAACAATTAGCTGTTGTGTTGACAAAGTATTCCGATTTGCTAGTGACAACTTTAGTGATCAGTGAATGAATATCAAACAGATTCAATACTGCCTGTGTGTTGTTTTGTTGAATTGTGGTCAAACCGGTTGTTAATGCATTATTGAACAATGCTGTAAGATAATTTAAAACAGATGGTGGCGCCATTGTTAAACTGAGTGGAATGTATTCAGCTGGAATTTGATTGACGACAAGAATGTGTTTAGCACCATGAGTGAGTAAATCTTGAACACCATTTAGCAGACTGGCTGCAATGGCTGGTGGTGTTAAAGATGAATTGAAAATAAAATCATTACCACCACCCCNGATGTCCCTACACTGCGCTCGTCCGACCTTTGCGAGGCTAGTGATGTCTTGTCGACATTCTGAAGAACGATTGTGCCCTTGATTGTCTTGGAATCGACTGATGAACATGAATGTGAAGCAACAGCTGGACCGGTCGTCTTGACTCCTGATGTAACAACATCGTTTTGAGTTGCTTTTGGAGCTGCTGCCGTGGCTTGAGGTTTAGCCGCCTGTGTCATTTGTGCTAAGTTGGTTGCAGTGTTCCCAGTTTTGGAACATTTGGCAACAGTTTGCTTGACATCGTCACAGGCTGAAGCTTTGTGTAGTGCAGTTTGGCATGCTGTGTGATCGCTCACACCTGTACAAGTGTATGTCATGGTGAGATTGCCGTTACCTAGGTCTGTGACTGCGTCAACAGTTACTTGACATTTCGTATTAGATACGGCAGATGATTGAACTTGAGTTGCGAGGGATTTGGCAATAGTATCTTTTTGAGATGTGAGTGCTGTATGATCGCAGTTGCTGACAGTGATTGTGCCTTTCACCGTCTTCGAATCAGTAGATGAGCATGAATGTGTTGCTACTGTTCCTTGGAAAGCTAAATGAAAGTTAAAGATAGAGAAAGTATGGGTATGGCTTTTAAATTAGATCAGAACTGTCATCTCAGTGGAAGAAAGGAAAGTAACCTTACCTGTGGAGGCAGCGGGAATAACTAGTGAACTGCTAATGACGAGAATGGCGATGAACACAGAGTGATGGCGCATCATTGTGTGTTGGAGAAAAGTCCGGTAGAATAAAGAAATCTATGTGTATTCAGTTTGTTCTATTCACCTTTTATAGTTCGATCGTTATGGAGAAATACGTCATCGAAATTTTCAATGTTATCATAATAATAATACTTTTCAGAGAACGGCAGATGTTTCTGTGACCACATATTTTTTTGTCACAGTCACAATGCGTTAATAGCGAATGCACTTTACTGGATGAAGGGCGTAAATAACAAAAGAAAAGAATAAACGATTTGTCGCCTCTGCAATCGACAAAAAGTGTTTTGAGATATCTTCGTATTACAGAAAAGGTCATTTGAGCAATCCTTTTATGTCAATCCTCTCGCATTGTTGTTAGTAGAAATTGTTTATATGTACCAGTTTTTGCTATTGAGATTCAATGAAACTTGCACGATTTCAACATCCTTTCATCTTCTAAATCTATTTGAATCGCTTTGAGTTGACCTGTTCGATTTATGTTCATGAAAAAGTACATCGAGAGCATCTTGTTTGTGATCAACATGTTATGAAGTAGTTAGATAAATAAATGCCAACTGTTGCCGTCTTTTGTGTTTGAATAAAACGTACTATGTACTATTAAGAAAGACAAGCTAATATTAAACGCACTTTTACTAATAGAGGGCATTGTAGGCAGATAAAAAGTTGAATGAAATACTCTTTTGTGTTTTAATGTAGATCGTTTTATGAATAGATGCATCTGTCGTTCTATCCAATGCACTATTTCGTAAAAGAGGGTTAATGCGAGCAATAACGATGCACTTTTTTTTAACAATTTCTATATCTGTTTAAAAACAACAACAGTAGAGTGACTAACAGAAAAGTTGTTCGTTTCCCGTTCTCTACATAAACCCGAGTGATTATGTGAATTTGTGACATTCTGGAGAAATCAGTAGTCAATTAACATCCAATACCGAAGGTGCCGGTAAGACTGCTACTCCAGTTTGTCACGATCTTGTAGCTTTGGGAGCAAGTTGTGTGTGAAATCAATCATCGTCAGATATGGTGCTTCGAGTCAAAATTACAAATCAAATTATTTCACGTGTATAACAGCAAACAGTTAAGAATGTTGATCGATATGATAAACGACGCGGAGCGGTGTAAGTGGACGAACATGGCATTGTCATACAAGAATGGCAGTGTTACAGAACATCGGTGGGCGTGCGAAAAGGGACGGTTATGTGTGGACCGACGGTGCGAATTGTTCTGCGCACTTTCCTTTGTAAGATCTGCACGTCTCATGTTTCTTCTTCTGCAGCCATTCCATCATTCATTATCTCAATCACATTCTTTTCGGTTAGTGTCACAAGCAAGCGGGTGATCGCGTCTTGACCATAAACAACGACTGAATGGGGAAAAAACATGGTTTCTTTTGTAATTTTATGACAATGAAAAAGTTTTGTTTGTTCGTTGATACAACATTTTAAAAAAAGAGAATATTATTTCTTTCTTTATTACTCAATGAAAATTTTCAATCTCATTGATGGATGGTTGTGAACGAGCGTATTCGATTTTGAGATCCAGTTTATTAAATTGTCGTTGATAAGCTGGCTTAGGTCCTTGCTTGTTAGGACTTCCGCCATTTGCCAAATATAAGATATTATCCGTTAGATCATAAATAGCTACATGAACGTCGCCGGTTTTAACGATGGCAGAAATGTTTTCAATCGTTGATTCTGCTGTTATTTTACCATATTCGCTCATAAGTTGTTCGTAGAGTTTATACTGATATGATGGACATAACCAATCCATGCCGTTGTAAACAATATTTGGTATGGTTGGATGCCATTCCGCTGCTGGTTGCAAATTGACGTCATCAAAGAAACTGACTTTGGAATGTGAATATTGTATCATACGAGCAGTATTTAGTTTTCCATCGGCAATACCAACAATTAAACGGCACGTTCGACGAACATTACTAATGTATGAAAGTGCATCGTCAACAGTTTCAGAAAATTGTAGAATATAACGCGAAACAAAGATAAAAGGTTGACCAGACATGCTTTCATCACCGAATGTATCATCGGGAAGTTCAACGCCAATCGATGTCATGCCCAATAATGATGAAGACATACCACTCAGTACACCAATATAACCTAAGACGATAAAAATTCATATTTCAAATCGATTAATCATGCAATTACCTGCCCATGCAATATTAGTAAATGCGTGGCCTAATTTCGATGAAAGAGGATGATACACTGTGATGACTGGATAATCTTGGAGACCAGCATGCATATCCCAATCGAATGCACGTAATTGAAGTGTCTTACCACCCAACGTTGCTTTGCCCCAAGCACCATAATATGAACAGTGAGCTGAATAAAATCCCATTCAAATAAACATATAAAAATTTGATTATTTTCTTTTACCTCGTGTCAGCTCTCCAAACATATGAATACGTACTAAAAGTTTATAATCAATATTTGCTGCGTCCGATATACCACGGATTTCATTGTAGATCTCTTCATCCATGTAAGGTTCAACAAAGGAATTCTGGACATCTAAAGCGAAAGCTAAACCTTTCTTCGCGATCAGCTCTTTCAACGATTCAGGTATTGGTAAATGTTCAAGTTTTTCAGTCACTTCTTTTTCAAAATATGCATAGACTTTGGGCATGAATTGTGCAATTTGTTCTCCTAACAGCGTTCCATAAGCAAATCCATAATCATATCCATTCTTGCCCCATAGATGGACAAGCCATGTTTGATCATCTCCGACACCAATCTGGTAGAGTGAACCGTTTTCCACATTACGAATCAATCGAGGAGCGCCTGTTTCAATGGGAAGAAGATTCGGAGTGCCTTGTGGTGTATCATTTTTACAAAAGCTACCAAGATTTTCAAAAGAAAATCCTCGAGCAGCAGAACTCGTTTTAACAATCGATAAAACGAGAAAAGTAAACCAGTACAGCTTCATTCTATTTTTTCTCTCTTTTCGTTATATGAAAACGAAATATACGAAAAAAACCTTTCGTTTTATCTTTTATTTACGTGTGAAAGTGAACAGATAACATATTTTATCGTTCTCATAACGTGCATTGCAGTCTTTTTTATGCTATGACCAATGAAAAAGTCTTTCGTTCGCTTTCTGCCTTTAATATACTGTTAATCGTTAATTAATCTCCTCCACAACCTCCGCAATCACCACCAGAACTATCACCACTATCGTCGGAGCTCGAGACACTGTCGCAGATATCACGCCACACGTCTCTGAATGAATACGAAATGGCCCCACAGGTACTACCGCAACTACTGTATGTTGTTGATTTAAAATGGTTTTGTTCGTAATTAGTCTGATAGGCATTCTTCCAACGTTGAGCTGTATTCTTATAGCCTTCTCTGAGAACAGGTTTTTTGATAGAATCATCGTGATCTAAAACAAAGCCACATAAGTTCAATGACGTTTGTCGATAATGTGTTGGATTTCTCAAATGTGTATGCCATATCAGATCGATGTCAAAGGTTGGAACGAGAAGTTGATTTCGTTCGCCCAATCGAATAAATGATAGATAGTCGTCTACCAGAAGCGGAAAGAACGACCGATCGATATGCAGCAAATCATTCGAATAAAGAAAATGTTTCTGAAATTTTTTAAGAAAATCTCTTTGACGAATAGCAGCTTTGGCTAAATCAACAGACGGGAAAAATGGCATATAGCGACGATGTGCTGAAGCATACGATGGAAAATGCTGAATACTTGGATCAATTAGTTGACCATCTGGCAGTTGAGAAACACAATCTTTGTAGTATGCCAATGGATGCAACATATGTAGATGCCAAATCCACAGAATTGGCCACGAAAGTCGCGACTGCCGATAATCTTCAAGAATTTCTTCTCGGCTCATTTTTTGACAATATTCTTTAACATAACGGTTTAATAATCTTTCATCTTGTGTCATTTCTAATTGATCGACTGCTTGACGAAGTAGATGAATATGATCGACTAAATTATCAAACGAGATTGGTGGTGTTTCGTCATGCTTAAAATTCCCAGATGCAGTGGACGACTGGTTTCTTATAATAATATTATACTGAACAATCCGGAGAAGTAAATGTCTGGTTTGACTGTGGTAATTCCCCATTGTTCGTGTTTAGAATGTTTCCCCCATCGTTGCTTATGACATCACATGTGTGCCGCTACGTAGAGAAATTGCATCAGAATGTGAAGCAAAAAGAAGAAAATCTCATGAATTTGTTGACGGTAATGTCATTTGAAAATGAATCACTTTGCTTTGAATACTTTTTTCTTTCTTCGATGGAAGAAATAACAGGAATCGTAATGGTTGCACACTGTTAGTGCTTCTAAAACCGCTCATAGCCCGTATACAATACAATAATGGCAGCGATCGGAGTATAATGAAAGATAAGAATATGTCGTTCGGTGGAGTGCCAGACAATAAAGAGATTTGCAATGGATAAAATGCATAATCCAACATTGATGAAATGATCACCGCGGAGACGCCATTAGATATGGATCGATTCATATGGAAGAACCAGAATTAGAAGGACAGTAATAACATAATTATTAAGAGAACGCCGAAGAGTAATACTGAGTAGGAGGAAATAGATAGTCCAGAGAGTAAAAACGAGCGACAATATGTCAAAGATGAGAAAACACCAAAATCGAATAAAACTCGATATGTGGAATAATAAAAACACTATCGAATCATTGAATAAAAGTGTACTGTTTAAATCCGACATTCTTGAGAAAGAGCGAAGTTTCCCGATTATTTTTCCTTTCAATGGTGTGGAAATGAGAATGTTTGATTATGATTATTTATAAACATCCCTTCTCATGCAAACATTGAAAAAGCATTCGGTTATCACGAGTCAATAATTTGCAAATCCAAGGGTAATTCAAATGAAGCCTAGGAACTTCACCATTTAGTACAGGATGTGATGGCGTTTATTTCAAATCAAAAAGGTTTTAGAAGAAGAAGAAGAAAGGAAAAGTTCAATGTGTCACGCTTAATGAACGTAGCATCCAGCACTATTGACCGCATACGATGTTAGAAGAAATGGGCGAAGAGCATCAGCGATTAATCCATGCACACGGCTGGTGAAGTGTATAGTATCGACGAAAACGTATTTATCAGGATTATCACAAAGCTTCACAATTGTGGTTGCATTGACTGCATTCCAGCAATTAGCTGTTGTGTTGGTAAAGTATTCCGATTTGCTAGTGACAACTTTAGTGATCAGTGAATGAATATCAAACAGATTCAATGCTGCCTGTGTGTTGTTTTGTTGAATTGTGGTCAAACCGGTTGTTAATGCATTATTGAACAATGCTGTAAGATAATTTAAAACAGATGGCGGCGCCATTGTTAAACTGAGTGGAATGTATTCAGCTGGAATTTGATTGAAGACAAGAATGTGTTTAGCACCATGAGTGAGTAAATCTTGAACACCATTTAGCAGACTGGCTGCAATGGCTGGTGGTGTTAAAGATGAATTGAAAATAAAATCATTACCACCACCCCAAAGAATACAGAGAGTTCGTGTAAAGTCAAAGTTAGCGACATCCGAACGACTTAAGAACGTGGCAATTTGCTGTCGAATACCTGGAACAGGAAGTGTCTTGAACTTAGAATAGCCTTGAACAAAATTGTTGTCAGTTGTTGCACTTCCATAGGCATAATTATTCACACCGAACACTTTCAGTTGATCAACCCAATTTGGACCATTGGAGAATCGTCCGAAGAAATAAGGAGGTGATAATGGCCATGTACGATGAGATATCTTGTAAACATTTCCAGTATCCGTGTAGGAATCGCCAAAAATTACAATATTCTTGAAGCGAACATTTGAAAAGATGCTCGAGTCATATGCAAGAACAGTTGGCACGAAGAAGGTAAGAAGAAATCGGAACACGTACGACCACATGATAGATATAACTTTTGAAGTTTAACTTTTTTGCAAGGCCATTTATACTGTTTGCGTTCGTCAATAAAAAAAAACATGTCACTTGATTTTGAGAACGATGTTTTTATGATTATTACCACATCACGAGCTCGAACTTTATCTTCTTGACCCAATGAGGCGATTATTTGACATGCATATCAGAAAGTACAAAGCAATCAAGGGTAAATACAGTGTTATTACTTCGAGAATTTATTACTACAGTTTGCAATGTAGAGATATTCTAAATGACTTCTAACAGATATTACCATAAAGTACTTGCTGTATAATTTATGAGAGCATACAGCACATGGTGTTTCTATTGTTTGACTTTCATCCTTTAACATTTCGCATCTCAGCAGACAAACCAAAGATATTTAATTAAAGTTAGCTTTCTTTTCAAATGCGTGTAAGAGACATGTATGTGATTCGAAAAGTTGACGAGAAGCGTATATACTTTATCAACGAGAAAAACAATGTAATATCAGCAAAAGAACATCTACAAAACAACAAGCAGATGTCTAAGAAAAAGAATTTTTCTTGATTTTTCGTTAAATAGGATGTATACGTATTTGTAATCTTCGTCGATAATGGTTCACTGCGATCAGAAATTGCGTCCTGTATAATTTTGATGGAATTATAAAAAGAATAAATGATAATGTTAATGGTATGAATGAGATATAATATCCACAGGTAATTAACCATGGATCTGTATTGAATGTTAAACAGATTGATTTGAACAAGATACTCAAGCGCGGAAACGCAAGGAGCGCTAAGACAATCGGTGCAAAAAACAGATGAAAATGTTGTTGAAATTGTTTGTAGATAAATCGTCGATCAATGGCATGTCGTGTGCGTTGTTTGCAGCCAGTTCTTGTCATGATAATTATCGCTGAAATGAAGTTGATACCAAACGGTACAACAAAATGAAAGATATTGATTAGAAGATTCAATAATTGCAAAGCAGATGAATATGTGACTATGCACCAGATGCGTTTTTGATCATCGTCGTCGTGCACATCATAAAATAGACGTCGATGAATAGGATCGTGTATCGTTGTGATAATCATGAAAATCATTAGGAAACCAATAACGTACTTAGACATTTGTTTACTTCGTTGTGTATAAAAATTCGTTCCTTTGATGATCGTCATGACTCGTTCGATCGCAACGCATGCGTATAACCATTGGGTCATATTCAGTGTGATACGTAAAAAAAAGTCCATTGATCTACATTGAAAAGTAAGAAATGATCGATTGGTAATTGAAGATATTTGCACAAAGAGGAAAATGAAGAATTTCAATGCGAAAATCAGAATGGCAACCATTGTTGTTATTGTCGATGCAAATAAATAGATACCGGATCCGACTTTTCGCGTTCCTTTACTTTGAAATGTAATCAACGACAAGATTCCATTGATAAAACCAGTAATACTTATGATCATTGTTAATGCGATATTGAATTGAATAAGAGAAGGTTGATATCGGATACTCACGTGCGGTTGAATGTGATAACTTAAGATTGATTCTAAGGAAAGATCAAATAAATTAAAACTGAATTGACATCGTTGACCGTAGAAACATTTCGGACAAACACATTTCGACGTTTTTGGGCAAATCGGTTGGTCTTGAATACATTGCGCTTGGTTTTCACAACTACTTTGGTCGTAGCAATCGTGTTTGGTTGTGTAAGAAAATTCGAAACAATTGGCAACTCGATGATCATGACCGTGGTTATAACATAGACAAAAATGTGTGTCATCATAAAAACACGGGATTTTCAGAGGCGTTAGTTGACACGGTAAATGATAATATTTGATTCGTCGAAGAAGATGTAGTTGCATGAGTGTATCGTTGAAGACTTCACTCAAATGATAGCAACGATTAGAAAAATTGAAAGTTCGAATTAGAGTAGACGACTGATTCCAAGTGTGTGCAACTGAAAGTAAATAGAGATTTTTATCGAAATATTCCACGAGAACAATATGATATGGATGCGTCCAATAGATGATAATTGTTTTTTCGTACGGGCCGATTGTTCGAAATATCGAACCGTTGATCGGTGGACCACCTGATTGTATTTCAATAAAATAGATTAAAATTCGTTGCGGAAAATAAACATTTTCTTCGAACGAGAAGATTAATTTATTATCGACAACTTCGCATTGTTTTCCACTGAAACCTTTCGGACAAATACAGATAAATTCTTTATCAGACATGATTTCGTCATTCATCGATATACATTGACCGTGATTACGGCAAGGATTCCGTTGACAATGTGTGCTGTGGAGAAGACATCGAGGACCCCATTTGTTTCGAGGACATACACAAATCGAACGATTCGTTCCTGTTACACCTATACACAATGAATCAAACGAACATTTGCATGAATGTTGAATTGTACAGTATTTTCCCGTCCATCCTTGATAACATTGACAGAAAGTCAGATCTTGGTCACCGCGATTCGCATATACGACGCATCGACCGTGAGTACATCGTGTGATCGAGCAACGATGCAATGCTGTTGGATGAAGAATTTGTATTTGAAGAGCGATACGATGTACTGGTAAGAAAGGATATTGCAATGGTATTAAATGGCTACCATGGTAGGCCAATGAGAGTTTTTCATAAATGTCGATATGGATCGAATAGATTCTCGATGAAAGTTTTGGTCGAGTAGAGTAAAGTAAATATAGATTAAACTTTTTCTCGCAATGTTCAGTGTAAAGGTAAGTTAAGTGTTCAACTGAATGTATGACTCGTTCATCACTATCGTCAATGAGTGAAATAATCATGGCAAATAGCGTTTGTCTCCAAGCAGAATATGTTTGAAATTTTAAAGTAAGACTAACTCGTTGATTTTGATATTGACACATATCACCATAGAAACTGGGTGGACAAAGACACGCTTTCTCTGCTGAATTTTTATTCAACCAGACTTGTAAAGGTAAACCGCGATGACATCGTTGATCGTATTCTTCTCCTGTAACTGGGAATAAAGAGGAAATATCTGGAATTTTTCTATCAGGCGTGATCTGTCTGGTTGATTGATGTGAGTTCGCTAAAGAAAAGTATACAATTGAACGTTTTCTTTCGTCATTCAAACGCTCATGAAGAAAGTTCGATAAACTCGTCACGTTTGGTAGTTTGCCATCATCACCTTCTATATTTGGACATAAAAATTCATGGCTTCCGAAGAAGCACTCTTTTTTCTCATGACACAGTTGACCCAATGACGTGCACGATTCATCAGAATGATTTTGGCAATAAAACTGTTCGTTAGCCAATTGATAATTAGTATCTCGACATAGCTGTGGTTCATCGATACCAGCAACGCAATCGACCTGTCTGTCATGTGCTTTCTTCAGAGGCAAACAAATATATTCATATGTTGTCAGTGAGATACATACATGATGCTTCGGTGGACATTCACGAAATGTTGATAAAAAATGACAATCCACTTCATCAGCTCCATTGAAACAATTCCAAATACCATCACATCGTGTATATGTGTTATCACATTGCCAGTGTGCGCATTCAGTTTCATCAGTTTCATTTCGTCCATCGATGAGAACTGGCGCCAGTTCAGTGTAACCATCGCATACAGTTGGAAATGAAATCTGCTTTCTTATCATATGGTAGACAGAATTTTCGTCATCGCATAGTCCATACTGATCACGTCCACAGTCGCAAAATCGATCTTTAACTTTTTTCAATGAGACACATTTATTAGTGGTTGGACACTTGAACAGTGAAATGGATCCATATGTTGAACAAATTTCATTTGTCAAAGAACATTGCTCGTCATCTTTGTAAGCACAATCGTATGTGTAATCACAGAGTTGAAATTGAGAAATGCATTTCGAAGAATTTCGACACCGATACATCGTGGAACTATCACAAACAAGTGAACTGTTGTAGAGAATTGTGTTACAATGATATAATTGTTGGTATATTATTTGGAGAATCATGTCGATCCAATTGAAATATGACAGAATAGATGGCTTCTGCAGTGGAAAATCTTCGAAACGACGACATGTTTTACTATCAAATTTTAATACAGTTACATTCGATCGAAATCCATGGCAAAGTTGATCATTGTAGCAGATATATTGCGGCAACGAAGGCATGGACACATTCAATATCGCATTTTTCAGATAAGCTAATTGTAGATGGCCGAAAACAAAGCCTTCATATGGTACGAATAACAAATCGGGGCATGTTTCATTAATTGTCTGCGTGCATATTGTATTGGGACATAATTTCAAACAAATTGGATTCGACTTCTCCAAAATCTTCATAGTACATTGAAATGCTAACCAACACGGTTTCGAAAGTGTTACCGGTGTATCGAATAGCATCGCTTCTTTCAGAAGAGTATGTCGACGAGGAACACACGAACTCGTAAGTCTAGTATTCATCCCCGCGAGTCTTGCTGAACATTGAATGTCGGTGATAAAGAATGTCGGTACAACGGCAAAATGTGGAAACATCAGCATTGGAGAAACTAATTCATCTGACAGATCGAGACATTCATAAACGTGAGAATTATCATGAGCAAATATTTTTGAAATGCATTGACCGTTAAAACATCGGTATTCGTCATCTTTGCATTCATTGATTTGTATTTGCCAACAATTTTCTTCGTCAACGCCGTTGTTCAAACAATTTATTTCTCCATCACAGATTTCTGTCCAATCAAGACACATCATTGTTGATCCACGTTGGCATGTTAAATGAATATAGCATGTCAATGTTGTCGGTTGATAAGTTTGTTGATAAAAACTATTAACTAATTCCTCTAACGATAGAAACGGAGAGTTATTCATATCCAATGCATACTGGCACAATGGGCCAAATCTTGATGGTGTACAATTATGAAATACCTTCGATGAAAATTCTGATTGAGTATCGTCTGATGAAGAGATTTCATTCCGATAGAATTCGTAATCTTCAATGATATCAATCGGTGCTGACCAAGTGAGTAATTGCTCACCGGTAATATTCAATGCATAGAGTTCGATGAAAGTCAATCTCTTATCGTAATGATCTGCTTCGATGTTAAGCCAAGTTGTTGACCATCTAGATAAACAGTATGGAATAATTTGAAATGGAAATATTTCATAATCAGCTGAAGCCGGGATATACAAGCAACTATGCTGAACAAGAAGCTCATCGAGTATTTCATTTGTACGATGAAGATTGATTTGTATCGATGCGACAATCAGATTTAATTGCATGAAGGATACAAGTTTTATTCGCAAAAACATTCTTACAAAACTTTCTCTTTTACAGTGTGAAACATGATTTATAGAGTGTTTTTCCGTTATCATACAACAGATGTCATATTTATTATGTGTGTAATGCTGTTGATAAAGCGTAAAACACTGAACAAAGGAAACTAGCACGTTTTTATTTATGTGGAAAATCACAGCATAATTCGAGATGAATTTTATAACACATGATGAGCAAAGAAATAAGTTTCTATTCTATAGAATCTTTTCCTCAAGCTATATAATTCATATGTAATGAGAAAAATTCTTCGCTTCGTCAAGATTGTAACAACATCGCACTTTTCTTTAGAAACGTATGAACAATCAAATTATATAAAGAATGTTCTCATAAAAATTTCCCTACTTAATTCGTATCTCAAAGAAAAAAAAAAGCATCTCTTGCACACTATGTCAAATATCAACGCTACAATCATTGCTCTCAATACAGCAGCTTCTACTATCGCGATAGTTTTATCATCAATTAGTTTAATACTTGGCACAGTTGGTCTTCTATTGAATACCGTTGTATTTACTCAACCGAAATTTTGTAAAAAACCATGTTCGCTATACTTTCTAATCTCGACGTATTTTAGTTTATTCATTACATTGGTCGTTGTACCTGTACGTTTGTATACGAATAGTACTTTCATAGATCCAGCAAATTACAATCTCATTGTCTGCAAAATCGAATATTTTGTTTTCTATTTTCCACGTACAGCATCTTGTTGGTTGATTGTAATGGCAACTATTGATCGATATCTACACAGTTCAACAGATACACGTATTCGTCTACTTAGTTCAATGAAGACCGCTCGAATCACGTGTATTGTTATCAGCATTACATCTGTGCTGATATATGTTCATATACTTGTTTATTTCGAGATAAATACAACGAAAAATCAGTTCGGTATTGCTATACCTTTATGCCGAGGTCAAAATGGATTTTATCGGACTTTCATTGGATTTTTTCATATGATCGCTTATGCACTAAGTCCATGTTTTTTCATGCTTCTATTTGGTTTGCTTACCATTCAAAAACTACGTCAAAATCGTCGGTTACTTCCAGCAGTAATATGCAGTCGAAATCATCATTTAATGAAACCATCCGATGTTCAATTAGTCAGTATGCTAATTGCTCAAGTATTCGTTATTATTCTCTCCGTTTTACCGTTCTCGATCAACAACATCTACGCATCATGCACGCTCAACGTTCAAAAAGATGCACTTCGCATCGCTCAAGAGAATGTGATTACACAGACAGTCAACACCATGACATCGTTTGCTCATACCACTAGTTTTTATTTGTATACATTATCCGGAAGTCTATTTCGTCGAGAACTTTTCAAGATATACCGGCGTGTTCTTTGCCCAAACACTAATCTTAGTCATCCGAGAACTACCCAGCGAAACAACACTTAGAATCTATATTGTGATAGTTTTGTAAGTATTATGTGAATCTGAAAATGTGTCCAGAAGAAAACACAAGACGAACAAAAATTACAAGAAATGCATTGGGATTAAACATTGAAAAATCTATTTTGTCGCGTTCTTTTGTGTTCGTTTTCTTCCGATGCTAAATTATTTATTTTTCTGCTGTCCTTCAGCTGCAAAACAAAAAGCCATATTCTAAAGAAATAAAACATTACAATTTATAAAATATGAAAGCATAGCAAGTTTAACAATGCGTTACTAATACGCGATACTGATATATGCACTTCAAAAAAAAGCACTGTTTTCATTTTTTTTAATTAGTGTGGCTCTGAATTACCACAATCACCAAAGAGAACGCCACCGTCATCATGCATCTTCATGAATAGTTGTCGTTGTTCATACATTGAGGAAGACGGTTCCGATCAGAATAACAGGCAATTCTTTTCTCCAGACGATATTCTTCCTGTTGGTAATAGCTGAAACGTATAGTTTTTCTAATGATACATTCGCATAAAAAACCTACAGCAAATGCTTAATCTAATCTGGTAGCAATTATTGCGATCATACTATCATTGGTGTGAATATCGTGGAAGTGTTAAAGTATCGGGCAAGAATCCGTTTTCGAAATCTATCATTGATCCAAATTATCTATCAAACTCTCATGAAATCAATCAAATGTTGCATTCGATTGACAGGAGCGCGTTTAATGGACTGACTGACAATTACGATGAAAGCAAAAGGCTTTTATTTAATAATAATGACAACAAGGCGTTACTGGACTAGATTAGACAGAATATTAAAAGTGATGCACCTCAATCCAGTACTTGTGCGATGTATAATTATTTTTAATATGATAAGCAAGAAAATACAACCGTCCGGTAAATATCCACTGAAACCAAAATGTAATCGTTGAGATACCAATACCAACAAGAGAACATACGATAAATACTAGATGTCGAAGAACGAGCATGTCGCGTCGCATCACTAGCTGACTGACTTTTTGGATAGGTAGTGTTGCTTTCCTCAAACGTCGAATAACAACCATGTAACACGCGACAACTATAACAATTGGCGTGGAATGTAACACAACAAACAAAAATGCATAAGTTTTCAACTGACGAAAATTTGGTAATGCATTGGAATTCTGTTGGTTCATAGTTCATATCATCGAAAGCAGCCAGTGGACAAAAGATGATAAATGAAATAAAAGGACAGCTGGCAATTGGTATTTTTACCACCTCTAATGAGCGTTGGAATACAAATCGATGTTGAAAGATGTAATATTAGACATTCTACCTAGTGTTTGCAAGGCAAAAGTATAAAACAGCCATGTAAATGCGTAGCACAAAGCATAAGCGCGCACTTGACAAGCAAGAAAATCGAGATGAAAACTTTTCAATCACCTTGAATGACGCTTATATTCAGCGATAATAATAGAGTGGAACACAGAAGAATTGCCATGCATATCGCACTACTTGTAACAGAACAATAGACGAATTTTTAATTGAGATAAGGCAGAATACCACAGCTACAAAAACGAATATGAAACCGATTGGTTGCTCCATTATTGATTTACTGCCTTTGATATGTCGTATTAGATGAACTGTGATAGTTTGTTTTAGCGAAGAATCAATCTAAGCAATTTCTATTTTGTCTATCTCTTGCTATTAACAGTTTTTCTGATGACGAAGGCGTTAGTTCCTCTTTACTTACTAAATTAAAGTCGAGATCGGCTTCATATTTAATTTACAAAGGATAAAACCATCTTCATTTTCAAATAAAATTATGGAAATAATAATTTTCTTTTTTCTTTATTTTAACGACAAGAAAATAAAGAATATGTTCTGGTTTTTTAAAATCACTAAATAGGCTACTTGTTATTGTCTACGCTCTAGTTCATTTTTGTGTTTTCACGATGAAGACTTTTTGCTTCACGGACACTAAAACTCGAAACTTTTTGATTATTTCGAGAAACTATTCTAAACAATGTGAAACTTCTCAACTTCGACAACATCTGTCTTCACAACTGTACAACGCCCGCTAAACAAAATCTAAACGTTTCATTAATCATACAATAAGATTAGTGCTCTAGAAATTAGAAAACATTCTTTATTTTTTAGTTTTCGAGTAAATGTCTATGTTGACTAAACATAGACTAGCATTCCTGATAATCTTGTCATGCAAAGTAAACAAAGACTATGCTGTTCAGTTCTGTCAATATTATAACGTTTATATCTATTACCGGCGAAAAAATTTTAAGACATATACCGCAACATAAATATATCGCGGTATGTTCAAAACAAACCTCAACGTGATCACCGTTCAAGACCGCGGTTTCGAAAATGCGCGATGAAAAGTAGGTTAGCAGTGGTATTTGAGAGGTGCCATCTTCCATAAGTTTATATTCTGCGAGCTTCTCATTGTGAACCGCGATCTTCAAATTTTCCCTAAGGATATCATCGGTGCCCAGAATACTTCAGTTTTTATTTTTTATTTATACTTTTCATCTTATTTTTCGTTATGGGAATGTATCGCAACAACTTCGGTACGTTAAATCACGGTACGATATAAAAAGAATCCAAATTCAAATCGATTCATCTCTTAGTTGATAAACGGCATAGTTTGTCAGAAAAAACTATCCAGAGAATATAAACGCATTTTTTTTGTTTATCAAACTATAATAAGTTCAACATCACTTCTATTATTATCTGTCTTGCATTTTCACTTGAAGAGGTTCAAGCAAGAACTACATTTCCACAAATAAGTTCACCTATTTAGACGTTATTCATCGTTAGGGGTATATAAATACTTGATAAACATCATTTTGATCCCATATATGCATTTCGTTAAAAATTTAGTTCTAAAATAGTTAAAAATTTTGATCAGATTTCAGTAAAAGACAACTACTTATCATGATCTAATGATATAGTTGAGACGCAGACGTAGATCTTCACTACAAAAAATCTGTGGTGAGAATAAATCCGTCAAAAGGATTTATCAAACTGATCAATTCTTTGAGATACGTTTTTTCCCTTTATTAGCGTCATAAATCTTTTGATGTGCTCTTAAACGTTTATTAGATTGCAACATATAAAATGCCTTTTTGAGTAGATCACGAGAGCAGGTATATCAAAAGGTTTATGATACTAATAAAGGGAAAAAAACATATCTTAAAGAATCGACCAATTTGATAAACCGTTGTGGAGGGTTTATTATTCACCACAGATTTTTTTTAGTGTTGAACAAATCTTTTTTGATGAATACATTTAAGATACGTACGTGTAATAAATACAATATGGATTGCTTTCTCAAAATATAGATTTACAGATGTAATAAATTATGATTTTTCAGCTCGTTAGGCCATTTAATAACCCGCAGTATCACAATCAATCAACTAAACGATTCTGATAAATCAATGTGTTTCTTCGAAGTGTAATATTCATAAAGGTAGATTATTTATTTAAACATCACTGACCATAAGTATAGGCGATAAGTAGAAGTCTTCCAGCTAGATAGTGCATAGTTTATCGTTGATGTCAGTATCTCGAGAAGTTTGAAAAATTGTGAAGCTATTAGACGCCTCTAGTATTCGTGAGACTCATATAAATCCATCAGTAAATGAAACGTATCGATCGAAATCAGAAAGTTTCTTGATACAGATAAGATAGATCATCTCATTCAATCTTAGTATGAATACCATCAGATGGCTCAATGGAATTAGTGGACTACAGTCATAAGGTAAGCTGTTCGTGTTCGGATCTAACTAAATGAATAAGAATAAAAAATAGGAAGTGGTATCTAATCAGCTGACCGAGGTATGATATGATCGTATAGAGACAGTAGATGATAATGAGATCGATGGCAAATATGATATACCACCATAATGGTGAATTACGTTTTTTTCGAAAAACCATTAATAACCGCGGTTTCGGCCGGTGCGAGAAAACCTAATAAAAGGTCTGACTTTCGCGGTTCAATTAAACCGCTGACACTAACGCCCTGGCGCACCGTGATATACCGCGGTTTCCATCGAAGAATTTTTTCGTGGGTATTCTATTGTTTTAGTGAAACGTGCATATAATTAATCGGTATTTAAGAGTGAGATGTTATGTTTTCAGTGCATTCTGCAGCTCTGCATTTTCTTCTTTCCCGAGCTCGTTCTCACATGTACATAAAAGTAAAATAAATCACTTTGTTCTGACGAAGGAAAAGAAAAAGAAAGATCACTTGTATTGGAAAAGTTTTTTTTTGGGTACTATTTAAGTGGTCGGTATAATTATTGAAACTGTCAGTAGAAAAAATGAAAATGATCGGTAGATTTATTGAAATTATCAGTATCGAAATTATCAGTAATAAATTCTAAACTGATCAGTATATTAGCTGAAAGTGTCAGTAGAAAATTCAATCTCCCGTCAGTAAAAAATAGAAATGTTATCAGTAAAATATTGAATTTCTATCAGTAGAAAAGTAGATTTTAGCAGTAGAAATAATGAATTTTTTTAAGTAAATAATATTATAGACAGTTTGGTAAGCCTGTTGACAAAATTTTTTAATACAATTATTGCATCAATAATGCAGCTTTAGCTTTGGCTGGTCTGCCACGCTTTCTCTTCTGTCCAATTGGAACAGTTTTTGCTGATCTTGAAAAAACGATGAAGTATTTATATATAGCAAGATACAAAGGAAATATCGAGAGATAGATTTAAGATGGTTATTTTCCCTTAATCTTTCACAGTCATCAATAACAAATACCAGATTGTTATGACCTGCATATCCTTCGGGTAATACCATAAGGATTATTCCACATCAGTCACCTATTGTTAATCATGTGTCATCGATTTCTTTCGCGATCACATATATGTACGATGGTTTTTTTCCCTGTCCTGTCATATGTATATATCATGGATTTTCTTTCTTTTATATGTGTGTTGGAATTTTCTCTTCTATTTGTCACCTGATTATGTTAAATACTATGAAAGACAGAGAAAGTAGAAGAGAAATTATTCATTTTATACTATTTCAGTTTTTATACTGACACTTTCATATATTCGACTGTGAAAAAATTAGATATACTGATCTTTTAATTAATATACAGCTTTAACTAATTAATAACTGATAGTTTAAATAAACTACTGATCAATTATTAATTTTACTGCTCAATCATTTTTTTACTGCTCATTTAATAATTTAACTCATTTTCGAATTATTTCTGTTACTGATCATTTCAATTATTATACTGACCAAAAAACAAATTCCCATTTTAAAACTATTGCCATCACCATGTCTCAAACTGTATTCGAATTTTTACCAAATGAAATCTTACTTCTATGTCTTCATTGTTTCAATATTATCGATCTATTTCATTCATTTGATCAACTAAACTATCGTCTCAATACTCTTATACGAGATATTCCATTTAACTAAACTTTCAAAAATATTCAAAACAAATCTCAATATGATCAATTTTGTATGAAATTGTCTAATGATGAAACGATGAAAAGACAAACCTATACAATACATTTATCAAATGAAGACACATGTTATCCAATTCATTTATTTATTTCACAATTTGAAGTTTATATTACCCGGAAAATCTAATTGAAGACTACTGATTAATTCATTAACAAATTCACGACCATTGTCGCTCTGTAAGATATGAGGAGGGCTGAATTGAAAAAATGTATCACCCCAGGTCGAATAATCCCATACTCGGCTCCCATCGGATCCAATATAGGATTTTATCAGATCCTATAGGAATTCGGCGGATCCGATGAACTCTTGGTGATGTAATTGCATTGAATTCCGACAGTCTCGGATCCGATCGGATCCCATGTCGGATGGTTGGATCCGGTCAGATCCGATCGGATTTGTTGACCTGGGATCGCGATCATTCACGAAAATATGGAAGTCGTCAAACGAACTGTGATGCGTAATCGCCAAAATCTTCGTTTGTCGGATGGAAATCTAGACTGTCCTTGTACCAGTAATGTTTGCCTATATTGACATCAAATCGTAAATAAACTATTCCGTGAAGAAGTCCATCTATTCTATAAGTACAAACCAATGGCAATTCCTTTATGTTCAAAACGTAATAAAGTTCATATACTGAACATCTTTTATGATGAATTCACTCATTTTTGCCAGGAGAAACAAAGTATGCAATAATAATGTACATATTGACACCAGTCATTATTTCACTCTCGTACATTATTTTAGTGTCGAATGGAAAACAAACAGGATTTCTTACTTCATTTTACTAAAAAATATATGGATCATTTTAAATCCATCCGTTCTCAAAGGATTAATGTCGAATTGAAACATGTCTACATAGATATTTATTTGCCTGATAAAGAGAACTTACAAAAGATAATAATTAAGTGAGATAGTCAATTAATAAATAACTTATTTATCTTTATTATTTTCAATATAATGTTTACAGCTGTAGTCAAAAAAACTTGCACTGATAAGTTTTTATACTATGTTCTTGGAATTGGTTTATTTCTCCCGTTTCTCATATGGTTGAATAGCCCACAAAAAATACTACGTATACATGTATTTTGATCTATATGTGTGACAATCTCTCTGACATGCGCTGTACGCGTGATACGATTTTTCTCATCTAATGGACTATCCTTATGTTCTTACTTCGGTGCACTCTGATGTAATTCGATATGATATTTTCTTGCGTTCTATTCTGTGTGGACGAGTATATAAACGCGTGTCTTGTATCAGAACGATGCGATTGATGATAGGAAGAAATAAAGAAAGACATGATTCCATCGGGATACACATCTCTTCCATCAGAAATCGCCACAAATGGCGATCCTGTCTACTCGATCTTCTTCTTCTGATTTTGAAGTCAAATTCCATCAGCCTGATCCTCATTTTTACCCTTACATCGCCAATTGGTTTTAACAACAATGAAACAAACAAATGATACGGATTATGTTCGGATCGTTGGGCAATTTGTGGTAATGGAGGGACAGCAGTACTCCTGATGGGTGGCAGTAGTACTGTGAATTGTCAGCGTACGTACTAACAGGCGGCTAGGCCAGGGCCGATTGTGCGTCCTACCAACGCACTTACCTTGTAACATCTGTAAGAACATGTTACGCTGTTGAGTCTCAACTTACTCTATTGCTCGACGCTTCGCTCATTGTCTTTGTTCTCTTATTTTGTTCAACTTAACATCGTCAGTCAAGCATTTACAACTGATTACAACTATCAAATTTGCTGGTGTTGCTGTGTTCTTTTTGAGACTTCCACCTCCTCAATGAACTGAGTGTTAGCAGATTCATCTGAGTAGTTACAGTGGAAGTGTTCCCCTTCTCCTGTTTGGTGTTTTGTTTCAACAACATCATGGCTTCACCTCTGTTTGACTGTTATTCATGAATGTGTTGTTTTTCTTTTTTTTTTCCTTTTCCTTTACCCTATCGTACACTTCATAATATCGTTCTGTACTGATACATTGTTTATATTTCTTCTATCATATTTTTTGTCGTTTTCTTTCTCTTTCTTGTTTGATGTTACGGACGCTCGGGAGAGCGTCCAATTTTGGTCTGGGAGTGTGACAATCTCTCTGACATGCGCTGTACGCGTGATACGATTTTTCTCATCTAATGGACTATCCTTATGTTCTTACTTCGGTGCACTCTGATGTAATTCGATATGATATTTTCTTGCGTTCTATTCTGTGTGGACGAGTATATAAACGCGTGTCTTGTATCAGAACGATGCGATTGATGATAGGAAGAAATAAAGAAAGACATGATTCCATCGGGATACANTCAGTTGATCAACCCAATTTGGACCATTGGAGAATCGTCCGAAGAAATAAGGAGGTGATAATGGCCATGTACGATGAGATATCTTGTAAACATTTCCAGTATCCGTGTAGGAATCGCCAAAGATTACAATATTCTTGAAGCGAATGTTTGAAAAGATGCTCGAGTCATATGCAAGAACAATTGGTACGAAGAAGGCAAGAAGAAATCGGAACACGTACGACCACATGACGGATATCACTTTTGAAGTTTAACCTTTCGCAAGGCCATTTATACTGTTTGCGTTCGTCAATAATAAAAAATGTCACTTGATTTTGAGAACGAAGTTTTTTATGATTATTACCACATCACGAGCTCGAACTTTATCTTCTTGACCCAACAAGACGATTATTTGGCATGCATATAATAAAGTACAAAGCAATCAAGGGTAAATGGAGTGTTATTGCTTCGAGAATTTATTATTACAGTTTGTAATGTAGAGATATTCTAAATCACTTCTAACAGATGTTATCATAAAGTACTTGCTCTATGGTTTATGAGAGCGTATAGCACGTGATGTTTCTATTGTTTGACTTTCATCCTTTAACATTTCGCATCTCGGCAGACAAACCAAAGATATTTAATTAAAGTTAGCGTTCTTTTCAAACGCGTGCAAGAGACATGTATCTGATTCGAAAAGTTGACGAGATAAGCGTTCTTTATGAACGAGAAAAATAATGTAATATTAGCAAAAGAACATCCTACAAAGCAGCACGTAGATGTCTGAGAAAAAGAATTTTTCTTGATTTTTTTGTTAAACAGGATGTATACGCATTTGTAATCTTCGTCGATAATGGTTCACTGCGATCAGAAATTGCGTCCTGTACAATTTTGATGGAATTATAAAAAGAATAAATGATAATGTTAATGGTATGAATGAGATATAATATCCACAGGTAATTAACCACGGATCTGTATTGGATGTTAAACAGATTGATTTGAACAAGATACTCAAGCGCGGAAACGCAAGGAGCGCTAAGACAATCGGTGCAAAAAACAGATGAAAATGTTGTTGAAATTGTTTGTAGATAAATCGTCGATGATTGGCATGTCGTGTGCGTTGTTTGCAACCAGTTCTTGTCATGATAATTATCGCTGAAATGAAATTGATACCGAACGGTACAACAAAATGAAAGATATTGATTAGAAGGTTCAATAGTTGCAAAGTAGATGAATATGTGACTCTGCACCAGATGCGTTGATTTTGATCATCGTCGGGCACATCATAAAATAAACGTCGATGAATAGGATCGTGTATTGTTGTGATAATCATGAAAATCATTAGGAAACCAATAACGTACTTAGACATTTGTTTACTTCGTTGTGTATAAAAATTCGTTCCTGTGATGATCGTCATGGCTCGTTCAATAGCAACGCAAGCGTATAACCATTGGGTCATATTCAGTGTGATGCGTAAGAAAAAGTCCATTGATCTACATTGAAAAGTAAGAAATGATCGATTGGTAATTGAAGATATTTGCACACAGAGAAAAATCGAGAATTTCAATGCAAAAATCAGAATAGCAACCATTGTTGTTATTGTCGATGCAAATAAATAGACTCCAGATCCGACTTTTCGCGTGCCTTTACTTTGAAATGTAATCAACGACAAGATTCCATTGATAAAACCAGTAATACTTATGATCATTGTTAATGCGATATTGAATTGAATAAGAGAAGGTTGATATCGGATACTCCTATTCGGTTGAATGTGATAGCTTAAGATTGATTCTAAGGAAAGATCAAATAAATTGAAACTGAATTGGCATCGTTGACCGTAGAAACATTTCGGACAAATACATTTCGACGTTTTCGGGCAAATCGGTCGGTCTTGAATGCATTGCGCTTGATTTTCACAACTGCTTTGGTCGTAGCAATCGTGTTTGGTTGTGTAAGAAAATTCGAAACAATTAGCAACTCGATGATCATGACCGTGGTTATAACATAGACAAAAGTGCGTGTCATCATAAAAACACGGGATTTTCATAGGCGTTTGTTGACACGGTAGATGATAATATTTAATTCGACGAAGAAGATGTAGTTGCATGAGTGTATCGTTGAAGACTTCACTCAAATGATAGCAACGATTAGAAGAATTGAAAGTTCGAATTAGAGTAGACGACTGATTCCAAGTGTCTGCAACTGAAAGTAAATAGAGATTTTTATCGGAATATTCGACGAGAACAATATGATATGGATGCGTCCAATAGATGATGATTGTTTTTTCGTACGGGCCGATTGTTCGAAATATTGAACCGTTGATCGGTGGACCACCTGATTGTATTTCAATAAAATAGATTAAAATTCGTTGCGGAAAATAGACATTTTCTTCGAACGAGATGATTAATTTATTATCGATAACTTCACATTGTTTTCCACTGAAACCTTTCGGACAAATGCAGATAAATTCTTTATCAGACATGATTTCGTCATTCATCGATATACATTGACCGTGATTACGGCAAGGATTCATTTGGCAATGTGTGCTGTGGAGAAGACATCGAGGACCCCATTTGTTTCGAGGACATACACAAATCGAACGATTCGTTCCTGTTACACCTATACACAATGAATCAAGCGAACATCTGCATGAATGTTGAATTGTACAGTATTTTCCAGTCCATCCTTGATAACATTGACAGAAAGTCAGATCTTGGTCACCAACATTCGCATATACGACGCATCGACCGTGAGTACATCGTGTGATCGAACAACGATGGGATGCTGTTGGATGAAGAATTTGTATTTGAAGGGCGATACGATGGACTGGTAAGAAAGGGTATTGCAATGGTATTAAATGGCTACCGTGATAGGCCAATGAGAGTTTTTCATAAATGTCGATATGGATCGAATAAATTCTCGATGAAAGTTTTGGTCGAGTGGAATAAAGTAAATATAGATTGAACTTTTTTTCGCAATGTTCAGTGTAAAGATAAGTTAAGTGTTCAACTGAATGTATGACTCGTTCATCACTATCGTCAATGAGTGAAATAATCATGGCAAATAGCGTTTGTCTCCAAGCAGAATACGTTTGAAATTTTAAGGTAAGACTCACTCGTTGATTTTGATATTGACACATACCACCATAGAAACTGGGTGGACAAAGACAAGCTTTCTCTGTTGAATTTTTATTCAACCACACTTGTAAAGGTAAACCGCGATGACATCGTTGATCGTATTCTTGTCCTGTAACTGGGAACAAAGAGGAGATATCTGGGATTTTTCTATCAGGCGTGATCTGTCTAGTTGATTGATGTGAGTTCGCTAAAGAAAAGTACACAATTGAACGTTTTCTTTCATCGTTCAAACGCTCATGAAGAAAGTTCGATAAGCTCGTCACGTTTGGTAGTTTGCCATCATTACCTTCTATATTTGGACATAAAAATTCATGATTTCCAAAGAAGCACTCTTTTTTCTCATGGCACAGTTGGCCCAATGACGTGCACGATTTATCGGTATGATTTTGGCAATAAAACTGTTGGTTAGCCAATTGATAATTAGTATCTCGACATAGGTGTGGTTCATCGATACCAGCAACGCAATTGACCTGTCCGTCATGTGCTTTCTTCAGAGGTAAACAGATATATTCATATGTTGTCAGTGAGATACATACATGATGCTTCGGTGGACATTCACGAAATGTTGATAAGAAATGACAATCCACTTCATCAGCTCCGTTGAAACAATTCCAAATACCGTCACATCGTGTGTATGTGTTATCACACGGCCAGTGTGCGCATTCAGTTTCATCAGTTTCATTTCGTCCATCGATGACAACTGGCGCCAGTTCAGTGTAGCCATCGCATACAGTTGGAAATGAAATCTGCTTTCTTACGATATGGTATACAGAATTTTCGTCATCGCATAGTCCATACTGATCACGTCCACAGTCGCAAAATCGATCTTTAACCTTTTTCAATGAGATACACTTGTTAGTAGCTGGACACTTGAACAGTGAAATAGATTCGTATATCGAACAAATTTCATTTGTCAAAGAACACTGCTCGTCATCTTTGTAAGCACAATCGTATGTGTAATCACAGAGTTGAAATTGAGAAATGCATTTCGAAGAATTTCGACACCGATACATTGTGGAACTATCACAAACAAGTGAACTATTGTATAGAATTGTGTTACAATGATATAATTGTTGATATATTATTTGGAGAATCATGTCGATCCAATTGAAATATGATAGGATAGATGGCTTCTGCAGTGGAAAATCTTCGAAACGACGACATGTTTTACCATTAAATTTTAATACACTTACATTCGATCGAAATCCATGACAAAGTTGATCATTGTAGCAAATATATTGCGGTAATGAAGGCATGGACACATTCAATATCGCATTTTTCAGATAAGCTAATTGCAGATGGCCGAAAACAAAACCTTCATATGGTACAAATAACAAATCGGGGCATGTTTCATTAATTGTCTGCGTGCATATTGTATTAGGACATAATTTCAAACAAATAGGATTCGATCTCTCCAGAATCTTCATGGTACATTGAAATGCTAACCAACACGTTTTGGAAAGTGTTGCCGGTGTATCGAATATCATCGCTTCCTTCAGAAGAGTATGACGACGAGAAACACACGAACTCGTAAGTCTAGTATTCATCCCCGCGAGTCTTGCTGAACATTGAATGTCGGTGATAAAGAATGTCGGCACAACGACCAAATGTGGAAACATCAGCATTGGAGAAACTAATTCATCTGACAGATCGAGACATTCATAAACGTGAGAATTATCATGAGCAAATATTTTTGAAATGCATTGACCGTTAAAACATCGGTATTCATCATCTTTGCATTCACTGATTTGTATTTGCCAACAATTTTCTTCGTCAACGCCGTTGTTCAAACAATTTATTTCTCCATCACAGATTTCTGCCCAATCAAGACACATCGTTGTTGATCCACGTTGGCATGTTAAATGAATATAGCATGTCAATGTTGTCGGTTGATAAGCTTGTTGATAAAACCTATTAACTAATTCCTCTATCGATAGAAACGGAGAGTTATTCATATCCAATGCATACTGGCACAATGGACCAAATCTTGATGGTGTACAATTGTGAAACACTTTCGATGAAAATGCTGATTGAGTATCATCCGATGAGGAGATTTCATTTCGATAGAATTCGTAATCTTCAATGATATCAATCGGTGCTGACCACGTGAGTAATTGCTCACCGGTGACATTCAATGCATAGAGTTCGATGAAAGTCAATCTTTTATCGTAACTATTTGCTTCGATGTTAAGCCAAGTTGTTGACCATCTAGATAAACAGTACGGAATAATTTGAAATGGAAATATTTCATAATCAGCTGAAGCAGGGATATGCAAGCAATTATGCTGGACAAGAAGCTCATCGAATATGTCATTTGTACGATGAAGATTAATTTGTATCGATGCGACAATCAGATTTAATTGCATGAAGGATACAAGTTTTATTCGCAAAAACATCCTTGCAAAATTTTCTCTTTTACAGTGTGAAACGTGATTTCTAGAGTTTTCTTCAGTTATTATACAGCAGATGTCATATTTATTATGTGTGCAATGCTGTTGATAAAGCGTTAAACACTGACTAAATGAAGTCAGCACGTTTCTATTTGTGTGGAAAATCACAACATAATTCGCGATGAATTTTCTAACACACGATGAGTAAAGAAATAATTTTCTATTCAATGAAATCTTTTCCTCAAGTTATATAATTCATATGTAATGAGAAAAATTCTTCGCCTCGTCGAGATTGTAACAACATCGCACTTTTCTTTAGAAACGCATGAACAATCAAGTTATATAAAGAATATTCTCATAAAAATTTCCCTATTTAATTCGTATCTCAAAGAGAAAAAAAAGCATCTCTTGCACAATATGTCAAATATCAACGCTACAATCATTGCTCTCAATAACACAGCTTCTGCCATCGCCATAGTTTTATCATCAATTAGTTTGATACTTGGTACAGTTGGTCTTCTATTGAATACCGTTGTATTTACTCAACCGAAATTTCGTAAAAAACCAAGTTCGCTATACTTTCTAACCTCGACGTATTTTAGTTTATTTATTACATTGGTCGTTGTACCTGTACGTTTATATACGAATAGTACTTTCATAGATCCAGCAAATTATAATCTCATTGTCTGCAAAATCGAATATTTTGTTTTCTATTTTCCACGCACAGCATCTTGTTGGTTGATTGTAATGGCAACTATTGATCGATATTTACACAGTTCAACAGACGCACGTATTCGACTACTTAGTTCAATGAAGACGGCTCGAATCGCGTGTATTGTTATCAGCATTACATCCGTGCTGATATATGTTCATATACTTGTTTATTTCGAGATAAATACAACGAAAAATCAGTTCGGTATTGCTATACCTTTATGCCGAGGTCAAAATGGATTTTATCGAACTTTCATTGGATTTTTTCATATGATCGCTTATGCACTAAGTCCATGTTTTTTCATGCTTCTGTTTGGTTTGCTTACCATTCAAAAACTACGTCAAAATCGTCGGTTACTTCCAGCAGTAATATGCAGTCGAAATCATCATTTAATGAAACCATCCGATGTTAAATTAGTCAGTATGCTAATTGCTCAGGTATTCGTTATTATTCTCTCTGTTTTACCGTTCTCGATCAACAACATCTACGCATCGTGCACGCTCAACGTTCAAAAAGATGCATTTCGCATCGCTCAAGAGAATGTAATTACACAGACAGTCAACACCATGACATCGTTTGCTCATACCACTAGTTTTTATTTGTATACATTATCCGGAAGTCTATTTCGTCGAGAACTTTTCAAGATATACCGGCGTGTTCTTCGTCCAAACACTAATCTTAGTCATCCGAGAACTAACGAACGAAATAACACTTAGAATCTATATTGTGATAGTTCTGTATGTATTACATGAATCTGAAAATGTGTCCAAAAGAAAACACCAGACGGATAAAAATTACAAGAAATGCATCGGGATTGAACGTTGAAAAATCTATTTTCTCGCGTTCTTTTGTGTTCGTTTTCTCCCAATGCTAAATTATTTATTTTTCTGCTGTTCTTCGGCTACAAATAGAAAGTCATATTCTAAATAAATAAAACATTACAATTTATAAAATATGAAAGCACAGCAAGTTTAACAAAGCGTTGCTAATACGCGATACTGATATATGCACTTCAGAGAAAAAGCATCCCTCTCATTTTTTAATTAGTGTAGCTCTGAATTACCACAATCACCAAAGAGAACGCCACCGTCGTCATGCGCCTTCATGTATAGCTGTCGTTGTTCATATATTGAGAAAGACGGTTCCGATTAGAATAACAGGCAATTCTTTTCTTCAGACGATATTCTTCCCGTCGGAAATAGCTGAAACTTATAGTTTTTCTAATAATACACGCGCATAAAAAGTCTACAAAAAAAAGCTTAATTTAATCTCGTAGCACTTATTGCGATCATACCATCATTGGTGCAGCTATCGTAGAAGTGTTAAACTATCGGGCAAGAATCCATTTTCGAAGCCTATCATTGATCCAAATTATCTATCAAACTCTCATGAAATCAATCAAATGTTACATTTGATTAATAAGAGCACGTTTGATGGACTGACTGAGAACTACGATGAAAGCGAAAAGCTTTTATTTAATAATAAAGACAACAAAGTGTTACTGGAATGGATTAGAAAGAATATTAAAAGTGATGTACCTCAAGTCAGTACCTGCGCGATGAAAATTTATTTTTAATACGATAAGATAATTTTAACAGAATGTTCTCTCATGAAATTGTCAAACAATTCGTGTTAAGGTCTGCAGCGGACGTACTCTTACGGTGACGGGTGCTATGCGTGGACCGTGAAGGCGAGTGACGATTGATTTTAATTGAGGATTGATGAGAACCAATGAAAAAGCAAGAAAGAGCATGTCGAACGATAGACACACCGTTTGTATTCGATAAGCAAGGAAATACAACTGTCTGGTAAATACCCACTGAAACCAAAATGCAATCGTTGGGATACCAGTGCAAACAAGGCAACATACGGTAAGTACTAGACGTCGAAGAACGACTATGTCGCGTCGCATCGCTCCCTGACTGACTTCTTGGATACGTAATGTTGCTTTCGTCAAACGTCGAATAACAGCCATGTAACACACGACAACTATGGTAACTGGCGTACAATATGCAACAACAAACAAAAACGCATAGGTTTTCACCTCACGAAAATTGGTAGCGCATTGGAAATCTGCTGATTCATAGCTCATATCATTGAAAGCAACTAGTGGACAGAATAGGATAAATGGAATGAAAGGACAGCTGACAACTGATATTTTTACCACCCGTAATGAACGCAGGAATACAAATCGATGTTGAAAGATAATATTAGACATTCTTCCAAGTGCTTGCAAGGCAAAAGTATGAAACAACCATGTAAATGCGTAGCATAAAGCATAAGCGCGCACTTGACACGCAAGAGAGTCGAGATATATGTAAATTTTCAAATCACCTTGAATGGCACTTATATTCAGCGATAATAATATAATGGAACACAGAATAACTGCCAGATAGTTTTCTATGGCCAGCAAAAGGTTACCGTCTGGGAACTTCCATGCATGTCGCGCTACTTGGAACAGAACAATAGACGAAATTATAATTGAGATAATGCAGAACACCAAAGCTACAAAAACTAAGATGAAACCGATTGGTTGCTCCATTATTAATTTACTGTCTTTGGTATGTCGTTTTAGATGAACTGTGATAGTTTGCTTTAACGAAGGAACAATCTGCGCAATCTCTATTTTGTCTATCTCACTTCTATTAATTTTCCCGATGGCGAAGTCGTTAATTCCTTTTTACTTACTAGATTGACGTCGAAATCCGCTTTATATTTAATTTACATAGAGTCAAGAACATCTGAATTTTCTTTTCCCTTTATTTTAACGACAGGAAAATAAAGAACGTGTTCTGATTTTTACAATCACTAAATGTAATGAACATGACAGCTGCTTCTCAAGGCTACTTGATATTGTCTACGCTCTGGTTCATTTTTGTGCTTTCACGATGAAGACTTTTTGCCTTACAGACACTAAAACTCGAAGTTCTTTGATTATTTTGAGAGACTATTCTAAACAATGTGAAACTTCTTAACTTTGACAACATCTGTCTTCACGACTGTACAGCGACCGCTAAACAAAATCTGAACGCACCATTAATCATACAGCAAGATTAGTCCTCTGGAAATCAGAAAGCATTCCTTATTTTTTAGTTTCAGAACACATGTCTATATCAACTAAACGCAGACTAACATTCCTAATAATCTTGTCATGCAAAGTAAACAAAGACTATGCTGTTCAGTTCTGTCAATATTATAACGTTTATATCTATTATTCTGTTGTTTAGTGAAAAGTGCATATAATAAATCCGTATTCGCGAGTGAGATGTTATGTTTTTAATGCGTTGTGCAGCTTCGCATATTCTTCTTCTCCGAGCTCGTTTTCATTTGTGCATAAAAGTAAAATAAATCACATTGTTCTGACGAAGAAAAAGAAAAGAAAGATCACTTGTACTGGAAATGTTTTTTTTACCAACATAACGTTTTTCTTTTTATAAGCAAAAGAAAATTGAAAACTTTCACCAGACAAATATTCTTCCAGATTTTTCGTTGACTCATTTAAAAAAACAATAACTATAGTCATCGATGGCAAGAAACATCGGATCAGCAAAATGTCCCCTGAGTGGTCGAACGTTCAGAGATCCTGTTATAGCTGCAGATGGTCATACTTACGAACGAGAAAATATTACACAATGGTTACAAGAGAACGAAACTAGTCCATTGACGAACGAATCAATGGATATTTCTACATTACGGCCTAATCATACTGTAAAGAGAATGGTCGGCGAATTTACAGATACATCTTACACACTGCATGGTCAGCATAGATTTGAACTCAATGTTGACATAAAGAAAAGTAGACCGAAACCTTTATTTCAAGGATTTGGCAAATGTATATATGAAGTCGAATGGATAAATATTGACGGGCCACCGATTGTACTATTAAGAATCGATGGCGCTAAAGCAAGTCGTGAAGCTTCGTTTTATGTTCAACTAAGTTGTCATCCACATATTGTACGCACCTTCGGACTTGTTGACAGCAATCCGGACACAGCTATGCTCTTACAAGAAAATGCTCCTGATGGAGATTTATTTGAGTTATTGCGAGACGGGCAGTTTCGGCCGAGTACGGCAGTCTTTTTAGAGATTTTCCTACAAATTACAGATGCCATGATCTGCCTTGCAGATAATAACATTGTACATGGTGATCTAGCTTGTCGGAATATACTTGTATTCAGGTGGAATTCGTCAGAGCCGAAAGAAAATCTCGTCAAATTGACTGATTTTGGACTAACTCGAGCAAGTCATATTTTCTCTGTCGTTGAGATTGCAACGGCGTCAACCATGAATATCATTCCGATTCGTTATGCAGCACCCGAAATTCTTAGAGATCCAGACAGATTAGCATATTCTGAAAAATCCGATATATATTCTATGGGTATACTTATGTGGGAAGCTTGTTCGTACGGTACACAACCTTATCTATTGGTGCGCAATGAGAATGACATTCGAAGACGGAAGCTGAATGATGAACGACTTCCACAACCGGAATCGTGTGACGATGAACTTTGGACTATCATTAACGAATGCTGGAGTCTAGAACCACAGGATCGACCAGATTTTCGATCTTTAAAAGAATCTCTACTAACTTTGAAGTATGAATGGACTAATCGATCGAGGCGATTCAATGATTCGATTATTAGTTCGCGAAGATCATCAGTGGTCTCCATTGGATCTGAGTAAGATATATATTACACTAATTTCGAAAGTCAAAATTTCATTGGTCAACGATTATTATTTGACACTAGATTGAATCGTTCGACACCAATAGCATCACCGAGAGTTTCCAGGAACTTTTGCCGGTATATACACAGTTACGATTGTATTCCATCGCTAAAATCTATTCTCTTTCATATAAAAATGATAGAGAAAACGAAGCGAAATCCAGACTTGTCTGTGCTTGTGGAAGAGAATTTGATGATCGAAGAGTTTTTGAAAGTCATCGATTCGCGTGCACAAGACGAACTGAAGAACGTACTTCTCGAGATGACCTAGATGATCATCAAGAAAATGGCTACGCTGATCCACCTCGAGTGTCACAACAACGCCAACAGTCTAGGCAAGTTTTCCGTTCAACGTCTGAAGTCAATATTTCGCATATCGACAATAAAAACGATAGTAACAGTACCAATCCTCGAAGATCGTCTATCAAAAGTCCAGGATCGAAAATTTCTCGAAGTAAATCTAATCTCTTCTTTCATTCTATATGTTTATCATATAAATTTTCTCTATCCAAGGCGACTCGCCGTCAGTAAGATTTGAATGTCACCGTTGCGGCGAACAACTTAGGGTTGCAGACTATCAAAACCACCAAGTAATATTTCTGTTTCAATGCTTTTTGTTTCTCTATGTTTATCACGTTGAAGAACAATTGTATTCAGAATCGAAGTAACCGTGATCGAACGCAAAAGTTACCGGGCCATCAAAGTTGAAACTTCTTTGTTTTCGAAATTTTTCTACGGCGGCATTTCTTTAGACAACAACACTGGGCACAGTGCGTATGAATACGTTGATAAATCTTCTCGGTCATACGACGAAGAAGGACGTTCCGTACGATGACTCTTAATCAACTAATTCGTTTCGCATTGTTTTCTCTTTGTTGTAGACTTTACATACTTTAAAAAATAACCGTAAGTTAGCAAGGCGTGCAAAGTGAGTTATCTCATAATGGACCAAAAATATTTTACCTAATTTACATGATTTGCGTACATGTTAGTTGTCGCTCACATATTGAAAACACGCGTGGCGATGATGAACAGTCAAGTACAAATAATGAGCCTAATAGGTCTCAAGTAGGATTTATCTGTAATCTTATTTTCTTACTGTTGACGAACATATAGGAAAGCCATCCGGAGCAGAGCTTCTCGAAACTTACCGCGATGAGATTTGCCCAAAGCCAGCGACGCCGCCAAGATCCAAATTCTATTCTTCCGACATACAACAGACGAGCTCGTGTGCCATCGAGTAAATCTTATGGGCATGCGTTTTCGCTTTCATCTTGTTGTTTTTTTATCAACTCCTTAGCTATTCAAAGCAGTACTTCGCCTACAACATCTCGGCGTGATCTAGGATCCGCCCATAATTCCGACGCATACCAAAGTACCATTTCGCTCAGTACTACACGCGACAGTCAGGAATCTTTGTCATGTTCGAGAAGCACTAGTTTGTATACGGAATATTTTACGAATTGTTCTACTAATAAATCTGCATACGATCGCAAATCTCGAAGAACGCATCCAACACGACCATTCGTTCCAGACATTTATACGCTATCTACCACTGCAAACAGAAGTGACAGATCAAAGAGCGCACCACCTGTCCGACCACGAACGAATATACCATCAAAATCCAACTCAAGACGAGGTCAGTTCGAATCGATTTCTCTTACCTTTCTCTAATATGATTTATTAGCAGATAAAATTCAGCTACGTCCATTGTCGGTATCATGCACCGATGATGTCGAATACGATCTCGCGGCCGACATTGCCCGTAGCTACGAAGTAAGCAATGACATCTTTTAACAATTAGGGATGGATATCTTTTTATATATGTAGCGATTTCCACCCATTCGTCGACAATGAAGGACAAGATCGACGAAGTTTCTTTTAATCTGCTCGTGTGCGAAAGGTTTCTTTTTTCGATTTCTTTCATACACAAACACGCAAAAGTACAGTCGAAGATTAAGAGTCTTTTCATTTATTGCCGTGCTAATAACTATACAAGCATATTAAAATGCAAGGAAACGAAAAGCACCGATGTAAGAAATGTTTCGTTAGGTTTCATTGAAAGGTGAAACGATTCTTTTTAAACAATCTTCTGAGCTTTTCGACAGTTTACATCTAGAAACAAAAACGATACAAACGATTAGAAGTAATGCTAGTTTGCACTTGGCTCCCATTAAAAAATGGTTCCTTGCTCAATTCCTCACCCGTACTCATACTGTACAAGGCGTAGACACTTTTCGCCAACAGATTTGCACTGCGTGTTCGAAAGAATTCGTGCTTTTGTAGTTTTACCTATAAAATATATCAACATTTTTAAAAGAAAAAAAAACCACAATAATGACAATCACCCAGCTTAAAATAAGCTTGACTAATTCTTCGTAATTAATCGACTCACCAAGTTCGAATGCAGCAAATACAGGAGAAAGAATATTGAATGAAAAGTTTCCAAATGAATTAGGCATATACTCGAAGAAAAGATTATCTTCGTCTTCAAAATCTTTTGCAATTTTCTGGTAATATTTCTTGAATTGTTCCTTGCTTATTCGATCTGACGGACATTCACTTTGGAATTACTACAAAAGAATCAAGAACATCGAAGTTCGTTCCTGGTTAATATACCTCAATGACGTACATCGTACAAATCACGAATTGCTAATTACAATAGAAAAAAAATGCATTACATCGAATGGAAGAATTTTTTGAATACTTCATTTATCGAGTTGTGTAGCAGATGTGAGCATTTGAATATCTGAAAGATAAGAATGTTTTCTACTCAGACTTTCAGTTATATTATGAATTAGTAAAACCTTGTTCGGCAGTTTCTGATGTTTCATCGTCCATATTTGCAACGACGATACTATAGTTGGATGATATGTACTTAATTTTATACAGTACCTTGCTGATCTACAACTGTGTTGTTGCGTGAAACAATGTCTTACAGAAATTGATAGTATGTATAAGAAATGATAAAGATAGATATGAACGGGTACAAGCAAAAATTTTATCATTTTTGTTCTACGTAAAATACAAAGAATCTTATATGTACTCCGACGGTCCTTTCTTTTCCCTCAAATATTTGTAATACAAACGATTATCGAACTGGTCAATCCGGTCTACATTTTGTTATAACTCGGATGAAAAACAAACAATGTGTCTTCTTGCCAAAGACGATAAGTTTCTATGCAGAAAGATCGGTATATTCGTACGTCCACGCTGTTTTCATTCTTTTCTGCACAAGCAAAAATATGGTGTAATCGAATGAATTTACTTTGCTTTCATAATAAAAATATTGCACATGTCTTATGACATCACTTGTTTTTATGTATTTGCCAAGTAATAGGTTACTGTTTTATTCAACGTCAACATGAATTATCTCACTTCCGCTCGTCATTCGACATTAGAGATTTTTCCTGACGAATTATTTCTCGAATTATTTTCATTTATTCAACCAGTCGATCTCTACCGTGCTTTTCGTCATCTTAATCAACGTTTAACTCGTATTTTACATGACATATACATTTGTATGCATATCACCAGCGACGATGATGATGAATTGCAGCACGAGTGTCTGAATTACTTTTCCCGTCAAATTATTTATCTTGCGGTTGATTGTCATCCTACACGTTTATTGTATGAAATAGATCTTCGACCATTCAACAATTTACGTTCACTTCATTTACCTCTACCAACGGATGAACAATGTTCGCAAATAACTCCGCAGAACTTTCCGTTCTTAACGCAATTAACTATTCATAACAATGCCTACAGATCAATTGTATTCGGTTCAAATTCATTTCCATATCTAATTGCATGTTGCATTCCACAAATTTATCCAGATTATGAGCGTACCATGAGACCATGTGTGACTCTTCGTTCGCTTCAGTTGGGCTCTTGTTCTCTTCAGTACTTATTACGTATACTTCCACATGCACCAAATTTGACATATTTGGATGTTTGCTTACAATCATCCGAAGCACAGATTACCGAAACGGATTGGAAACATGAGAAGCTCTCACATTTGAAAATCAAAATTCGAAAGCTTGTTCCAGATTTTGAAATCATTTTGAAGACAGTACCTAATCTATCTCGGTTAGAATTTCTATGGAACGAGTCTTGTGTCGATCGGTACAGCAGGAAAAGTTTCGATTTTACTTTATTTTCGTCTCTTCTCCGTGCAAGTCTCAGTCCACTATTTAAACATTTGGATATTGATATTCACGTACCGAAATGTGACGAAAATATCGGTGATATTCATGAAATCAATCCTGCATGGTTTTCAAGGTTATCGAAAATAAATATCATTTCACACGACTATTCTGTTTTTTTGACAACAAGAAAATTGGTGACAAATGCGGACAATGCACTGACTACAATTTTATTACAATCAACATACATTACGCGAAGAAACGCACGATTCAATCGGATTAAATTAGATAAGACTCCTAAATAAATACATAACACTGTGTTTCCTTTTAATCAAGAACTTATTTTTAATTATAGTTTTAAATAAAGAATCTCAACAGAATTCGATGATTCATCGATTGATTTACTCTTTTTCCAAAAGCTACTACTATGTCACGAATCAGTGTGTATATATAAGAATAAAAATAGGTTACCTCGCTCACGTGGTTCTCAACGTGATTACATATTGTTAATTAATGGCGATGATCGTCACATGGATGTGTTTATTTATACCTATCCATATTCACGCATGACTAAACAGTATTACAAATATCATATCTGAAAAGAAGGTAGCAATTGTATTCGGAGAGAGCATGTTAACGAAAAACGCTTATGAAGAAATTGATGAAGCACAAGAAGATCACTATCAGACAAGTGGACGAATTGAATTACCAGCCAGTACAAATATCAAATTGAGTGAAAACGAACAATTCGAACACATAGAAATGGTGGGAGTTGCACGACGTTCGATCGATGTTGTCACAGAGCCAATAGTCAAAAATGAGCGTTTGGTAGAGAACGTCTTTGGTAAACTGAAACTAACAAATTGGAGCATGTTTGACACCAATGATAATGAATCTAATCCAATCAGGGGTTATGCTAGTCAGCCTGTATTGCCGCTTTCGAAAGCATGCGATCCACTGAAAGATATTCTGTACGATTTGTCATATTATGTTGATCTGGCATTACAAGAAACACCGGAACAGCCACCAGATGGATTAACTGTCGATGAAAGTGCTGCGATTCGTCTTTACACAATCGAATGGAACGCACCGCATCAAAGTCTTTATTCGATGCTCAACACCAATTTGAAAAAAGCTAATCGTGAAGATCTTTTACCCTATTCCAAGTACCTTAAACTATTCATCAGTGCTTTAGCTAAATTGCCATGTGTTCCATCTTTGACTGTCTGGCGAGGCGTGACCAAAGATCTGACAGCTGATTTTCCACCAGGTACTCGAGTGACATGGTGGTCATTCTCTTCATGTACAACCGAAATGACTGTACTGGAGAATAATATGTATTTGGGTCGTGAAGGTGATCGAACACTTTTCTCAGTCGAAGCCATCAATGGTCGATCGATACGAGATCATTCACATTTTGTTACTGAAGATGAAATTCTTCTTCTTCCTGGTACACATATGATTGTTCAATCACAACTTAGTCCAGCATCCAATCTTTACATCATTCATCTGAAACAAGTGAAACCCGACAACGAACTATTAGAACTACCATTCGAAGGTATTTGAAAACCTGCTTTATCATTCAATTTTTGTAGTTATTTTGCTTTTTTGAGGTGCGCATCTCTTTCCCAAAGAAAAGTAAGTTTATACTTTGACAATTCCGGTGCTCTTCGTCTAAACTCATTTCATAATCATCATAGACATCCTTGGTACTGGAAGAAAAGATTCACCATTCCAATTCTTCTGTTGATACTTCTAATCATTGCAGGCATAGTTCTTGGTGCTGTTCTAGGCACAAGAACAGTTTCAACCATCACTCGTACGATTTTTTTCCATTTCGTGCTTTAAACTCCTCTAGTTATTCTAGTTAAACCATGCAACAATCCATTGCAGTCATTTGATTATATCACAATTGGACGACATCCATCTTCTGTCGTACTGGGCCATTTCAGAAATAACACTTATATGGATGCAGCAATAACACTTGCCGATGAAAATGGTGTCATTATCCTTCTAGGTGATCCAACGGATATTCTTCGTACTTCTAAGATCGCCACGGGCGTGTTGCCAATGTTTATTATAGCAGCTGATTTTAATAATGATACCATCCAAGATCTCGCATTCGTCAATAATGGTGATGACACGGTCACCATAGCATTAGGTGTAGGAAATGGACTTTTCCCAAAAAAGAAAACCTACTCAGTGGGTCCTTCACCTTCCTGTGTGTTATCAGCTGATTTTAACAAAGACAAAAAATTAGATTTGATCATAGTGAGCCAAGATACGAATACCGTTGGCGTGCTACTTGGTGATGGATTGGGAGGGTTTAAAGCTTCAACGAACAATTCAGTTGGTTATTTTCCATCGATTATAATATCAGCCGATTTTAATCACGATAGCAACTTAGATTTAGCAGTTACCAATACTTTTGATAATACTCTCAGTGTGTTGCTGGGCAATGGTGATGGAACTTTTCAGACTCACGTCACTTATTCCACGGGCTCGTCGCCAATATCTCTCTTATCGGCTGATTTCAATAACGATAATAATCTGGACATAGCTGTAACGAATAGTAAGAACAGTTCGATCAGTATTTTACTTGGCATGCGAAATGGAACCTTTCATCAACAAGTGATGTTTGTAACAGGTTCTGATCCTATTTCGATTGGGGCCGCTGATTTTAATAATGACAATAATACGGATTTGGTAGTAGTGAATGGCGATGAAAATACTGTCAGTACTCTGTTTGGCTCTGGAGACGGAAGTTTTCACACTCAAATTAAGTATGCAACTGGTGACCATCCGGTGTATTTGATGGTCGGTGATTTCAATAACGATGGTAGCATAGATCTAGCAGTTCTTAACAACGGAGATGCTACTGCGAGTATGTTTTTCGGTCAGGCGAACGGAACTTTGACATTTATACAAGCATACAGTACTGGTAACTCTCCAGTTCTTTTCGCTGTTGCTGATTTCAATAGTGACAGTAGATTAGATTTCGCTGTCGTCGAACAAAGCGACAGTACTATCAGTGTATTGCTCGGTAAGGGACGTGGAGTATTTCAGATTGCACTCAATTATACTGTTGGCAGAAATCCATCCTCGGTCATCTCAGTCGATTTGAATAATGACAACAAACAGGATTTAGTTACAGTCAGTGGTAATGGCAGTACTCTCAGTATACTCTACGGACGTGGTGACGGATTTTTCAACCCACCTGTGAACCTTACAGTTGGTAGTGCACCAACTGCTGCTATATCAGTGGATCTCAATAAAGACGGGCACATGGATCTCGCAGTGGCAGACAAAGGCGAGAATACTGTTTGCATACTTCTGAACAATGGTAATAAGACTTTCTATACGTTCCTGAATTATACAGTTGGTAATTGGCCATCTTCTCTCATAGCATCGGATTTTAATAGCGATGAAAAACTAGATTTGGCTGTGACTAGCAAGGAAGAAAATATCGTTAGTGTAATACTGAATAAAGGGGACAATACTTTTCATTCCGAAATTAATTATGCAGTGGGTAAATCACCGTCCTGTGTCGTATCAGCTGATTTAAATAAAGATTCCCATGAGGATTTAATAGTAACTAATTATGGTCAAAATACGATCAGCATCCTATTCAATGATGGCACTGCAACTTTTCACGCTGCAAAAACTTTTACTGTTGGCAGATATCCAGTATCTGTAGTAGCAACTGACTTCAATAATGATCAATGTATGGATTTAGCAGTGGCAAACAGTGGTAGCAATAGTGCAAGTATTCTACTGGGTAATTGTGATGGAACCTTCCTACCTCAAATAAAATATACATCGGGAATCGTTCCGACGTGTCTAGCATCAGGCGACTTAAACAATGACCAGCGACCGGATCTTATTGTGACAAACGGCAAATCGAATGACGCATATATTTTTCTGAATACTTGTGCGAACTAGTGTGAAATTATTACATGAGTATATTTATGAGTATTTCAAAAATTTTCTCATGTCTGTTTGGTCCCAGATCTTGAAGTTTTTCATACGGCATAATTCCTGTAGACGCTCATTGTTTTTATTGTTGCGATAATCTCGCACAGTTCGGTCAGTTCTTTTCACAGTGATGTAAAGGAGATACCAAGTGAATCCACTAATAACTAATTTCTGCCACCNAAAATGTCCCCTGAGTGGTCGAACGTTCAGAGATCCTGTTATAGCTGCAGATGGTCATACTTACGAACGAGAAAATATTACGCAATGGTTACAAGAGAACGGAACTAGTCCATTGACGAACGAATCAATGGATATTGCTACATTACGGCCTAATCATACTGTAAAGAAAATGGTCGACGAATTTACAGATACATCTCAGACACTGCATGGTCAGCATAGATTTGAACTCAATGTTGACATAAAGAAAAGTAGACCGAAACCCTTATTCCAAGGATTTGGCAAATGTATATATGAAGTCGAATGGATAAATATCGAAGGGCCACCTGTTGTACTATTAAGAATCGATGGCGCTAAAGCAAGTCGTGAAGCTTCGTTTTATGTTCAACTAAGTTGTCATCCACATATTGTACGCACCTTTGGACTTGTTAAAAGCAATCCAGACACAGCTATGCTGTTACAAGAAAATGCTCCTGATGGAGATCTATTTGAGTTATTGCGAGACGGGCAGTTTCGGCCGAGTACGGCAGTCTTTTTAGAGATTTTCCTACAAATTACAGATGCCATGATCTGCCTCGCGGACAATAACATTGTACATGGTGATCTAGCTTGTCGGAATATACTTGTATTCAGGTGGAATTCGTCAGATCCGAAAGAAAATCTCGTCAAATTGACTGATTTTGGATTAACTCGAGCCAGTCACATTTTCTCTGTTGTTGAGATTGCAACGGCGTCAACCATGAATATCATTCCAATTCGTTATGCAGCTCCCGAAATCCTTAGAGATCCAGACAGATTAGCGTATTCTGAAAAATCCGATATATATTCTATGGGCATACTTATGTGGGAAGCTTGTTCGTACGGTACACAACCTTATCTATCGGTGCGCAATGAGAATGACATTCGAAGACGGAAACTGAATGATGAACGACTTCCACAGCCGGAATCGTGTGACGATGAACTTTGGACTATCATTAACGAATGCTGGAGTCTAGAACCACAGGATCGACCAGATTTTCGATCTTTAAAAGAATCTCTACTAACTTTGAAGTATGAATGGANTTTTTATTGTCGATATGCGAAATATTGACTTCAGACGTTGAACGGCAAACTTGACTAGACTGTTGGCGCCGTTGTGACACTCGAGGTGGATCAGCGTAGCCATTTTCTTGATGATAATCTAGGTCATATCGAGAAGTACGTTCTTCAGTGCGTCTTGTGCACGCGAATCGATGACTTTCAAAAACTCTTCGATCATCAAATTCTCTTCCACAAGCACAGACAAGTCTGGATTTATCTGTAATCTTATTTTCTTACTGTTGACGAACATATAGGAAAGTCATCCGGAGCAGAGCTTCTCGAAACTTACTGCGATGAGACTTGCTCGACGACAGCGACGCTGCCAAGATCCAAATTCTATTCTTCCGACATGCAACAGGCAAACTCGTGTGCCATCGAGTAAATCTTATGGGCATGTGTTTTCGCTTTCATCCCGTTTTCTTTTTGTCAACTCCTTAGCTATTCAAAGCAGTAGTTTGCCTACAAGATCTCGGCGTGATCTAGGATCCTCCGGTAATTCCGACGTCTATCAAAGTACCATTTCACTCAGTACTACACGCGACACCCAAGAGTCGTTATCGTGCTCGAGAAGCACTAGTTTGTATACGGAATATTTTACGACTTGTTCTGCTAATAAATCTGCATACGACCGTAAATCTCGAAGAACGCATTCAACACGACCATCCGTTCCAGACATTTATACGTTAGTTACTACTGCAAACAGAAGTGACAGATCAAAGAGCGCGCCACCTGTCCGACCACGAACGAATGTACCATCAAAATCCAACTCAAGACGAGGTCAGTTCGAATCGATTTCTCTCATCTTTCTCTAATATGATTTATTAGCAGGCAAAATTCAGCTACGTCCATTGTCGGTATCATGCGCTGATGATATCGAATACGATCGCTCGGTCGACTTTACGCGTAGCTACGAAGTACGTCATGAAATCTTTTAACAATTAGGAATGAATATCTTTTTATATATGTAGCGATTGCCACCCATTCGTCGATAATGAACGACTAGATCGACGAAGGTTCTTTTAATCTGGCCGTGTACGAAATGTTTCTTGTTTCGATTTCTTTCATACACAAACGCGCAAAAGTACAGTCGAACACAAAGATTCTTTTTATTTTTTGCAGTGCTAATAACTATGCAAGTCTATTGAAAGGGTGAAACGACCATTTTTAAACAATTTTCTGAGCTTTTTGACAGTTTTACATCTAGAAAAAAAACGATGCCAAGGAGTAGAAGTAATGCTAGTTTGCACTTACAATCACGAATTGCTACAATAGAAAGAAAATGCATTAGATCGAGTGGGAGAATTATTCTATACTTTATTTACCGAGTTGTGTAGCAGATGTGAGCATTTGAATGTCTGAAAGATAAGAATGTTTTCTACTCTGACTTTCAGTTGTATTATGAATTAATAAAACCTTGCTCGGCAGCTTCTGATGTTTCATCGTCCATACTTGCAGCGACTATACTAGTTGAGAGACAAAAGAAAAGTGGTACTAGGTATGGATGATATGTACTTAATTCTATACAGTACCTTGCTGATCTACAACTGCGTCGTTGCGTGAAAAAATGTCTTACAGAAATTGATGGTATGTATAAGAAATGATAAAGATAGATATGAACGAGTACAAGCAAAACTTTTATCATTTTGTTCTACGTAAAATACAAAGAATCTTGTATGTATTCCGAATGTCATTTCTTTCCCCTCAAATATTTGTATCTTGCGCCATACGACTGTAAAATGTTTTTGTGCTTATAAAAAAGTTTCTGAATATGACATTATTGAATCGATTAGTATCTGTTCATTTGTCATTTTCATCAACAATATCAACACCACTGGCAATATATGAGACGGAGGTGTAAGATTACATGGATGTTTCTCAATACTCTATCAAAAGACAGATTTACACAAACGATTATCGAAGTGGTCAATCTGGTCTACATTTTGTTATAACCGGGATAAAAAACAAACAATGTGTCTTCTTGCCAAAGGTGGAAAGTTTCTATGCATAAAGATCGATGTATTCGTACGTCCACGCTGTTTTCATTCTTTTCTACACGAGCAAAAAATATGGTGAAACCTAATGAATTTACTTTGCTTTCGTGATAAAAAAATTGCACATGTTTTATGACATCACCTGTTTTTATATATTTGCCAAGTAATAGGTTACTTTTTTATTCAACGTCAATATGAATTATCTCACTTCCGTTCGTCGTTCGACATTAGAGATTTTTCCTGATGAATTATTTCTCGAATTATTTTCGTTCATTCAACCAGTCGATCTCTACCGTGCTTTTCGTCATCTTAATCAACGTTTAACTCGTATTTTACATGACATATACATTTGTATGCATATCACCAGCGACGATGATGATGAATTGCATCACGAGTGTCTGAATTACTTTTCCCGTCAAATTATTTATCTTGCGATTGATTGTCATCCCACACGTTTATTGTATGAAATAGACCTTCGACCATTCAGCAATTTACGTTCACTTCATTTACCTCTACCAACGGATGAACAATGTTCGCAAATAACTCCGAAGAACTTTCCGTTCTTAACGCAGTTAACTATTCATAACAATGGCTACGGATCAATTGTATTTGGTTCAAATTCATTTCCATATCTAGTTGCATGTTGCATTCCACAAATCTATCCAGATTATGAGCGTACCATGAGACCATGTGTAACTCTTCGTTCGCTCCAGTTGGGCTCTTGCTCCCTTCAGTACTTATTACGTATACTTCCACATGCACCAAATTTGACATATTTGGATGTTTGCTTACAATCATCAGAAGCACAGATTACCGAAACGGATTGGAAACATGAGAAGCTCTCACATTTGAAAATCAAAATTCGAAAGCTTGTTCCAGATTTTGAAATCCTTTTGAAGACAGTGCCTAATCTATCTCGGTTAGAATTTCTATGGAACGAGTCTAGTGTCGATCGGTACAACAGGAAAAGTTTCGATTTTACTTTATTTTCGTCTCTTCTCCGTGCAAGTTTGAGTCCACTATTTAAACGTTTGGATATTGATATTCACGTACCAAAATGTGACGAAAATATCAGTGATATTCATGAAATCGATCCTGTCTGGTTTTCAAGGTTATCGAAGATAAATATCATTTCACACGATTATTCGTTTTTTTTGACAACAAGAAAATTGGTAACGAATGCTGACAATGCACTGACGACAAGTTTATTACAATCAACATACGTTACGCGACGAAATGCACGATTCAATCGAATTAAATTAGATAAGACTCCTAAATAAATACATAACACTGCGTTTCTTTTTATTCAAAAACTTATTTTTAGTTATAGTCTTAAATAAAGTCTCGCAACGGAATTCGATGATTCATCGATTGATTGCCTCTTTGTATATAAGAATAAAAAATAGGTTACCTCGCTCACATGTGTCCTCAACGTGATTACACATTGTTAATTCATGGCGATGCTTGTCACATGGATGCGTTTATTTATACCTATTCGTATTCATGCATGACTAAACAGTATCACAAATATCATATCTGAAAAGAGGGTAGCAGTCATATTCAGAGAAAGCATGTCAACGAAAAATGCTTATGAAGAGATTGATGAAGCACAAGAAGATCACTACCAGACAAGTGGACGAATTGAATTACCAGCCAGTACAGATGTCAAGTTGAGTGAAAACGATAAGCAGTTCGAACACATAGAAATGGTGGGAGTTGCACGACGTTCGCTCGATGTTGTCACAGAGCCGATAGTAAAAAATGAGCGTTTGGTAGAGAACGTCTTTGGTAAACTGAAATTAACAAATTGGAGTATGTTTGGCACCAATGATGATGAAACTAATCCAATCAGGGGTTATGCTAGTCAGCCTGTATTGCCGCTTTCGAAAGCATGCGATCCACTGAAAGAGATTCTGTACGAATTGTCACGTTATGTTGATCTGGCATTACAAGAAACACCGGAACAACCACCAGATGGATTAACTGTCGATGAAAGTGCTGCTATTCGTCTTTACACAATCGAGTGGGACGCACCACATCGAAGTCTTTATTCGATGCTCAATTCCAATTTGAAAAAAGCTAATCGCGAAGATCTTCTACCCTATTCCAAGTACCTTAAACTATTCATCAGTGCTCTGGCTAAATTGCCGTGCATTCCATCTTTGACTGTCTGGCGAGGTGTGACCAAAGATTTGACAGCTGATTTTCCACCAGGTACTCGAGTGACATGGTGGTCATTCTCTTCATGTACAACCGAAATGACTGTGCTGGAGAATAATATGTATCTGGGTCGTGAAGGTGACCGAACACTTTTCTCAGTCGAAGCCATCAATGGTCGATCGATACGAGATCATTCGCATTTTGTTACTGAAGATGAAATTATTCTTCTTCCTGGCACACATATGATTGTTCAATCACAACTTAGCCCAGCATCCAATCTGTACATCATTCATCTGAAACAAGTGAAACCCGACAACGAACTATTAGAACTACCATTCGAAGGTATTTGAAAACCTGCTTTATCATTCAATTTTTGTAGTTATTTTGCTTTGTTGAGGTGCGCATCTCTTTCCCGAAGAAATGTAAGTTTATACTTTTACAGTTTCGCTGCTCTTCGTCTAAACTCATTTCATGCTCATCATAGACATCCTTGGTACTGGAAGAAAAGATTCACGATTCCAATTCTCCTGTTGGTACTTGTAATCATTGCAGGCATAGTTCTTGGTGCTGTCCTAGGCACAAGAACAACTTCAACCATCACTCGTACGATTTTTTTCCATTTCGTGCTTTAAACTCCTCTAGATATTTTAGTTAAACCATGCAACAATCCATTGCAATCATTTGATTATATCACAATTGGACGACATCCATCATCAGTCGTACTGGGCCATTTCAGAAACAACACTTATATGGATGCAGCAATAACAGTTACCGATGAAAATGATGTCATTATCCTTCTAGGTGATCCAGTGGATATTCTTCGTACTTCTAAGATCGCCACAGGCGTGTTACCAATGTTTATTATAGCAGCTGATTTTAATAATGATACCATCCAAGATCTCGCATTCGTCAATAATGGTGATGACACGGTCACCATAGCATTAGGTGTAGGAAATGGACTTTTTCCAGAAAAGAAAACCTATTCAGTGGGTACTTCACCTTCCTGTCTGTTATCAGCTGATTTTAACAAAGACAAAAAATTAGATTTAGTCATAGTGAGCCAAGATACGAATACCGTTGACGTGCTACTTGGTGATGGATTGGGAGGGGTTAAAGCTTCGACGAACAATTCAGTTGGTTATTTTCCATCGATTATAATATCAGCCGATTTTAATCATGATAGCAACTTAGATTTAGCAGTTACCAATACTTTTGATAATACTCTCAGTGTGTTGCTGGGCAATGGTGACGGAACTTTTCAGACTCACGTCACTTATTCCACAGGTTCGTCGCCAATATCTCTCTTATCGGCTGATTTCAATAGCGATAATAATCTGGACATAGCTGTAACGAATAGTAAGAACAGTTCGATCAGTATTTTACTTGGCATGCAAAATGGAACCTTTCATCAACAAGTGATGTTTGTAACAGGTTCTTATCCTGTTTCGATCGGGGCTGCTGATTTTAATAATGACAATAATACAGATTTGGTAGTAGTGAACGGCGAAGAAGATACTGTCAGTACTCTGTTTGGCTCTGGAGACGGAAGTTTTCACACTCAAATCAAGTATGCAACGGGTGACAATCCGGTGTATTTGACGGTCGGTGATTTCAATAACGATGGTAGCACAGATCTAGCAGTTCTTAACAACGGAGATGCTACTGCGAGTATGTTTTTCGGTCAGGCGAATGGAACTTTGACATTTATACAAGCATACAGTACTGGTAACTCTCCAGTTCTTTTCGCTGTTGCCGATTTCAATAGTGATAGTAAACTAGATTTCGCTGTCGTCGAACAAAGCGACAGTACTATTAGTGTATTGCTCGGTAGGGGACGTGGAGTGTTCCAGATTGCGCTCAATTATACTGTTGGCAGCAATCCATCCTCGATCATCTCAGTCGATTTGAATAATGACAACAAACAGGATTTAGTTACAGTCAGTACTAATGGCAGTACTATCAGTATACTCTACGGACATGGTGACGGATTTTTCAACTCACCTGTGAACCTTACAGTTGGTAGTTCACCAACTGCTGCTATATCAATGGATCTCAATAAAGACGGGTACATGGATCTCGCAGTGGCAGACAAAGGCGAGAATACTGTTTGCATACTTCTGAACAATGGTAATAAGACTTTCTATACGTTCCTGAATTATACAGTTGGTGATTGGCCATCTTCTCTCATAGCATCGGATTTTAATAGCGATGGAAAAATAGATTTAGCTGTAACCAGCAAGGAAGAAAATATCGTTAGTGTTATACTGAATAAAGGGGACAATACTTTTTATTCCGCAATTAATTATACAGTGGGTAAATCACCGTCCTGTGTTGTATCAGCTGATTTAAATAAAGATTCCCATGCCGACTTAATAGTAACTAATTATGGTCAAAATACGATCAGCATTCTATTCAATGATGGCACTGCAACTTTTCACACTGCAAAAACTTTTACTGTTGGCAGATATCCAGTATCTGTAGTAGCAGTTGATTTCAATAATGATCAATGTATGGATTTAGCAGTGGCAAACAGTGGTAGCAATAGTGCAAGTATTCTACTGGGTAATTGTGATGGAACCTTCCTACCTCAAGTAAAATATACATCGGGAATCGTTCCGACGGGTCTAGCATCAGGTGACTTAAACAATGACCAGCGACCGGATCTTATTGTGACAAACGGCAAATCGAATGATGCGTATATTTTTCTGAATACTTGCGCGAACTAGTGTGAAATTATTACATGAGTATATTTATGAGTATTTCAAAAATTTTCTCATGTCTGTTTGGTCCCAGATCTTGAAGTTTTTCATACGGCATAATTCCTGTAGACGCTCATTGTTTTTATTGTTGCGATAATCTCGCACACTTCGGTCAGTTCTTTTCACAGCGATGTAAAGGAGATACCAAGTAAATCCGCTAATAACTAATTTCTGCCACCAATGCGTCGTCAGGATTGGAGAGAAGAAAACCATAAGAGCAGTCAGTATGACTGAAAGTAGATAGTGAACGATTTCTTGTTGTACTTTTTGTTGAACAATATCCTGTTTTGTTAAAAATGCTGATCCATAGCCATAAAATTTGTCATCATCAGTTTTGAATGTTGTTACATGTCGAAAGACAATTGCAATACGATCTTCAACATCGTGTTTTTTTTTCTTCCGGATTCCATGTACATAATGTTTATTTGTCTCTTCGTCCAGTAAGAATAGTGAATTGCCAGGAAGGTCAAATTTCATGTTAGACGGTCCATCCATCGTACTTTGGCGTTTTTTGAGCAATTCCAATTGTCTTGTAGCACCAAAGCTTACAACAGCGATTTTGGAACCGGGTGCTAAATCCAACATTGTGTCACTATGCATGCCCATACTGTCATCACCATCTCGATAATAGATAACATGAGCTAAATTCCAAGTCTCGCCTGTTTTTTGCTCTATTGAATCTTTAACTTTCTGAATAGTTGGTGTCCATAGGGTGTAAACGATTTTATTTTGAGGAACAGATGACATGGTGCATCGATACCAAGGAAAATCACCTGATTCATTCATTGTTGCTTGAAACGCCATTAAACGTGGTAGACGAACGAGTGAAGCATTATCTGTCATTGCATAATATTGACCATAATTAACTTCATTACCTTCGGGTCGTAGAGCATTGAATGCATCATTCGCTTCATCAGTTGATAAGAGATTTTCAATTAATTCAGGCATCGCTCAGTTCGGAAGATTTTGTCGATTGAGCGTTTACTTCTCGAAAGAAAAACAAAGTGAAGGCAAGGACAACGTTGCATCATTATTTCAAGCAATGCCTGAAATGACGTGAATCATGAGACGTAGAAGAACGAAAAGAAGTGTGCCTATAATTGCACATGAGTTCGAATGTACCGACATTGCCATATTGATCCGATTGATGAACATGAAACGATCTATACCTGACATTCTGTATTTTGCAGCTTCATGATTCAGTAACATAAAACCTCATACATTATGTATTATTTCTTTGGAGATTGGTTTTCTGAATAATTGAACAATCTGGCTACAAAGATCATTGGCGCGTGGAAGAAATTATTCGTGTTGCATACACTTCCAATACAATTTATTTAAATCTCGTTTTCCTTTGAAATTCAATTAACCAGGATCTAGTATTGGGATTCACAGTTCCAGGAAGCATTCGTACATCGCTCATCATTACAACAAAAGGGTCAAAATATTTCTACCTAAAACAACCGCCAATCATGTTTTGGTCTTTCACTGTACATTGTAATTTTCCTTCAGTCAGTACAACGTTCAATTCTCCCGGTCATTGTAGAAAATGAAATCGAGTATGATGGAGATGTTCGTTTTCAAATTGACACGGAGAATTTCCCTAAGTAAATATAAGGCACCTATTCTGGGGTTTCGCATAAATCTATACTGTGTTTTTCGAAAACAGAGTACGAAGAAACACTCCGAAGCGGCATGCAAGGAAAGCTCAAAGATAAAAATATCTGTTTGACGTACCGAGCATGTCATGCCAACACCAGAAGGAATATACGAAGATTTAAAAATATATAAAACTATTGTTTTCAGAGAAAATCGACAGGATAGTACATGCCAGGAGGAATCAAATCCTGTTTACGAGCAAAATCAAGATAGATTCATGGAGCTTCTCTCGGTATATTAATGCGTGCTTTTGAATATTGTTAAATCACGTAGTCAAAGCTTCCTGTTAGGATTTACGAAAGGCAAGATCCGGTAAATGAATTCGTTAATCAGCAGAATAGTCATACCAACAAGTTATTTATAGTAGAACGAGACAATAATAACTTGATTGGCAGAAAAAACGTTGTTGAATGATTTTTTTTAGAATAATTATACCGCCATTACACACTTATTACCATAAGATATCGTTTTGTTTACTAAAAATTGACTGTAAAAAAAGGAATTTTTTTAATAGGCGAACGATTTTAGTTGGAATACAGGTCAACGACAAAAACGGGAATTGAAAGAGAGAAGAATAGGTAAGCCATTCTTTTCAAATATTTTCCTCATGAATAATTTTCATACAGAAAAGCAACAATATCAGAAAGATTCTGTTGGTATGAGAAGTTCTTCAAATGACAATGATACTTCCAGTTTACGAAAAGTACGTTCACCTGCGTTGAAAAAATTTCGTATGATCATTTGAATTTACAAGTGACTCAACAAAACTCCTTGTTTGATTTCCCAATGTACTCGATTTGATTTTAGATCTTTGCCGCTGACAAAGGTATCTTGCCAAGGCAATATACTAAAAATATTCTAAACCGGACATCATTAATAAACAGGAGGGTAAAAATATCTGCTCAATTTCATTTTGTCAGAGAAAGGCACCAGCTCATAGCCATACGGAAGAAAAACATGAAGTAATTTGATAATCAAGAAAAAGCTGACGGTAAGTTCAGAAACACTAAATGAATTAAATTTTGCAGATATCATTCAAACAAAAAATTCATTACTTAACAACTGGTTGCACGCTTACTAATTTCTGATATTTCCGTTTGATTCACCTGTGCATTAACGTTTTCCACTATCGCATAGGACAACTGAAATGCAGCTTGATAGATTGCATTTTTCTTGCACGGCGTATTTAACTGAATTACATTCAAATATACCTTCAGATATATTTGAATCCAATCTCCACCCGCTATTTTACGTATTAACTTATTCCTGACGATAGTAATACGTTCTTCTGTTTTCTAATTAAAACTTGTACACAGCTAATCTTACCAGAAATTAATTACGAATCCAGTGTCATCGTATTTTGCACAGGCGTTTCACTCTGTTTGATGTTTCCAATGTCTTGCGGTTCAGTGAGATTTGACACACAAATCCATAAATCAGATCTGACTAGGGTTAGACTTGACGTGCCTTCTGAAAAGCTTTTTCCTGTAGTCTCGAAAACTATATCATAGTGCACATTTTTTTCATAATGTATAATGAAGAAGATTCTTGCATTTCAATTAAAATGATCTCACGATTCAAGTTTATAGTAAAAAATATCGTCTGTGATGAACTTTTCTGTAAGGCAAGGAGAAACAGACTTGAACATAAAAATCCGTTCAATTAACCGATTCTTCTTTCTTTAGAATGCAGGCTTTGGAAATCTTATCGTCTCTATCGATGCTGTCATGTAGTATTTTCGGCGCACTCTGTGCTATTACATTTATCATTATTGTGATACATTATCCTCAATTTTGGACGACGACTATTCTACTTGCATTCAATTCAGCGATTGCTGGTTTGATTATTAATGTTGCCAGTGGTAGTCAAGCTCTGTATCAATTGAATTCCAATGGGAACGATGCATTGTGTGCATTTCGCGGCTTTCTTCTGCATGCTGCAACAGGCCTTTTGTATCAAACACTGTGCGTGCAAACAATCTATCGACTGTTTGTCGTTGTCTATGCAACACGACGGTATCTTCAATCGAAGCGAATCATAATATCTATTACAATAATTCAATGGCTCATCTCAATTACTTTTGCTATTCCTGCATTAGCCTTCGATCGAATTGTTTATCAACCGGGTAGTCGTATCTGTCAGGTAGGATCTACTTTTTCACTAGAATATTTTGAGCATCCGTTTATTTTNTTGAACAATATCCTGTTTTGTTAAAAATGCTGATCCATAGCCATAAAATTTGTCATCATCAGTTTTGAATGTTGTTACATGTCGAAAGACAATTGCAATACGATCTTCAACATCGTGTTTTCTTTTCTTTCGGATTCCATGTACATAATGTTTATTTGTCTGTTCGTCCAGTAAGAATAGTGAATTGGCAGGAAGGTCAAATTTCATGTTAGATGGTCCATCCATCGTACTATGGCGTTTTTTGAGCAATTCCAATTGTCTTGTAGCACCAAAGCTTACAACAGCGATTTTGGAACCGGGTGCTAAATCCAACATTGTATCACTATGCATACCCATACTGTCGTCACCATCTCGATAATAGATAACATGCGCTAAATTCCAAGTCTCGCCTGTTTTTTGTTCTATTGAATTTTTAACTTTCTGAATAGTTGGTGTCCATAGGGCGTAAACGATTTTATTTTGAGGAACAGATGACATGGTACATCGGTACCACGGGAAATCACCAGATTCATTCATTGTTGCTTGAAACCCCATTAAACGTGGTAGACGAACGAGGGAAGCATTATCTGTGATTGCATAATATTGACCATAATTAACTTCATTACCTTCGGGTCGTAGAGCATTGAATGCATCATTTGCTTCATCAGTTGATAAGAGATTTTCAATTAATTCATACATCGCTCAGTTCGGAAGATTTTTTCGATTGATCGTTTAATTCTCGAAAGAAAAACAAAGCGAAGGCAAGGACAACGTTGCATCATTATTTCAAGCAATGTTTGAAATTACGTGAATCATAAGACGTAGAAGAACGAAGAAAAGTGTGTCTACAATTTCACATGAGTTAGAATGTGTCAATACTGTCATATTGATCCGATTGATGAACATGAAACGATCTAATACATTTAGAAGAATATCGTTCCTAAATTTTTTCTTTTGTGAAATCTTTGAAATACCACTCATAGTTTCCTTCTGTATTTTGCAGCGTCATGATTCAGTAACATAAAACCTCATACATTCTGTACTATTCCTTCGAAGATCGATTAATAACAGAATCATGCAAACAAATAGGTTTACAAGTATATAATAGACGTAAGCGGAAGAAGACGCGTAATCATATCATTGGTTTCGGAATGATTGAACAATCTGACTACAAAAATCATTGACGAATGAAAGAAATTGTTCTAGAAAAGTGTGTTGCATCTACTTCCAATGCAATTTATTTAAATCTCATTTTCCTTTGAAATTATTCGGATTCACAGTTCCAGGAGGCATTCGTACATCACTCGTCGTTACAAAAAATGCTAAGCATATTTCTACCTAAAATGAGTGCCAATCATGTTTTGGTCTTCCACTGTACATCGTAATTTTCCTTCGGCTAGTACGATGTTCAATTCCTCCGGTCACTGTAAAAAGTGAAATCGAGTATGATGGAAATGTTCGTTTTCAAATTGACACGGAGTATTTGGCTAAGTAAATATAAGGCACCTATTCTTTGATTTCGCATAAATCTATGTTGTGTTTTCAGAAAACAGAGTACGAAAAAACACTTTGAAGCGGCATGTAAGGAATTTTCAAAGATAAAAATACGTGTTTAACGTACCGAGCGTGTCATGCTAACATCAGAAAGAATATACGAACATTTAAAAATATATAAAACTATTGCTTTCAGGGAAAATCGACAGGATAATAAATGCCAGGAAGAATCAAATCCTGTCGTTTACGAGCAAAATCAAGGTAGATTCAAGGAGCCTCTCTCTGTATATCAATGCGTGCTTTTGAATATTGTTAAATCACGCAGTCAAAGCCTCCTGGTAGAATTTACGAAAGCCAAGATCCGGTTAATGAATGCGTTAATCAGCAGAACAGTCATACCAAGGAGTTATTTATAGTAGAACGAGACAATAATAACTTGATTGGCGCAGAAAAGACGTTGTTGAATGATTCGTTTAGAATAATTATACGGCCATTAACAATAGACCGCACTCATTACCATGATATCGTTTTATTTTCTTAAAATTCACTGTGAAAGATGGGATTTTTTAAATAGGCAAATGATTTTGGTCGAACTACAGATCAACGATAAGAACGGGAATTGAAAGAGAGAAGAATAGGTAAGCCATTCTTTTCAAATATTTTCTTCATGAATAATTTTCATACAGAAAAGCAACAATATGAAAAAGATTCTGCTGGCATGAGAAATTCTTCAAATGACGATGATACTTCCAGTTTACGAAAAGTACGTTCACCTGCGTTGAAAAAACTTCGTATAATCATTTGAATTTAGAAGTGGTTCGGCAAAGTCCTTGTTTGATTTTCCAATGTACTCAATTTGATTTGATATCTTTCTTGCTGGCAAAGGTACCTTACCAAGACAATATATTAAAAATATTCCAAGTTAGACATCATTACTAAACAGTAGGGTAAAAATATCTGTTCCATTCCATTTTGTCAAAGAAAGACACCAGGTCACATCCATACGAAAGAAAAACATGAAGTTATTTGATAATCCAGGAAAAGCTGACAGTAAGTTCAGAGACACTAAATGAATTAAATTTTACAGACATCATTCAAACAAAAAATTCATTACTTAACAACTGGTTGCACGCCTATTAATCTCTTATATTTTCGCTTGATTCACATATACATTAACGTTTTCTAATATCGCATAGAATAACTGAAATACAGTTTGATAGATTGTATTCTTCTTCCACGGCATATTCAACTGAATTACATTCAAATATACCTTTAGATATATTTGAATCTAGTCCCCCCTCGCTATTTTACGTATTAACTTATTCCTGACGATACTAATGCATTCTTCTGTTTTCTAATTGAAACTCAGTACATCGGTAAAGTTAACTATCTTTATACTCAATGAACTGGTGATGTAACGAAAGGAGACTGTGATAATTAAAAGTAGGCATACGTTATTAATCCATGCATTGTTACACTGGAGTTGAATGTAATTAGTTCTATTGAAAATTTAATTTAGTCGTCGTACCCAGCTAATCTTACAAAAAGTTAATTACGAATCAAGTTTCATCGTATTTTGCACAGGCGTTTCATTCTGTTTAATGTTGACAATGTCTTGAGGTCCAGTGAGATTTGACACCCAAATCCCTAAATCAGATCTGACTAGGGTTAGATTTGACATGTGCCTTCTGAAAAGGTTTTTTCTATGGTCTCGAAAACTATGTCATAGTGCACTTTTTTCATGATGTATAATGAAGAAAATTCTTGCATTTTAATTAAAATAATCTCAAGATTCAAGGTTATAGTATAGAATATCATCTATGATGAACTTTTCTGTAAAGCAAGAAGAAACAGACTCGAACATAAAATTCATTCAACTAACTGATTCTTATTTCTTTAGGATGGAGGCTTTGGAAATCTTATCATCTCTATCGATGCTGTCATGTAGTATTTTCGGTGCACTCTGTGCTATTACGTTTATCATTATTGTGATATATCATCCTCAATTTCGAACGACGACTATTCTACTTGCATTCAATTCAGCGATTGCTGGTTTGATAATCAATGTTACAAGCGGTAGTCAAGCTCTGTATCAATTGAATTCCGATGGGAACGATGCACTGTGTGCATTTCGCGGCTTTCTTCTACATGCTGCAACAGGCCTTTTGTATCAAACATTGTGTGTGCAAACAATCTATCGACTGTTTGTCGTTGTCTATGCAACACGACGGTATCTTCAATCGAAGCGAATCATAATATCTATTACAATAATTCAATGGCTCATCTCAATTACTTTTGCTATTCCTGCATTAACCTTTGATCGAATTGTTTATCAACCGGGTAGTCGTATCTGTCAGGTAGGATCTATTTTTTGACTAGAATATCTTGAACATCCGTTTATTTTAGGCATCTCTGAATGATCTTGTTATCTTTTTATACTTGTCTATGTTCATCTTTTTCTGCCCACTTGCCATTATTGTACCGATTTACATTCGAATTGTGCAGTTTACGAAACAACATTCGTTTGTAACAATTGCTAATCAACGACGCAAACAACGGGAAATCCGTCTGATTCGTCGTCTTCTCATTATTGTGGCTATGATTTTCTTCATGAGTTTTCCGTACTTAATCTTCTTTCTTCGTGCTCAATTTTTTGCGAATGCACCAACACTACCATATGCACAGCGAGTCAGTTTTGTTTCCATTTCATTTGGTTACAGTGCATGGATGTTACTCAACATCCTATTCACGGATAAAGTGCGTAAATATCTGATCACCAAATTACAAATCTCATTAACTTGTGCGAGACACATACGAATAGAACCTCAAACGAACACCCATTGACTGTTTCATACTGGTACGGCATGTACTGCGCAAATTCAATGAACTCATTATCGAATATTGGCTTCTTTCTTGAATGAAATAGAAACGATTATCTTTAACATTTAGTTGAATGTAGAAGAAAAATAAAGGTTTTGATTTAAAAAAACACTAGATTTGTCATAAATTAGGATCAGAATGGCTCATTCTCATGTACACTCATTTTGCACACAATCGAAATAAATCTGTCTTCTTCTTCTTCTTCGGTATAGCAACCATATGACAGTCAATACAAGCTGTGCAAAAAAATGTCTTTTACATCAACAAATGGAAATTTCTCGGCTAGAAACGCAAATAGTCTTTGATTTTATTTCATCATCATGTTCGGGTGACGAATCGACCAAATGCAAGTTGGATTTTTCTTTATTTACATTTCGGCTGACGAGAGCGGAATACTGTTCTTGTGTGCAAGAAATGTTTGTCGAATGATCGTGATTCATGATTGTTTATTGGAAGGAAAATCAACGTAAGAAGCAAGCAAAATTAATATGCATGGAGAAGTATCGTTTTCCGGCCGGATAGAATGCTATTAAAAATGGTACAGTGGAAGACAAAGAGCATGGTTCGGTGATTATGTGTGCCGATGAATGGTTTTACATTTGCTTGCTGGCCGTTATTCATATGTCAAGGACAAACATGGTCACTGAATGTCAATTGATCTAAACAAGGAAAATGTTAACGTAAGTAATAGATTTCTTATGTTTAAATATTTTAGGGTGAAGGTAAGGGTGAGTAGTGTAGAAATCGTTAATTCGATTCGAGTTTTAAAACTTTCGTTCGAATTCTAAATCTTTGGGTTTAGAATTCGAGTACTCGAGTTTTAAACTTTTAAACTTCTAAATCTAAAATTCCAAGTTTCGAGTTGTCCGCTCATCGCCAACTAACGGAAACGCATGCCGTTCACATTAGCCCGACTATGTCCCTGCAGGCTGTATCCTACCAACCACCCACCCACACCCTCACCCACACCCTCGAGTACTCGAATTCTAGGTTTAGAAGTTTAAAAGTTTAAAACTCGAGTACTCGAATTCTAAATTTCTAAATTTAAAAGTTTAAAACTCGAATTTATAGTTTTAATACTTGAATCTAGTCTTCGACTTTTACATGTATGGAAAATTTACTAGCTGAACAAAGTGCCCTAACTTGGCTCATCATGATTATCGATCAAACTTCGCCGCAGACACCGGCGTCGTTCAAGAAACCTTCAACGATTCACCTATACTCATTCTCACTCACACCCACCCGGTTTGTATGTGTTGAGCTGGTAGACCTAAAAATTAGGTAAAATATTGTATGAAGAACTCAAAAGTGTTTTCTCTCTGTAAGGAATTATTTGATACGATATCTAAGATTATCAAGAATTAAGAGAAGTTTCAAAACCAATTTTAAAAAAAGTATTTTCAGTTAGTAATCAACTAATTTTATTTATGTTCTTTTGTATTTTAGGTGGAACGAGTTATACACGATCAAGAACATACACAAGTCATCAGCAACGATGTTCCATGGCTGACAGCATTGCTGTTTCGAAAAGGCTCCTGAAATGTTCAATGTGTTTGTGCAGCAGTAGCATCAACAATAAAGAGCTTTCCAACATCTCATGGAGTCCAAAGAGCTCTACGATCATAACTATATTTAACGTTATTTAGAATATAATGGACATCTAGCCAACAAAGTTTTACTACTATTGACGACAGCATAATTCAATGATTATCAACAATTGAAAACTTTATCATCATATACGCCTGGCTTGGTGAATTCCTCAACTCGTTTCTTGAAGAGGACGGCGTTTTCATCGGAATTATCTATTTAAACTGCGCAGAAAATGAAGCTGGAAGCTATTCTCTCAAAGAATCATTATACATGTTCAACACTTATATCTGGTTTTCGATTCTCATTCTGAATTCTTTAATGCAATTAGGAAGAATGTTAAAGCAGCCAAAAGTACTCGTATATTGAGATGTGTATGATATACCTGCATGTCCAACTGGAGCGACGGCAGCACTTTGACCCGACTCTTGCTGTAACAGGAAAATAATTCGATTTCTACAAACCAGAAAGAATATCTTACTTGGCCTTGTTGTTCATCCGACGAGTTTAGATCTTCATTTGCTGCGATACTCTTCGCGCACCAGGAATCCTTCATAAAAAAATATACAAAACAGATACGTTTTAAAATCAATCAAATCGAAAGCATCAATTTGTCTTGTATCTTACACGATGTAATGTATTGTTCATTGTTCAAACTTGTTTTTCTTTCGCAAATCTACATAAAGTGACAAGAGCAATACAAATCGTTTTAGTTCATTTAGGAATCTGTTTGTTAATGCCAAAATTGTTCATAGAGGTGCCCAATTTTAACGAAAAGGGTCGCTATATCGCTACTGACATTCTACTTCCGAGTGATCTAGTAACAGATATTTTTTCATTATTTTACTATCTTGATACATAAACACACAGTATTTCATTCAGAATCCATCAGCTCCTCTACATCTCAATACACAATTACGTATATGAACAGAAATTTCAAAAGTGATCAAACAACAGTTTGGCCAATCGGAAGCTGTTCTTTTCCCTAAACACATGGAACAGCGGCATCTCTTCATAGCGGAAAACATCTTCTTTTTTCCGTTTTTACTACATATAAGTTTCTGATACTTGGATACGGTTTATTTTTTGAATGAATCGAATTGTTTTACACAGAAATTTTGCGTGAATGCGCGATGAGTCATCGTTTTATTTACGCACGACCTTGAAGTGCCATTCTTTCGCGTATCCCTCTCTTAATCGAAGAGGCTTTACCCAGTAAATCGACTTACTATATTCAGACAAATGATGCATGATAAGCTTAAACATCTATTCATCTCGGAAATAATTAACTGTATCGAATTAAAATGTGATTTATTGAAAAATGATAACACAATTAAAGAAGTTCTAAGTTTTAATTTAGTTGATCAGTTGAATAACAGTGTAAAATGTTTGAACGTATCGGTCGTAGCATTGGAAAGTTCTTTTTCCTGTTGTACTAAGTTCAAGAATAGCAGGACAAGGTCTTTTCCTTCCGATCTTTGGCATGAAACTTTTGTATAAAGTATCTGCTTCTGTTCCACTTGAAACTTCCCCTAGAAAACAATAAACCGTCGTACGTTCCCACCACTAACTTTATCCGTGTAAAATTGGAAATCACTGCATCCCCATTTGATATAGAAACTAAACATCCAAATTTCTCTTTTGGGCTGAATTAATTTAATCTGCTTCTTCTACTATTTTTTTCACGACATCTTATATGGATGACAATGTCTTAGTATAAGAAAGAAATATAAAATGTTTTGTGTAAATTACAATTTAATTCATATAAAACGACGAAGTTTGTTTTGCGATGTTTGAGTGTAAAACGCGTAATTCACAATAGATATCATTTTTTCTTCTTTCGACAAAGTAAACGCGTAAAAACGTACGATTCTCATAAATTTATCTCCGCTGACAACTTATCTATCATGTTTACACTCTATTTTGCATATAAATATCCGAGTAAAATCAGAGAATTTATTAATTTAATTCATGTGAAATTATTTCTTTATAATACTATGGGCAACGAGATTGCAAAGAGAAAGAATAGCTACACATTTGACAATGAATCTCATCGGAACCGACGGCGGTATTTGAAATTTCTCAATGATGATGGTTTGTATGATTCTTTTCTCTCTTAATAATACATTCGTGCCTTGTTCTCATTAGTACCGGACATAATACCAGCAGAATCTGAACACAATTTGAGTGATACAGGTAATAAGGATAATATCCATAAAAAACGAATGATATTTTCTTTTTACAAATTCTCTTGTGTAGAGTCTGAACAAATTCGATCGGTAAATTACATTTCATTCGAATAAATTTTATTTATTTATCATTCTTTCATCTAGGAAGCTCGTCGTTATTCATTCACTCTGCTTTCTGCTACTCTACCTGTACAGTAATTGTACATGTACTGTTTGATAATTCTAGTATTCTTGCTTGAACATTTTTTGTACTTTTGTTTCGACAAATCATTTCGATAAAAAGAAAAAGAAAATTGCTCGTTCTCGGATACCCGCTTATATTCAGTAGTCCTTTCACATTCAAATAGAAAATTGTTGAGGGTGTCATACTGGTACGTTCAAGTATTTTCAGTTACTAAAAAGTTGCTTCGTCATATGAAGAGGTGTTTTTGAAATTGTTATGGTTGATTGCTTTTCATGACTCAACTACGATGAGAAATCTTTTTGACATGTTACATATTTTCTCATTTATAATAATAGAACACTAACAGGCAACTCAACTCACTTACATTCTATCATCATTCATCATGAGTGCTCCTACTGGTATGGGTCGTCGAACTGCTGCACATTATCGTGATATCGATGTTCGTCTACATAAGTATATTAATCAACAAAGTGGAAATGTTCTCTTCCCGGCTCATCAGAACTTTCATCACTTTCATCCGGCGCCTGGAATAGTACATAAACCTCACTATGCTCGTCGAGAACACCGACACTATGGAATCTACGCATATGATGACGGCGACGACGATGAAAGAATGTTTCGACGACATTGGCGGATGCATTACTGACCAAGTGAATTGCTTGCAGATTTGTTTCTATCTTTTACTGACCGGGACAAAGAGGAACAGTGGATGACACGCATAAGAACTAATGTCCTTTTTCTTTTAATATTTTGACAGAATACAAAGAAAAATAAAGTACACGCCATGACATTTTATCTTTCAGAGCAATATACTTGATACGCTGTAACCATCATGGTTATGCTCATTTGTTTTATTTCATTGACGTCAGTTCATATTATAGTCTATTATTCATTGAATTCTGTAACTGGACTAGCTATGGCAATACAACATTCATCCATAGGATATGTATAAGAATATCAGTATCATTTGTTCAACTATACCTTGGTTTATACCTTTATTACAAAGTTTTTAATTTTTTATAATTTATTAGCTTCGACCTTTATTAAGACAGTTGAAAAAGAATCGTTTTTCAATATCCGTCAATAATACTCGGCAGTGTTAAGACAAAGGTTGCCATCAAACCCACCAATCACTAACACTGTTCCATTTGGTAAGAGGCTTGCCGTATGATAGCACCGCCTAGTATTCATGTTTTTAATCATTTTCCAGCTGTCTGTCGATGAATCATACAGTTCTGCACTATTGAGACTAACACTATAACTATTCCATCCGCCACTTACTAATACATTTCCATTTGATAACATGGTTGCTGTGTGACTAGAGCGTGAAACATTCACATTTCCACTCACTGTCCAATTACCTGTGAACGGATTATACAATTCAGTAATATTGCGATAAGTACCCCCAGTTACTAACACCATTCCATTGGATAATATGGTTGCTGTATGACTAGAGCGTGCGACATTCATGTCCCCAGCCTTTGCCCAATTACCTGTTGATGGATCATACAATTCCACACTCTTGAGAGAACTGCTGCCATCAAACCCACCAATCACTAACACTGTTCCATTTTGTAACAAGGTCGCTGTGTGAAACTTTCGTTCAAAACTCATGCTTCCAGTTGTTATCCAAGCTAAATGAGTCACCTGCCAGTTATTCTCTATTCTCCTTAGTACATATAATAGATAACATACTTTGAGGAATATTTGTCGTGATTGGCATCGCGGTTGATATCATGGTGGAAGGACAGTGCATGTTTGACTCTATATCACAAATCCTTTATTTTTAAGATCGAATAGAAGTAAACTCACCATCATTTTTTCGACAGCAAATGGTACTTGCTCGAATATTTGTAGACGAGCTAATATTGCCTGCTTCACAGTGTTCGCCAAACATCGAACAGTTCCGATAGTCATGAAAGTAAACAGCCGTTTGACACTGACTCTCGTGCACACATTGCCAAATGCAAGATTGAATCGATGCATTCATGGGCGACAATGTTACATTTCCAAGAGCAGCACAAGCCGAACTAGGAGTATAGATTGCAGATCGGTGGACCTTGGTCACAAGAATCGCATCGATCTTTGAAAGAACAAGATAAATCAAAAGAACATACATTTTCATTCCTTCCTAGTTTATGAATTCTTCTTTTTTCTGAGAGTATGTGTTTAAATAATAAAGTCCAGTAGAATGTCAATATTTTCTTATGATCGTTCGATTTTTGGTTAATTTATTTAAGAACGTATGACATTACTATATTTACCGTAGACAAGGCATGCATTTTTTTCTTCGCGAAACAAAAATAGTTTGATTACACAAAAAGTTTGACTTTGTTCTTTGATTAAATACACAAGTTGGAAATCGATCTTGTCATTTGACTGCTTACGATCATTGATAAGGATAATTTTTATCGATTAACCCATGTAGTTTCATTTCATTCCAAAATTCCAGCGGTATGACAGCATCTCCTGCCAGTGTCATATCTACATTTTCCCTAACACGATTCACATCGGCAATATTTACAGCGACACACTTCACTCCCGGCGCTTTTAATCCGAATGTAATGCAAACTTGTGCCGGTTTAATTCGATATTTATCACAGAGTTTGAAAAATTCATTTCGCCACTGAAATAATTGTTGATCGTGCACAGGATCCATCAATTTATAATTATAATAATCTTCTCCAATTAGAAAACCGCCATTGAACACAGCAGCATTTATAATAACTATTCCGCGTCGTTCTAATTCTCTCATAAAACCGACTAGCTCATGAGGATGACTATGCACAGTCATACAATTAGCAATCATCACCCAATCCAATTCAACATCGTCTATAACTCGTTGTATCATTTTCCAATCTTTTGATCCGATACCGATAGCTGTAACTTTGCCTGCTTTCTTCAAGTCACTCAGTGCACGATATGCGTCGATAATGTCACGATAACGTTCGTCTCCACCGTTGGCAACATACTCATCGGGATCATGTACGGATACCAGCTGTGCAGTGTAGCCATTCAATAATTTGTTACCTTGTTCGAAACATTGAAGTATTCCATCGTAGCTAATCTTTTGTTCGGCATCATATTTTAAGTTGCGCCAGACGCCTGGTTCAAAAGTCGGTTCCATGCCGTCTTCCAGTTCGTTTGTTCGATACCAACCAAGTTTATTACTGATGATCACCTCTTCGGGTTTTACATTCAATGTTTGCAGACAGCGACCTAGTGTTTCTAATGCTAATCCAGCTCCATACTTTCCAGCACAATCAAACACGATGGGCTTTTGTATCGATGGATATTGCATACATGTTTGAACGATTTCAAGTTTTGTTTCTTCGTCGAGTGCTACATATAAATTTCCCAGTGAACTTGTTCCGAAGATTACCTTTGGAAGTGCAATGCTGTGTGACATCACCAAGTAGATACAGAATACGCTTGGAATTGGTAGAAAATTTCACAAAAGAAAACTCCAGAAGTGTTCTAATGTTCACCAGTCCTTCGATGCATTTATTCAACGCGTTTGAAGTGAAGATAAAAGAAGACAATAGATAAAACTGAATAGTTACTTTTATCTTTTCTTTCAATAAAAAGAACGCGAGAACTTAGGTGTAAAGAAGATAACGCATATGCGTACGGTAAAATATTTGAATATCTGTTTAAAATCTATAAAATCATAAGCTTTATGATACGTATGGCATTTCAAAAGTCCTATTCGTATAATTACAATCTCGTCATTCCAGCAGGAAAACTCTCAAAAATATTTTTGGAGTTCAAGCGATAGAAATTAACGAGACCATTGGTGGACTAATTCTAGGAATATTTTAGATCTGACTTTTCGCTCTTCTTCATGCATAGAATCAGTTGAGAAATTCGTCATTGAATCCTGTCCCATCCTATGGAAGAAAGAAAAATTTCCCAGAGTAATTCAATGGCATGATTACAACATTTAAGCCACTCCTATACATCAATTTAAAAGAAGGCCAACTAACGGCAAACGCTAATCACGAAACACAATAGATCAAATGATAAATTTTATGGCACATGCTTGTTTAGTTTTACAATTGACATCTATATATACATACATCTATTCGTTTGTTACCTTATGAAATCTGATTTGAATTTACAGTGAATATGGCAATGATTATCTTCATTTTCAAGTGCCGTATCTTCTTCTTATTTTGGTTAATTCATCTCAGGGAGCTATTTCGGATGCTGTGCGTATAACTCAACTGAATCAACAATACGCATAAGGTATACCACCTATCGACCGTCAAGTTCAATCGCTAGTGTGTCCAGTAGTCAATGATGTTGTGCATCAATTAAATCAACTTTCAAGGAACATTTAAGCGTAGCTGGATTCGACAGAGCTAGTGCTCTACTGAATGCATGTATTGGCACTGAATCTCTACTCACCCTCCTTCTAACATGTCCAATGACTAGAAAATTTCTATCAATACGTCAACATCCCGACTATATGTCGGTTAGCTGAAATTAACTGATGTGCAAGTTGCACGCCCATGATCAGTGACAAAAAGTATTATGCACAGGATTCCAAAGAATTGGAATCGTGCGAACAAAAAGCACTCACATATGTTGCAATACACAATACCGATGATCCATACAAGAAGTATGTTAAAGAAGAACAATAACAGGGAAAAACCTTTGTCGATTCTCGATTACACTACGATATTTCCGTTCAGCTTCTTTCCAAGGGCAAAGCGACTATATATGAGGGTGATATTCAGATATATTTCTGTTTATTTTTATGGATGATAAAGCGAATAAGATTGGCATCTTCAATTATCTTGTAACCATCCGAACTTGTTTCTATTTGACGTGGCGGCTTTGATCGACTTCTTTGTCTCCATACGGAATAATCTTCAAGTAAGATCGTAATCGAATGTTCGTATTGCGCAGGTTGTGTTGCATCATCGTTCTTCATCTCTATATTCTTTAACTTGCCTAAAAGCATCTCCATTTGAACAGCAACTTCTTCAACTGATGTTTCATCACGAGATTCGCTTATTGTCTGAAATTCCTCAAGGTCAGGCATACCATCGTAGTGGATACTCAAGCTCATGATCAGTAATTTTTTGGCGATAGTATACTGATGTAATTTAACGAAGATATCAGCTAGTTTTTCTGATATACTTGCAAGTCTGTCGGCACCAAAATAAAGTGATCTAAATTATCAGAGTTCAACAGATTCCATTTCTGCAATATGCATCAACTTACTCTTCATCATCGTGACCTGAAATACAATTGTTGCTGGCGTAAAATTTTGATGCATCCAAATAATATTCAATAGCTGCAGTAAAGTTATCCAATCCACAGCAATTATCTGCAATTCTTTCTTGAATGTAGACAATCACTTTCTCATTGTTTTCACGTGGATTATCTTCCTGATAATATTTTATGGCCTTCTCAAGATGTTCATTTGCTGCAGCATATTTCTTTTGTTTCGAGCAAACAAGAGCCAATTTTCGTTCAATCGTAGCCAAATGTTGTTTTTTCATATCCAGTTCTATTCCATCGACCATCTGTAAAGCGATTTGAAAACACACGTAAGATAAATCGTATTCATGAAATGCTAAATGAATAAGTGCTAATTGCATGTGACTGTCAGCAGCGGCTACTACCATATTCTCTTTTATATACAATTTCTGTATAAGTATGTATACCATGTCCTCCGTGATCATTTGATTTCTCATGGCATGATATCGAAGCGCTTGTTCGTAATCCGGCTTATACTTTGTGTAAATACCGATGATACTGAAGTAAAGGCCAGAAATAATGTCATAATCCGGCGTAAGGTTTCCATTAGAAAATAACATAAGGTGCTTTTCATGGCAACTCAGTTCATGATCGTACATGTGTAGATCTTTGCAGTCGCCGGCCAACTGTATCATAATGTCGCTTGTCGTCATATTATCGAATATTTCTTGGCGGAATGAATAATCAAGAAAGAGTTCAGTGTGTTGGATTAATTTCGTTCTGTTTTCCAAAGTGTTTTTTGTGAAACACGACCTGAAAGAGAGTGTTAAAGTGTGTAGGGGCAGAAATTTTGACGCACCCCCGCCCCCCCCCGCCCCCGCGNTCAGCGTGAACTTACAGTGATCGTGAACCATATAACAGGATCACCCAAGCAAAAATTTATAACGATCATACTTCACCCAGGTCATCTGGGTGGAAAAATTTTTTAGCCCCACCCAGCACTTCCAACCACGGTTTGTGCATATTGGGGGTCTAAACTCTCTATTTATGTGATTAATTCTTTCTCCATTTCACAAAAACCCTCTTCGGCTTTTAAGGGTTAAAAAGAAAACTAGATTTGTCATAAATTAGGATCAGAATGACCGATTCTCATGTACACTCATTTTGCACACCATCGAAATAAATCCGTCTTCTTCGGTATAGCAACCATATGACAGCCAATACAAGCTGTGCAAAAAAAGTCTTTTACATCAACAAATGGAATTTTTCTCGGCTAGAAACGCAAATAGTCTTTGATTTTATTTCATCATCATGTTTCGGTGACGAATCGACTCAATGCAAGTTGGACTTTTCTTTATTTACATTTCGGCTGACGACGGCGGAACTGTTCTCTTGTGCGAGAAATGTTTGTTAAATAATCGCGATTCATGATTGTTTATTGGAAGGAAAATCAACATAAGAAGCAAGCAAAATTAATATGCATGGAGAAGTATCGTTTTCTGTCCGGATAGAATGCTATTAAAAAAGCTACAATGGAAGAGAAAGAGCATGGTTTGGTGATTACGTGTGCCGATGAATGGTTTTACATTTGGTTGCTGGCCTTTATTCATATGTTAAGGACAAACATGGCCACTGAATGTCAATTGATCTAAACAAGGAAAATGTTAACGTAAGTAATAGATTTCTTATGTTTAAATACTTTAGGGTGAAGGTAAGGATGAGAATAAGTGGCGGAACTTTGTTATTTTTTTACTTCTTAAAGCTTTTTGTTCGATTTTGTCAGCATATTCAAAGAATGCCCAATGTGTATGATATTATACTTTCGCTTTACAAATTAAAGCACGAAATTTGATCCAGCATATAAGAGTAGGAACCCAATCTTTTAAAAATTACTAGCTGAACAAAGTGCCCTAACTTGGCTCATCATGATTATCGATCAAACTTCGCCGCAGACACCGGCGTCGTTCAAGAAACCTTCGACGATTCACCCAGACTCATTCTCACCCACACCCTCACCCTCAATTTGTATATGTAAAAAAATCTATCTTGAATATTCGACTGTTAATAACTCTTGTTCGTTAACCAATTTAAAGATGAAATATTTTTACCTAATTTAGAATACCGACGACTACGAAGCTGCTTGCTCCTGCGCTCTCTCGTCTGATTAAGCCGTTTCAATGGAAATCGAAGTCGTGGCGATGACATACAGTGCATTGGATACATTGTAAAATGATTGTCTAAACACAAAAACCCATAACAATGAACATCAAAACATTATGATTCTACCAAAAACAAAGGGGCTCGCAGTGGTGTTGTTGTTACTACCTCCGGTTTGTATTGGATTATTTGTTTGTATGTGTTGAGCTGGTAGACCTAAAAATTAGGTAAAATATTGTATGAAGAACTCCAAAGTGTTTTCTCTCTGTAAGGAATCATTTGATACGATATCTAAGATTATAAAGAATTAAGAGAAGTTCCAAAGCCAATTTAAAAAAAAAGTATTTTCAGTTAGTAATCAACTAATTTTATTTATGTTCTTTTGTATTTTAGGTGGAACGAGTTATACACGATCAAGAACATACAGAAGTCATCAGCAACGATGTTCCATGGCTGACAGCATTGCTGTTTCGAAAAGGCTCCTGAAATGTTCAATGTGTTTGTGCAGCAGTAGCATCAACAATAAAGAACTTTCCAACATCTCAGTGAGTCCAAAGAGTTCTACGATCATAACTATGTTTAACTTTATTTAGAATATAATGGACATCTAGCCAACAAAGTTTTACTACTATTGACGACAGCATAATTCAATGATTATCAACAATTGAAAACTTTATCATCATATACGCCTGGTTTGGTGAATTTCTCAACTCATTTCTTGAAGAGGACGGCGTTTTCATCGAAATTATCTATTTAAACTACGCAGAAAATGAAACTGGAAGCTATTCTCTCAAAGAATCATCATACATTTTCAACACTTATATCTGGTTTTCGATTCTCATTCTGAATTCTTTAATACAATTAGGAAGAATGTTAAACCAGTCAAAAGTACTCATATATTAAGATATATATGGCATACCTGCATGTCCAACTGGAGCGGCGGCAGCACTTCGACCCGATTCTTGCTGGAAAAGGAAAATAATTCGATTTCTACAAACCAGAAAGAATATCTTACTTGGCCTTGTTGTTCATCCGACGAGTTTAGATCTTCATTTGGTTCGATACTCTCGGCGTACGAGGAATCCTTGATAAAAAAAATATACAAAACAGATACGTTTTAAAATCAATCAAATCGAAAGCATCAATTTGTCTTGTATCTTACACTATGTAATGTATTGTTCATTGTCCGAACTTGTTTTTCTTTTGCAAATCTACATAAAGTGACAAGATAAATACAAATCGTTTTAGTTCATTTAGGAATCTGTTTGTTAATGCCAAAATTGTTCATAGAGGTGCCCAATTTTAACGAAAAGAGCCGCTATATCGCTACTAACATTCTACTTCCGAGTGCTCTAGTAACGGATATTTTTTCATCATTCTATTATCTGGATTACATAAACACACAGTATTTCATTTAGAAACCATCAGCTCTTGGATATCTCAATATTCATTTATATGAACAGGAATTTAAACAAAGTGATGACAAGGCAGTCTTTGCCAATCGGAAGCCGTGGTCCATTTCCCTGAACATAGAGCAGCGGCATCTCTTCCTAGCAGGAAACATCTTCTTTTTTCCGTTTTTACTACATATAAGTTTCTGATATTTGGATACGCTTTATTTTTTGAATGAATCAAATTATTTTACACAGAAATTTTGTGTGAATGCTGATAGGCATGTTGATGCGCGATGAGTCATCGTTTTATGTACACACAACCTTGAAATGCCATTCTTTTGCGGCTCCCTTTTTTAATCGAAGAGGTTTTGCCCAGTAAATCAACTGACAATATTCAGACAAATGATGATAAGCCTAAACGCTTATTCATGTCGAAAATAACCAACTGTATCGAACTGAAATGTGATTTACTGAAAAATGATAACAGAAGTAAAGAAGTTCTCAGTTGCAATTTAGTTGATCAGTTGAATGACAGTGTAAAATGTTTGAACGTATCGGTCGTAGCATTGGAAAGCCCTTTTTCCTGTTGTACTAAGTTCAAGAATAGTGGGCAAGGTCTTTTCCTTTCGATCTTTGACATGAAAACTTCTATAAAGTATCCGCTTCTGTTCCACTTGGAATTTTCCATAGAAAACAATGAGTCTTCGTACGTTCCCACCACTAATTTTATCCGTGTAAAATTGGAAATCACTACATCCCTATTTGATATAGAAACTAAATATCCAAATTTCTCTTTTGGGCTGAATTAATTTAATCTGTTTCTTCTGCTATAGTTTCATGACATCTTGTAGATGACAATGTCTTAGCATAAGAAAGAAATATAAAATGTTTTGTGTAAATCATAATTTAATTCATATAAAACGACGAAGTTTGTTTTGCGATGTTTGAGTGTAAAACGCGTAATTCGCAATAGATATCATTTTTCTTCTTTCAACAAAGTAAACGCGCAAAAACGTATGTTTCTCACATATTTATCTCCGCTGACAACTTATCTATCATGTTTACACTCTATTTTGCATATAAATAACCGAGTAAAATCAGAGCATTTCTTAATTTAATTGATGTAAAATTATTTCTTTATAATACTATGGGCAACGAGATTGCAAAGAGAAAGAATAGCTACACATTTGACAATGAATCTCATCGGAACCGACGGCAGTATTCGAAATTTCTCAATGATGATGGTTTGTATGATTTCTTTTTCTCTTAATAATACATTCGTACCTTTTTCTTGTTAGTACTAGACATAATACCAACAGAATCTGAACACAATCTAAGTGATACAGGTAATAAGGATAATATCCATAAAAAACGAATGATGTTTTTTTTGTACAAATTCTTTTGTTTAGAGTCTGAACAAATTCGATCGGTAAATTACATTTCATTCGAATAAATTTTATTTATTTATCATTCTTTTATCTAGGAAGCTCGTCGTTATTCATTCACTCTACTTTCTGCTACTCTACCTGTACAGTAATTGTACAGGTACTGTTTGATAATTCTAGTATTCTTGCTTGAACATTTTTTGTACTTTTGTTTGGATAAATCATTTCGATAAAAAAAAAGAAATTTGCTCGTTCTCGGATACCAACTTATATTCAGTAGTACTTTCACATTCAAACAGAAAAATGTTGAGGGTGTCATATTGGTACGTTCAAGTATTTTCAATTACTAAAAATTTGCTTCGTCATATGAAGAGGTGTTTTCAAATTGTTCTGGTTGATTGCTTTTGATGACTCAATTACGATGAGAAATCTTTTTGACATGTTACATATTTTCTCATTTATAAGAATAGAACACTAACAGGCACCTGAATTCACTCTACATTCTATTATCATTCATTATGAGTGCTCCTACTGGTATGGGTCGTCGAACTGCTGCACATTATCGTGATATCGATGTTCGTCTGCATAAGTATATTAATCAACAAAGTGGAAATGTTCTCTTTCCGGCTCATCAGAACTTTCGTCACTTTCATCCGGCGCCTGGAATAGTACATAAACCTCACTTTGCTCGTCGAGAACACCGACACTATGGAATCTACTCATATGATGACGACGATGAAAGAATGTTTCGACGACATTGGATGCATTACTAACCAAGTGAATTGATTGCAGATTTGTTTCTATCCTTAACTGAACGGGACAAAGAGGAAAAGTGGATGATACGCATAAGAACTAATGTCCTTTTTCTTTTAATATTTTGACAGAATACAAAGAAAAATAAAGTATACGTCATGACATTTTATCTTTCAGAGCAATATATTTGATGCGCTGTAACCATCATAGTTATGCTCATTTGTTTTATTTCATTGACGTCAGTTCATATTATAGTCTATTATTCATTGAATTCCGCAACTGGACTAGCTATGAAAAACAACATTGATATCTAGTTTAGATTCATCCATAGGATATATATAAGAATATCAGTACCGTTCGTTCAACTATACCTTGGTTTATACCTTTATTAAAATGTTTTTAATATTTTATAATTTGTTAGCTTCGACCTTTATTAAGACAGTTACAAAAGAATCTTTTTTTCAATAGCCATCAATAATACTCGGCAGTGTTAAGACAACGGCTGCCATCAGACCCACCAATCACTAGCACTGATCCATTTGGTAAAAGGCTTGCCGTATGATAGCACCGCCTAGTGCTCATATTTTTAATCATTTTCCAGCTGTCTGTCGATAAATCATACAGTTCTGCACTATTGAGTTTAACATTATTAGTATCTCTTCCGCCAGTTACTAATACATTTCCATTTGATAACATGGTTGCTGTATGATCATATCGCGGAAAATTCATATTTCCACGTACTGTCCAATTACCTGTGGACGGATTATACAATTCAGTAATATTGTGATAAGTACCCCCAGTTACTAACACCATTCCATTGGATAACATGGTCGCTGTGTGACTAGAGCGTGCAAAATTCATGTCCCCAGCCTTCGTCCAATTACCTGTTGATGGATCATACAATTCCACACTCTTGAGAAAATTATTGCCATCAAACCCACCAATCACTAGCACTTTTCCATTTTGTAGCAAGGTCGCTGTGTGAAACTTTCGCTCAAAACTCATGCTTCCAGTTGTTATCCAAGCTAAATGAGTCATTTACCAGTTATTCTCTATTCGCCTTAGTACATATCATAGTTAACATACTTTGAGCAATATTTGTCGTGATTGGCATCGCGGTTGATATCATGGTGGAAGGACAGTGCATATTTGACTCTATACCAGAAATCCTTAATTTTTTTAAGATCGAATAGAAGTAAACTGACCATCATTTTTTCGACAGCAAATAGTACTTGCTCGAATATTTGTGGACGAGCTAATATTGCCTGCTTCACAGTGTTCGCCAAACATCGAACAGTTCCTATTCTCATGAAAGTAAACAGCTGTTTGACACTGAATCTCGTGCACACATCGCCAAATGCAAGATTGAATCGATGCATCCGTGGGTGGCAATATTGTATTTCCAAGAGCAGCACAAGCCGAATTAGGAGTATAGATTGCAGATCGATGGACCTTGGTCACAAGAATCGCATCGATCTTTGAAAGAACAAGATAAATCAAAAGAACATACATTCTCATTCCTTCCTAGTTTATGAATTCTTCTTTTTTTTTAGAGTATGTGTTTAAATAATAAAGTCCAGTAGAATGTCAATATTTTCTTATGATCGTTCGATTTTTGGTTAATTTATTTAAGAAACTATGACATTACTATATTTACCGTAGAAAAGGCATGCATTTTTTTCTTCGCGAAACAAAAATAGTTTGTTTACACAAAAAGTTTGACTTTGTTCTTTGATTAAATACAAAAAGTTGGAAATCGATCTTGTCATTTGACTGCTTACGATCATTGATAAGGATAATTTTTATCGATTAACCCATGTAGTTTCATTTCATTCCAAAATTCCATCGGTATAACAGCATCTCCTGCCATTGTCATATCTACATTTTCCCTAACACGATTCACATCGGCAATATTCACAGCGACACACTTCACTCCCGGCGCTTTTAAACCAAATGTTATGCAAACTTGTGCCGGTTTAATTCGATATTTATCACAGAGTTTGAAAAATTCACTTCGCCACTGAAATAATTGTTGATCGTGCACACGATCCATCAATTTATAATTATAATAATCTTCTCCAATTAGAAAGCCACCATTGAACACAGCAGCATTGATAATAACTATTCCACGTCGTTCTAATTCTCTCATAAAACCGACTAGTTCATGAGGATGACTATGCACAGTCATACAATTCGCAATCATTACCCAATCCAATTCAACATCGTGTATAACACGTTGTATCATTTTCCAATCTTTTGATCCGATACCGATAGCTGTAACTTTGCCTGCTTTCTTCAAGTCACTCAGTGCACGATATGCATCGATAATATCACGATAACGTTCGTTTCCACCATTGGCAACATACTCATCGGGATCGTGTACAGATACCAGCTGTGCATTGTAGCCATTCAATAATTTGTTACCTTGTTCGAAACACTGAAGTATTCCATCGTAGCTAATCCTTTGTTCGGCATCGTATTTTAAATTACGCCAGACACCTGGTTCAAAAGTCGGTTCCATGCCGTCTTCTAGTTCGTTTGTTCGATACCAGCCAAGTTTATTACTGATGATCACCTCTTCGGGTTTTACATTTAATGTTTGCAGACAGCGACCCAGTGTTTCTAGTGCTAATCCAGCCCCATACTTTCCAGCACAATCAAATACGATGGGCTTTTGTATCGATGGATATTGCATACAAGTTTGAACGATTTCAAGTTTTGTTTCTTCGTCGAGCGCTACATATAAATTTCCCAGCGAACTTGTTCCGAAGATTACCTTTGGAAGTACAATGCTTTGTGACATCACCAAGTAGATACAGAATACGCTTGGAATTGGTAAGAAATTTAACAAAAGAAAACTCCAGAAGTGTTCTAATGTTCACCAGTCATTCGATGCATTTATTCAACACGTTTGAAGTGAAGATAAAAAAGACAATAGATAAAACAGAATAGTTATTTTTATCTTTTCTTTCAATAAAAGAACGCGAGAACTTAAGTGTAAAGAAGATAACACATACACATACAGTGAAATATTTCGAATATGTGTTTAAAATCTATGAAATCATAAGCTTTATGGTTTGTATGGCATTTCAAAGATCCTATTCGTATAATTACAATCTCGTCGTTCCAGTAGAAAACTCAAAAATATATTAGGAGTTGAAGCGATAGAAACTAATGAGACCATTAGTGGACTAATTCTAGAAATATTTTAGATCTGACTCTCCGCTCTTCTTCATTCATAGAATCAGTTGAGAAATTCACCATTGAATCCTATCCCATCCCATCCCATGAAAGAAAGAAGAGTTTCCCAGAGTAATTCAATAGCATGATTACAACATTTAAGCCACTCCTATACATCAATTCAAAAGAAGGCTGACTAACGGCAAACGCTAATCACGAGACACAATAGGTCAACTGATAGATTTTATGACACATGCTTGTTTAGTTTTATAATTTACATCTATAAATACATACATCTGTTCACTTGTTAACTTATGAAATCTGAATTGGATTTACAGTGAATATGGCAGTGATTATCTTCATTCAACTGTCGTATCTTCTTCTTATTTTGGTTAATTCATCTCAAGGAGCTATGTCGAATGCAACAATTAAATCGGATGCTGTGCAAATCACTCGACTGAATCAACAATACGCATAAGGTACACCACCTATTGACCGTCAAGTTCAATCGCTAGTGTGTCCAATGGTCGATGATTGTCGTTCACCAATTAAGTCAACTTTCAATAGATATTTAAGCGTAGCTGGATTCGATAGAGCTAGTGCACTACTGAATGCATGTATTGGCACTGAATCTCCACTCACCTCCCTTCTAACATGTCCAATGACTAGAAAATTTGTGTCCATACGTCAAGATCCCGACTATATCAATTTCCGTATTGTTTCCGAACGAACTGTCGGTCAGCTGAAATCAACTGATGTGAAAGTTGCACGCCCATGATCAGTGTAAAAAATATTATGCACAGGATTGCAAAGAATTGGAATCGTGCGAACAAAAAGCACTCACATATGTTGCAACACACAATACCGATGATCCATGCAAGAAGTATGTTAAAGAAGAACAACAACAGAGAAAAATCTTTGTCGATTCTCGATTACACTACGATATTTCTGTTCAGCTTCTTTCCAAGGGTAAAACGACTATATATATATGAGGGTGATATTCAGAAATATTTTTATTTATTTATATGAATGATAAAGCGAATAAGATTGGCATTTTTGAGTATGGAAGATGCGTGAGCATCGTAAAATGTAACCGTTTGCAGTAATCAATCCTTCATAGCGCGTCTGGCATCTTCAATTATCTTGTAACCATCCGAACTTGTTTTTATATGACGTGGCGGCTTTGATCGACTCTTTTGTCTCCATACGGAATAATCTTCAAGTAAGATCGTAATTGAATGTTCGTATTGCACAGGTTGTGTTGTATCATCATTCTTCATCTCTATATTCTTTAACTTGTCTAAAAGCATCTCCATTTGAACAGTAACTTCTTCAACTGATGTTTCATCACGAGATTCGTTTATTGTCTGAAATTCATCAAAGTCAGGCATATCATCGCAGTGAATACTCAAACTCATGATCAGTAATTTTTTGACGATAGTATACTGATGTAATTTAACGAAGATATCAGCTAGTTTTTCTGAAATACTTCCAAGTCTGTCGGCACCAAAATAAAGTGATCTAAATTATCAGAGTTCAGAAGATTTCATCGCTGCAAAATGCATCAACTTACTCTTCATCATCGTGACCTGAAATATAACTGTTGCTGGCGTAAAATTTTGATGCATTCAAATAATATTCAATAGCTGCAGTATAGTTATCCAATCCACAGTAATTATCTGCAATTCTTTCTTGAATATAGACAATCACTTTCTCATTCTTTTCACGTGGATTATCTTGCTGATAATATCTTATGGCTTTCTCAAGATGTTCATTCGCTGCAGTGTATTTCTTTTGTTTCGAGCAAACAAGAGCCAATTTTCGTTCAATCGTAGCCAAATGTTGTTTTTTCATGTCTACTTCTATTCCATCTATCATCTGTAAAGCAATTTGAAAACACACATAAGATAAATCGTATTCATGAAATGCTAAATGAATAAGTGCTAATTGCATGTGACTATCAGCAGAGGCTACTACCATATTCTCTTCTATATACAATTTCTGTATAAGTATGTATACCATGTCCTCCGTGATCATTTGATCTCTCATGGCATGATATCGAAGCGCTTGTTCGTAATCTGGCTTATACTTTGTGTAAATTCTGATGATACTGGAGTAAAGGCCAGAAATAATGTCGTAATCCGGCGTAAGATTTCCATTAGAAAATAACATCAGGTGCTTTTCATGGCAGCTCAGTTCATGATCATACATGTGTAGATCGTTGCAGTCGCCGGCCAACTGTATCATAATGTCACTTGTCTTCATGTTATCGAATATTTCTTGGCGGAATGAATAGTCAAGAAAGAGTTCAGTGTGCTGGATTAATTTCATTCTGTTTTCCAAAGTGTTTTTCATATGTTTATTGTAGATTTTCATCAGCTTTCTGTGTATGTGAATTTTTTCATAATCTGTTGTGGCATTTTCACTAGCTAACAGATAAAAGTCAATGGCCAACTTAAAATGTTCTACTGCCAATTGCGAACCTTCCTTTTGTCTTCCTCCAATCTTTTTATGAAGTCGTGCGATATCAGACAAAGAGTTTAATTCTTTATCGCGCGCAAACTCCATCCAGATTTTTAATGCTGCTTTGTAATCTGCCAGATAAATACAACTACCATCCATCCAATACACACCTTTTTTTACACCTAAAATCCATTTTTCTGTTGGATATAAATACATCAGTTCATCGAAAATATATTTTGTATTTTCAGTGCAAAGTGTATGCAATGAACCGGTAATGCAGTTTTTCAGTGTTCGTCTTTCTGATGTACTCTGGAAACATTTGAAAACATTATGATCACGAATCAGCTTTAATTTAATTATCCAGAATTGTTCATTTGCATCGTATTGAGCTGATTGAATTTTAAACTGTGTACCAGGCATGAATAAAATCTCGGATTCATCCTACATGTATGTTTCAGATGAAAGATCACCGTATGGACGAGATTTCATTTGCGTATCGAGTTCAATTTCAAACAGAACACTTTGAAGTTTATCTTCAGGCCGTGATGGACCTAGGAAGAATGTTGCTGGTGTTCGATCTCGTGCTGTTGAAAAAAAACTATTGATCGATATGTAGGGAAATGATGTTTCTCGAAATTGCTCAACCTCATGTCTGTTCATAATTTGTCCACGATAAAGTGTTGATATTCTCGGTTCTTCGCGAATGAATTTTTCATGTTTCTTTTCGAGTTCTCGATAAAGATCTTGAATGTAGAATCCAAATAGAAATGCTAGACCGGCATTTTTTTGACGCAGTGATTGATTAAGAAGTCGATAAAGAAATGAATTGCGCGTGTACCACTGAATAGCTTGATCAGGTGTATACGTATCTTGAAACTTATTTAACATATCCATGTTTGCCGAACTTTTCTGGTAATAGGCTTTAAGTTTGGTAACCAATCGCAGGCGACATATGGTTTTAGGATACGGAATTTGAAGAAGAAAATTAATAAATTTTGGCCATGATGAGGCAGTTGGATGGCCTTTGACTTCACTCTGGTTGGATCCGACAGTAAAAATTGAATGAATTTTACCTTTAGAGGGAACACTCAACTCTTTGGCCAAGACTTTATCTATCTGCTTGAATTTTTTATAGACAATGGGATGTACCTGTATGAGATAAATGTGTATTAATAGTAAAAACAAATAAAGTTCCTACCTTCGGATATTCTAACATCCAAGTGTGATCATTCTCCTCGTTTGGATCGTGAATGTATATTTTTGAAATGTGAGGTAATTGATGAACAAGAGAAACAAATTCTTTGTGCTGACGTGAACAAATTAAAAATGTCGTCTTGATACTCTGCTGAGTGTCGTATAGATGCTGCCGGCATTTCTCCATATCTTCGAATAATTCGACATAGTCGACGTCTGGTTTAAACGAGTATATGGAAAATCGATCAAACACATCGTCCTCAGTTGCTTCTGAGCAAAACCATACTAGTTGACTAAACTCGCGATCTTCGTAGTCGGGATCATATGTTACTTCGTCTTCTTCTACATCGCTGTCACTTTCTGTATTAGACATACTGTCAAACGAAAGAAAAACAACACTAGTGTGTGCAGTTACTCAACTATTGAGTCTATGGTGAAAGAAAAAACAAAACTAGCAGTTTTTCTCTCACGCTGTTATTTTATATATGTTCGTTAGAGTATGAGTCATTTTTGTACTGGTTATATTCTTACCTATTTTTGGAAGGAAAGGAAATGATTTATTCGATACATTTTACTCATCGAAAACAATATTTTTCACGCAACAAGACATAGTTAATGAATAATACAGTTATTCACAGTTTTTTTCCATCGACTGATCGAAATACAATACGAAAGACTGGTTTGCATTTGAAATGGTCACCGGTGGATGCGCATATGTCTTCTCCTTCAGGCTATAGAACAAGTTTAGGTAATTTTGACCGCTAGTTACCCATTTGACCAGTTTATTCTTCTGCATGAGCGAGTAACTGAAAATGTTCTCACTATGAATACACTTTTCGCACAATATGAAATCATCAGCGGTAGTGCTCTATGGAAAAAAGGCAACTAGAGACTATCAATTCAGTGAAAACAGCGATAATTAAGATTCATTATTATCGTCGTCGGCTATTTCACTCCTGAATACAAAAAGTTTCAATTCACTTGAATCGATCGTTTGGTAATGTATCATATTTTTATACATATTCTTCGAAAGATCTACAAAATGTATTTGCTCTATGACTATCATTTTTCAAGATCGATATTTAGATGTGTAGGAAAACTTGATGATTCGGAAGCATTTCATAATTATGCTTTGGTAATATCTTCACGTTGTAAGCTGACTACAATGATTTAATTTGATTGCCGCATGTTCTTTGAAAGATTATCCAGATCATTTCTCCTTATTCTAGGATAAATTTGAAACAGAGAAGATGTTTGTTTCTGTATATTTGTTAGTGATAATCACAAACAGAAAATATGTCTTCAATATTAATACCTGATGTTAGTTTGAAAATATTTATTCGATGATAAATTACTTAGTCCTTTTTGATTGGCAGTTGCCACCTACGTAGTGATATTTTTTTGCAATAGCGAAGTATAATATTTTACGAAGATTTTCGATGGGTGAATGTGGTTAAATTGAACAGAATAGGTTGAAAACAACGCACGTAGCTGTTAACTTCATTCCTGTTTTGTTTTTCATGGTGTGTTGTTATAACTCGTGTAACTCGGCATACAGATTATTGTTTTCACTCGACTTGTTCGTTGTCAATAGTATGATCAATGTCATTGAAAAACAAAGAATAGCTTTTGGAGATTTATATCTTTTGAGATGAAGATAAAAAGACCATAAAAACGGTTTGATGACCCTATTGGTTTTATTTTATAATTGTAATCATGAAAAGTATCATTAATTGCCGCCACAGAGTATTCACTCTACTTTTTTTCTTTTTTCGGATTATTTCAAGTGCAATAAATAGGTGAAGAATATTTCTTTCTTTCAAAGATCATTTCGAACATTTTTACATTCGCCTGTTCTTATCTAACAGCAAACTATTGTATCCTTGGATGTCTGTGATATTCACTGTTCTTATTCTTTGTTCACTTTCATCATGGAGCGAACAACAATATACATCTGACTGGACATCACTTGATGCACGTCCTTTGCCAAAGTGGTATGATGAAAGCAAAATAGGTATCTTCATTCATTGGGGACTATATAGCGTGCCAGCTATCTCTTCCGAATGGTAAAATCGTTTTATCAATTCTTATCACCTACGTCTTCGTGCCAAGTATAGGATGTGGTGGAACTGGAAAGGCGATAATCCAAGTCAGGTTGTTGTCGATTATATGAAAGCAAATTATCCACCTGACTGGACTTATGCAAATTTCGGTCCAGAGTTCCGTGCAGATCTCTATGGTGAACCAATGTTGAATGTTTTATCGATAATTTGTTTCCGTTTCAGATCCAAACGAATGGGCTGATCTATTCGCTGCATCCGGAGCTAAGTGAGTAGGTGTGTTTTTAACTTCGAAAGATTCGTTTTTCGCATTTCATATAGATACATTGTGTTTACAAGCAAGGTCAGTTAAAAATACGAATTAAATAGATTTGTTTATGCTGAGAAAATCTGAGTAGCATCATGAAGGTTATACCATGTGGCCATCAACATTTTCATTCAACTGGAACTCGATGCATGTCGGCCCAAAACGAGATTTACTTGGTTATACAGCGGACTTTATCCTTTCTTTAACTTCATTTTCTTTATTTTCAGGAGATTTAGCCTCAGCTATTCGAAATCGAACAAATCTTGTTTTTGGTTTGTATTATTCTCTATTCGAATGGTTCAATCCATTGTATCTACGTGATAAGTCAACTAATTTTACTTCTCAAGATTATGCGAAAGTACTATCATCGTTAACTGTTCATATTTCGAATCAAAATTTGAATTCTTCAGACAAAAACAATGCCTGAATTGAAAGAAATCGTTGAAACATACAAACCTGAAATTGTCTGGTCTGATGGTGAATGGGGTTCGTTGAAAGAAGCTCCTTATTGTTCTCTAGTAGTTTGTATATCAATTCAGAACCACTGGATACTTACTGGAGTGCGACACAATTCTTAGCATGGCTTTATAATGACAGTCCGGTGAAAGATACTGTTGTAAGTAGAGAAAACGAACAAGATATGTTGAGTTCTTCTTCGCCTAGGTGACCAACGATCGATGGGGTAGTGGAACACTATGTAAACATGGTGGTTTCTATACTTGTTTGGATCGTTACAACCCAGGACATTTGGTTGAACACAAATGGGAGAATTGCTTCACGGTATGGAAGAAAATTCGATTCCGTAGAATGGTATGTTTTGTGTAGATTGATAAACGATCATGGGCATATCGTCCTATTGCAAATATTGATGATTACATGACAATTGAAGAAGTGATTCGAGAAATAGTGATAACGATCAGTACTGGAGGAAATGCATTGGTGAATGTCGGTCCCAATAGACATGGCAAAATCCCACCGATATTTCAAGAACGTTTGCAACAGATGGGCTCTTGGTTGAAAGTAAACGGGGAAGGGATTTACGCGTCGGTACCATGGAAATATCAAAACGACACAATCAATTCTGATATTTGGTGAGTTGTGATTACAACTGTCTGAGAGTTCTAATGTATGTTCACTGGTAGGTATACCTCATCGAAAGATGGTAGATATGTGTATGCTTTTCTCCTGATGTGGCCGAAGAATATCACTGAGATAACATTGGGTGCTCCGTTACCTTCAGCAAACACAGTTGTGACAATGCTGGGCTCAAATGATCGTTCTATTCCATGGAAAGTAGGCAGTGACAATCGTGGTATGATGATTGATATATCGAATGTCAAACTTCATCTGCTCGAGAGTCAATGGGTGTGGGTATTTAGACTAACCGATTTGCTAACTGACAATGCCACTATGACTACAATCCAACGAACAACATCGACTGCACGTATCACTCCTCGAAGCAATGCAAACCTTTCTTTTTCTTCTTCTTTGTCATTATTTATGCTTCTTGATGTACTTCTTTATGTCGTAATGTGAGCATCGCTCAACATATTCCAACAATAAAGAACAGTACAGATAAAAAGTTAATATTTTGTGTTGAGGGTGTGGATGGACATACGAATGTCCATCTCTCATCGAAACCATTTTGCTCACCTTGTACTTCACACTCCGTAGAATTCCTTCTCGCGGAAAACATTTACTTTATTCGACTGAAAAATAAAACGATGAAAAAATACAGTCTTTCCTTTCTCAAGTGAATATTCTAACTTGGTTGATTCGATGATATTTCAAAATGGTAGTGCATTGACATAAATATATCGCGTAATGCCTGGTCGCCTAGATCTGCTTCCTTTCTTCGCTTGTTTTCTCTTGAGAAGATCTTTACCTGCTGGATCAATATTGAAACCATACTTCAGCACATCCATGACAATAATAAACATTGCAGTACTTATTATTGCAACAATTACAATATAAGCAAATGATTTAGAAAGCGTCTGAAAAGCCACAGTTCTACTCGATGTTATTTCACAATGCTGACCAGAATAACTTCCGGAAAAACATTGACAGGTGTAATTAAGTAACAGTGGTTGGCAAACGCCTCGATTTAAACACGTTGTCGCTTTACAATAGTTGATTTTTGTTTCGCAATGACTATTCTGCCAACCAGACGAACATGAACACGTAAATGTTGTGTTGGATGTTTCATTACATATTCCTACAATGGAAAAAAATGTTGTTTTGACATTGTTTTTCTTCTAAACACACCATTATTGAGACAAGTACTCGATTGACATGGACGATAGTTATATTGACATTGGGTACCGTTAAAGCCAGGCAAACATTTGCAACTGTAGCCAAGAAGTGTAGTGTTGTCAGAAGAACATGTAGCATTATTTTGACATGGTCGAAGGATATCACACGTCACATTGGATATATTACAATTTGGACACGATGGAAGAAAAGCAGATGATTGTTGTCCACCTTGGAAATAGTTAGGAATCAATTCAGAGTAGTTTATTTCAGAACATGAAATAACTTGACCAAGTGCGTTCTACCGAAAGTGTTTATTAGTCTTAGCTACCTTCCCTGCGAATGGATTGACTGAGTATAGACCTTACGTACCACTTTGATAAGAAACTGTATTAGAGTTTATTTGAAGAGTGGTCAGAGATGAAGTAGTCGTTTTGACAGCATTGGTCGAGATTAGTTCTACAAACAGAAGATCAGGTTCTACTAATCAAATTGGAGAGAATAAAGATTAGTATTACGCATATTCGCAGTGGTCTCCAATGTATTTTGCAAAGTTGTTGATTCATCTAGAAATTGCAAATCTCGTTTTATGTTTGTCTAATGAATAAGATTCAGTACGAAAAAGGTAGTAGAACACTTTTTCATCTGATCGATTAGACGGTGACGAACGAGTGATGTTGGCAGCAATAGAACCCGAACAAACTGTAGCTTATTCGAAATGGAATGGCGAACATTCATTCAATCTCTCATGTTCATCTCTGTTATTCAAAAATGTTCAAGAAATTGCCGACAGGTCATTGTACAAATAAGGCATCAGTTACTTACTGCATGAATTTGTTATTAAGAGAAACTTTTGCACTCGATTGTTATAAGTATCAGCAACAAATAAATTACCATAACTATCGAAACTAAGACTTGTCGGTTGATACAGTTGGTCTGATGCCGAACCCGAACCCATACATCCAATTATACATCGATAACCGTTGAATCCCGGGCCAACGACGCGACTACTACCATAATCAAGAATAAATAGATGTCCATCCGCGTCAAAAACGATTGCTATTGGATACAAAAGTGTAATCATTTCATTAGATCCATTTCCAACTATTGTAGTGGCGCTTGAATTGTTCATTAGAAAGAACTGGATTCTGTTATTGAAACAATCTGCTACATATAGGTTGAGTTCAAGGTCGACAAATATTCCTCGAGGTCCGAAAAGCGTGTATGGTGTGGTTCCAGCTGTTCCTGTTCCTGCAACGATGGTGGTTGAGTTGACACTGTCATTTAATGATTTTTTTATTACCATTTGAAAAGCACCTAAAGAACAATAGAGATGATCATTCACATCGATAAAGAGTCCATAGCAAATTCCATTAACGTCCATTGCGACAACGCTGCTCGTTGCATTTAGTGTCCACTTATCGACTCGACCGTTGTACATGCCGTTGTCAACATACACATCGCCAATAGTGGAAATAAACATACTGTATGGCTCATTTAAACCGCCAGAGATATCTCTCGAAACGTTTACGCTGTCTTCAGGCCATACCAGAATCCGATTCAGAATTGGTGCAGCAACGTAGAGAGTATTATTAATATCTACATAAACGCTATCAGGTAATGCACCGAATGTGTCGTTATCACCGATAGTTACACCGTTAGAATTCCATGTTGTACAAGAGGAAATCTTCGGTCGGTTGTAAGAAAGTCCTACAATGAATAGAACATTCACATTTATTATCTTATCGGTCTTTATTCATGAACTAAAAACATAATAAAGAAAAGTCAACTTTGTAGTTATTGCGATTAAAATTCTAATCGAAAATTTGAGGCGCAGTGGTAGAGATATGTCATTTTTTGTAGACAAAAACAATTTTCTCCTCAACACATACGTACATTAACTTACTTGTCTATGTTTCCAATAAAGTACACTTTAAATGTTGCTTTATGAGTTCTATCTATATAATAATTACTTACTAGTCGATTAGATCTACACAATCTCTAATCTTGTTCGCGGACGATCATAGCGATCGAAAAAGGATTATTTCATCGATTGTTTCCCTATTTTTGATAATAGCCAATGAAAATACTTACCGCAAGAATTTGTAGCTAAAGTAAACTTTTGAATTCGTTGATTGTAAGTATCGGCGACGAAGAAGTTACCGTAACTATCGAAACTGAAGCTATACGGATAGTTCAATTGCTCGGACCCAGCTCCAACCACCCCCGAACATCCAACTATACATCGAAAACCGTTCAAACTAGATCCAACAATACGATTGTTTTTGTGATCGACAATGAATAAATATCCGGCTGCATCCAGTAGAATATCTGACGGACCATTGAGTACCATTGTTCCGGACGTTCCAACTACGGTAGTAGCGTTTAATTCATTTGGTCGAAATTGTTGAATTCTATTGTTGTTGAAATCAGCAACATATAGATTTAAATTTGCATCGACGCAAATTCCAAGGGGACTGGAAAGCATGTATGCATTTGATCCATTTGTTCCATTTCCCGCTGCGATTGAGGGTGCAGTGTTTGCAGTGCTGTTAAGTGATATTTTAATAACTATATTTCTATTATCACTCGAGCAGTAGAGAGTCTCGTTAATATCAATAAATAGATAAGCACATCTTCCAGTAACATTCATAANTTTCATTAGCTAACAGATAAAAGTCAATGGCCAACTTAACATGTTCTACTGCCAATTGCGAGCCTTCCTTTAGTCTTCCTCCAATATTTTTATGAAGTCGTGCCATATCAGACAAAGAGTTTAATTCCCTATCGTGCGCAAACTCCATCCAGATTTTTAGTGCTGCTTCGTAATTTGCCAGATACATACAACTACCATCCATCCAATACACACCTTTTTTTACACCTAAAATCCATTTTTCTGTTGGATATAAATACATCAGTTCATCGAAAATATATTTTGTACTTTCAGTGCAAAGCGTATGCAATGAACCGGTAATGCAGTTTTTCAGTGTTCGCCTTTCTGATGTACTTTGGAAGCATTTGAAAACAGCATGATCGCGAATTAGCTTTAATTTAATTATCCAGAATTGTTCAGTCGCATCGTATTGGGCTGATTGAATTTTAAACTGTGTACCAGGCATGAACAAAATCTCGGATTCATCCTTCATGTATGTTTCAGATGAAAGATCACCGTATGGACGAGATTTCATTTGGGTATCGACTTCAATTTCAAACAGAACACTTTGAAGTTTATCTTCAGGCTGTGATGGACCTAGGAAGAATGTTGCTGGTGTTCGATCTCGTGCTGTTGAAAAAAAACTATTGATCGATATGTAGGGAAATAATGTTTCTCGAAATTGTTCCACTTCATGTCTGTTCATAATTTGTCCACGATAAAATGTCGATATCCTCGGTTCTTCGCGAATGAATTTTTCATGTTTCTTTTCGAGTTCTCGATAAAGATCTTGAATGTAGAATCCGAATAGAAATGCTAGACCGGCATTTTTTTGACGCAGTGATTGATTAAGAAGTCGATAAAGAAATGAATTGCGCGTGTACCACTGTATAGCTTGATCAGATGTATACGTATCTTGAAACTCATTTAACGTATTCACGTTTGCCGAACTTTTACGGTAATAGGCTTTAAGTTTGGTAACCAATCGCAGGCGACAGATCGTTTTCGGATAGGGAACTTGAAGAAGAAAATTAATAAATTTTGGCCATGATGAGACAGTTGGATGGCCTTTGACTTCACTCTGGTTGGAAGCGACAGTAAAAATTGAATGAATTTTAGTTTTGGAACGAACATTCAACTCTTTGATCAAGACTTTATCTAACTGCTTGAATTTTTTTATAGACAGCGGGATGCACCTGTATGAGATAAATGTGTATTAACAGTAAAAACGAATGAAGTTCCTACCTTCGGATATTCTAATATCCAAGTGTGATCATTCTGCTCGTTCGGATCGTGAATGTATATTTTTGAAATGTGAGGTAACTGATGAACAAGGGAAACAAATTCTTTTTGCTGCCGTGAACAAATTAAAAATGTCGTACAGATGCTGCCGGCATTTCTCCATATCTTCGAATAATTCGACATAGTCGACGTCTGGTTTAAACGAGTACACGGAAAATCGATCAAACACATCGTCCTCAGTTGCTTCTCTCACGCTGTTATTTTGTATACGTTCGTTAGAGTATGAGTCATTTTTGTGCAGGTTATATTCTTACCTATTTTTGAAAGAAAAGGAAATGATTTGTTCGATATATTTTACTCATCGAAAACAATATTCTTCACGCAACAAGACATAGTTAATGAATAATACATTTATTCACAGTTTTTTTGCTATCGGTTGATCAAAACACAATACGAAAGACTGATTTGTACTTGAAATTGTCACCGGTGGATGTGCATGTCCTTTTCTTCAGGCTATAGAACAAGTTTAGGTAATGTTGATCGCTAATTACTCATTTGACCAGTATATTCTTCTACGTAAGCGAATAACTGAAAATGTACTCACTACGAATACACTTTTCGTACAATATGAGATCACCAGCGGTGGTGCTCTATGGAAAAAAGACAACTAGAGGCTTTCAATTCAGTGAAAACATCGATAATCAAGATCCATTACCGTCGTTAGCTATTTCACTCCTGAATACAAAAGATTTCAATTCACTTGAATCGATCGTTTGATAATGTATCATATTTTTATACATATTCTTCGAAAGATCTACAAAATGTAACGGGTGGTCCAGGATAAATGAGCGCCTAAGTATTTCGGTGACATCTTCCTCGTGCTTCATCTGATTGAACCAATTTTTTTTTTGAAAGACGCGCCGTTCAATTCTCTCTCAACGGTTATCTAATGAACTAAAATAGAGCTATTCTTGTCAACGAAAAGAGATGAAAAGTAAAGACGTTCAGAAAATNAATGGAGAATATTTGAGAGATTAGGAAATAAAGCCTTTGCGTGAAATCTGACGGCGATTCTTTCAAGACAAAGAACGACTCTATAAGTCAAAAATTGACCGAGATAAAGCGAAAATAGTCAGGCGCTCATTTATTCTGGACCACCCGTTATTTGCTACTTGTTGATCTCTGTCCAACTTATTTGAAAGTACACTTGATTGGTTATCGTCTATGTCCAACTCTGCGATTGGCTTCACAACAATCTATCCATCTGAGCAAATGTATTTGCTCTATGACTATCATTGTTCGGAATCGATCTTTAGATGTGTAGGAAAACTTGATGATCCGAAAGCATCTACGGATTATGCTTTAGTAATATCTTCACGTTGTAAACTGACTACAGTGATTTAATTTGATTGCCGGGTGTTCTTCGAAAGATTATCCAAGATCATTTCTCCTTCTTCTAGGATAAATTTGAAACAGAGAATATGTTTGTTTCTGTATATTAGTTAGTGATAGTCACGAACAGAAAATATATCTTCAATACTACTAGATTTTAGTCTGAAAATATTTATTCGATGATAAATTACTTAGACCTTTTTGATTGGCAGTTGTCATCTACGTAGTGATTTTCTTTTGCAATAGCGAAGTATAACATTTTACGAAGATTTTCGATGGGTGAATGTGGTTAAATTGAACTGAATAGGTTGAAAACAACGCCTGTAGCTGTTGATTTCATTCCTGTTTTGTTTTTCATACTATGTTGTAATATAACTCGTGTAACTCGGCACACAGATCATGATTGTTCTCACTCGACTTGTTCGCTGTCAATAGTATGGTCAATGTCATTAAAAAACAAAGAACAGCTCTTAGAGATTTATATCTTTTGAGACGAAGATAAAAAGATCATAAATACGGTTTGATGACCCTATTGATTTGGTTTTATAATTGTAATCATGAAAAGTATATCATTAATTGCCGCCACAGAGTATTCACTCTACTTCTTTTCTTTTTTTTTTTAGATTACTTCAAGTGCAATATATAGGTGAAGAGTATTTCTTTCTTTCAAAGATCATTTCGAACATTTTTACATTCCTCCTTTCTTTTAAATTTATAGCAGCAAACTATTGTATTCTTGGATGGCTGTGATATTCACTGTTCTTATTCTTTGTTCACTTTCATCAAGGAGCGAACAACAATATACATCTGACTGGACATCACTTGATGCGCGCCCTTTACCGAAGTGGTATGACGAAAGCAAAATAGGTATCTTCATTCATTGGGGACTATACAGCGTGCCAGCTATTTCTTCCGAATGGTAAAATCATTTTATCAATTCTTATCTCCTACCTCTTCGTGCCAACTATAGGATGTGGTGGAACTGGAAAGGTGATAATCCAAGTCAGGTTGTTGTCGATTATATGAAAGCAAATTATCCACCAGACTGGACTTATGCAAATTTCGGTCCAGAGTTCCGTGCAGATCTCTATGGTGAACCAATGTTGAATAGTTCTTCGATAATTTCTTTCCGTTTCAGATCCAAATGAATGGGCTGATCTATTCGCTGCATCCGGTGCTAAGTGAGTAGGTATGTTTTCAACTTCGAAAGATTCGTTTTTCGCATTTCATATAGATACATTGTGTTTACAAGCAAGGTCAGTTGAAAATACGAATTAAATAGATTCGTTTATGTTGAGAAAATCTGAGTAGCATCATGAAGGTTATACCATGTGGCCATCAACATTTTCATTCAACTGGAACTCGATGCATGTTGGCCCAAAGCGAGATTTACTTGGTTATACAGCGGATTTAATGCTTTCTTTAACTTCGTTTTCTTTATTTTCAGGAGATTTAGCCTCAGCTATTCGAAATCGAACAAATCTTGTTTTTGGTTTGTATTATTCTCTGTTCGAATGGTTCAATCCATTGTATCTACGTGATAAATCGACTAATTTTACTTCTCAAGATTATGCGAAAGTACTATCATCGTTGACTGTTTATATTTCGAATCAAAATTTGAATTCTTCAGACAAAAACAATGCCTGAATTGAAAGAAATCGTTGAAACATACAAACCTGAAATTGTTTGGTCTGATGGTGAATGGGGTTCGTTGAAAGAAGCTCCTTATTGTTCTCTAGTAGTTAGTAAGTTATATCAATTCAGAACCACTGGATACTTACTGGAGTGCGACACAATTCTTGGCATGGCTTTATAATGACAGTCCAGTGAAAGATACTGTTGTAAGTAGAGAAAACGAACGAGATATGTTGAGTTCTTCTCCGCCTAGGTGACCAACGATCGATGGGGTAGTGGAACACTATGTAAACATGGTGGTTTCTATACTTGCTTGGATCGTTACAACCCAGGACATTTGGTTGAACACAAATGGGAGAATTGCTTCACGGTATGGAAGAGAATTCGATTCCGTAGAATGTTACATTTTGTGTAGATTGATAAACGATCATGGGCATATCGTCCTATTGCAAATATTGATGATTACATGACAATTGAAGAAGTACTTCGAGAAATAGTGATAACGATCAGTACTGGAGGAAATGCATTGGTGAATGTCGGTCCCAATAGACATGGCAAAATCCCACCGATATTTCAAGAACGTTTGCAACAGATGGGTTCATGGTTGAAAGTAAACGGGGAAGGGATTTACGCGTCGGTACCATGGAAATATCAAAACGACACAATCAATTCTGATGTTTGGTGAGTTGTGATTACAACTGTCTGAGAGTTCTAATGTATGTTCACTGGTAGGTATACCTCATCGAAAGATGGTAGATATGTATATGCTTTTCTTCTGATGTGGCCGAAGAATATCACTGAGATAACATTGGGGGCTCCGTTACCTTCGGCAAATACAGTTGTGACAATGCTGGGCTCAAATGGTCATTCTATTCCATGGAAAGTAGGTAGTGACAATCGTGGTATGATGATTGATACATCGAATGTCAAACTTCATTTGCTCGAAAGTCAATGGGTGTGGGTATTCAGACTAGCCGATTTATCAATTGACAATACCACTATGACTACAATCCAACGGACAACATCGACTGCACGTATCACTTCTCGAAGCAATGCAAACCTTTCTTTTTCTTCTTCTTTGTCATTATTTATGCTTCTTGGTGTGCTACTTTATGTCACAATGTGAGCATCGGCTCAACATATTCCAACAATAAAGAACAGTACAGAAAAAAAAAAGTTAATATTTTATGTTGAGGATGTAGATGGCCATACGAATGTCCATCTCTCATTGAAACCATTTTGCTCACCTTGCACTTCACGCGCCGTAGGATTCCTTCTCACGGAAAACGTTTACTTTATTCGACTGAAAAATAAAACGATGGAAAAATAGTCTTTCTTTTGCTCAAGTGAATATTCAAAATGGTAGTGCATTGACATAAATATATCGCGTAACGTCTGGTCGCCTAGTTCTGCTTGCTTTCTTCGCTTGTTTTTTCTTGAGAAGATCTTTACCTACTGGATCAATATTGAAACCATACTTCAGCACATCCATGACAATAATAAACATTGCAGTACTTATTATTGCAAAAATTACAATATAAGCAAATGATTTAGAAAACGTCTGAAAAGCCACGGTTCTACTCGATGTTATTTCACAATATTGGCCAGAATAACTTCCGGAAATACATTGGCAGGTGTAATTGAGTAACAGTGGTTGGCAAACGCCTCGATTTAAACACGTTGTCGGTTTACAATAGTTTATTTTTGTTTCACAATGACTATTCTGCCAACCAGGCGAACATGAACACGTAAATGTTGTGTTGGATGTTTCGTTACATATTCCTAAAATGGGAAAAAAATGTTGTTTTCATATTGTGTTTTTCTTCTAAACGCACCATTATTGAGACAAGTACTCGATTGGCATGGACGATAGTTATATTGACATTGGGTACCATTAAAGCCAGGCAGACACATGCAACTATAACCAAGAAGTGTAGTGTTATCAGAAGAACATGTAGCATTGTTTTGACATGGTCGAAGAATATCACACGTCACATTGAATATACTATAATTTGGACACGATGGAAGAAAAGCAGATGATTGTTGTCCACCTTGGAAATAGATAGGAATCAATTAAAAGTAATTTCTTTTCGAAATCATGAAATAACTTGGCAAAGTGCGTTCTAGAGCGATAGTGTTTATTAGTCTTAGCTACCTTCCCTGCGGATAGATTGACTGAGTATAGACCTTACGTACCAATTTGATAAAAAAAACTTTCAGAGCAATCCCTACAGGATTAAAATGTGAAACTAAACCTTCAACACTCCCTTCCAGGTCGTGTTTCACAAAACTGTATTAGAGTTAATTTGAAGAGTGGTCAAAGATGAAGTAGTCGTTTTGACAACATTAGTATTACGTGTATTCGCAGTTGAGTTCAATGTATTTTGTAAAGTCGTTGATTCATCTAGGATATGCAAATCTCGTTCTATGTTTGTCCAATGAATAAGATTCAGCACGAAAAAGGCAGTAGAACATTTTGTCATCTAATCGATTAGATGGTCACGAACAAGTGATGCTGTCAACAATAGAACCGGAACAAACTGTAACTTATTCGAAATAGAATAGCGAACATTCATTCAAGCTCTCATTTTCATCTCTGTTATTCAAAAATGTTCAAGAAATTGCTGACAGGTCATTGTAAAAATATGGCATCAGCTACTTACTGCATGAATTTGTTATTAAGAAAAACTTTTGCACTCGATTGTTATGAGTATCAGCAATAAATAAATTACCATAACTATCGAAACTAAGACTTGTCGGTTGATATAGTTGGTTTGATGCTGAACCAGAACCCGTACATCCAATTACACATCGATAACCGTTGAATCCCGGGCCGACAACGCGACCACTACCATACTCAAGAATAAATAGGTGCCTATCCGCGTCAAGAACGATTGCTATTGGATACGAAAGTGTAATCGTTTCGTTTGATCCATTTCCAACTATCGTAGTGGCGTTTGAATCGTTCGTTAGAAAGAGCTGGATTCTGTTATTGAAACAATCTGCTACATATAGGTTGAGTTCAAGGTCGACAAATATTCCTCGAGGCCCGTAAAGCATGTTTGGTGCGTTTCCAAATGTTCCTGTTCCTGCAACGGCGGTGGTTGAGTTGACACTGTCGTTCAATGATTTTTTTACCACTATGTGAGAATTACCAATAGAACAATAGAGATGATCACTCACATCGATAAAGAGTCCATAGCAAATTCCATTAACGTACATTGCGACAACGCTGCTCGTTGCATTCAGTGTCCACTTATCGACTCGACCGTTATACTTGCCGTTGTCAACATACACATCACCAATGGTGGATATGAACATACTGTATGGCTCATTTAAACCGCCCGAAATATCTCTGGAAACGTTTATGCTATCTTCAGGCCATACCAGAATCCGATTCAGAATCGGTGCAGCAACGTAGAGAGTATTATCAATATCTATATAAACGCTATCAGGTAATGCACCGAATGTGTTGTTATCACCGATAGTTACACCGCTAGAATTCCATGTTGTATAAGAAGAAATCTTCGGTCGGTTGTAAGAAAGTCCTACAATGAATAGAATATTTCTATTTATTATCTTATCTGTGTTCATTCATGAACTAAAATCACAATAAAGGAAAGTCAACTCTGTGGTCATTGTGATTAGAGTTCTAATCGAAAATTTGGGGCGCAGTGGCAGAAATATGCCATTTTTGTAGACAAAAACAATTTTCTTCTCAACACATACGTACATTAATTTACTCGTCTATGTTTCCAATAAAATACACTTTAAATGTTGCTTTATGAGTTCTGTCTATATAGTACCTACTTACTAGTCGGTTAGATCTGCACAATCCCTAACCGTGTTCGCGGACGATCATAGCGATCGAAAAAAGATTGTTTCATCGATCGTTTCCCTATATTTTTTATTATAGCCAATGAAAATACTTACCACAAGAATTCGTAGCTAAAATAAACTTTTGAATTCGTTGATTGTAAGTATCGGCGACGAATAAGTTGCCGTAACTATCGAAACTGAAGCTATACGGATAGTTCAATTGGTCGGACCCAGCTCCGCCCACCCTCGAACATCCAACTATACATCGAAAACCGTTGAAACTAGATCCAACAATACGATTATTATTGTGATCGACAATAAATAAATATCCGGCTGCATCCAGTAGAACATCTGATGGACCATTGAGTACGATTGTTCCTGACGTTCCGACTACGGTAGTAGCGTTTAATTCATTTGGTCGAAATTGTTGAATTCTATTGTTCTTGAAATCGGCAACATATAGATTTAAATTTGCATCGACCCAAATTCCAAGGGGATTGGAAAGCATGTATGCGTTTGGTCCATTTGTTCCATTTCCTGCTGCGATCGAGGGTGCAGTGTTTGCAGTGCTGTTAAGTGATATTTTAATAACTATATTTCTATTATCACTCGAGCAGTAGAGAGTCTCGTTAATATCAATAAATAGATAAGCACATCTTCCACTAACATTCATAATAGTGACTTTAACCGTTGCATTCGCCGACCACTTACTCACTTGACCAATCGCATCACCACTGCTAACGTAAATATCACCAGTACTCGTGACAAAAACGCCATAAGAATTGTTTACACCAATAGATATGTTTTGTGTTACAATGTCACTATCTTTAGCCCACACAAGAACTTGCTTTATAGATGCGGCCGTCACATAAACAGTGTTGTCTTTGTTGACAAAGATTTTATACGGATAGGTGCCTACGGTTGTATTGTTTGCAAACGTAGTGGCCACTGAATTCCAAATTGCACAGGAGGAAAATTGTGGTTGGTTTATAGATAAACCTATCGAATGGAATATGTCTTCTATTACTGAACACAAGCATTAGCTGATATCCCCTCCAAATTACCAACAATTCTTTACCACTAAATTTCATACGATGAAATATTTCTATATCGTAGTTGGTAAAGATGGAAACTACTATAGTACACTCAAATGATTCTTGTTGGAATCTAGACAACCCTTTGGTTATTTTAGAGAATTAGTGCTCCGTTTTTTCAAAATAAACGCAACCGGTAGCCGTGTTTAATCACTTCTACCCATATAACTTTTACAAAGGAGAAAATGTTGTTGCATTCGCTTACCGATAATCTGATTGATTATTATCAACATCAGCAAGCCTAAAACTGATTTGTACATCGTCCACATATTTTGTGTGGTTGGTTTTGGTTTAAAAACGATAGAATAATAATTTACAAGTCTTCTGTATAGTTCGCAGCTAACAGGAACTGTTGAAAATGACGAGCAAAATACTTTCTGAAAGAATTTTCTCGATAATAAAAAATGAATTCAAGTTTCATGTCTTCATCTTTATATATGATCGAGTGTTGAGTCAACATAGGAACAAATCAAGGCAACAGAGGAAAGAGCCTATTTGTTATTCATCAGATTTTTTCTAGTACCGATTGATTTCCTTTTCCCGTCTGACTATATCCTTAGCATGTGATAGAAGTCTTCTGACACTGTATATATGTGAAAAGTGAAAATTTCATTCTCTAATATATATTTGGGATCATATCTCAAAATTCGATGTATACTATTTCATTATCGATGGCCATTAATGAATATTTTTCAGGTTTCATTATGATTGAACATTATTCAAATATATGTCAAATAAAATTTTTGCATTGTCATTTGTTTATTCTGTTATGTGCTTTTCAACTATGTTCAAGCAAAAAAAAGGCAAAGAATGTTTTTGTTTGATCAGAATAACGAAGGAAAAAACTGATGGTTTTCCGAAATCAAACAAGAACACGGAATGATGCTACTTTTTCTTTCTTTCTTCTGAGCACAACCGTGAACTTGAAGGCTATTTAAGTGTGACTGAAATGCGCATGATAAATGTTGCTATAACCAATGACAACGAACTGATAAATAGGCCAATTATATTTGAGGAGTATATTTGAATACCAGTGACATGAACAGATCGTTGAATGATTGGATTACGATGATCAACCATGTACAAATAGAGAAGCCCCTAAATAAATCTATTTTATTCATAGCTGCTGAGCTGTAAATCGGTACGAATACCGCCGGAATGAAATTTCATAAAGGACCATGTATACACAAATCAAAATGAAATTCATTATTGTAGAAGGAAACATAATCTGTTCGTTATGTTCGCAAAGTTGCACCAAAATCCAATACGATTCCTAGGTGATTATTTGAAATAAAATCATCGATTAAAAGAGTAGTGTATGAGCGAGATAATTCTTTTTATCCAATGGTTCTTCATTCCTGTCATTGATCATCATTTTCATGTTTTCCATTGTAACAGCTATTAAACAACAAATCAATTCAAACGTCGCGGCGACAGGAATTGATTAAAAACATTGCTGAAACGAAATCGAATCGACAAAATGTAGAGATTTGTAGAAGTGATTGGACAATTACAAGTATGTTAAGTCCAATACACATTGAATGTACTTGTACTACAAAAGTGTACTGTGTGGTGGAGGTTCTTAAGTAAAAAGTACGAAAATACTTAAGTACTGTACTAAGTATCCAATCACTGACTTCTAGGCATTCGAATTGTACATGTCGTAATGTTGTTGTTTACATTGGTTAACACAAAAGCCTACAAGAGAAATGCTTGCCTTACAAGATAATAATTATGCCGTATTTTTGTCTTTCTCTCAAAAAAAAGTGTATTCGTTGATGCGTAGGTTAATCACTCGGTCTATCGATAGAACCCCACGTGTGTTAAGATTGCGACGCGATTTATTTTGAAAACAAACAAATACGTACAGTCGTGCAGTCGATTTATTCGTCGAAATGGAGGCATTTATGAACGCCGGTGTGATTCCAATCCCATCGAAAATGGACGAAGAAAAGAATTTACATGCGGCAATCAGTGCTATAGCCAATGATCTAGCCCCGAGTTTTACCGAACTGGAAAGCGAAACTGAAATAGAAGATAAACGCCTAATCAATGCCCTACGTCAAATGGCTCCGTATCCAACACTTGTAGAACTACAATCAACGATTGTTAAACAAAACGCAAATGAAGCTACAACGACGATGGAACCTCCCTCGATTGAACGATTGCAACTATTTCTTGCACAACGTACAACTACCATCAAAGAATTGAAGAAACTTCGAGCTAGTATGTCTAAACATATTCGAAATTGTAAGATATCGAATACATTTGGCAACTCTGCATCTGTTGTCGGCGGTACTCTATGTTTTTTCTTTCCGACTATCGGCGTTCCCCTTGTACTTGCTGGCAGTGCTACAAGCCTTGGTAAATATCTACAATCAAAATGACTTCTTTTCTCGATGTTTGCCCATCAATTGTAGGTACAGCTATTGCTGGAAGTATGATTGAAAAACGTCTTCAAAAGAAATACACTCACTTATTGAACGAAGACTCATTGGCGATGCAAATGTGCGAAACAAATCTGAAAGATATCACTACCTGGCTGATCACTGTTTATTCATTTGGACAATCTGTGACACGAGCTGGAGTTGATCTGTTCCAACTAGCTGACTCCATTCAAGCAGCATCGACACTCACCGCATGGTCAGAAATCATCGCTCAACTACCATCGTTAAGTAATGCGCTGGCAACAGGAGCAAAAACTATTAGCACAGTTAGCGGACAAATTCTCGGCATATCAGTCATTATATCTGTAGCTGATCTAATTCATACATGGATATCAAAAAATGCAACATTAGAAAGTATTGATAAAGACATCGTATTATTGGAACAACAATTAAACGAACTGAAACACATCGCTGCAGTATATCCTGTCTAATTCCAATTGTTTTTCTTAATATGCAACACGCTGAAAGTGCGCATCGAGTTTTTATTTTCATTAGTACAGAAAAATTTATGGTCGTGGTACGGTCTGATTATTTCGAAATAATTTATTAACGTTGTTAACAATATTTGTAAGCATTGATTTGAATTCTTTTCGGAAGATATGTGAAATTGAAAAGTTTAGATAAAAGGATAAGACTGAATGTAGGAAACGAAATGTTTTGCGTAAGAAATCGAATAAATGATTCAGCTCAGACATGTTTCGCAGATTTATTCGTTCTAGTTAATGATGTTATAGTAGAATACCAAGAATACTTGTTGATCTTTGATTTGCTCTCGATCATTGTTTCTTCTTGAGATTGTGCTCGTCAAAAATTCCTTACGGCACTGTTTGTTTTAAATTCAAATTTTGAATAATAAGCAAGACAAAAGGAATGCTAAACCAGGTGGGGCAATTCCGATCAACACAGTACTATCAATACTCTGATAAATATTTAACGCACTTATTGAAGTTAAAATACAAGTGTTATTCGAAACAATAGAATAGATGGGCAGGTGCATGGACATTAAAAGCCAAAAGATCTATTTTGATAAATATAAGCTTTATCGTTCAAATTTATATCTATAAATCACCATAAATGAGTACCTGTAATACCTAATCATTTGTTGAGCTAACGTTAACGTGGAATTTAATTGATCCAATGACGACATTCTCTGCGTTTTTTTTTCAACTCTACTCGTGGAAAACGTTTCTGGTAATAGTGAATATAAAGAGCCTGTAAAAAGTTTTATTAAATATTCTCTTCCTAAAGGGAATCTTCGCCGGAAAAAATTTTCCATTGGGTATATGACGGTTAATTTTTTAAGAACATTCTCTCTTACATGGCTTTATTTTCACGGTAGAAGAAAAATCATCTGAAGACATGATTAAGATGAGCGTACATTTATTACAATAGAGTTGACTTATAAATATTTGCTTTCTGAGCTGTATGGCGTATACAAATCAAAGGGCAGCAATACCACCGTATGTAGTTAAAACAAAAACATGATTCGAGTCTTCAGCGACAGACAAATGTACATGAGATAAGTAAGTATAATCAAGAAAAGCGAACTCATCGACTGTTACAGATGGAAAACTACATTGACATGAGGCGTGATTGAATCCTTGTGTTACTTCAGCTAGTTTGTTAATATTGACACGGTAATATGAGATAGGAGTTTTTGATGATACTGAGTTTTGTAAGAATTGTACACAGTTTGACAATAATGATTGATATCCACTCGTCGGTGCTTTATCAGATAAATGCTCAACGGATAATTGATGTGTATTGAAATCAAAGATGAGGTGATTATAAATTTCAATAATATCATCAACAACACTGATACGATTATAGTTTAAAGGACAAGCGCAGATTCCATCAATTCGATGATCTTTTGCTGATAGTATTCGAAACAGACCAGTGCCTGAATCATGTTTAGTTTGATCTAGTAAATGTTCACGATAACCCAAAACATGATTTTTTGCGCATGTAGGCGTATCGTACCAGTCATTATCCTCTTCATCTGTATTTGAACGTTGATCAACAAGTTTTCCATCATAATCGAATAAAGCATTTCTTCTTTGATACCCTAAAATGTTCTCTTCAGTCATATACTTCCTCTCATCATCGTCGTCCATTAATTCATGCGAGTCCGATATGTCAGTTATCTTGTAATGTAGTTTTGAGAGAAAATCCTGTCCAATGAATTGTGATTGATGTCGATTTGTCATATACGTTCGATCAACACTATGGTCAAAATCGGTCATTGGTTCTCGTCTGCTTTCATCTTTTTGTTTCACTCGATACAATGAGCCATAACAATTTCGATTGTAAAATATATCTGATAACAACTGTTGCTTCGAAACTTCGCACACTTCTTGCGTAGTTCGATCGTATCGCACTGTATACGTTTGTGAATCTTCAGTATGTCCGAGCAGGAAGAAAGCGTAGACAGCAGCAACACGGCAGCATGCGTCGACATGTTGATTGAAGAAGTTAACATCGGAAAAGCAAAATAAGGTTTGACTTCCATATTGTGCATGAATTGTTGGGATAAACTTGGACTGATTTGTATCTGTGTTCATTCGATGGATTTCTTGTGCCTGCCATATGAGTCTGAATGGTTGAAATTGCGGATAGGCAAAAATAAAATTTCGAACATCTTGTTCGTGCAAATATTTCAAAACATTGAGCCACATTTCAAGTGGTAATTCATATTGTTTAGCATTGATTTTCTTCGATATTATTTTCTGTTCCAATAAACGTGGATAACAGTATCGAATTGATAATGACCGTTCGTATAATTCGCCTGTTTCCACCGTGTTTATCTTCCTGATGGATTTACCTTGTTCTTTCAATTCATTTGCCTGCGCTTCACGAAATAAATTCAGACATGCGAAATAATCTTCTTCTTCTTCGGCACAAACGGCAAAACCTAATGGTTTGTCCATTCTTTTGACAATCACATCACTTCGAAGAATAAAACGCTTTCCATTTCCTCCTTTTGGTGCAACAGCTTCATGTAATAAATTGTGTGTGAATAAAATAGCATGACCTTTCTTTGGCTGAATCGTCACACATTTGTATCCATTCTTTAACCCACCGTAAGCATTGATCTCTTCTCTTATAGTTAATCCTTTTATGTCTGAATTCGGTGCTTTCTTTGGAAAATAGAATTTGGTTTGCCCTTGTTCGTAATCATCGTTGAGATAGACAATTAAACTCAACAGAGATCGTTCATCGCCACTTGGAGCATATTGTGCGTCTTTATGAGGTGAAAAGTGCTGCCCGGGATGATATTTGTTCAATCTCATAGCAGGATTAACGCCACTCAGTTCCCATTGGCCTTGGACATTGAAGCCTAAAGGTTTTGTGTTTGTTATTAATTTCGTCAATCGATTACTGAACTTTAATCGTCGCCAAAGTGTACGGGCTAATCGATCGTCCATAACGATCAATCTCGAGTTATTTCGCATCTCAGCATCGTATTTTTCTGACATGTCTTCCATTGTTTGTTTGCTCATATTTGCAAGAATGTCATCACATTCGTCATGAGTTAGTAATGTACCTAACTCGATCAAGATTAAATCATCTTGTTGTTTGATGCTGTTCAACTGAGTACGATTCGGTATTTTTGTCGGAACATTATAATTTGTTAATAATGAAGTCGTAACGCTCAGGTCTGTAGTACCAAGAAAATGCTGTCGAGACATAAAGATTTGATTGGAAGTTCGTAACTGCATTTTTTTCTATGTGACAATCTACGAGCATCTGTGTTTGTCGTTTTATATTCATCAGAGCTGTAATTGCACAACGACGCACTCATTACATACAAAAGCAAGTTTTTCTTTGTAGATGGCGAAAGTATCATGTAGGATATTTGTTTCGGGATAAGTACAGCGTGAAATCTATCCCGTTCAATTCAAATTTCTTTTCAAATAGGCAAAATACATAAAAAAAAGGATGTCTTTCTTCGTGCCTCATTTTAAATCCTTATTTGTGTTTGAATATGAAATAGATTCAAATGAAGCATCCACGGGAAAGGACAGTGTTTAGTGTCAACTTCTATTGTATACGATTTCTTCGAACGAAAATTGTGCATACAAATCATTCGTTGATCGCATTTGAGTATTAATTCAATTGTATCTCCTTGTGCATAATCACTCACATATCCATTGACATCCTTCTGACAGTGGCCATGCACGTAGACTTCATTGTGGCCAGCCCACCCATACGAAGATGATGAATTATGTGAATTCGTCTGCATAGGTGTTGATTCTGAAATGATGCCAAAAAACCACCATGGATGCATATCAAGATGTTGAATGTGTAGGTAAAGTCGATATGTGCCACTAGTATATGTATTTTTGCCACGAATTTCTCCTGAACTACCGAACAGATTGAAATTATGACACGCAAGATGTCCATCTTCTGCAATGTGTACATCTCCACACGTCTTAGTGAACCGATCTTGTAGATTGATAAAAATACTGTTCACGAGAGGAAAACTTTGATGTTTTGCATCGACGATAATATCTATTCGTGAGATATCTGTTTTTAGTTTGTTTAGTGTGTGTTGCCATTTTATTAAATTACGTTCATCGAAGTCGTCATTAGACTGCCTATGGTGTACTTCTTCTTTCATTTCCTGGAATCTTGTCAGATATTTGCCTTTGTCCAATGTGATTCTTTCTTCAACTTGTTGACGAGCGTCTTTCGCAGCATTTTTAATCTTTTCAATGGATTTCATTTCCCAATTGGTAATTTCGTTCAGCAGAGTGGACTTTTGGGCACGAATTTTTTCTTTCGATGTTTCGTGGAATGTGTTCATTTCATTGAGAACGCTTTCAAGTTGTGAGTCAAGTTTGTTTCGATGCACGTTCAGATCATGACGGCAAAACAGTTCTTCACATCCTTGGCATTTAAAACTACCTACTTTTTTCTTACAAACAACGCAACGATCATTTACTGTGGACATTGTGAAAAAGAAAAGAAACGCAAAACTGCGTTGGTTTGTTTTTCGTCGGTGTTATCTTTTGCTACTCAAATTGGTTTTGCGTTCTTGAAGAACGATAAAATAAAAAAGAGCGTGTTTACATTGATTATCTCATGCGATATCAGTTTGACAAACGACCTTGAGTGCTATTGGATGATTTCAGGCAGATTCAGCTGTGATAGTACCAACATGAAAATTGGATTCTTTTGTTACAATTTTCTTATTTTCTTGGAAAAATTCTGACAAAATAATCCGATTTCTATCAAAGAATTTCATACGTATCAAGTGATTCGATTTAATAAATAGCTAAGTCATGATGGTGATGGAAAGTTACAGTCACTGCCTCGATTATAGTTTTATTTTGTTGCAGAGAAATCTCATTAAAATCAAGCAATAGTCTTTGTATAGATTTTATATCATCGAGTGTTTCTTTTGTAGACATGCATTTGAGCTCAATTAACATAGTACCTATAAAAAATAACGTAGTTATGCTCGCACTGAATATCTGTCTGATCCAAGGCTTTTTGCTTTCTCTCTCTCCTCCTCCTCTTACGCAGCCGACTATTTATAAAAGAACCTAGTTTCTCTCATTACTAATCGAGACTCGGCGATGCCTCTCTTCTTCTTCTTCATCATCAACTACACGTTCAGGAACCCAAATTATACTTTCCCTATAATTTAACATTGTCATGCCTGTGCATTATCTAGTCCCCCAATTCCATTTTCCCTGTAGTTTTATTTTTCTCTTTCTTCCAAGAACTTCCTCGCCGGATGCGAAAGATATAAAAAGCATCTCTCATCAACTATCCATCGTGATCTGTCTGCCTTTTTCGTTGATGCCATAGACTGCAACATTCATCGTATATTAACACACTTTTCAGTCATCATTTTTCTTTATTTCCTTCTTATTTCTTAGTAGAGCTGCACACACATCATTACAGTATGACGAACTTCATCAAGTTTACATTACTGGTAATATTCGAAATTCCAGCTATTTGCGTATCGATTCTCATGATTATATATTTCCTCACGAATCCTATAGTTCGTGCAAAATCGAAGAACCATATCTGGATGATTCTTCTCCTCTTCAATTTCGTTCAGTTATTAGTTCTTCTACCTATGCCCATCAGTTTCTACTATCTGGAAAGAATATGGCCAGCAACGAACACCTATTGCGTATGGTGGAACTGGTATGAATATTCATCAAATACAGCGGGTGTCATTCTCATGGCATGGGCATCGATTGAACGATACTTTTTCATCTTTTATCCGAGATTTTTGCTCGGCGAATGGTGGAAAAAGTGGTGTTTTCATTTCATTCCCATCTATCTGTGTATTCTCTGGCCATCATCGTGGTATTTTGCAGTTTCAGTCATCAGTCCGGGATGTGTGAATGTGTGGCAATTCGATCAAGTTATCTGTGGTGTTCCATGTTTCACGATGATATATGGAGGGATTCTTGGTGTGCTTCATTTGCTGCTCAACATCATGATTCCGATCTTTGTCATAGTCGCGACAAACATTGCGCTTATCAGTCGTGTGATCTGCGAAAAGTTCGCTCGTCGTCAGATTGTGAATTGGCCACGTCAGCGTCGAATGGCATTTCAGTTGTGGTTTGTTTCATCTCTGTACATGACTGGATGGTTACCATTGACATTCACAGGATTAGTTCAGTTCACTGGACGTCCAACATTCATGATGGAGCATTTGTCGAACATTTACTTTGCTCTTTACTTTGTTCCGTTATTGTTGCCGATCGTGTGCTTGTGTCTGTTTCCTGATGTGGTGAAGATAACTCGAGAATTGCTGAAACGCCGAAGAATAAATCGAGTAGCGACAATGACATAGATTTACTTCTGGAACAAAATGTGATCATTTGCGTAATTCTAATGAAAACAGTATTTTGTACTTGTTGTACGATTTCTTTTCATCAGCGTGGTGAATAAATGTTCTCTTTGAGGTGTTTCTATCTGATTAATCAGAAACCTTTGCCATGAAATACCACTCATGGATCTTTTTATTAAAAAAAGATTTATACAATGCTGATTATTTTAACTTCGTTACCAAGAAGGACTATACGTTGTTCGTTCTCTTTTGCTAAATGGGTGCACTCTGTTGAATAAGGATCTCTGCGGACTAAACGAAAAACGAGAATCAGCGATTGAAAGACATTTACTTTATTTTTCTAATTCTCTTACAATTTCGTGGACGTTTCGTCCAATATATTTTTGAATATTGAGTAATTTCGAATGTTCACACTAAAACGAAATGATATACGTAAGAAGAAGTACAGAATCAAACCTTTTTTATTGCAATTCTTTCTTAAATTCATTAACATCACGACCTATAGATATGCTTCTAAATTGTCACTCGTTTTTACACTGTGGAAAAGTAATCACAAGTGTTTGACTGATAATTGAATAACGAAAAGAACAAGAGAAAATTTCTTGTTGTTTTGTTTCGTTCTGTCTCACATGAAACATATTACCTATCGATCGTCGTTAATGATTAATTATTCTGAAAGCATATCAATCCGGAAATGCTCTCAACGAAGAAAGTAAACAACTGAAGGTCAATTTTTTTACAAAAAGTATCACCGATTTTTGATAAGACATCAAACATCTCAGTTAACAAAGTAGGTTATTAACAGATAGAAAGAATGAGAGTATTTCACGAACAAATGTGAAGTAAGGATACTTGTAGTCGAATGTAGAGAAGATTATGACTTTCGGTGTGATGATACGAACCAAGCGATACAAAGAACGAAAAATGGTGCTTGTTATCATCGACGGCGTGCTTCGCCCTTCAACCAGTTTATATTTAGGGTATAGGCCTCCATTCGATGGATCAATTAATTTGTTTGATCCAAGTTCGTCGGCGTTTAATCAATATGCTAATTTTGTATTTCACATACCTCCCGACAACAAAACTGATCAATTTTGCTTCTAAGCTAGCCCTGCCGTTCTTCTAAATAACGGTCTGTCCACCATCATCATATCCTTGCGATGTACTGCTTTGATTGAACATTTGCTATTTACTTAAATACGATATACAAACAAAAACATATGCGCGAAGTTCATGGATTTCAAATTCTGGTACATTTTTGTATCTTCGTTATGACTCACGTCGGCAACTATCGACGACGAATGTAATATCACAACATTATATTTTGTGCAGGAATATACTCAGCAAGATGTTAAAAAAATGTGGATATCCTGACCAAACATCCATATTTGATCCAGACGAGAATTGACTAGTTTATATTCGCACATTGCTTATTGATAGAGAATATTGTCCATATATTATGTCAAAATACTAGATTTTCAATCGAATCGGTAAAGTCAAAGATATCATTGTGGATTTTTGTTCATTACATAAAGATGGTAGATCGACTTCAATGACATATGATTCAAAGACAAAACGAGTATTATTATCTATACTGGTATGGTTTATATGAAATCTTATACCAGTGAATTTCAAAAAGAAACATTACTTTTGAGAATACCTGGCGGACTATTTGTCCAAAGCGTTCAAGTTTTTTTTGATGAATTCACCCGTCATGTCATGTGTCCAATTATTGTTGAACTTGATACAATGAAAATTGTGGAGAAAAAGCAAACGATAGTCGATGTCGGTTTCCTTAATTAGCCTTTTTTCAAACACATTAGAAATTGTAGTCTAGATAATCTGAATGAATGATCATAAAATTAAACACTCTACTAGCAATCGAATAACCTTATGTCAATATAGAATGAGGCAGAATATCATGTTGATTTCGTCATTCGATGACGCACATAAAGAGCAACGCAATTCATGTTTTCTGCAACATGAAAAGAAATTGTTCGTAATTGGGTGTCTAATTGATTTTTCTGCCACTTCGTGAATAAATGAAAACAACTAACGATGATTTCTCTTTCGACCGGTCGATGACAAGCTTTCTTATTTTTCTCCTCCATCTTTCCATCTGTATATATACATACATCTACACATATATTTTAGTTATTTTTCAATACAATCAGTTTTGCCATTGGCCTATACTGTACATCCCTACACTGGTATGGATATGAATTTGTATCTCGGATCGAATGGCATTCCTTATGGCCAACCTACGACAAGAACTGGAATGGTTCATTTAAATAATATTCCACCGCAGCTCTATGGATTCCACTATGATCCGTTACCAAACATTGGTGTCAATGCACCGTACGTTAGATATCACAGACTACCCAATTCTGGATTGCCTAACTGACATTGATAAAATGCATTTCCATTTTGTAAACTGCAATATATTGTGACGAAATATGCACACTAAATAAACTAAGGAAAACAGCTCGGTTGATGTTGTTATTTATTAGGTATAATCTTATGAAAGAAAATACTAGATAGAACAACGACTTTACAGAGCGGCACGAAATTCATTCATTGAGAAATTAGGATCGATCTTGCGACCTCTTGGTACAGCTGCTTCTTTATGACCAAGAACACGTGCAGAAGGAACGCCATAAGCTTTTTGAAGAGCACGGACTCCCCTGAGATAGCTTTGATATTGCACTTCAGGCCAGTGGCTATGTCCACTATCAGTTGCTGGTAGACCAACTCCTTCAGCTTCGATACCGATCGCGTTGTTGTTTCCATAAACTGAATCGTCGATGGTGCTACCAGCATGATAGCAGCGACCAGCAGCAATGACAAACCATGTTCCTGATCGACCGAGCCCGAGTTGAGCAAGTGGGCCAGCAAGACTGGAGGTGCCGTCACGAACAACAGCTAGCGATGGGTAGTCTCCTGAAGCTGGGCCAGCTGTGTGGTGAACGACAATACCTTTGACAGATGACATGACACCGTGACCACGAGTTCTCCAACCGGCAACTTCAACAACATTGAGACCAGCACCGCGGAGAATGTCAGCCAAACCGGTAAGCATGGTGTTCACTGGTTTACTTGGACCGGGTCCACCAGTTGGTGCAGATCCAGTTGTACAACATTGAATGTTGTTACCACCNTTTATACGGATAGGTGCCTACGGTTGTATTGTTTGCAAACGTAGTGGCCACTGAATTCCAAATTGCACAGGAGGAAAATTGTGGTTGGTTTATAGATAAACCTATCGAATGGAATATGTCTCCTATTACTAATCACAATTATTAGCTGATATCGCCTCCCCATGACCAACAATTCTCTACCACTAAGTTTCATACTATGAAATATTTGTGTATCGTGGTTGGTAAAGATGGAAACTACTATAGTACACTCAAATGATTTTTGTTGGACAATATTCAATCGAGTCTGTTGGAACCTATACAACTCGTTGGTCATTTTAGAGAATTAATGCTCCTTTTTTTAAAAAACAAACGCAACCGGTAACCGTGTTCAATCACTTCTACTCAGATAACTTTTACAAAGGAGGAAATGTTGTTGCATTCGCTTACCGATAATCTGATCGATTATTATCAACGTCAGCAAACCTAAAACTGAATTGTACATCGTCCACATATTTTGTATGGTTGTTTTTGGTTTAAAAACGATAGAATAATAATTGACAAGTCTTCTATGTAGTTCGCAGCTAACGAGAACTATTGAAAATGACGAGCAGATTTTTTTGTCAAAGAATTTTCTCGATAAAAAAAGTAAATTCAAGTTTCATGACTTCATCTCTATATATGATCGGGTGTTGAATCAACGTAGAAATAAACATAAACTATTGCTTGAACAAATCAAGGCAACAGAGGAAACGACTTATTTGTTATTCATCAGATGTTTTCTAGTACCGATTGATTTCTTTTTCCCGTTTCACTATGCTTCTTAAATAACATCCTTAACGTGTAATGGAAGTCTTCTGACACTGTATATATGTGAAAATCGGAAATTTCATTCTCTAATATATATTTGGGATCATATTTCAAAATTCGATGTATACTATTTCATTATGGATGGCTATTAATAAATATGTTTCAGATCTCATTATGATTGAACATTATTTAGGTGTGTCAAACAAAATTTTTCCATTGTCAATTGTTTATTCCGCTATGTACTTTTTAACTATGTTCAAGCAAAAACAAACATTCGATTGTAATCAAGGAGACTAATAATGTTTTTGTTTGATCAGAATGACGAAGGAAAAAACTGCTAGTTTTCCGAAACCAAACAAGAATACGGAATGATGCTACTCTTTTTTTTTTCTTTCTTCTGAGCACAACCGTGAACTTGAAGGTCGTTTAAGTGTGATTGAAATGCGCATGATAAACGTTGTTATAACCAATGAGAACGAAATGATAAATAGGCGAATTATATTCGAGAAGTATTTGAATATCAGTGACATGAACAGATCGTTGAGTGATTGGATTACGATGATCAACCACGTATAAATAGAGAAGCCCCCAAATAAATCCATTTTATTCATAGTTGCTGAGTTGTAAATCGGTACGAATACCGCCGGAACGAAATTTAATAAAGGGTCATATATACACAAATCATGAGAATACAGAATGAACGAATGTACGTTCGTGTTCTGCTGATTTTCTTGTGGTATTTCGTTATATGACTGTAAAATGTAAACTATAAAAATTACATCAATAATGGTTCGCAGATTAAATCTAATCTATAGAGTAAGGCAGCAAGGACAATAGTATCAAAAGAGAAAACGATTGTTGTCGAGTAAATTTCTGTTTAATAATAATTCGATAGAGAATCGTCATCGATACAATCATAAAAATTCGATAAGCGTTGATACGAAGTTGGATCCATGTAAAGTTGAGTATGAACAACAAGATTGTTGATTGTAAAATAGAGTAAATCCAAGATAAAATAAGGCAGAGATTGTTTAAACGGGGATTTGAGGCATGTTGAAGTAGGAATTAATAATGATAAAATAAATTTAGTCAATTGAAGAATGAAATTCATTATCGTAGAAGAAAACATAATCTGTCCGTTATGTTCGTAAAGTTGCACTAAAATCGAATACGGGTTCCTAGGTGATTATTTGAAATAAAATCACCGCTTGAAAGAATAGTGTGTGAACGAGCTAATTCTTTTTATTCAATGGTTCTTCATTCTCGTCATTGATAATAATTTTCATGTTTTCCATTGTAACAGTCATTGAAGAAGTACAAGTATGTTAAGTCCAGTACACATTGAATGTACTTGTACTACAAAATTGTACTGTACTAAGTATCGAATCACTGATTTGTAGGCATTCAAGTTGCACATGTCGCAACGTTGTTGTTTACATTGGTTAAAACAAAAGCTTAGAAAAGAAATGCTTGTTTTACAAGGCAATGATTATGCCGTATTTTTGTCTTTCTCTCAAAAAAGGTGTATTAGTAGATGCGTAGGTTATTCACTCGGTCTATCGATAGAATCCCACGTGTGTTAAGATTGCGACGCGATTTATTTTGAAAACAAGCAAATACGTATAGTCGTGCATTCGATTTCTTCATCGAAATGGAAGCATTTATGAACGCCGGTGTGATTCCAATTCCATCGAAAATGGACGAAGAAAAGAATTTACATGCAGCAATAAGTGCTATAGCCAATGATCTAGCCCCGAGTTTTGCCGAACTGGAAAGTGAAACTGAAATAGAAGACAAACGCTTAACCAATGCCCTACGTCAAATGGCTCCGTATCCAACACTTGTAGAATTACAATCAACGATTGTTAAACAAAAAGCAAATGAAGTTACAACGACGATGGAACCTCCTTCGATTGAACGATTGCAAATATTTCTTGCGCAACGTGCAACTACCATCAAAGAATTGAAGAAACTTCGAGCTAGCATGTCTAAACATATTCGAAATTGCAGGATATCGAATACATTTGGCAACTCTGCATCTGTTGTCGGCGGTACTCTATGTTTTTTCTTTCCGACTATCGGCGTTCCACTTGTACTTGCTGGCAGTGCTACAAGTCTTGGTAAATATCGACAATCAATATGACTTCTTTTCTCGATTTTTGCCCATCAATTTTAGGTACAGCTATTGCCGGAAGTATGATTGAAAAACGTCTTCAAAAGAAATACACTCACTTATTGAACGAAGACTCATTGGCGATGCAAATGTGCGAAACAAATCTGAAAGATATCACTACCTGGCTGGTCACTGTTTATTCACTCGGACAATCTGCGACAAGAGCTGGAGTTGATCTGTTCCAACTAGCTGAATCCATTCAAGCAGCATCGACACTCACCGCATGGTCAGAAATCATCGCCCAACTACCATCGTTAAGTAATGCTCTGGCAACAGGAGCGAAAACTATTAGCACAATTAGCGGACAAATTCTCGGCATATCAGTCATTATATCTGTAGCTGATCTAATTCATACGTGGATATCAAAAAATGCAACATTAGAAAGTATTGATAAAGACATCGTATTATTGGAACAACAATTAAACGAACTGAAACACATCGCTGAAATATATTCTGTCTAATTTCAATTGTTTTTCTTAATATGCAACACGCTGAAAGTGCGCATCGAATTTTTATTTTCATTAGTACAGAAAAATTTATGGTCGAGGTACGGTCTGATTATTTCGAAATAATTTACTAATGTTGTTAACAATATTTGTAAGCATTGATTTGAATTCTTTTCGGAAGATATGTGGAATTGAAAAGTATAGATAAAACGATAAGACTGGATGTAGGAAACGAAATGTTTCCGTAAAGAAGCGAATAAATGATTCAGTTCGAACGTGTTTCGCAGATTTATTCATTCTAGTTAATGATATTATAGTAGAATACCAAGAATACTTGTTGATCTTTGATTTGCTCTCAATCATTGTTTCTTCTTGAGCTTGTGCTCATCAGTTTCTCGCGGCGCTGTTGTTTTAACTTCAAATTTTTGAATAATAAGCAAGACAAAAGGAAGGCTAAACCAGGCGGGACAATCCCGATCAACACAATACTATAAACACTCTGATCAATATGTAACGCACTTATTGAAGTTAAAATACAAGACGCTATTCGAAACAATAAAATAGATAGACAGGTGCATTGACATTAAAAGCCAAAAGAGCACAATACTTAGTATGACATAGCACAACATGCGATATGGATACGAGCAAATTATCATAGTCGAGCACTTGCTGAAGAAAGAACAAAACGATCGAGACACTTGTTGAGCGGAATTCATGACATATATCCTTATTTTGCAGTAAATCAATACATCAACAGTCCATGCTCGATTGTAAACATAAATAACCGGTAAAACACCTATAATCAAAGTGATGAAATTCGCTATTGTTGAAGCCAAAAGATCTATTTTAATAAATATAAGCTTTATCGTTCGAATTTGTATCTACTTAAAATTATCACAAGATATCGTACGTAATTGTTTTCGCCGAAAGATGAATACGCTAATAAGATTACCTAGGGTTCCCAAAACCATCATAAATGAGTATCTGCAATACGTAATCATTTGTTGAGCTGACGTTAACGTGGAACTTAATTGATTCAATGATGACATTCTCTGCGTTTTTGTTTCAATTCTACTCGTGGAAAACGTTCCTTAATGGTAATAGTGAATATAAAGAGTCTATAAAAAGTTTTATTAAATATTCTCTTCCTAAAAGGAATCTACGCTGGAAAGATTTTTTCCATTGGATATATGATGGTTACTTTTTAAAGAAAATTCTCTCTTACCTGACTTTCTTTTTCAAGGTAGAAGAAAAATCACTTGAAGACATAATTAAGATGACCGTACATTTATTACAACAGAGCTAGTTTATAAATATTTGTTTTCAGAACTGTAAGACGTGTACAAATCAAAGAGCAGCAATACCACCGTATGTAGTTAAAACAAAAACATGATTCGAGTCTACAGCGACAGACAAATGTACATGAGATAAGTAAGTATAATCAAGAAAAGCAAACTCATCGACTGTTACAGATGGAAAACTACATTGACATGATGCGTGATTGAATCCTCGTGTTACTTCAGCTAGTTTGTTAATATTAACACGGTAATATGAGATAGGAGTTTTTGATGATATTGAGTTTTGTAAGAATTGTACACAGTTTGATAATAATGCGCGATATCCACCCGTCGGTGCTTTATCAGGTAAATGCTCAACGGATAATTGGTGTGTATTGAAATCGAAGATGAGGTGATTATAAATTTGAATAAGATCATCAACAACACTGATACGATTATAGTTTAAAGGACAAGCGCAGATTTCATCAATTCGATGATCTTTTGCTGATAGTATTCGAAACAGACTAGTGCCTGAATCATGTTTAGTTTGATCTAGTAGATGTTCACGATAACCCAAAACATGATTTTTTGCGCATATAGGCGGATCAAACCAGCCATCATCCTCTTCATCTGTATTTAAACGTTGATCAACAAGTTTTCCATCATAATCGAACAAAGCATTTCTTCTTTGATACCCTAAAATGTTCTCTTCAGTCATAAACTTCCTATAATCATCTTCCATTAATTCATCCGGGTCCGATATGTCAGTTATCTTATAATGTAGTTTTGAGAGAAAATCCTGTCCAATGAATTGTGATTGATGTCGATTTGTCATATACGTTCGATCAACACTATGGTCAAAATCGGTCATTGGTTCTCGTCTGCTTTCATCTTTTTGTTTCACTCGATACAATGAGCCATAACAATTTCGATTGTAAAATATATCTGATAACAACTGTTGCTTCGAAACTTCACACACTTCTTGAGTAGTTCGATCGTATCGCACTGTATACGTTTGTGAATCTTCAGTATGTCCGAGTAGAAAGAAAGCGTAGACAGCAGCAACACGGCAGCATGCGTCGGCATGTTGATTGAAGAAGTTAACATCGGAAAAGCAAAATAAGGTTTGACTTCCATATTGTGCATGAATTGTTGGTATAAACTTGGACTGATTTGGATCTGTGTTCATTCGATTGGTTTCTTGTGCCTGCCAAATGAGTTTGAACGGTTGAAATTGCGGATAGGCAAAAATAAAATTTTGAACATCTTGTTCGTGCAAATATTTCAAAACATTAAGCCACATTTCAGGTGGTAATTCATATTGTTTAGCATTGATTTTCTTCGATATCATTTTCTGTTCCAATAAACGTGGATAACAATATCGAATTGATAATGATCGTTCGTATAATTCACCTGTTTCCACCGTGTTTATCTTCCTGATGGATTTACCTTGTTCTTTCAATTCATTTGCTTGCGCTTCACGAAATAAATTCAAACATGCGAAATAATCTTCTTCTTCTTCGGCACAAACGGCAAAACCTAATGGTTTGTCGATTCTTTTGACAGTCACATCACTTCGAAGAATAAAACGCTTTGCATTTGGTCCTTTTGGTGCAACAGCTTCGTGTAATAAATTGTGTGTGAATAAAATAGCATGACCTTTCTTTGGCTGGATCGTCACACATTGGTATCCATTCTTTAACCCATCGTAAGCATTGATCTCTTCTCTTATGGTTAATCCTTTTATGTCTGAATTTGGTGCTTTCTTTGGAAAATAGAATTTGGTTTGCCCTTGTTCGTAATCATCGTTGAGATAGATAATTAAACTCAACAGAGATCGTTCATCGCCACTTGGAGCATATTGTGCGTCTTTATGAGGTGAAAAGTGCTGTCCGGGATTATATTTGTTCAATCTCATAGCAGGATTAACACCACTTAGTTCCCATTGGCCTTGGACATTGAAGCCTAAAGGTTTCGTGTTTGCTATTAATTTCGTCAGTCGATTACTGAACTTTAATCGTCGCCAAAGTGTACGGGCTAATCGATCGTCTATAACGATCAATCTCGAGTTATTTCGTATCTCAGCATCATATTTTTCTGACATATCTTCCATTGTTTGTTGGTTCATATTTGAAAGAATATCATCACATTCGTCATGAGTTAGTAATGTACCTAACTCGATCAAGATTAAATCATCTTGTTGTTTGATGCTGTTCAACTGAGTACGATTCGGTATTTTTGTCGGAACATTATAATTTGTTAATAATGAAGTCGTGACGCTTAAGTCTGTAGTACCAAGAAAATGTTGTCGAGACATAAAGATTTGATTAGAAGTTCGTAACTGCATTTTTTTCTATATGACAATCTACGAGCATCTGTGTTTGTTGTTTTATATTCACCAGAACTGTAATTGCACAACGACGCGCTCATTACACACAAAAGCAAGTTTTTCTTTGTAGATGGCGAAAGTAGTAAAAGAGAGTATCATGTAGGATTTGTTTCGGGATAATTACAGCGTGAAATCTATCCCGTTCAATTCAAATTTCTTTTCAAATAGATAAAATGCATAAAAAAGAATGTCTTTCTATGTGCCTCATTTTAAATTCTTATTCGTGTTTGAATATGTAATAGATTCAAATGAATCATCCACGGGAAAGGACAGTGTTTAGTGTCAACTTCTATTGTATACGATTTCTTTGAACGAAAATTGTTCATACGAATCATTCGTTGATCGCATTTGAGTATTAATTCGATTGTATCTCCTTGTGCATAATCACTCACATATCCATTGACATCCTTCTGACAGTGCCCATGCATGTAGACTTCATTATGACCGGCCCATCCATACGAAGATGATGAATTATGTGAATTCGGCTGCATAGGTGTTGATTCTGAAATGATGCCAAAAAACCACCATGGATGCATATCAAGATGTTGAATGTGTAGGTAAAGTCGATATGTGCCACTAGTGTATCTGTTTTTGCCACGAATTTCTCCTGAACTACCGAACAGATTGAAATTATGACACGCAAGATGTCCATCGTCTTCAATGTGTACATCTCCACACTTCTGATCGAATCGATCTTGTAGATTGATAAAAATACTGTTCACGAGAGGAAAATTTTGATGTTTTGCATCGACGATAATGTCTATCCGTGAGATATCTGTTTTTAGTTTGTCTAGTGTGTGTCGCCATTTTTTTAAATTACGTTCATCGAAGTCGTCATTAGATTGCCTGTGGCGTATTTCTTCTTTCATTTCCTGGAATTCTGTCAGATATTTGCCTTTGTCCAACGTGATCCTTTCTTCAACTTGTTGACGAGCGTCTTTCGCAGCATTTCTAATCTTTTCAATGGATTTCATTTCCCAATCGGTAATTTCGTTCAATAGAGTGGACTTTTGGGCACGAATTTTTTCTTCCGATGTTTCCTGGAATGTGTTCATTTTATTGAGAACGCTTTCAAGTTGTGAGTCAAGCTCGTTTCGATGCACGTTCAGATCATGACGGCAAAACAAATCTTCACACCCTTGGCATTTAAAATTACCTACTTTTTTCTTACAGACGATGCAAAGATCATTCACTGTGGACATTGTGAAAAAGAAAAGAAACGCAAAACTGTTTTGGTTTGTTTTTCATCTGTCTTATCTTTTGCTACTCAAATTGGTTTTGCGTTCTTGAAGAACGATAAAATAAAAAAGAGCGTGTTTCTGTTGATTATCTCGTGCGACATAAGTTTGACAAACGACCTTGAGAGCTATTGGATGATTTCAAGCAGATTCAGCTGTGATAGGATCAGCATGAAAATTGGATTCTTTTGTTACAACTTTCTTATTTTCTTATATTCTTGGAAAAATTCTGATAAAATAATCCGATTTTTATCAAAGAATTTCATACGTATTAAGTGATTGGATTCAATAAATAGCTATAAGTCATTACGGTGATGGAAATTCACAGTCACTACCTCGATTATAGTTTTATTTTCTTCCAGAGAAATCTCATTAAAATCAAGCAATAGTCTTTGTATAGATTTTATACCATCGAGTGTTCCTTTTGGAGACATACATTTAAACTCAGTCAACATAGCAGCTATAAAAAGAAAAGAACGTAGTTATGTTCGCACTGAATAACTGTCTGACCCAAGGCATTTTACTTTCTCTCTCTCTTACGCAGCTGACTATTCATCATAAAGAATCTAGCTTCTCTACTCACTAATCAAGACTCGGTGATGCCTCTCTTGTTTTTAATCAACAAATACATGTTCAGGAAGCCAAATCATACCTTCCCTATGATTCAACATTGTCAGATCTATGAATCATCTACTTCTACAATTCTATTTTCTTATAGTTTTATTTTTCTCTTTCTTCCAAGAACCTCGTCGCCAGATACGAAAGATATAAAAAGCATCTTTCATCAACTATTCATCGTGATCTGTCTGCTCTTTTAATTGATGCCGTAGACAGCCTCCTACAGTATTCATCGTATATTAACAGGCTTTTCAGTCATCATTTTTCTTTATTTCCTTCTTATTTCTTAATATGACGAATTCCATCAAGTTTGCATTACTGGTAATATTCGAAATTCCAGCTATTTGTGTATCGATTCTCATGCTTATATATTTCCTCACAAATCCTATAGTTCGTGCAAAATCGAAGAACCATATCTGGATGATTCTTCTCCTCTTCAATTTCGTTCAGTTATTAGTTCTTCTACCTATGCCCATCAGTTTCTACTATTTGGAAAGAATAAGGCCAGCAACAAACACCTATTGTGTATGGTGGAACTGGTACGAATATTCATCAAATGCAGCGAGTGTCATTCTCATGGCATGGGCATCGATTGAACGGTACTTTTTCATCTTTCATCCGAGATTTTTGCTCGGCGAATGGTGGAAAAAGTGGTGTTTTCATTTCATTCCCATCTGTCTATGTATTTTCTGGCCATCAGTGTGGTATTTTGCAGTTTCAGTCATCAGTCCGGGATGTATGAATGTGTGGCAATTCGATCAAGTTATCTGTGGCATTCCATGTTTCACGATGATATATGGAGGGATTCTTGGTGTGCTTCATTTGCTGCTCAACATCATGATTCCGATCTTTGTCATAGTCGCAACAAACATTGCGCTTATCAGTCGAGTGATCTGCGAAAAGTTTGCTCGTCGTCAGATTGTGAATTGGCTTCGTCAGCGTCGAATGGCATTTCAGTTGTGGTTTGTTTCATCTCTGTACATGACTGGATGGTTACCATTGACGTTCACAGGATTAGTTCAGTTCACAGGACGTCCAACATTCATGTTGGAACATTTGTCGAACATTTACTTTTCTCTTTACTTTGTTCCCTTATTGTTGCCGATCGTGTGCTTATGTCTGTTTCCTGATGTGGTAAAGATAACGCGAGAATCGTTGAAACGCCGAAGGATAAATCGAGTAGCGACAATGACATAGATTTACTTTTCGGACAGAATACAATCATTTGCGTATTTCTAATGAGAACGGTATTTTGTACTTGCCGTACGATTTCTTTTCATCGGCATGGTTAATAAACGTTCTTGTTGAGGTGTTTCTATTTGATTAATTAGAAAACTTCGTCATGAAATATCAGTCGTGGATATTTTTTTATTAAAAAAGGATTTATACAATGCTGAATATTTTAACTTCGTCATAAATCAGGACTATACGTTGTTCATTATCTTTTGTTAAATGGGTGCACTCTGTTGAATAAGGATCTCTGCGGACTAAATGAAAAACGAGAATCAGTAATTGAAACACATTTACTTTATTTTTCTAATTCTCTTGCAATTTAGTAGACGTTTCATCCAATATATTTTTGAGTATTGAGTAATTTCGAAAGTGCACACTTAAACGAAATGTTATACGAGATATTCTTGAACAGTTCCAATAACTTCCAACTGATTTCTTAACTATAGGCAGGTATTCGTAGAACTCATACGTAAGAAGAAGTACAGAATCAAACCTTTTTCTTGCAATTCTTTCTTGAGTTCATTAACATCACGACCTAGATATGCTTCTAAATTGTCACTCGTTTTTACCCTGTAGAAAAGTAATCAAAAGTGTTTGACTGATGATTGAATAATGAAAAGAACAAGAGACAATTGCTTATTGTTTTGTTTTGTTCTGTCTCACATGAAATATATTACATATCGATCGTCGTTAACGATTAATTATTCTGAAATCATATCAATCGGGCAACGCTCTCAACGAAGAAAGTAAACAACTGAAGGTAAGTTGTTTTACAAAAAATATCATCTATTTTTGATAAAACATCAAACATCTCAGTTAAACAAAGTAGGTTATTACCAGGTAGAAAGAATAAAACTAATCTACGGACAAATGTGAAGTAAGAATACTTTTAGTCGAATGTAGCAAAGATTATGACTTTCGATGTGATGATAAGAGCCAAACGATACAAAGAACGAAAGACGGTGCTTGTTATATCATTAACGGCGTGCTTCACCCTTCAACCAGTATAATTATTTAGAGTATAGGCTTCCATTCGATGAATCAGTCAATTTGTTTGATCCAAGTTCTTCAGAGTTTAATCAATATGCTAATTTTGTATTTCACATACCTTCCGACAACAAAACTGACCAATTTTACTTCCAAGCTGGTTCTACCGTAGTTCTAAATAACGGTCTGTCAACCATCATCACATCCTTGCGATGTACTGCTTTGATCCAACGTTTGCTTTTACTTAAATATAATATACAAACAAAAAACATGCGCAAAGTTCATGGATTTCAAATTCTGGCACATTTTTATATCTTCATCATGACTCATGTCGGCAACTGTCGATGAATATAATATCACAACATTAGATTTTGTGCAAGAATATATTCAGCAAGATGTAAAAAAATGTGGATATTCTGATCAAACATTCATATTTGATCCAGACGAGAATTGGCTGGTTGATATTCACACATTGATTATTGATAGAGAATATCATCCATATTATGTCAAAATAGATTTTAAATTTAATCGATAAAGTCAAAGATATCGTTGTGGATTTTTGTTCACTACACAAAGATGGTAGAGCTAGTTCAATGACATACGATTCAAAGACAAAACGAATATTATTATCATGGTTAAAAACTGGAATCACTAGGGATATTGTTATGGTTGATATGAACTCTTATACCAGTGAATTTTAAAAAGAAACATTACTTTTGAGAATACTTGGTGGATTATTTGTCCAAAGCGTTCAAGTTTTTTTGATGAATCCACCCGTCATGTAATGTGTCTAATTATTGTTGAACTTGATAGAATGAAAATTGTGGAAAAAAGGCAAGCGATAGTCGATGTAGGTTTCCTTGGTTGGACTTTATTCAGACATAATAGAACTTGTAGTATAGATATTCTGAATGATCATCATAAAAATAAACACTCTACTAGCAATTGAATAATCTTATGTCAATATAGAATGAGGCAGAATATCATGTTGATTTCGTCATTCGATGACGCACATAAAGAGCAACGCAATTCATGTTTTCTGCAACATGAAAAGAAATTGTTTGTAATTGGGTGTCTAATTGATTTTTCTGCCACTTCGTGAATGAATGAAAACAACTAACGATGATTTCTCTTTCGACCGGTCGATGACAAGCTTTCTCATTTTTCTTCTCCATCTTTCCATCTGTATATATACATACATCTACACATATATTTTAGTTATTTTTCAATACAATCAGTTTTGCTATTGGTCTATTCTGTACATCTCCACACTGGTATGGATATGAATTTGTTTCTCGGCTCGAATGGCATTCCTTATGGTCAACCTGTGACAAGAAGTGAAATGGTTCATTTAAATAATATTCCACCACAGCTCTATGGATTCCACTATGATCCGTTACCAAACATAGGTGTCAATGCACCGTACGTTAGATATCACAGACTACCCAATTCTGGATTGCCTAACTGACATTGAAAAAATGCATTTCCAATTTGTAAACTGCGATCTATTGTGATGAAATATGCACACTAAATAAACTAAGGAAAACAGCTCGGTTGATGTTGTTATTTATTAGATATAATCTTATGAAAGAAAATACTAGATAGAACAACGATGTCATAGAGCGGCACGAAATTCATTCATTGAGAAATTAGGATCGATCTTGCGACCTCTTGGTACGGCTGCTTCTTTATGACCAAGAACACGTGCAGAAGGAACGCCATAAGCTTTTTGAAGTGCTCGGACTCCCCTGAGATAGCTTTGATATTGCACTTCAGGCCAGTGATTGTGTCCACTATCAGTTGCTGGGAGACCAACTCCTTCAGCTTCGATACCGATCGCGTTGTTGTTTCCATAAACTGAATCGTCGATGGTACTACCAGCATGATAGCAGCGACCAGCAGCAATGACAAACCATGTTCCTGATCGACCGAGTCCGAGTTGGGCTAGTGGACCTGCAAGACCGGAGATGCCGTCACGAATAGCAGTCAGCGATGGGTAATCTCCTGAAGCTGGGCCAGCTGTGTGGTGAACGACAATACCTTTGACAGATGACATGACACCGTGACCACGAGTTCTCCAACCGGCAACTTCAACAACATTGAGACCAGCACCGCGGAGAATGTCAGCCAAACCGGTAAGCATGGTGTTCACTGGTTTACTTGGACCGGGTCCACCAGTTGGTGCAGATCCAGTTGTACAACATTGAATGTTGTTACCACCGGGACAAAGGTTAGCTGGATCAGAGCTTCCTGAACAAGTCGAAGTTGGTTGACATTGACCACCAACACCTTTGCTGTTTGTACATGTGCGGTATGTACAACATTGAATGGTTTGGTCACCAGGACAGAGATTTGCTGGATCTGATGTTCCGCCTAAGGTTTTACAACTGCTGGTGCTAATACATTCTCCTTTGCGACCATTTCTAGCTGTGCATGTGCCATGTTTTTGACCAAGAGCGATCAACGGCAGAGCTAACAAGACAATGAGTTGGACACGAATCATCATTGTTATCTTCTATATAATATCAGTCGATACTGTTAAAAACAACGATCCACCTTCTATCTATTTCATATAAATGTGTAACAGCCTATATATATGCTGCGCTTAATCTTTTTTTTAATAACGATGAAAAACAAAAGATGAAAAATCCACCGTTTATTTTTTCTCTGCTTTCAAAAATTGATCCGTCGGTAATTAATTGAAAAGTGAAATATAATATAATTTTCTTAAATAGGACATATCACAGCTAGTCATTTGAAAAACGGTACTTTCGCAAAAATCAAAGTCTGCTTCTGTACGATAGCAGCATATTACTGATTATTTCAATGTATTCTATAGTAACTGTTGATTTCCCTGATATGTTCAGGATAATGAATCGCATTTTGAAGTTCTAGGCCTTTCTTCAAACAATCATCAATCGTTGGCGGCGAAATACTTCCAGTTATAGTATTTAGCACCTGTTTACCCCATGCGATCATGTTTGCTGTCAACAATGACTTAATCTCTTTTTTTATAGCTTTGTTACGTATACGCTTCGATGGTAAGCCCTCCAACGATGTTAAAGTGTGATTAATTTTCAGGGCGTCTCTTAGTTGTATTAATCCTTGTTCTGAAATTGCATTACGAGCCAAATCGATAGAACGTATATGCTGATTGAATTGTATCAATCGACTGATTTCCGCTGCTCCTTCATTTCCCAGAATGTTATCTAAGCCACCGAAGATAGTTGTAGACTTTAAAAAACCTAGGCCCAATTGTTGCAAGCTTGGATGATGTATCAGTGCGTCAGTCAAAGATCGGGCACCATCAGGACCAACGGAATTTGATGCTAGACTCAATCGTTGTAGACATTTATCATGTTTGAGTCCTGCTGCTATTTGACACGTGCCTGCATCAGTCAACGCATTGCACGACAGGTACAATGTTTCTAGACAACTATCGTTTTCTTCGAAATGACGACGAATCACTTCTGCACACTTCACAGTGAGACCGTTCGAATCGATGTATAAATGCTTTAACGTACGGTTCATTTTAAGACCACCGAATAGAATTTCACATCCTTTATCCAATAAACCAGTGTTCAGTAGATCTAATGTTTGAATGCAAGTATTGCTGGATAGCATTCGAGCGATATGAACTGCACCAGAAGCTAAGATTGGGTTACGCTTGAGCCAAAGTGCTTTGACTTTGGTATCCGTGGCTAAGGCATCGCATAGCAATCCAATGCTGTCACTGTCAAATCTGTTACAAGCAATATACCACGTGTCAATGGTCGAATCAGGATTGAAACGAATGTAATCAGAAATTGCTTCTGCTCCAGGTCGTCCTACGATATTGTTCCCTTAGAAAACGACAGATTAGAGAATTAGCTTTAATGATTGCTTCGAGGTTCTTACCGAGTAGCAGACGGTTAACTGTCGAGCTGTGTTTCATAGCGTCGAGTACTGGTTGAACTCCCTGAGGACCTACGGCTTGTTTACATAAATCCAATCGTCCGCCTGTCATCATCGTTCCACGTGGAAAAACAATCGGATTTTTATCATCCGATGGGCCAGGTTTATTTGCTCTTAAATATTCTATAAGTGGTTGAAGTTCTTCCAAAGGACACGGAACAACTAAAGGAGTCCGTACGTCACTTTTTCTAGGCAATGAAAAATTTTGAGAATGTCTTTACTTGGTTGTGGCTGAGGATGTATAACATTGGAGGCGGGAGAAGCAGATAACACTTCTTCTCGTTGTTGTCGAGTACAGAACAATGGTCGATCTTTCCATGCAACTTGCTCTTCGATAAAAATCAACGATCTTCTCTTCAATTGCCGACGAATGGTTTCAATAAGGTTCCGATACATTTGATCTGCTTGACGGTTTTCATTAGATAAGATTTGTATATACTTCGCAACTTCTTTTGCCATAACTAAACACAAGTTCATGATAGAACTAAGATTAATATACATATTCTTACTTGTTGTGAGTTCGTTTGGATTATTTGAAATGAATGGTGCTTCATAAATACACTGACTGATCAAAATCTCATTTTTAATGTTGTCATTCGTTTGTTTTAATGCAATTTCATAATCATGATACAGCTGATTTCCAATCATTTGAACACATGCTTGTTTTAGATTTTCTAGTAATGTTGTTCCCGTTGGATGTGTATCTTTCAGCCGTTCAGCGTATGCATAAAGTGTTTTCATATCACCCCAATCACCGTATCTTGGAATTGTACTAAGATGCTTGGAGAGAACTTCATCTGGTTTTTTCAAATACAATTGTATCCAATGATGAAAGAAAGGTGTCATCATATTAGTATTGTCAACCGATTCACTCTGATGAAATTTCATTCGTTCACACCAAACAAGTAACATTCCATCATCAAAGTGATTACTCTCGATATCTTCAATTAAATGCTGAATACTTTCTTTCGACACTGGATGTAAGAGACCAATCGGAGTGGCAAACGCTTGTTCTTCTTTTCTTCGAGACGACAGTGTACAAGTTCGTCTCTGATGATATAAGATAGTGGCTTCGATTTTCCCATCAAAGGATTTTGACGTGTGGCTTTGATAGGTATTGTCTCTTTCTGAAAGATTTTCTTGTTGCTCTAGTAAAAATTCTCGAATCATTGCGTACGGCCAAGTTTTTGGTGTGAAGCGACTCCCTTGATGCGTGATCACCTTTGCATCTACAAAAGCTGCTGCCAGTCGCAAAGTTCGATCATTATTAATCGAACCATCTTTAGTTCCATAGATGTGCAAAGAACAAACATTTTGTATAGACTTTGATTTCATTAAATCTTGGTAGTGTTGCATTTGTGACTCCAATCCAGAGACAAGAATAGCAAAATAAAACGAAATATTTCCTAATGGTTTTAGTCCGCATAGAATGCCAGCTAATGATGCGCCTTCCTAAATACGAAAATGCAATATTCTTTTTCACAAAAAAGATAAGTGTCACATACCCCCAGACCAAGTATGCCATCGAAAGGCCCTTCTGATTTGAATAATCGATCGAGATAGTACACTGAAGTGTATAGATGCTGCTGCTGAGTTTTGTCACTCAAAGTTGATAAAGGTTGAACTTCTCCATCAATTGTGCTATGATAAAGTTGTTTCCTATTAGCGATATGAAAGGTCGCTATATCTGTCAAGGCTTTAAATAACGCTTTTGTATTACGTTTGAAAAGCTTAAAGTTTTGATGGAAGTCTGGAAGAATAAGTATCTTCAAAGGAAGATCTGTTGTTCTATCTGATACAACCATATATGAATAAGAAGCAACTATTTGAAAAAGAATCCGAATCGAAATATGCTATTTCTTCTAAGTTACGACAGTATCTACCATGTAATCATTATTGGTTTGATGTACATAACGACAGAAAAGAAAAGGTAAAGAAAGATGTCAGTAAAAACAGAACCGACTAATAACAAGATATATTCAACGATAAACAGCTGGTGACACATTTAAAAATAAAACACGAACTTCGACGCTCTGTCGATGGTCTTGTCGAGCATCAGGTCGCTCAATTGTTGCAGCGGAATGTGGTGTATGTAAAGTGTCAAATACTACTGCATCACCTATCTTCATGTCTGACTGACATATCCATCGGTGATAGTCACGAAAGTACACGCCTAGTGCAGTGAAATGGTTGCCTGTTCGTCGTACAGCAGTATACGGCTGTAGTTCTTGATCGAATTGATCGATTGAGCTGTAATCCATGACAGCAAGGGTGTTCTTAGTAGGACAGGGCGTAAGTGGCATCCATATGTTTACTACTTTTTCTACTTGTACGCTGGTATACTGTTCATCCGTTAATGTATGAGGTTGTAGGCCTAACGCTAGCTCAATATTGACTTTCCATGTGTCTTTAAAGTGAAAAAGTGTTTCGGTAAAATTCGTACTGGGAAAATCAACATGAGCAAAGCACACTGGACCAAAGGCATTCGAATGTTGTTTATGGTTCGTGTCTCGGTATACGGTGTCCAAAGGCACGACAAGATTGAATTTCAAATTGAGCTGGTGACCCCATTCTGTTAACAATGGAATAATGCTCTGTCGTAGACGAATTCGATTCGCTCGTTCGGTGGGTACTGCTGCTAGTTGGTGAAGTGCTTCCGAGATTATGTTGTTCAGTTGCCAATACTCAAAGCCATGCTGTTGAAAGGCGAACAATCTGCGTACTTCTTCGCCATCGTAAAGTTGAACAGAAGTGTCTTCAACCTGCAGATTACCGTTTTGAATCAGAGAGGAAACCTCATCTGTACTCACATCGTTCAGCGGCTTAAATGCTGGACCGAGATAGATCATTTCTGTGTATACCGTTTTCTTCATTTCCTTCTGCGCCATATTCTGATAAAAAGATAGTATGCGTACTTATCAACTGTGATCGTTTTTTAACAAAATAAATAGTTGTAAATCTATCGAGCTATACGTAACTTGAGAGGGCACATGATGCGATATGTTGACGACATTATTGCACAATATAGTCAAAAAACAAAAGTAACCTTATCGGAAGTGACGCAGAAATGAATAATAAGGATCTCTGACTGTTAGAGAAAAAGAGAGAACCATTGGAGGTGATGATATGGACGATCTTCGGCCGTTCGTTTATTTCTCAAACCCTTTTACAAATACAGACAACGGTGCACATATATACGAAGGAGAGACGAGACGATAAAGAATATAGTGATGGATGTGGAGGACAACCCCACGTCGCCTTAACACTAACGCAATTACTGTTTTCTTTAATTATTTACACCTAACATTTGACATAGTATCTGTCGACAGTACTCATTAACTCGGTCACGAGTGATACATAACAACATAGAACACTGTACACGTATATAACACTTAATGAGTATAAAAAATTTGTCTTACATTGAACACTCTTTTATCGATATATTGTCATTATAATTACCTAAAAAAAGAAGTGCTTTGCAAGTCCAATAAATACCCTCAAAATATGTTGTTATTTCTTTCGTTCTTCACGACATCTGAATGCATTACCTATCGGCGGAAAGAAAAGCAAAATGAGTCGTTCGTAAATAACAAACTTATTCTCACTTGATGAGAAATTATGGAAGGTATTGAAACCCCACAAATCGTTGTTGTCGGCGGTAAGAAAACAAACGACTATTTCATATCTAGTCATTTCTATTCAGGTGGACCAGTTGGTCTATTCACTGGTATCCAAATCAAAATTCTTATTCCAGACATTAAACTTGCTATCTATGAAAAACATACCGAATATCAGCGTAAACATGTACTTCGCTTAAACAAATTGACGACATTTTTCGGTTTTCCACCTCATCCGTTATTAACGGATATGATCAACAATCTACCCTCCGTGGTTCGAACTTCGGTTCTAGAAGGTCAACTCCTAGATATAGCCAAACAACTAAAAATACCTATTCACTATCGGCATATCACTAACCTTAGTGAATTTTCCAACGCACAAGTGATTATCGGCGCTGATGGTTCTCATTCATTAGTACGTGAAATTGTTTTCGAAAATAAAATGAAGTACGAAAATGTTCTGAAATATGTTCTCGAAGTTAAATACGAAGTTTATGGTCAAGGCGAAAAGCTTGATTATGTTAAATATCAATATCGGACACAAAAACAAATGAAATATATCATTGAAGAACATATTGGTACAGAAAAAGATAATCGCACACCGATTACCATTCACTTATTAATTGATCAACAAACGTACGAACAAATGAAGCAAGCAACGTTTAAAAATCCCTTTTATCTACGTACACACAAACATCTGATGCCAAATGATTTACTTGACACAATTATGCTTTGGTTAAATGTGAAAAAGGAGTATGCTAATGAGAAACGCGTGGAAAACTCAGAGAGAATCACGACAATCGCTCTAGCTTGTTACGCATCCGCGAATGTCGTTCACTACGATGAAGATAAAGCACAACACATATGTCTAGTTGGTGATGCAGCGTTTGGCGTTCCATTCTTTCGTTCTTTAAATAACGGCATCATCTGTAGTAGAAAACTCGCCTCTTGTATTGAATTATTCTTTAAGTCGAATTCTGCACAGACAAACGGAGGAAGTTTGTTAAACAACATGACATATGAATGGACAAAATTCGTCAATCGAACTCATTCTCTAATACATTTGAATCAGCCATTACAAGCATATAGTCAATTCGTTCAAACTCTCGCAGGAAAAGAGATCATCGTCGCACAAAATAAAGCGCATTTACTTTTTGCAGCCGATATGATGAACAAAATAAATGGCGCAGTCCCATGGCAAGTCAACTGCTGGTCGAAAAAGGAAGTTGATCATTTCAAACACAACAACGATGATTCATCTGAAGAAATAGTTCATGAAGGACACGCCGGCATCTCCGAAGTAGATGACGAATATGATTTAGTGCAAGAATTCGATCTTATACCAACAAACACATCTTAAGACTTCAAATGTGAATTCAAATCTTTATTTATATTTCAAGAATGATTTTTTTCTGAAATAAAACAAAAACGACTCATTTTGAACAACGAGCATTGTTGGCATTGAATGGGAAGTTGAGCATTGAGTCAATCAATACTTGTAGACCTGTTTTTGCTTGATTGACTTCTTGACCGGATAGTTTGGCGATACTAAATGATGTCATGAATTGGTTTTGTTGTAATTCATCGTAAACAGCATTCAATGGCTTGACGATCGAATCGAAATCGATCATTGTCATCAGACCATTGGGAAAAGATCCGGCATTGTTCAATGCCAATTGCACTGTACTTGCAACACTCGAGAGTTTTTGATTGATGGATAAAATAATGTGTTGTTCATTTGGTAGGGCAACTAAGGAGTTTTGTAGTTGAGTTAATTGGTAATTTAAATTATATAGTTGAGCACTGTAAACAACTAAATCATTTTGCATGGAATTTAAGTCGTTCTTCAATGATTGAACTTGACTTCGATAGTTTACCAATTCATTTCTTTTGTTTTCAACGTTTCGTCGGGCATTGTCAACTTGTTGAAAATTAATCACACTACAAACGGGCTTAACGACGTTATCAACGATAGCATTACCAACTGTATTTGCAGCTGATTCAATCGCCCCGCCCGCTTGATTGACTACCGAACCAATGGCATTGCCAGCTTGGTTAACTGCTGAGCTGATGGCGTTACCAGCATCATTAACCACTGATTGAATGGAATTCCAAATGTTACCGAGAAATCGTTTTCGTCGTCCGAATAATCCTGAGCATTTTTGCGCTTCTTCAACTTCTTTTTCTGCGCGTTGTAAAGCATTCTGTGCTTCATTGACAGAATTTTCCGCTTGTCGAACTGATTGTTCAGCTGTACTAATTTGTGATTGTTTCGCTTGAATCTTTCCATTCACATCTTGAATTTGACCATTCATACGTGCGATTTCGTTTTCTTTCGCTTTGATTTCGTTCATAATACTCGCTAATTTCTGATCAACTTTAATACGAATATTATTACTCGCGAGAAGTGTCAAATCAAGATTTTTGACCAATTTCTCAACTTCGCAATAGAACATGGATGTAATTGATGTAAGAGTAGGTTCATCCGTTGGTAAAGAATCACCGTTGAGAGTTGATAACCGGCTGATAAGTGTTTGTTGTAATGTAGTGTAAACATTTTGAAATGGTGGAACAAGAGTCGTCGACATATCTGCTTGATACCAAATATCACTGGTATGACAAAGGTAAACAGAAATGAATAATAAAACAAGAGACAATTTCATTTTCCTAAAATAACTTTTGAGAATGAGTCTTGTACAAAAGGATTTCGAAATTTATGCATACTTGAAGTTTACGATCGATATAAACTGATCGTTCGATTACAAAATCGGGTGATAATAAAAGCCATCTAATGGGAATGTGAACAGCTGGATGAGAAAATCTTCCATCGCCTGCGCATATTGTTTTAGAAAAATAGAGTCATTCTCGTCCTTGAAACGCTCTGTCAATAATCGATATTGTCCTACAGCGGATTATTCTCTTCAAACATCAACTTTTAAATTTAGAGAAGCATAGTCTTACGAGAAAAGAACTTGGTACATTTCACTTTTTTTATTCTCTTTAAAAAATATCCTTATGTTTATTCATCATCTTCGTTAACTTGTTTAATAACTGATTTCATATGCACACCGTGCCTCAATATCGCCGTGCCTTGATTTTCACGTAGAATTTTTCCTTTCACGTTGACTGTCACTGATCTCTTTTGAGAAACTTCTTTCAATAAAAAAGTTCGATGGAATGGACCAGGAATTATATCAGCATTGATCACAAGTTCAACTTCATAACTGACTCGACGATCTGAATGAGAATTTTCGTATTTGTTCACGGTTAATTGTAAGCCACGAGCATCGTGATGATCAACAATCGATTCTAATTCGACTGGATTGTCACGAAAAATGATGTGGAAAGTCATTGAGTAGATATGAGAAAGTTTTAAAATGCCAAAATATAAATCAAATGAACATTCATTCGCACAATTTTCTTCCCAATCGAATTCATCTAATGAAAGATAATCAATGTGAGCGAGAAGAAAACAAGTAATTGATGGCTGAACGTACTTCTAGATGGATGTTCTTCGTGATCGTCGGAAGAATCTGTTGTATCATTGGAGAATCGAACACCTGGGAAAAGAGAAAATCGAAGTGTTTGTTTTTTTCCAGTTTCTCTTATTGTCTTCTTACCACCGGTTCTGCGAGAACGAGTTGCACTTTTATCTGCCATTTTGTTGAAAAAAATTTAATTCGAATTTTGAACAGAAACGACGAGTGTAAAAGCCGATTGTTCGCAATTGACCAATCAATCAATTCTTAATGTCATAGATAGATGACAGTAGTGATGGGATGATTAAAATCCAGCGTATGACGTGATCTGTCATCTTTCTTCTAGAATTTGAGTGTATGTAAAACAAAAACATATGTCATTTAAGTTTTCCATCCAAATAGAGATAAGACTATTCTCCATATCAAAATGAGCAAATTAGCAAGTTGCATTTTGTTTTCAAACGTTCTCCTAGTGGCACCGAATACGACATAACTTGAAATCTTAAATAAAGTAAGCAAATCGATCTTTGTTCATTTTCGAATTGATTTTCATTCGACTTTTCAATGGTGAATATTCGAATTACACTCAGAGAAATAGTAAAAAAACTTCAAAAATTCAATCTATATCCATCGATTCCACCATCAACCGATGAATACCAACTTCGGACAGAACGTATTACAACACGAGTTTTCATCATTCTCTTGACGTTATCCTTGTTCATCATTCTTCTCTACCATTCTCTAATTAAAATTACAAAAACAGATGTTCACAAAACACCGACATTGGAGAAATATGAGCGTTTCTATTCACTCTATCCGAATACATTAACATGTCCTTGTAAAAACATCCTCGTTCCGTATGCTGAAATCGTTGAGATAAAATACAGCTTACATGAAGTCTGTTCGTCAGATTTGGTTACTCAACGTTGGTTTCAATATCTTCTAAATTCTCGTGATGAAAGCCGAACCTATGAAAATGATTTTCGTTCAACTGGTTCATTCACATTTCAAGCGCTCGGCGGTTTATGTCAGTTAGCGAATCAAACAATCGCTGATAGTTACTCTCAGTTTTTGTTAAATCAGTATATAAGTGCAACAATCGCATCCAGAGTATTACTGGTATCAGAAGTAAAAATTTTAATTGGACAATTTCTCTCGTCATCAACAAATAGTTTTCTTCGTTCGCTAAATATGATTCGTAGTACAATCTTTATCAATGCCTTTTATTCTGAACGAAAGACAAATTATTTGCTTCAAATCCTGAAGATAGTCGGATTACATCTCATTGAATCACCGGTCAGGTACGCAGATTGTCGCTGTGATCTATCTTTTAAATGCTCAGCTCCGAGCTCAATCTATGAAAAACATAACCAACCGCCAGTATTCACAATTCCTGGTCTTTATCGAGGTTGTTATATCATGGAAGCACTTCTCCAATCAAATCTAGAATGTTTTTACAATCAAACATGTGTACGCCAATTGCAATCACATATAAACTCAACAGTGGAATTCAGCCTTACTACTCTTCATAACCAAAATAGCAGTAAATATTCTATCAATTCAACCATCGAGCGAATACTCACTGAGCTAATGATCGAAGAGTGGGAAGCATCCATCGACTATGAGAAGTACTACAAATTATGTGAACCATTTGAATGCAGTTATAGTTATCGAACAAGTAATGAGAAGGTCTATATTGTGACGGCATCATTTGGACTCGCAGGTGGTTTAGTGACTGTATTAAATGTGATTGTACCAGCATTAGTTAAATTCATCAGAAGAAAGAAACAACCGTCAACATCGAACAGACGTAAGAAGAATGTAATATAACTTTATTTAAACATAAAAATATCGTTCTATTTAGAGATTCGACCTAAGTGGACATGTCTTGGTTTGATTCGCAAATTGTATCAATACTTGGGAACGTTGAATCTCTTTGAATCAATTCCACCATCAACCGATGAATACCAACTTCGGACAGAACGTATTACAACACGAGTTTTCATCATTCTCTTGACGTTTTCCTTATCTCTCATTCTTCTCTACCATTCACTAATTGAAACTACAAAAACAGATGCCCACAAAACACCCACATTGGAGAAATATGAGCGTTTCTATTCACTCTATCCAAATACATTAACATGTCCATGTAAAAACATCCTCATTCGCTATACTGAAATCGTTGAGATAAAATACAGCTTACATGAAGTCTGCTCGTCAGATTTGGTTACTCAACGTTGGTTTCAATATCTTCTGAACCATCATGGTGCCGATGAGTTATATAAACAAAGTTTTTTCTACATAGTAGTATACCTATTTCAAGCGTTGGATACTCTATGTCAGTTAGCGAATCAAACAATTGCTGACAGCTATTCAGAATTTTTATTGCGTGAGCACATCAGCACAGTAATGACATCGTCGAAGCCATTTAAAACACAAATTCACACTTTTATCGAACAATTGCGACCAACAATAAGAAGCAGTTTTCTTCGTTCTTTGGATTTAATTCGACATACAGTTTATACCAATTTTTTACTATCAACGCGAAGTACAAGATTAAATTTTGTAATCAACGGACGCGAAAATAGAATCATTTCAGCTAAAAGGACAATATCCGCCAACTGTTCATGTGAAAAGTCATCAACATGTATCGCTCCACTAGTTGATTATAATGCTGGTACGAATATGACTAACTTTACTATACCCGGCCTTTATGACGGATGTTATATCATGGAAGCACTTCTCCAATCAAATCTAAAATGTTTTTATAATCAATCATGTGTACATCAACTGCAGTCATATATCAAATCAACAACGAAGTTCAACTTTACTCTTCTTCACAACCAAAATAACAGTAAATACCCTATCAATTCAACCATCGAGCAAATGCTCACTGAACTAATGGTCGAAGAGTGGGAAGCATCAATCGACTATGAGAAGTACTACAAATTATGTGAACCAATTGAATGTAGTTACAGTTATCAAACAAGTAATGAGAAGGTCTATATTGTGACGGCATCATTTGGACTCGCAGGTGGCTTAGTTAGTGTATTAAAGATTGGCGTACCGATCGTAATTCGACTCTTTCGAAAGAAAAATTCCGCTTCAACGACACCTGCTGGTAAGGATTAAAGACTGCTAATTTCAAAGATAAGAATGCGAGATTTGCCTTTAGAAGTCGACGTCAACACAAGAAACGTTGCGTTTTACCAAAATATATACTTTTTTATAAGGAATTTCAATTTATTTCCGTCGATTCCACCATCAACGAGTGAAAAGGATTTAAAATATGAGCGACTATCAACGAGAATTTTTCTTGTTCTATTGACTTTTACCGTGGCTATTCTTTCCTTATATAATGTTCTACTCGTAGCCATCACAATCGATAGACCACCGCATCCAACTCTTGAAGAATATGAAGGTTTATATTCAATTTATTCCAGCAGTTTACTATGCCCATGTAAGAATATTTTAATAGATTATGAAAATATTCTCCATGTTGATTACACATTGCATGAAGTGTGCTCTTCACACTTTATGAATCGAAGTTGGCTTGATCAAGTCTATACTTTGGGTTTTTTTGAGATGATGAAGCGAGAAGATTTTCGTATATCAGGTCATTACCTATTCATGGGTTTGAGTAGTTTATGTCAATTAGTTAATCGAACGATAGCGGAGAGCTACGCGCAGTTTCTCTCGAATCAATATCTTAGTACAACAGTCGTATCAAGTGAACTATTCAAATCGCAAATGGAAACCTTAGTTGAACAGTTCCGATCAACAATAACAAATAATTTTCTTTATCTAATTCACATGGTCAGACAAACCACACATACAAACGCGTTCTACTCTAGTTTAATAACAAACTATGACCTCTATGTCGATTCTGTGAACTTACGCATTGCAACGAGAACAACTGTTTACGATGAATGTCGATGTGATCTCTCATCTTCATGTAATGTTGACTATCCAATTTATGATCTCATCACGAAGAATGTAACGTATTCTGTTCCTGGTCTCAAACGCGGATGTTATACGCTTGACGCGCTTCTTCAATCGAATCTGGGATGTTTATATAATACGACATGCCTAAAAGAATTAAAGTCACATTACGTGTTCGGTTCTGATCGAGAAACTCCGATAAAACCTTTGAATCCATTGCTTTCAAGTAAATATACTCCTAACTCAACTATCGAGCAAATCTTGAGAAAACTAATGATCGAAGAATGGAATCCATTCATTAAATATGACAAATATTACAGCCAATGTCAACCTATTGAATGCATTCATGGTTATCAAATAAGGTATGGCTTAATTCCTATCATAACACTATTAATTGGACTTGTCGGCGGACTAATTTCGGTATTAAAACTGGTAGTACCAAGATTTGTAGCAGTACTACGATGGATTATAACAATATTGAAGAATAGAAGAATCCTCCCTGAAACTTCATCTTCAAACGAATGATGACGAACGATGACTGTATCTTTTATTTTATACATTCGCAAACTACAAACATTCCCGCTTGAATTATATGTGCTTGAATAAAGAAATCTTGCTTTGATTAGCATCACTTATATATCCTCACGAAACTGAAAGACAGTTTGGGGCCGTGGCACATGACCGGCACGTTCCTCCATATTCATTTGGTAGTTGATCTGAGTTGATATGTTGTAACAAATTCGTTGTTGTTTCGTTTCCTTTTTTCAAAATCATTATTTTTCTTTTCGTTACCGGATCAATAAAATGCTTAACTAAATTCCACAATGCAGGAAATACTGCCGGCGGATTAACAACAAACAGCTGTCCTTAACGTTCAGGATAATAATTATCATCAATATACAAACATTGTTTGCATGTATTCAATAACTTTCGTACATCCATTTTCATTCCGTGTAGATCATATATTCCCGCGATGCTTTCGACATATTGCCCGAGCTGTCGACTATGTTCACGAGCTAATCGGCAGCTGTATTCGAACCAATAGATATGACATTGAATTAATTCATCATGTGTGAAGTTGTTCATGATGTCATCGACATTTATGTGACCGGTTTGTTCGATGTATAATGGGCGTTGAGCTTTAGTGTAACCATGGAAAGCATTGGGTATACATTTTCGAAAATAATTCATTCGTTGTTGAACAGACGGGTCGTCAAGGATAGAATCGACTTGATTGTCGATTCGCCATTGAATCATTTCAAGAAGAGATTTGATTGTATTGGATACATTCCATTTTCGCGCACGAAGATGTCGATGTATTTCGTAGCGCCATTCATTTTCCTCTTCTTCTTCGTGAAATTTTTCTTTGCCTAGCAAGTTTCGCTTGTAGTCCAAATAAGTTTCATGACGAGACTTTAAATCATTGTAAACCGTTTGAAATTTTTTCTGTTCGTCAGAATTTAATAAATTGATGTTAAACGAATAACTCGCCGACGTCGCCATATCGAATGCACGTGCTTATGCGTCTTAGCGCATCTTCACTGATGCACAACGTGTTTTTATTCCTCCCGTTAGGCTTGCACACTTCAATACATAATGAGAGTGCATTTATCGATATGAAATGAACAAGAGTAGGCTTTGCGTGTTCGTCATCATCGTCTTTTTGTATGTTTGCACATTGATATTGTTCACATGGGGTATCACTGAACGACGCAAATGGGAAAATATGAAAGAGTATCAATGTTATGTTACAACTGAATATAAAACAACAACAACAAGGAACGATTTATTACCATTGGAATGTCACAACTATGGAGAAAAATGAAAGATTCAACGATATTCACATCACTTCTGTCGTAATACCAGGGAATCAAACAGCTGGATTGAATTTGAATCAATTTAAAGTATGAAAAACGATCTTTGCTGTTCTTTTAAAAAGATTCAACAATTTTCAGGTGAATAAAACGTATCCGTGTTATAATTTTCAATCGTCTTGGCAATGGAATAAACCATCGAATCCCAAAAGGCATCGTTTATTATTCTTAGCTGCAAATCTTCTAGTTTTTCCTGGGATATGCTTACAAATATTCGGACGTTGTTTCTATCAGAAAGGAATCGTTGCACATCCGCGGTATCTGACAACGGTATTACCTGATTACAGTGTAGAACTATCGATAGTATTCGCTGAAACATCACCTCCTACTTACGAAGAAGCAATGCGAGAACGAATTACAAGATCAACAGTAGTTTAGTCGAATTAGTGAATATTCATTGCTATCATCATCATGCTGTTCGATGAGGAAAAATATCATAGACAAACGTATTGAAAAGAAAACAAAATAAAGAAAGTTAATGTACTTTTTGTTCCGAATCGTGAAACGCTCGAGTATGGGCAACATACCTATCACCATAGGCAATAAAATGAACCTCCGACTTTGCTCCCGAGTCTTTTCCGTGTCCAATGAAAACGATCAATTGATAGCGATAATGATCTGACGCTACCATATTTGCGAGTGTAATTTATCAGAATGATGTAGATGATGATCACGATAGTGGCAGTGAAATAGACTGTTTTGTTTTCGTGGAAATCTGTATTGGTAAGATCATAACTCCAATCGACCGACAGAATGACGGATCCACCTGCGAATTTCGTTAAGTGTGTGGAAAAGACATTCAGTTTTATAATGTTTTGCCCTTGATCCCACGATTAATCCATCTAACTTCCATTGACTTTGTTCGTCAAGATAATAGCAACGGGATGTATAAATTCTCGCTCGATAATCTGACGTAAAATGAACAGGTTCAGTCGGAATTAGGAGAGTTTCATCCAAACAGACTTCATCAAATTCCATAGAAGTCAATTTGCATAAACCAAAGATTCATGTTTGATGGTCAAGGGTTTGTTGATTATGAAAGAAAAGAGGAGATTTGTTTTTGTGAGAAGAGCAAAACAATTTCCATCCATCGATTTCATTTATCGAATGATTCGATCGTGGAAACTGATCGACTCTGTAAATTAATAAATAAGACAAGTTAACATTTGACTGGTTCAAATTCCAGAAGAACCGAGATTGGAAGCAAAGATGTAATATTAACGAAATGATAGTGAAATGCTTGATTATGACGAGTTGAATTGAATGATGAAACATTATGACAGATCATTGATGGAATAACAAGATTTGGGTCTCATGGAATTCCTGATCGAGCTGGATTGTGTTTTGGTGTTCGAAATGGCATTTCATTTCCATTTCGATCGAGAATTGGCAACGATATCATCGTAGAAAGGTTCGTATTCGAATTCTTGTCAATCGAAGATGTGACATTGGATGAAAGATGAAGTTCAGTATCTCCAACTTGTTGTATTAGTTTGTTCAATAGTGATTCAAATGAGATTTTTTCAAGCGAGATGAATGCTTTTTGTGCATCGATAATCATTTTTTGTTCAATATTCGAAGGAATGTTCGACGATGAAGTCACCAATACGATGATCTGATCGACTTTCTCAATGCTTACTTTTGCTGACTTTTGTTGATAAAATCGATTTCGATTTTCAATGATCTTCTACATGGACAGATCATTTCCATCAGCAAAGAACTCTTTCTACGACAAAAGATTCTGTTTCTTTACATAAAATGTTCTGACATAGTTAAGTTAGAATTGCAGTCATCAGGCATTTCTATTGAACCGTTCAAATCTGATTTTAAGAGACTTGTTCTTTATTGTAGAACGCCATTGATATCCTAAATGAATCATTCATGAAAATATGAATAAACAAGAGCGTTTATTTACTGTTAAAACGTTTGCCGCACATTGGAGAAGTTGTTGATCTACCATTAGAACATTTTCATACGGAATCGTTCTTGTTAATTGATTTGTTGTTTGCGTTAGTTGAATTAACCTTGATAATTGTAGTTTTACGCTATCGATTGACCTAGTACCAAGGATCATTGTGAATGCAATTAAATTTTCTCGAAAATTTAATCGTTCATAGAATTCATTTATCGCCGATTAGTTTAAGGCAAAACTGTTGAGAGACGTTCGATTTTGTCCTATATAGTGGTGCAACGGAAATTCACGTTAGTGAAATTCCATTTGAAAAAGCAACGAGAGGATCTTGTTGAAGAGAGGAACGTAAGCATACTTTGCATGGCTTTTTGAATATTTTCATTGCTAAATTGATTCAATTCGTGCAAAATCGAACCAATGATTTTGCCATAATTCATCCAATAAATCAGTTGATCGTTTTAAAGCAACGAAAACAGCCGATGAGGTATTGAATTCATCAAATTACGCATTTGGGTGACAAAATGAAGATTTCCACCTGGTAATCGAACGGTAAAATTTGCCACAGGTGAAAACACAATGACCGTCCGTTTTGCAGCGTCACTCGACCAATCTAAACAATCCAATCCAATACAATTTCAAAGGAAAAGTTTTTCTGGTTCTAATTTCTTACAGTACAATGCATAGTCTTTAATGTTACTTTCAATCTGCTACTCAATGCAAGTAACTCGAAAAAGACAATCGATAGTTTCTTTTGCTGAATCGATTGAACATTTTCCATTCAAAACAGAGCGTTTGTTGCTGTAAAGTTTCCTGTGTTGCGTCCTGTTAAAATGGAAACTAAATGATACCTGAAAAAAAAAGATTTCGTACCGTAAAACCGAATCATTTCATAAGAGTCCATCGAGGTGAAAAAAATCCACTGCGTTAAATTTCTCGAGCGAGAATAAATCCTCCAATGGATGATTCATTTGAAGGACAGCTTTCATGACAGTATGAATACAAATGGATTTACGTCGTAGGATTAAGTAATTGATATTCGAGATTTGGCGAACAAAATGTGAAGATTACACATCTATATGTGTGAGAGAGAAGAAATGAAAGATTAGGATCTTTGATGAATTTACTCAATGGCAATCATAGGCTTTTGTAAATCTCTGATTTGAACAAAAACATAACCGAATGCGTAGATCGTCGCATTTCTTCGATTATTCATTTATATCATAAATTGGTATATTTCTCCGAGTTGAAATGATTCGGTAGATATCGTGATTGCAGATTCTACCGGAAACGTTTTTCCGTTGTATCGATATATTGATAAACACTGATCGTTTGCGACAAAATCACCAGAAATACTGTGCACATTGTAGATACGACGGTAGTATTCATAAATCCAATTCTAAGGTGAAGAACGAGGAATCTATATCAGAAGAAAGAGAAACAGACAGTTGAATTGAAAGGAACAGCATTGGGACCATCGGAATACTTTCCAGGATTCAAATGAAGTCCTTGCTGGTGGTCTGAAGTAATCATCGATGCTCCTAGCGGAATAAGATTTACTGTGATTCCTGTTGGATTGACTTGGATATAGACTGGTTGGGGTGATTAAACATTTGAATCGGAAATTATTTGAACTGCGAGTTTAAATTCATACATTCCGTAAGGAAGAGTTGCTGAGGGAACGTAGAGATCATTTTTTGTTGTATCGATGGAACTAAAATGAAGTTGACTTGAAAAGATTTTGGACAGTTTAATTTGATGATTGCAAGGATGTAAAAGTTATGATCTCGACGAATATGAATAGGTGGTGTATCGGTCGTTTGAGCAATAAAACGAATCTCACGAATTTCGCTGTCTTCTTTCAAAATATATATAAAGATTTTTATTTTCGATCCACCGAAGACCTTCTCACTCGTATTCTTATTGGAATTCGTTGAGATTTGCTCCGTAGCTGTTAGAAAATCTGTTTTATAGGCGATAAGAACGAAAAATACTATTTTTTCGAATCTTGTTTCGACATTTATTGAAGGCTTCCTCACTTGTGCTTTTCGGGGAATTCATTGACGTTTGTTCTATTGTAGCTGAAAAATCTGTTTTATCCGAGATTTGAAAAATACCCTTTTTGAAAATTTTATTGCGACTAACTTTGTTGCGTTGGCTTTGTTGTTGTGCTAAACATTAGTACAGCTTCAAAAAAAAAGAGGAAGTTTTATTTTGTTCAGTTGAGTTCTCACTTACGGCACGAACTTCTTTTCAAAGAGAATTTTTGAATCCGACGGTTAGATCGATCACTGACAAAGATATTTCCATCACGATCAAAGCTAAGACCGTACGGATCTGATAATTGATGCGCTTGAGAACATCGCCCACTACATCCCACTAAACATCGAAAACCATTTTGATTGGATCCAACTATACGATGATTACAGTGATCAACAATAAAGAGATAATTTTCCGAGTCTAAAACAACTTCGGTAGGACCTGTGAGTGGGATTGTATAAGTAGAAGATCCATTTCGTACTCGTGTTACACCATTTTGTTTACCGGATTTGAATTGTTGAACACCGTGATTTCCAGAATCTGTCACATACAAATCGAAATTCCCATCGACATATATCCAACGAATATCATTAAGCTGATTCGCAGCTGAACCTCGCGTACCATTTCCGGCAGCAACTGTTGCTATCATACTAGGAACATGCAGGAACCTTTTCACAACATTATGACTTGATGGCAAAGAACAATATAAATAATCATTTTCATCAATGAATATACTTGCACAAAGAGCATTGACACTCATTACTACAGTAAGGGTGCTATTCTTTGGAATCCATCGGTTAACTTGTCCATTTATATAAACATTGTCGATAAAAACGTCACCAACACTGGTGACGAAAATTTCAGATAGTAAGTTTGGTAGGATTTGAACTTGCAGTGGACCAAATCAAAAGTTCTTCTATGTTAAAACTGACGGAATAGATCGTATTACTTGAACTGGCAAAAATAGGATATGAAAGGTTTTCCATAAAGCTTTTATCGGCTAAAGTAATAGCCTTTAAATTTCAAGTTGCATTTTGACACAATTTCGGTTGATTAAATGAAAGAGCTGAAATAAAAACAAATTCGAAGACGAACTGCAGAAAAGTTGACTGTTATTTTACCCAAAATTTCATTGATGAATGTGAAAATGATCAAAGTATAAATCTTCATATCAAACATTTAAAAATGGCATTCTTAACGAACAAATAATTCCCATAGAAGACAATAAACGTGCGTACAATCCACACAAGAAAACATGGTTGATGTCAATGTATCCCATTGCTTTCTTGAGCTTTCTATTTCATCACGTTTGAAATATTTACCATTGTTTTCTACGTCAATTAATGATCTTTGAATTCATAAAAGTATATCTGCCGACGTCATAGAACTGAGATTTTTATCGATTATTTATTTTTTTCATATTCTTTCTTCTTCTGTTCGTTACAAAAAACAAACAAGAAAAATCAAAGATAGCCGTTGTTATTAATACTGTTAGTTTTTGCCATCGATTAGCTGATCAAACTAGAAACAAGAAAAAGTTATTAAAGCGGATTTGATTTTTAATGAAAATGATTTACTCCATATGATGCAAGAGCACGATGAATAGCTACAGCAAGTTGTTGATTATATTGTGGTGTGACGTTAAAGAGCAGTTCGACAACTAGGCCATTCGATTCATGTGTGGTCAAACTTGTGATTCTCATCGATTTCAATCCGTTCGGTTGGAATTTTCGAATTTTGTCAGTTAAACTTTGTTTGAAATCGTCCATATATCGTTTATTACATTGATTTGTTAATTGATTGAGCGTGATGCCTTCGAGAAGAACAGTGAAACTAATGTGACTCAAAGCACACTTAGCACACCGACGGTTTTGTTCGCCTCTGCCTGCCGTGCTGGAAAGAATCTGAGCAAGGAAGATCTATATATCTGATTTTCTGAATTCAGATTGAACACATACTCGTTTAACATGCACACGTTGATTGCAACCTTGAGATAATGAACAACCGCGAGGTTTTTTTTCCCGACTATCATTAGTTTCGTCAGACGAGGAACTCGAACATGCGCGGTTAGTTGACTTGTTTGGTTTAACTGAAACAATGAACAGATAGTTAGATACTTATGCAAGAAGGCAAGCACTATGATATGTCGTTTCATACCTGTCGTGTGTTTCGTTGGTTTATCGGTTGCTTGACGTTTAGTAGTTGCTAAAACGATCGAGAGTCTTTTCATTTTGATCACATGAGGGCAAGTGAAAGTAATCAATCAACCATCATAGAATACAATAACTAGCACATCGAACGAAAACCATCAATGACATTATGTATTACACGATCCAGAATTTTTTACGGAAGAAATGTTTTTTATATTCTTACCCCTTACCAACATCAGTTAGTTTATATTGAATATTTCACTTATTATACGCTGATATTTTCAGATACTTCTCTGAATAGGTGTAGTGATCACTGGTTTCCATGAGCCGGTCATCTTTGTTATACCTGATTTTGTCGTTGTAGCCGATGTTGCCTTTGTACCAGCTCTTGTTGTTGACTTCGAAGTTCCATTCACTGGTTTTGTTACTCGTTTCGTTGTTCTAACGGGTTTTGTTCGTGCGCTTGTTGTTGTTTGTTCTGCGGTAATCGTTGACTTCGTGGCAACACTAGTTCTTGTAGCTTGTGTAGTGACAGTGGTTTCACACGCTGTGGTCTTTACTGTTGTTGGCTTAGCAGTGGTGGCGGTAGTCGCCGTCGTAGGTGCTACAGTCGTACTAGTAGCAGTTGTTGTTGTAGGTTCTGCAGTTGTCGTAGTGATCGTGGGTTCTGTAGTTGTCGTGGTGGTGGGCTCCGTAGTCGTAGGTTCTGTTGTAGTTACTGTAGTCGTAAGCTGCGTAGTTGTCGTAGTGGTAGTGGTGGTCGTGGGCTCTGTAGTCGTAGGTTCTGTTGCAGCTGTTGCAGCTGTTGTAGTCGTGGACTGCGTAGTTGTTGTAGTGGTAGTCGTAGGTTCTGTCGTAGTGGGCTCCGTAGTCGTCGGTTTCGTTGTAGTGGTAGTGGGTTCTGTAGTTGTTGTAGTAGTAGTCGTAGGTTCTGTTGTAGTTGTTGTAGTCGTGGGTTCTGTAGTAGTTGTTGTGGTGGTAGTGGGTTCTGTAGTTGTTGTAGTAGTCGTCGTAGGTTCTGTTGTAGTGGTAGTGGGTTCTGTAGTTGTTGTGGTAGTTGTCGTAGGTTCTGTTGTAGTTGTTGTAGTGGTAGTGGGTTCTGTAGTTGTTGTGGTAGTTGTCGTAGGTTCTGTTGTAGTTGTTGTAGTGGTAGTGGGTTCTGTCGTTGTTGACGTCCTTTACACGTACAGAGAAGATCCAATCTTATTTCAGAAAATATGGATGCGAAATAATACGAACGAGTGGCATTTCAACTGAAAATCATTTCTACTTCTTGCGAAAATAAACTTTTCTTGAAAATTAAAATAGTGTTATAGACGTACTATAAAAACATAATAGCTAGCGACTAATGCAAAGAGNTTGACAGATGACATGACACCGTGACCACGAGTTCTCCAACCGGCAACTTCAACAACATTGAGACCAGCACCGCGGAGAATGTCAGCCAAACCGGTAAGCATGGTGTTCACCGGTTTACTTGGACCGGGTCCACCAGTTGGTGCAGATCCAGTTGTACAACATTGAATGTTGTTACCACCGGGACAAAGGTTAGCTGGATCAGAGCTTCCTGTACAAGTCGAAGTTGGTTGACATTGACCAGCAACACCTTTGCTGTTTGTACATGTGCGGTATGTACAACATTGAATGGAATTGTCACCAGGACAGAGATTTGCTGGATCTGACGCTCCACCTAATGTTCTACAACTGCTGGTGCTAATACATTCTCCTTTGCGGCCATTTCTAGCTGTGCATGTGCCATATTGTTGACCAAGAGCGATCAATGGCAGAGCCAACAAGACAATGAGTTGGACACGAATCATCATTGTTATCTTCTATATAATATATCAGTCGATACTGTTTAAAAACAACGATCCACCTTCTATCTATTTCATATTAATGTGTAACAGTCTATATATATGCTGCGCTTAATCTTTTTTTAATAACAATGAAAAACGAAAGATGAAAAATCCATTCTTTGTTTTTTCTCCACTTTCAAAAAATTGATCCGTCGGTAATTAATTGAAAAGTGCAACATGATACAGTTTTCTTAAATAGGACATATCACAGCTATTCATTTGAAAAACGGTACTTTCGCAAAAATCAAAGTTTGTTTCTGTACGATTGCAGCATATTACTGAATATTTCAATGTATTCTATAGTAACTGTTGATTTCCCTGATATGTTCAGGATAATGAATCGCATTTTGAAGTTCTAAGCCTTTCTTCAAATAATCATCAATCGTTGGCGGCGGAATACTTCCAGTTGAAGCATTTAGCACCTGTTTACCCCATGCGATCATGTTTGCTGTCAACAATGAATTAATCTCTTTTTTTATAGCTTTATCACGTATACGTTTCGACGGTAAACCCTCCAACGATGTTAAAGTGCGGTTAATCTTCAGGGCGTCTCTCAGTTGTATTAATCCTTGTTCTGTAATTGAATTACGAGCCAAATCGATAGAACGTATATGCTGATTGAATTGTATCAATCGACTGATTTCCGCTGCTCCTTCGTTTCCCAGAATGTTATCTAAGCCACCGAAGGTTGTTGTAGACTTTAAAAAGCCTAGGCTCAATTGTTGCAAGCTTGGATGATGTATCAGTGCGTCAGCCAAATATCGCGCACCATCAGGACCAACGGAATTCGATGCTAGACTCAATCGTTGTAGACATTTATCATGTTTGAGTCCTGCTGCTATGTGACACGTGCCTGCATCAGTCAACGCATTGCACGACAGGTACAATGTTTCTAGACAACTATCGTTTTCTTCGAAATGACGACGAATCACTTCTGCACACTTAACAGTGAGACCATTCGAATCGATGTATAAATGCTTTAACGTACGATTCATTTTAAGACCACCGAATAGAATTTCACATCCTTTATCCAATAAACCAGTGTTCAATAGATCTAACGTTTGGATACAAGTATTGCTGGATAACATTCGAGCGATATGAACTGCGCCAGAAGCTAAGACTGGGTTACGCTTGAGCCAAAGCGCTTTGACTTTGGTATCCGTCGCTAAGGCATCGCATAGCAATCCAATGCTGTCACTGTCAAATCTGTTACAAGCAATATACCACGTGTCAATGGTCGAATCAGGATGGAAACGAATATAATCAGAAATCGCTTCTGCTCCAGGTCGTCCTACTATATTGTTCCCTTAGAAAACGACATATTGGAGAATTAGCTTTAATGATTGCTTCGAGGTTCTTACCGAGTAGCAGATGGTTAACTGTCGAGCTGTGTTTCATAGCGTCGAGTAATGGTTGAACTCCCCGAGGACCTACGGCTTGTTTACATAAATCCAGTCGTCCGCCTGTCATCATCGTTCCACGTGGAAAAACAATCGGATTTTTATCATCCGATGGACCAGGTCTATTTGCTGTTAAATATTCTATAAGTGGTTGAAGTTCTTCCAAAGGGCACGGAACGACTAAAGGAACCCGTACGTCACTTTTTCTAGGCAGTGAACAATTTTGAGAATGACTTTACTTGGTTGTGGCTGAGGATGTATAACACTGGAGGCGGGAGAAGCAGATAACACTTCTTCCCGTTGTTGTCGAGTGCAGAACAATGGTCGATCTTTCCACGCAACTTGCTCTTCGATAAAAATCAACGATCTTCTCTTCAACTGTCGACGAATGGTTTCAATAAGGTTCCGATACATTTGATCTGCTTGACGGTTTTCATTAGATAAGATTTGTATATACTTCGCAACTTCGTTTGCCATAACTAAACACAAGATCATGACAAGACTAAGATTAATACACATATTCTTACTTGTTGTGAGTTCGTTTGGATTATTTGAAATGAGTGGTGCTTCGTAAATACACTGACTGATCAAAATCTCATTTTTAATATTGTCATTCGTTTGCTTTAATGCAATTTTATAATCATCATACAGCTGATTTCCAATCATTTGAACACATGCTTGTTTTAGATGTTCTAGTAATGTTGTTTCCGTTGGATGTGTATCTTTCATCCTTTCAGCGTATGCATAAAGTGTTTTCATATCACCCCAATCACCGTATCTTGGAATTGTACTAAGATGCTTGGAGAGAACTTCATCTGGTTTTTTCAAATACAACTGTATCCAATGATGAAAGAAAGGTGTCATTATATCGGTATTGTCAATTGATTCACTCTGATGAAATTTCTTTCGTTTACACCAAACAAGTAACATTTCATCATCAAAGTGATTACTCTCGATATCTTCACTTAAATGCTGAATACTTTCTTTCGACACTGGATGTAAGAGGCCAATCGGATTGGCAAAAGCTTGTTCTTCTTTTCTTCGAGGTGACAGCGTACAAGTTCGTCTCTGATGATATAAGATAGTGGCTTCGATTTTCTCATCAAAGGATTTCGATGTGTGGTCTTGACAGATATTGTCTCTTTCTGAAAGATTTTCCTGTTGCTCTAGTAAAAATTCACGAATCTTTGCATATGGCCAAGTTTTTGGTGTAAAGCGACTCCCTTGATGCGTGATCACCTTTGCATCTGCAAAAGCTGCTGCTAGTCGCAAAGTTCGATCATTATTAACCGAGCCATCTTTAGTTCCATAGATGTGCAAAGAACAAACATTTTGTATAGACTCTGATTTCATTAAATCTTGGTAGTGTTGAATTTGTGACTCCAATCCAGAGACAAGAATAGCAAAATAAAACGAAATATTACCTAACGGTTTTAGTCCACATAGAATACCAGCTAATGATGCGCCTTCCTAAATGCTAACATGCAATATTCTTTTCACAAAAAAAGATAAGTGTCACGTACTCCGAGACCAAGTATGCCATCGAAAGGCCCTTCCTTTTTGAATAATCGATCGAGATAGTACGATGAAGCGTATAAATGTTGCTGCTGAGTTTTGTCACTCAAAGTTGATAAAGGTTGAACTTTTCCATCAATTGTACTACGATAAAGTTGTTTCCTATTAGCGATATGAAAGGTCGCTACATCTGTCAAGGCTTTAAATAATGTCTTTGTGTTACGTTTGAAAAGCTTGAAATTTTGATGGAAGTCTGGAAGAATAAGTATCTTCAAAGGAAGATCTGCTGTTCTATCTGATACAACCATATATGAATAAGAAGCAGCTATTTGATAAAGAATTTGGATCGAAATATGTTATTTCTTTTAAGTTACGACAGTATCTACCATGTAATCATTATTGGTTTGATGTACATAACGACAGAAAAAAAAAGGTAAAGAAAGATGTCAGTAAAAACAGATCCGATTAATGACAAGAGATATTCAACGACAAACAGCTGGTGACACATTTAAAAATAAAACACGGACTTCGACGCTCTGTCGATGGTCTTGTCGAGCATCAGGTCGGTCAATTGTTACAGCGGAATGTGGTGTATGTAAAGTGTCGAATACTACCGCGTCACCTAGCTTCATGTCTGACTGACTTATCCATTGGTGATAGTCACGAAAGTACACGCCTAGTGCAGTGAAATGGTTGCCTGTTCGTCGTACAGCAGTATACGGCTGTAGTTCTTGATCGAATTGACCGATTGAGCTGTAATCCATGACTGCAAGAGTGTTCTTAGTAGGACAGGACGTGAGTGGCATCCATATATTTACTACCTTTTCTACTTGTACGCTGGCATACTGTTCATCCGTTAATGTATGGGGTTGTAGGTCTAAAGCTAGCTCAATATTGACTTTCCACGTGTCTTTAAAGTGAAGAAGTGTTTCGGTAAAATTCGTACTGGGAAAATCGACATGAGCAAAGCACACTGGGCCAAAAGCATTCGGATGTTGTTTATGGTTCGTGTCTCGGTATACAGTGTCCAAAGGCACCACAAGATTGAATTTCAAATTGAGCTGGTGACCCCATTCTGTTAACAATGGAATAATGCTCTGCCGTAGACGAATTCGATTCGCTCGTTCGGTGGGTACTGCTGCTAGTTGGTGAAGTACTTCCGAGACCGTGTTGTTCAATTGCCAATACTCAAAGCCATGCTGTTGAAAGGAGAACAATCTGCGTACTTCATCACCATCGTAAAGTTGAACAGAAGTATCTTCAACCTGCAGATTACCGTTTTGAATCTGAGAGGAAACCTCATCTGTACTCACATCGTTCAACGGTTTAAATGCTGGACCGAGATAGATCATTTTTGTGTATACCATTCTCTTCATTTTCTTCGGCATCATATTCTGCTAAAAAGATAGTATGGATACATATCAACTGTGATCGTTTTTCAATAAAAGAAATCGATGCAAACCTATCGAGTTATACGTAACTTGAGAAGGTACATGATGCGATATGTTGACGACATTATTGCACAATATAGTCAAAAAACAAAAGTAATCTTATCGGAAGTGACGCAGGAATGAATAATAACGATTTCTGACTGTTAGAGAAAAAGAGAGAACGACTGAAGGTGGCGATATGAACGATCTTCGACCGTTCATTTATTTCTCAAATCCTGTTACAGATACAGAAAACGGTGCACATATATATGAAGGAGAGACGAGACGAGAGAGAATACAGTGATGAGCGTGGAAGGTAACCCCACGTCGACTTAACACTGACGCAATTACTAATTTCTTTAATCATTTACACCTAACATTTGACATAGTATCCTATCGACAGTACTCATTAACTCAGCCACGAATGATCCGATGATTACAATCTTTTCTTGTGATACATAATAACATAGGACACTGTACACATCTACAACACTTAAAGAGTATAAAAGAAAAGATTTTTCTTACATTGAACACTCTTTTATCGATATATTGTCATTATAATTACGTAAAAAAGAAGCGTTTTACGAATCCAACAAATACCCTGTAGATATGTTGCTTTCTCTTTCGTTCTTCACGATATCTGAATGCATTACCTTTCGGCGGAAAGAAAAACACAGTGGGTCGTTCGTAAATAACAAACTTATTCTCACTTGATGAGAAATTATGGAAGGTATTGAAACCCCACAAATCGTTATCGTTGGCGGTAAGAACACAAACGGCTATTTCATATCTAGTGATTTCTATTTAGGTGGACCAGTTGGTCTATTCACTGGTGTTCAGATCAAAATTCTTATTCCAGACATTAAACTTGCTATCTATGAAAAACATACCGAATATCAGCGTAAACATGTACTTCGCTTAAACAAAGTGACAACATTTTTCGGTTTTCCACCTCATCCGTTATTAACGGATATGATCAACAAGCTACCCTCCGTGGTTCGGACTTCGGTTCTAGAAGGTCAACTCTTAGATATAGCCAAACAACTAGAAATACCTATTCACTATCGACATATCACTAACCTTAGTGAATTTTCCAACGTACAAATGATTATCGGCGCTGATGGTTCTCATTCATTAGTACGTCAAATTGTTTTCGAAAATAAAATGAACTACGAAAATGTCTTGAAATATGTTCTCGAAGTTAAATACGAAGTTTATGGTCAAGGCCAAAAGCTTGACTATGTTAAATATCAATATCGGACACAAAAACAAATGAAATATATCATTCAAGAACACATTGGTACGGAAAATGATAATCGTACACCGATTACCATTCACTTATTAATTGATCAACCAACGTACGAACAAATGAAGGAAGCAACGTATAAAAATCCCTTTTATCTACATACACACAAACATCGGATGCCAAATGATTTGCTTGACACAATTATGCTTTGGTTAAATGTGAAAAAGGAGTGTGCTAATGAGAAACGCGTGGAAAACTCAGAGAGAATCACGACAATCGCTCTAGCTTGTTACGCATCCGCGAATGTCGTTCACTACGATGAAGATAAAGCACAACACATATGTCTAGTTGGTGATGCAGCGTTCGGCGTGCCATTCTTTCGTTCTTTAAACAACGGCATCATCTGTAGTAGAAAACTCGCCTCTTGTATTGAATTATTCTTTAAGTCGAATTCTACACAGACAAGCGGAGGAAGTTTGTTAAACAACATGACATATGAATGGACAAAATTAGTCAATCGAGTTCATTCTCTAATAAATTTGAATCAGCCATTACAAGCATATAGTCAATTCGTTCAAACTCTCGCAGGAAAAGAGATCATCGTCGCACAAAATAAAGCGCATTTTCTTTTTGCAGCCGACATGATGAACAAAATAAATGGTGCAGTCCCATGGCAAGTCAACCGCTGGTCGGAAAAAGAAGTTGATCATTTCAAACGCAGCGATGATGATTCGTCTGCAGAAATAGTTCACGAAGAACACGCCAGCGTCTTCGAAGTAGACGAGGAATATGATTTAGTACAAGAATTCGATCTTATACCAGCAAGCACATCTTAGGACTTCAGATGTTATTTCAAATCTTTATTTATATTCAAGAATGAAATTTTTCTGAAATGAAATAAAAACGACTCATTTTGAACAACGAGCATTATTAGCATCGAATGCGAAGTTGAGCATTGAGCCAATCAATACTTGTAGACCTGTTTTTGCTTGATTGACTTCTTGACTGGATAATTTGGCGATACCGAACGATGTCATGAATTGATTTTGTTGTAATTCATCGTAAACAGCATTCAATGGTTTGACGATCGAATCGAAATCGATCATTGTCATCATACCATTGAGAAAAGATCCGGCATTGTTCAATGCCAATCGTACTGTACTTGCAACACTCGAGAGTTTTTGATTGATGGATAAAATGATGTGTTGTTCATTCGGTAAGGAAACTAAAGAGTTTTGTAATTGAGTTAATTGGTAATTTAAATTGTATAGTTGAGTACTGTAAATAACTAAATCATTTTGCATGGAATTTAAGTCATTCTTCAATGATTGAACTCGACTTCGACTGTTTACCAATTCATTTCTTTTGTTTTCAACGTTTCGTCGAGCATTGTCAACTTGTTGAAAATTAATCACACTACAAACGGGCTTAACGACGTTATCAACGATAGCATTACCAACTGTATTTGCAGCTGATTCAATCGCACCACCGGCTTGATTGACTACCGAACCGATTGCATTGCCAGCTTGGTTAACTGCTGAGCTGATGGCGTTACCGGCATCATTAACCGCTGATTGAATGGAATTCCAAATATTACCGAGAAATCGTTTTCGTCGTCCGAATAATCCTGAGCATTTTTGCGCTTCTTCAACTTCTTTTTCTGCGCGTTGTAGGGCATTTTGTGCGTCATTGACAGCATTTTCCGCTTGTCGAACAGATTGTTCAGCTGTACTAATTTGTGATTGTTTCGCTTGAATCTTTCCATTCACATCTTGAATTTGACCATTCATACGTGCAATTTCGTTTTCTTTTGCTTTGATTTCATTCATAATACTTGCTAACTTCTGATCAACTTTAATACGAATATTATTACTCGCGAGAAGTGTCAAATCAAGACTTTTGACTAATTTCTCAACTTCGCAGTAGAACATGGATGTAATTGATGTAAGAGTAGGTTCATCCGTTGGTAAAGAATCGCCGTTGAGAGTTGATAATCGGCTGATAAGTGTTTGTTGTAATGTAGTGTAAACATTCTGAAATGGTGGAACAAGAGTCGTCGACATATCTGCTTGATACCAAATGTCATTGGCATGGCAAAGGTAAGCAGAAATGAATAATAAAGCAAGAGACAATTTCATTTTCCTAAAATAACTTTCGAGAATGAGTTTTGTACAAAAGGATTTCGAAATTTATGCATACTTGAAGTTTACGATCGATATAAACTGATCGTTCGATTACAAAATCGAATGATAATAAAAGCCATCTTATGGGAATGTGAACAGCTGGATGAGAAAATCTTCCATCGCCTGCGCATATTGTTTTAGAAAAATAGACTCGTTCGCGTCCTTGAAACGATTTATCAATAATCGTTATTGCCTTACAGCGGATTATTCTCTTCAAACATCAACGCGTAGATTTAGAGATACACAGTCTTACGAGAAAAGAACTTGGTACATTTCACTTTTTTTTTATTCTCTTTAAAAAATATCCTTAAGTTTATTCATCATCTTCGTTAACTTGTTTTATAACTGATTTCATATGCACACCGTGCCTCAATATCGCCGTGCCTTGATTTTCACGTAGGATTTTTCCTTTCACGTTGACCTTTACTGATCTCTTTTGAGAAACTTCTCTCAATAAAAAAGTTCGGTGGAATGGACCAGGAATTGTATCAGCATTGATCACAAGTTCAACTTCGTAACTGATTCGACGATCTGAATGAGAATTTTCGTATTTGTTCACAGTTAATTGTAAGCCACGAGCATCGTGATGATCAACAATCGATTCTAATTCGACTGGATTGTCACGAAAAGTGGTATGGAAGGCCATTGAGTAGATATGAGAAAGTTTTAAAATGCCGAAATATAAATCAAACGAACATTCATTCGCACAATTTTCTTCCCAATCGAATTCATCTAATGGAAAATAATGAATGTGAACGTGAAGAGAATAAGTAATTGATGGCTGAACGTACTTCTAGATGGATGTTCTTCGTGATCGTCAGACGAGTCTGTTGTATCATTGGAGAATCGAACGCCTGGGAAAAGAGAAAGTCGGAGTGCTTGTCTTCTTTTCAGTTTATCTTATTGTCTTCTTACCACCGGTTCTTCGAGAACGAGTTGCACTTTTATCTGCCATTTGTTTAAAAAAAATTTAATTCGAATTTTGAACAGAAACGACGAGTGTAAAAGCCGATTGTTCGCAATTGACCAATCAATCACTTCTTAATGTCATAGATAGATGACAGTAGTGACGGGATGATTAAAACCCAGTGTATGAAAAACAGAAACATATGTCATTTAAATTTTCCATCCAAATAGAGATAAAACTATTCTCCATATCAAAATGAGCAAATTAGCAAAGTTGCATTGTGCTTTCAAACGTTCTCCTGATGGCACCGAATACGACATAACTTGAAACCTTAAATAAAGTAAGCAAATCGATCTCTGTTCATTCTAGAATTGATTTTCATTCGACTTTTCAGTGGCGAATATTCGAATTATACTCAGAGAAATAGCCAAAAAACTTCGAAACTTCAATCTATATCCATCGATTCCACCATCAACCGATGAATATCAACTTCGGACAGAACGTATTACAACAAGAGTTTTCATCATTCTCTTGACGTTATCCTTATCCATCATTCTTCTCTACCATTCCCTAATTAAAATTACAAAAACAGATGTCCACAAAACACCCACATTGGAGAAATATGAGCGTTTCTATTCACTCTATCCAAATACATTAACATGTCCATGTAAAAACATCCTCATTCCGTATGCTGAAATCGTTGAGATCAAATACAGTTTACATGAAGTCTGCTCGTCAGATTTGGTTAGTCTACGTTGGTTTCACTATCTTCGGGACCATCATGATGAAAGCCGAATTTATGAAAAAGACTTTCGTTCAACTGGCTCGTTCACATTTCAAGCACTCGGCGGTTTATGTCAGTTAGCGAATCGAACCATCGCTGATGGTTACTCTCAGTTTTTGTTAAATCAGTATATAAGTGCAACAATCGCATCCAGAGTATTATTGGCATCAGAAGTAAAAATTTTAGTTGGACAATTTCTTTCGTTATCGACAAATAGTTTTCTTCGTTCGCTGAATATGATTCGTAGTACAAACTTTGTCGATGCCTTTTATTCTGAACGAAAGACCAATTACTTGCTTGAAATCCTGAAGATAGTCGGAATACATCTCTTTGAATCACCGGCTGCGTACGCAGATTGTCGCTGTGATTTATCTGTTAAATGCTCAGCTCCGAGCTCAATCTATGAAAACCATAACCAACCTCCAGTATTCACAATTCCTGGTCTTTATCGAGGTTGTTATATCATGGAAGCACTTCTCCAATCAAATCTAAAATGTTTTTACAATCAAACATGTGTACGCCAATTGCAATCACATATAAACTCAACAGTGGAATTCAGTCTTACTGTTCTTCATAACCAAAATAAGAGTAAATATCCTACCAATTCAACCATCGAGCAAATACTCACTGAACTAATGGTCGAAGAGTGGGAAGAATCCATCGACTATGAGAAGTACTACAAAGTATGTGAACCAGTTGAATGTAGTTATAGTTATCAAACAGGCAATGAGAAGGTCTATATTGTGACAGCATCATTTGGACTCGCAGGTGGCTTAGTTAGCGTATTAAAGACTGGTGTACCGATCGTAATTCGATTCTTTCGAAAGAAAAATTCCGCTTCAACGGCACCTGTCGGTAAGGATTAAAGACTGTTAATTTCAAAGATAAAAATGCGAGATTTGCCTTTAGAAGTCAATGTCAACGCAAGAAACGTTTCATTTTACCAGAATATATACTTTTTTTTATAAAGAATTTCAATTTATTTCCGTCGATTCCACCATCAACGAATGAAAAGGATTTAGAATATGAGCGGCTATCAACGAGAATTTTTCTTATTCTATTGGTTTTTACCGTGGCTATTCTTTCCTTATATAATGTTCTACTCGTAACCATCACAATCGACAAACCACCGCATCCAACTCTTGAAGAGTATGAAGATTTGTATTCAATTTATTCTAACAGTTTACTATGTCCATGTAAGAATATTTTAATTGATTATAGCAATATCCTCCATGTTGATTACACATTGCATGAAGTGTGTTCTTCACACTTTATGAATCGAGGTTGGCTTGATTCAGTCCATACTTTTGGTTTTTTTCAGATGATGAATCGAGAAGATTTTCGTATATCAGGTCATTACCTATTCAAAGGTTTGAATGATTTATGTCAATTAGTTAATCGAACGATAGCGGAGAGCTACGCGCAGTTTCGCTTGAATCAGTATCTTAGTACCACAGTCGTGTCAAGTGAACTATTCAAATCGCAAATGGAAACCTTAGTTGAACAGTTCCGATCAACAATAACAAATAATTTTCTTCATCTAATTCACATGATCAGACAAACCACACATACAAACGCGTTCTACTCTGCTTTAATAACAAACTATGACCTCTATGCCAATTCTGTGAACTTACGCATTGCAACGAGAACAACTGTTTACGATGAATGTCGATGTGATCTCTCATCTTCATGTAGTGTTGACTATCCAATCTATTATCCCAATACGAAGAACTTAACGTATTCCGTTCCTGGTCTCAAACGCGGATGTTATATACTTGATGCGCTTCTTCAATCGAATCTGGGATGTTTATATAATGCGACATGTCTGAAAGAATTAAAGTCACACTACATGTTCATTTTTGATCGAGAAACTCCGATAAAACCTTTGAATCCATCGCTTTCAAGTAAATATGCTCCTAACTCAACTATTGAGCAAATCTTGAGAAAACTAATGATCGAAGAATGGAATCTATTCATTAAATATGACAAATATTACAGCCAATGTCAACCTGTTGAATGCATTCATGGTTACCAAATAAAATATGGCTTAATTCCTATCATAACACTATTAATCGGACTTGTCGGCGGACTAATTTCGGTATTAAAACTGGTAGTGCCAAGATTTGTAGCAGTACTACGATGGATTATAACAAAATTGAAGAATAGAAGAATCCTCCCTGAAACTTCGCCTTCAAATGAACGATGACGAACGATGAATATATCTTTTATTTTATACATTCGCAAGCTACAAACATTTCCGCTTGAATTATATGTGCTTGGATAAAGAAATCTTGCTTTGATAAGTATCGCTTATATATCCTCAAGAAACCGAAAGACAGTTTGGCGCCGTTGCACATGACCGGCATGTTCCGCCATATTCACTTGGCAGTTGATTTGAGTCGACATGTTGTAACAAATTCGTTGTTGTTTCGTTTCCTTTTTTCAAAATCATTATTTTCCTTTTCGTTACCGGGTCAATAAAATGCTTAACTAAATTCCACAATGCAGGAAATACTGCCGGCGGATTAACAACAAACAGCTGTCCTAAACGTTCAGGATAATAATTATCATCGATATACAGACATTGTTTGCACGTATTCAATAACTTGCGTACATCCATTTTCATTCCGTGTAGGTCGTATATCCCTGCGATGCTTTCGACATGTTGTCCGAGGTGTCGACTATGTTCACGAGCTAATCGGCAGCTGTATTCGAACCAATAGATATGACATTGAATCAACTCATCATGTGTGAAGTTGATCATGATGTCATCGACGTTTATGCGACCGGTTTGTTCGACGTATAATGGGCGTTGAGCTTTAGTATAACCATGGAAAGCACTGGGTATACATTTTCGAAAATAATTCATTCGTTGTTGAACAGACGGATCGTCAAGGATAGAGTCGACTTGATTATCGATTCGCCATTGAATCATTTCGAGAAGAGATTTGTTTGTATTGGATACATTCCATTTTCGCGCACGAAGATGTCGATGTATTTCGTAGCGCCATTCATTTTCCTCTTCTTCTTCGTGAAATTTTTCTTTGCCTAGCAAGTTTCGCTTGTAGTCGAAATAAGTTTCATGACGAGACTTTAAATCATTGTAAACCGTTTGAAATTTTTTCTGTTCGTCAGAATTTAATAAATTGATGTTAAACGAATAACTCGCCGACGTCGCCATATCCAGTGCACGTGTTTATGCGTCTCATCGCCTCTTCACTGATGCACAACGTGTTTTTATTCCTCCAGTTAGGCTTGCACACTTTGATACATAATGATGATGCATTTATCGATATGAAATGAACAAGAGTAGGCTTTGCGTGTTCGTCATCATCGTCTTTTTGTATGTTTGCACATTGATACTGTTCACATGGGGTATCACTGAACGACGCAAATGGGAAAATATGAAAGAGTATCAATGTTATGTTACAACAGTGAATATAAAACAACGGCAAGGAACGATTTATTACCATTGGAATGTCACAACTATGGAGAAAAATGAAAGATTCGACGATATTCACATCACTTCTGTTATAATACCAGGGAATCAATCAGCTGAATTGAATTTGAATCAATTTAAAGTATGAAAATCGATCTTTGCTGTTCTTTTAAAGAAGTTCAACAATTTTCAGGTCAATAAAACGTATTCGTGCTATAATGTTCAATCGTCTTGGCAATGGAATAAACCATCCAATCCCAAAAGGCATCGTTTATTATTCTTAGCTGCAAATCTTCTAGTTTTTCCTGGGATATGCTTACAAATATTCGGACGTTGTTTCTATCAGAAAGGAATCGCTACACATCCGCGGTATCTGACAACGATATTACCTGATTACAGCGTAGAACTATCGATAGTATTCGCTGAAACATCACCTCCTACTTACGAAGAAGCAATGCGAGAACGAATTACAAGATCGGCAGTAGTTTAGTCAAATTAGTGAATATTCATTGTTACCATCACCATGCTATTCGTTGAGGAAAGATAGCATAGACAAACGTGTTGAAGAGAAAAACAAATAAAGAAAGTTAATGTACTTGTTGTTCCGAATCATGAAATGCTCGAGTAAGAGCAACATAGCTATCACTATAGGCAATAAGATGAACCTCCGACTTTGCTCCCCAGTCTTTTCCGTGTCCGATGAAAACGATCAATTGATAGCAATAATGATCTGACGCTACCATACTTGCGAGCGTAATTTATCAGAATGATGTACATGATGGTCTTGATAGTGGCAGTGAGATAGACTTTTTTCTTTTCGTGGAAATCTGCATTGGTAAGATTATAACTGCAATCGACCGACAGAATGACCGATCCACTTGCGAATTTCGTTAAGTGTGTGGAAAAAACATTCAGTTTCATAATGTTTTGTTCTTAATCCCACGATTAATTCATTTGACTTCCATTGATTTTGTTCGTCAAGATAATAGCAACCGGATGTATAAATTCTCGTTCGATAATCTGACATGAAATGAACAGGTTCAGTCGGAATCAGGAGGGTTTCATTCAAACAGACTTCATCAAATGCCATAGAAGTCAATTTGCGCAAACCAAAGATTCATGTTTGATGGTCAAGGGTTTGTTGATTATCAAAGAAAAGAGGAGATTTGCTTTTGTGAGAAGAGCAAAACAATTTCCATCCGCCGATTTGATTTATTGAATGATTTAATCGTGGAAACTGATCGAATCTGTAAATTAATAAATAAGACAAGTTAACATTGACTGTTTCAAATTCCAGCAGAACCGAAATTGGAAGCAAAGATATAATATTAACAAAATGATAGTGAAATGTTTGATTATGACGAGTCGAATTGAATGATGAAACATTATGATAGATTTGGGTCTTGTAGAATTACTAATCGAACTGGATCGTGTTTTGCGGTCCGGAATGGTATTTCATTTCCATTTCGATTGAGGACTGGCAACGAGATTATCGTAAAAAGGTTCGTTTTAGAATTCTTGTCATACACCGCTAATCTCTTGTCAATCGAAGATGTGACATTGGATGAAAGATGAAGTTCAGTACCTCCAACTTGTTGTATTAGTTTGTTCAAAGGTGATTCAAATGAGATTTTTTCAAGCGAGATGAATGCTTCTGGTGCATCGGTAATTATTTTTTGTTCTATTGATTGAACTAAAATAAAGCTGACCTGAAAAGATTTTGCATAGTTTAGTTTGATGATTACGAGGATATGAAAGTCATGATCTCGACGAATAGGAATAGGTGATGTGTCGATCGTTTGAGAAATGGAACGAATCTCACGAATTTTGCAGGCTTCTTTCAAAACAGATATAAAGATTTTTATTTTCGATCCACTGAAGACCTTCTCACTCGTATTCTTATTAGAATTTGCTGAGATCTGCTGCGTAACTGTTAGAAAACCTGTTTTATAGGATATAAGAACGAAACATACTATTTTTCGAATCTTGTTTCGGCATTTATAGAAGATTTCCTCACTTGCGCTTTCCGGGGTATTGATTGAGATTTGCTCTATTGTAGCTGGAAAATCCGTTTTATTAGAGATTTAAAAAATACCCTTTTTGAAATTTTTATTGCGACTAACTTTGATGCGTTGGCTTTGTTTTTGTGCTAGACGTTAGTGCAGCTTCGAAAAAGAAAGGAAATTTAATCTTGCTCAGTTGAGTTCTCACTTACGACAAAAACTCCTTTTCAAAGAGAATTTTTAAATTCGATGGTTAGATCGATCACTGACAAAGATATTTCCATCAAGATCAAAGTTAATATCGTACAGATCGGATAATTGATGCGCTTGAGAACCTCGCCCACCGCATACCATTAAACGTCGAAAATCATTTCGATTGGATCCAACTATACTATCATTACAGTGATCATCAATAAAGAGATAATTTTCCGAGTCTAAAACAACTCCGGTAGGACCTATTGCTGGTCAAACTCCTGATTCGACGCGAATCAAGTGCCTCCATATAATGAATTCTATATCAACTGATTCATCCTGCACAGGACTACCAACTGCTGCTCATGAATTGACAATATCCTCATGTCTGATGATGACCTTCACCGGCAACAGAAGTCAAATACATACATGAAATTTTGTGTACTATTGTTGATGGGCATGTCCGAAACAGCATGTATATGAAGCTCAATTAACATTCGATGAGACTTTCGTCGAAAAATGATGTTGAAAGATAACGAAAAAGTAGTGTCAACAATTGAAGTGTTCATTTCAACGACAGAAATCAAACGGTAGTTTCTTTCACCTTCTACCGCTGGATGTAAATGTGATTTGAGTCAAGGAACATTTCTTAGTACAGTCACAAAGTCAGATTTTGCTGTTCAGACATGCAGAATGCTTGTTTACTATGAATATTTCATCTTCCATGTCTTTTACATGAAGTGTTCCTATTAGGAACACTTTTTAGCTGGATTGTTTGTATTGCGAACATGATCCCTAGTACGAACAAATCGACTTCTCCAATTTATACCGCTAATTACTGAGTTAATTAATAAGATAATTAGCTGATTCTTACATCATTCGATGCGCAAGATGCGTCTCTACTCAAAAATGTAAAAATTTTTTTTTATGCTGAGAAATGTCTGAAAATATTCAAAATAACAGAAGGTGTTCACCCTTTTGTTCGAATTAGGCACATGACCTGTATACTGCGTAACCAAAACTGAATCAAAACCAAATCCTCAAAACCGAAAGTTTTGGTATTGGTCCATGTCTATGGGTGACATTTGAATAGTTACTCATATTTGATATTGACATCACTCACACTCTTTTCTCTCTCTTTGTATTTATCACATATCGTATCATTTCTACTCAAAAAGAAATGAAAGGATTATGATGACAGAAAATCGAATCAATAATAAAGGATTGTATAAATAATGAAACTTTTTTTGTTCTGGACATCGAACACGAACATAAATCATAATTTTATTTAAAAAGTTCGAGGTTGCTTCTCAACTTCTGAAGGTCGGGATGATTTGGTGGTAATGATTGTTCTGCAATTAGTAAAGCGCTTTTAATAAATGAAGATGCTTTTGAATATTCGCCCATTTTCGCGTACACAATTCCAATGTCATTGTGGGAAGCAGCTAAATCAGGATGATTGAGTGGATGTAACTGTTGTTGGATCTCAAGGGCTCTTTGATAAGATGAAAGCGCCTTTGTATAGTTGCGTGTTTCACAACACATATTACCGATATTTTTATAAGACGAAGCTAAGTCAGCATGGTTGTGCGGAAATGATTGCTGTCGTAGTGCAAGAGCCTTTTCATAGGACGAAAGTGCTTTTGGATAGTCACTCATGCTGTCATACACACTACCGATGTTGTCGTACAATCCTGCCAAATGGATATGATTGAGTGGACGCAATTTTCGCTGAATTGCAAGTGCTTTTTCATATGATGAAAGTGCTGTTGTATAATCACCAATACTGCTATACACACCACCGATGCTATTGTAAAACATAGACAAATCGGGATGATCGTTGGGAAGTGATGCTTGCTGAATAGCGAGCCCTTTTTCCAAAAACGAAAGCGCTTCTCGATAGTTGTCCATGTTCGCATGCACTGCACCGATATTGTGGTAAAATTTGGCTAAACTGGGATGATGTTGTGGAAATGATTGTTGTTGAATCTGCAATGCTTGTTCAAAGAATAAAAGCGCTTCTCGATAGTTGCGCATGCTCTCATGCACAGCACCGATGTTGTTGTGAGACATGGCCAGATCAGGATGACTTTGTGGAAGTGACTGTTGTTGACTTGCAAGCGCTTTTTTATACGATGAAAGTGCTTGCGCATAGTCACCCAGGCTTTTATAAACATTACCAATATTGTTGAGAGATGAAGCCAATTGAGGATGAGTATCAGGAAGTTTTTCTTGTCGAATTTCAAGTGCTTTTTGATGAAATGAAAGTGCTTGTGAATAATCATTCATGTTGTAATACACCTCACCGATGTTGTTGTACGATATCGCCAGTCCAGGATGATCGTGTGAAAAGGATTGCTTTAGAATTTCAAGCGCTTTTTCATACGATGAAAGTGCTTTTGAATAGTCACATATATTTTTATAAATAGCACCAATGCTGTTGTAAGACATGGCGAAATGAAAATGATTTCGTGGAAGTGATTGTTGTCGAATCTCAAGCGCTTTTTCATGAGATGAAAGTGCTTGTGAATAATTATCCAGACTGTAATATACATCACCGATGTTATAGTAAGACGCGGCTAAATAAGGATGATTTGATGGAAGTGATTGTTGTCGCATTGCAAGAGCTTTTTCATAAGACGAAAGCGCTTTTTGATATTCTCCCATACCTTGATAAATAATACCAATGTTGTTGAAAGATAAAGCCAAATCAGGATGATTTGATGGAAGTGACTCTTGTTGAATTTTTATGGCTTTTTCTAAATATGAAAGCGCTTTTGGATAGTTACCTAAACTTTTACAAACACTACTAATATTGTTGTAATTTAATGCCAAGTCAGAATGGTTCTGTGGAAGCGATTCTTGTTCCATTTCAACAGATATTTCATGTAATTTATTTGCTTCACTATATTTGCCTTGAGCATCTTTGATATAACCGAGAAGATCATAAAGTGAAGCTTTGTCACCCGGAGTTGCTGATTCAAATAGTATTTCACAAATCTTTTCAGCTGTGCTATTTTGATTCAATTTAATCAAGACCAAACATAATCTATACCATCCGCTGGAATCTGGAAAAGTTTCTTCTCTGATATAATCAGAAAGTTTACTTAGTTCTTTGTCTCTATCATCTGTAATTACTAAATTTACTTCTTGTACATTGTTAATCTCTTCAATCGGTTTAATATCACCAATACGAAATATACTGTGCATCGAAAACAATACTTCGTGTTCATTTTCAAAAAAACTAGCGTTACAAATGGATGCAAACGGCGATGAAGATGAACTGGGACGGACTTCTATAACGAAGAAAATTCCTACTAGCTCAGGATTATTTGCATTACTCTCGGCACGCATGAGAGGCATGTCACGCTCTGTACTTGTTGATAAAAAGTTATTGAAGGACATCAATCCTCCCTTTGACTTTTTCATTTCGTCGAAATCCACTTTTGATAGGCCTTGACCACGATAAACCGTGAATATATGATTAAGAGAACCATTGTCAATCTGTTCTTTATGTAATTTGTCTATATGGCGATGAAGATCATTGATGAAGAAGCCCATTCGTACAAGAACATCTCCATCTATCACACGTAAAGCACAATTGAGCATCGGATACAAAGCACTTTCTTTCGTATACCACCAGATTGGTGTGTTGTCACGGTATTTGCAAACTAATTCATCAATATTATCTAGTTCTTTTGCATTATTAGTAAATGGTTGAGGACAATATTTGATAAATTCTTTGATATGTTCGTCTTTAAAATTGATCGTCAAAAGTATTTCTTTGACAATTTGGGTATACATGAAAGATGGATCGAGTTGATCTAATTGTTTTCCTGATGCTATGAAACTAATTGGTATAGCGTTCTGTTCTGTTTGGGTTGTCACTTGTTCGATGGCTTGGCAGAGTGACAGCATGTCGGTGAAAACACCCTTCACCTTTGTCCATTTCTTCATCCATTCTTCAAGAAACTGATTCTCGTAACGAAAGATGAAAATAGAATTTAATTGAGGAATATCGTGAATGCAAGGTACAAGAGTTTGGACAATCGATTCAGGAATGATCATAAGCACTTTTCTGTCAGTAATGCTTAGCACAAAATCGATACATTCGTCGTGATCCGTGAATGTAACGATGTGCTTTATAATATTTTGAAGTTGTGTTATTTTATGTTGACATTCATCGTTGTTGCTACCAAAATTTTTGTCTAACCATACTGCAACGACAGTTTGAATCTTCTTAATATCGATACGCTGACATCTAGCTAGTGTTTCGAAAGTTTCTGATGCCGATTTCTCGCTTGTACCAGTGTGCAAATTTTCATTGATCATTTTTTTTTGCTTCTTTACCAGGTCACTGAGAGAGAACACTTTTACATGGACTTGTTATGAAGCTGTTTGTAAAGAGCTAGCGAAATTGAGAAGAGGCGTTGACTGAAAGAACGAAAAGAATTCAAATAAATTGGCAATCACAAATAGTCGATAAAATAGTCTGATAGAGAAAAGATTTTTTTTCTTTCGCTTCTGTTCTTATCTTTTATGTTGCTGGAGACTGATCAGTTAAAATATATTGCTCTGTGAGATACCATGAGGGTACAACTGCAGTTTAGTCACACCGTTATGTCCAAGAATAACAGAATAGGAAAAAAATTCATTCGCTTATCATTCTGACTTATGACTAGCAGGTAGCGAGATATATTACAAATAGATGTCATTAAACAACGAAACACATTTATTGAAGAAATTACATATATGTAACAATCAAAGTACAGGATAATTTTCTGTTATTTGCGTTACTATATTTTGAAACGGTTTATCGCCGAAGTCCTGCCTTCAAACAAATTCCTTGAGATATGTAGGTATCAGAGTTCTCGCAAGTCCACATTGTTTTTTGTTTCATTTTCCCAGGTCGATCATTCTGGCGACTGGATCCGTTGAAATCTGAGTCGGTTCCGGTACAGCTCTTCTCGATTCCGGCACATTTTTCGCAGATTCCACCAAGTTCCGGCAGGTTCCTTGCCGCCGGATTCCGGCCGGAATTGCGCAGGAAATATCCGATCAGTTCCTGACCGTTTCCAGCTCGAGGTTTGCAGAAAACGGCCGGGAAATGAATGGAACCTATGTTTTAACTTCCGGCGGCAAGGAAATGGTCGGAAAAAGAACCTAACCGGCCGGAACCGACCGTGCCATAATAATCTGGGTTGATACGCATCCACGCATTTTCGATCAACTGCGTATGTACGTGTGTCGCTGGGTCCACAAAGTGAACTGAGTGATTAACTACTTGATGTCCATAGAAGTTTGTATTATTTTGTAAAGTTGTATAAACTTTCCACTCGTCTGAATGGATGATGATGCCTAGGGAACTCATTTGACGATATCAACATGTGAAGTTTTCTATTATTTAATGATCCAAGACTCGAGAGTTATATGAGTGTTGATAGGAGTATTCATTCTCAAGTTGTATGGTGAAAAATGCAAGGAACATGTTAGCTTTTTATATTTATCTCAGTCATTTATTCAATAATTAGCTTTATTCCCAAAAGATTAGATTATTATTTGTCTATTNGTCATCTATACCAGTATTAATTAGATAACAAGTTTTCCATTTATGTTCGATATATTTGTTCATCTGATGTATTTTCTTTTCGATTTCAGTAGTAATCATTGGGTAAGCTTATTTTCTGTCAGCTATGGCTGGACAAACTGATTACATCCAACCTGCTGCACTTATTTACTCAAGTACACTGAATAAAAAATGCGCTGATTCATATACCCTTAAAGGGTTTATCAGAGTGCAACGGAGGCCAAACCCTTTCAAACGTTTTTCAAAGCCCGATAAACTCTTATACATACTCTTGCATCCAGTCAAAAGTATTGTTTATCAGCCCACAAAAGCGTACATCAAATGGTTTATCAGAGCGATTATCATTTTGAAATACTGTTGAACGGTTTGGCCTCCGTTGCACTCTGGTAAACCTGTCTAAAGGGTAGAACAAAAGGAAAAACCAATTATTTTCACATCCTTATCCGTTGATCAATGTATATATTATCTTGAAGTGCTTTTGTATTACAACTGCTAACCCTTCACTGAAGCATTTAAGAGTTGCATCAACCGCTGAAAGGTGCATCAAAGGGTATATCAAGGAGCTAACTATTCTCATTATGCATTAAAATATTTACTGAAAAACATTTCAATTGATGAATCGATCGTGTTCACGCGTAAACGAGTACTGCGAGAGGTTCAGCTACTAAGGTGACTCTCTAACGCACCGGGAACGTTTTTTAAGAAATTAAAGAAAATAGGAATAGTTAACGGTAAACGTATAGGACAATCAAAAGGAGTAATAATTACCTGGAAATTTGAGAAGGATAGGTTTAGAAATGTGACTGAAATAGGAAACACCAAGGTGATGATTGAGACATGCTTTGGTTGGAGGTATTTATGGGATGTGAAGGGGTTAGTTACACATTCAAAGCGTTTGTAGCCAAAGCCTCGATGTACGTATCACAAGTGAACAAAAAGTAAAGAGAATTAAGCGGAACTTGCAGGAAAAGATGATTATACGGTTGCATAATACTGTCCTAATGTTTAATTATGTGTAATACACACAAGTAACGCTCATCCTTTGGATTCGCTGACCCTTTTCTGAAAGACTTTTCCGAATGCTGAACACATTCAGAGACTTCGAAAGAGAAAAAACGCACTGCGATTACTACTATTGCTCAACTGAATCATGTCACTATGACACACACTAGAACTGGAATGAATAGGATACAGAGGTCTTTTTAGGAATCAGACCGATTAGCCATTTGTGAGTGGATAATTCTCCAGAACTAACTATGTTCACTGAAAAATGCATCGCTCAACGGTTAGTCAGACGGCCGACCCTTGACCTGTGTCATCTATTTTTCTATTTTCATATCATGTGCATGGAAATTTTCATAAATGCTTAACTAAGTCACTCATAGACGGACGGTATACAGCAGACTACTTGAAAAGTTTGAACATTCGCCCGTGTCTTCCAGCGATAAACCGATTCTTTTCTCTCCTGTCAACAAAATGATACCCTGCCGAATATTTTCATTGAGGAATATCCATTCGTCAAATCCCTTTCAAAATTATCTGAAGCATGGCCAGGCTATTCTAAGCGTACACTTTATGATTAATCTAGCATTTAAACGCCTAGTCGTTCGTCGACCTCCCTCCGGTCGGTCACTCACGGCTAGCCGTTGACGCACATGATCAGTTTTCATAGTTTTTCCGTATAAAGAAGTCGCTCGTTCATACTTAGTCGATCTGTGATCGAAGTTATCAAAACCCTTCGTAACTGTGTAGTTTACAGTACATTTCTATTGCTCTGTTCAATTTGAAGCGCTGATAGTGTACAATCCTTATTCTCGAAGCTCAAAAGCACATAAATTATGTCCGTTCAAAAACCATTGGCTTTAGTTGAGACAGTGATAAATCTTATCTTTCAAGTAATTTTCAAAACGAACGTCTAGTCGTTCGTCGACCTCCCTCCGGTCGGTCACTCACGGCTAGCCGTTGCCATGCTGTCTCTCTTATTCCTTTCCCCTTCGATCGACTTTCAAACTGAACGATTGGGTTTTCTTTTATTGTCACTTCGACAGTCATGATCTTCTATTCATTCGACTAACAAAAGAAACTAGATACGAAATTCTTATTGTACGATTTGTTTCGAAACGAACATCTTTCATAGCGCTGCATGTGTTCAGAATACTGTTTATACAGTCCACGCGTCTGTAGTTACTAAAATAGAATTCCACCGACGGCTATATCACTTTGCGAACTACTTCTACTAAGTTCTCATGAAAAGACCTGAGGTATGTAGCCTACAACGCAAAGATGATACTAAGCTCATATCCCTTTTTCGGATGTCTTCAATTAGAAACATCATTATGTACAATGCATTAGATCTTTTCGTGTAAGTTCTTGANCTGTTGTAGTGGTAGTGGGTTCTGTAGTTGTTGTAGTAGTAGTCGTAGGTTCTGTTGTAGTTGTTGTAGTCGTGGGTTCTGTAGTAGTTGTTGTGGTGGTAGTGGGTTCTGTAGTTGTTGTTGTAGTGGTAGTGGGTTCTGTAGTTGTAGTAGTAGTTGTTGTTGTTGTTGTGGATACGTTAGCACATGGTGGAAACAGATAGAGTGGTTTATGTAATTCGGCGCTCGTGGTCAATGACAGAACTGCAGTTGCTCCATCGATATTTGCATTTGTAGTAACTGTTGCCAATGGAGCTAAAAGGGCACCCATGAAGTTACGTTGTATTGTGATAGTTTCAGCTTCGTAGAAATTGAATAAAACACGCGATCGCGTGTCTAGTTGTGTCAAGCTGCCAACAATAGTTCCTTGGTCATATGTGATACTTTTACCACCGAGATTAATCACGATCCATGAGGCTTGAACGTTATTTCTGATTTGAATCTGTTGGACTTTTGGGTTATGAAAGAATAAGTTACCATCTGTAATGGTGACGAAAGCAAATCCTTCTGAATCTTTTGTTGCAATATTGACATTGAGTGGACCTGGTTGAGTACTTGGAATGACGACGTTATTGTTAGGTGTTTTTTTTGAAAGAGTTAATGACAAGTCTTTCAATCCGCTGGAAACAGTTGTACATTTGCTATCCAGTTGTGCATCATACACGACTTGTCCACCTTCATTTCCGCCATTGATATTGAATTGTCGATTATTGACTGTATAGGTAACATTTCCTTGCTTGACAATTGTATTGGACGAGTCACCGAGAGCTACACTGCCAATTTGCACATTGATTGGATTTCCATCCACAATGGATTTATCAATTTGGAGAACTGCTGTAGATGGCGTTGTGTCAGATTGCGTGAGTTGAATGGCAAAGTTGGCTGATGAACTGCTTTTCAATGAGCCACAGACAAGTGTCTTATATTCAACATCAGAACTTGTTGATAGATCGCCCAATGTGATTAGATTGTATTCACTCATATATTTTAATGCTCCATAATCGGAACATGTGGACTGTGCTGTTAAAACAAATAACAGTAAGAAGCAGATTGTGTTCGTTTTCGAAAGAAACTTTACCTGTCACACTTGCATATCCATTGAGTTCACCTCCAATCAATAAAACTGCTACAAAGACGAGAGAAATTGAGTGCATTCTGCTGCTGATGAGAAAAAAACGAATGATAGCAGTATTTCATATTGAAACATCCACTTATACTGCTGTTTTGTGCTCGTGAGGGCATATTTTCGATCATTATCGATAGACCGTTCTGTGACAAAACTTGTTTTTTTACAAAGTAACAACTGTTATTAATGTGATCAAGAAACGAATGAAAAGAACACTCCACTCGCTCATCTTCTATTGATCTTGTTGTCATCAAATCAGAACATACACACCATGATTACACGCATTCAAGGCGTGCAAAGTCATTTTATAAATAAAAAGCTGTCACAGTTTGCTAGCAACAATTTTGTACTAAAAATCCAAACTGACGCTCGCTTTACATTAAACGCTATTATGTTTTTATAGTACATCTATAACATTTTTTAATTTTCAAGAAAAAGTTTATTTTCACAAGATGTAGAAATTATTTTCAGTTAAAATGCCACTCGTTCGTATTACTTCTCAACCATATTTTCTGAAATAAAACTGAATCTTCTCTGTATGTGTAAAGGACGTCAACAACGATTTTTCGTACAAATAAAAGTGTTGATTGTCTTGTTCGTCTTAAAAGAAGAGAAAAACTATGCGTATCAATTTTAACTATGACTCATCGCAATTCGAGTTTTATAGAAAATGTTAGAAAGCAATCATACAGTGCAAATGACAGCTGTCATTTGTCGTACCATTACTACACAAATGAACTTAAACGTCATTTTTCGCATAGTAAATGTGCAAAAAGAAATAATATCATCCACAATTTATTTCGCATTCAAAGAATTTTGATGTAGCGAACAGCAATGTTTTTCTCTAATATCACCATTTGAATAATTTCGAGAAGAAAGAGTTCGAAGATGGTTTTTTCTTTGTCATTGGATATCGAATTGTCAAATGTTCAACAGCAACTTTACTCATTGATAGACCGCGTTCATTTTCCACGCGTTTCATCACTGTATTCAACGTTTCGTTCCTCGCTGATATTACCAGAGGCTCTGAATTTGGTTGATTTGCAATTTGAATTTGAGTATTCTCAGGTAAAACCAAAGGTGTATCGTCATTCTCAAGTATACTATCCACCTGAGCATTGGTACACACTTCTTGCCAAATGGTAAGACGTGCTTGATTTCTTTTTTTAGGATAAACAACACGATGGATACCGGTTTTAAAACGATCTTCGGTCAAAGCACTGATTGCTTCACCTAACCATATGACGCCAATATTATTACATTGATCTAGTTGTGAATTATTCGGTCCATCGATCCATTTATTGTCATTTCGATCTTGCAGTTGAAGACCATCGCATGTCGATAGAATACTCAACGAAAATAGACCTGGGTCATAGTGAGGAACACAATTTACTTCATTTGTATTCAAGCCAACAGCTGGCTGTTCCAGAGATCCTGTTCTTTCATTGAAATAATTGACAATGTCCAACATATTGAACGAAGATAGAACTGTCAATTCTTCGTTTGTTTTCTCCGTCATTTTCAAAATAATAAACGTTAATATATTCATCCAATCATTGAACAAAGTGCTTAGATGTTGTAATGACTGTTCGACATCGTCTGTCAAAAGAGGTCGACGATCAGCTTTTATACCATACTGATCAGTCAGTAATTTAATACCCTCTTTATGGTCGACACATGTGTAACCGAATGCATTTGATGATTTATAAAGTAATTTTTCTTGTCGAGATCGACTGAAAAATGTCGAAAGTGTTTCTTGAACGGCACTTAAGGAATCATTTTCCATAGGTAATTGAATGAAACACCATCCATGTGTTTCAAATTCCTTTTGCATTCCATTTATTTCATCTCTATCACCAGTTGATAACTTGGCAAAATCGATTATTATATGATCGTTGAGAAACTTGCTTGCCATGCATGCGTATGCGATACAATGAACAAAGAGAGACACGTCTCGTTTGAAAATTGTCAGTTGTTGCTCAACTGTTGAGCAAGAATCGATGAGTCACATCGGAACAGGACACGTGGCGATGTATTCTTTTCTTTCTCTCTTCGACTGTCGTTATTGGTCGACCAATTTGTTTGTATGTGTAAAAAGAAATGAGAAAGAGACAGTCAAATGTGATTCTTCCATCTTTTTGTGTACAGTTCATAGTCGGTGTCAACACCGATGTTATACAAATATTTGCCTCAAAGTTTTATTTTACTGGTTTTTCATTTCATTTCCAGTAATACTGCATCAAAATGCATATTCTCTAGAACTATATATTTTGGTGGTTTTCAACAGCAATTACAAGCCGAAGCTTGGGGTCGTGATAGTCTTAGAATTCGTCTAAGTCCAAATGTGATCATACAAACGCCGGACTACCAAGCATTACTTCCAGAGAAGCCAGCTATCGATGAATTGGATTGTCAACAATCAAATGGAAATACATTCATCAACGGTAATCTTCAATTCAGCATAAGTGATGATAATACAACATGGTTAATTGAACGTCAGTCGGATGGTCTTCATCTTATTCAAACGCAATCGATTACGTTTTCACCATATAACTATCCGCTTTCGGTTTATTCGCCCGTTTATACGCTTTACAATTTGTCATTGAGATACATTCATGTTCAATATGGATATCTTTATGGTTTAGGCGAACATCACTATGGTCACAATTTAACATTACCATACCGCGACTTTCATTTACCGTTCGTGTTTTCTTCAACGGCTCCGACAAACGGCGACATAACCATTCCGTGGTACGTGCACACGTCTGGTTTTGGCTTCCTTTGGAATCAACCAGGCTACGGTTCATTTGATGTGCGAGATGACACAGAAATCACGTGGACAGCGAATGCCACACATCAACTTGATATCTGGATAACGACTATACCTAAAGAAGAAAGTTTATCTTCATTAATTTATCCTCTACTAATGAAAAACTATGTTGATGTTGTTGGTCATCCAAATCCGTTGCCACGTTTTGCTTCAGGCTTCTGGCAATCGAAGAACCGTTATCGTACGCAACAAGAACTATTAGAAGTTGCAAAAGGTTATCATGATCGTCAAATTCCTGTGAGTGTGATTGTTATTGATTATTTTCATTGGACGTCGTTTGGCGATTGGCAATTTAACAAAACATGTTGGCCAGACATAGTGCAAATGATGGATCAGTTGAAAGCTTATAACATGAATTTAATGGTCTCGGTCTGGCCTCATGTCGCCAACAATTCGGAAAACTTCATGTTCATGAATACTACAGGTTTACTAACGCACGATGCCAATGGAAGGACTATGCCTACGAATGAAAATCTCTATATTTCGGATGAGTTTAATCCAGCCACTCGACAATTTATTTGGGATAGAGTTAAGACCAATTATTTTGATTATGGTATCAAGATTTATTGGTTAGATGCCGATGAACCCGAACAAAGTCGACCGGATCTACAATGGTGGTACGGTCGGCACGACGATGAGATTGCTTTGGCTTGGGCGAGAGAGCATCAACGAACGTTCTGGGAAGGATTACAACACGAACTACCGAAAGAAGAAATAATCATGCTAAGTCGACAGGCATGGATAGGAAGCCATCGAATGAATGTGGCTGTTTGGAGTGGTGATATCGATTCGTCATGGGAAGAGTTATTAAAACAAATAAAAGTCGCGCAAAATGTAGCTTTATCGGGAATTTATTGGTGGACAACCGACATTGGTGGTTATCGTCATGCCGGCTTATCGGACGATGAATTTCAAGAATTATTATTACGTTGGTTTCAATTTGGGGCATTCTGTCCATTATTTCGTCTACACGGTGAACGCTATCCACCTCTCCCTAACGACGAATGCGGCTTCTCTGGCGGCCACAATGAAGTGTGGTTATTCAAGTATAGTTCACAAATTATCAGTATCATTGAGTTGCGAGAATCGTTGCGCGATTATGTTGAATATCATTTGAATATTTCAGCGGAGAATGGTACCCCACTTCTCCGACCAATGTTTTATGATTTCAATAACGATGACCAGTCATACAATGCTGAAGATCAGTATATGTTTGGAACGGATTATCTAGTTGCTCCCGTTTACGCATATCAGGTTACGTCACGTTCGGTGTATCTACCGAAAATCAGCCAACGAAATTCAGTTTGGCAACATTATTATACAAAAGAAAAATATCAAGGTGGTCAACGTTATACCATTGCAACTACTTTGTATGATTTTCCACTTTTCGTAAAAGTGTCATCAAATTATGCAACTATTGATTAAAAGAGTCAATTTATTTTTAAACACACGAATATGGATATGAGAAAGAATAGAATAAAGTGAAAAGTGTCAGATTGTACGAGATAAGAAAGAAGTTTTTCTTACGAGGCCAGAATACGTTGCATTCGTTGTCTGTGTCTGGTTTTCGCTTTCATATGATTTGGATTAAACATAGCTGCGACTTTTGTGAGTCCAGCGTACATTGCCACAGCATGGACAGGCATCAGAATAACCAAGAATACCGATGTCATGATTGCTACTGTTTGTTGACACGCGTCCTCCTACAGTTAATCGATATAATTCTACACATTTCAGGAGTGGAAAAAACGTACGAAATCCTTCGGATACATGACAGCAACTGTAGATTCAGTTGTTGCACCCGATGTTGTTGGGGCTGCGGTTGTAGGAGCTACAAAAAAAGGATCAATTCGGATCAATATTCACTTTTACATCATCGAATTTCCCTTACCAGCTGTAGTTGGAGCTGCAGTAGTTGTCGTTGTTGCATTCGTTGTAATCGGAGTCGTTGTTGTTATGACAATGCCCGTTGTTGTCAACTATTCAGACACAATCATGCTAAGGTAAATAAAAACTGGAATCAATCGTTACCAGCGTATTGATACTGGTAGTTGATGTTGGTTTTGTTGTAACTGTCGCAGTGCTGAATGGTGTAGTGGTTGTTGTCGTTGTGCTTGAGACTGCCGGATTCCAAATATTGAATCGCCAAAATGTTGTATCAGTGATCGGCGACGATTCCGCATCTGAAACATCCATTCAATGATTCATTGGTATGAGTAGGAGGAAACTTACGACAGAAGACACTTCCGCTAGCAAACCCACTATCCATTGTAACATAGTAGAAGCTGCCGGGCGTCCACGTATAATTTGTAATGATAACGATTGTGTATCCAGTGTAAATTATGTTTGATGCATAACCAGCGTCATAACACAGAACTGATGCGTTCGTGCTTGCGTCATGAAAGCAAATGTCTGTTCCGTTACGAGAAGGACGACCGACCAAACTTGTTGCTAGATGATCAAAGTCAAAGTTGAAGAAAAAAGGATAAAATATTTCCAGAATGTCTACCTTGTATGAGAAACATCGATTGGTTGGAAAAGACCGTACCCACTGGACTTGCTGATCCTTGTACTAACGTTGGGCGAATCAAATTTGGCGAGTCATAATCAACTAGATATGTAATACACCATGGATCCGATTGCAAACTACTATTGTCGATGGCACCAGCACAAAAACCTTGAGGACCAGTTTGTGATGCTACGGGCGTCCATGTTAATACCATTGTCCATAAGTCTATAATTTCATGAGGGATTCTTCTCATCTCTAGGATGTGATGATCGACTACTTACTAGTGCTTGGATTACTGATAGCACTATGTGTCATTCCAATGGGTGAACTAGTAACAAAATCGACAATGGTTTGACCAGGACAATATGTTTGCACAATGACGGTTTCATTTAATTGAACACCTACAATACATATGTGAGAATGTACTCTCAAGAAAATATCTCGACCGTAACTTACCAATAGGAATTCCAATGCAGGCTAGAACAGGGTAAATAAATACATAGAAAAGAAGGAATTAAACGGCATTTGAGGCTTAAGATGCGTTCATACCTCGGTTTGGTCGATCGCCAATGATTGATGGACGTTGTGAACATGCAGTAGATGAAGCAGTATACCCATAGAACAAAAATTGTATTGGAATAGAGCTCATTGGAGTTGAATAAGAGCTGCTATAATAATCTTCAATTTGCAAAGCACACGCATAGTAAAGATTAGCAGTTGGTAGAGTGAAAGATAATGTGCAATTTGTTGCAGTCAAAACAGTTCCAGATGGTAAACCACTACAAATACCTCCACATTCATCAATTCGATTGTAATTCGTTCCAGACGCTGAATTCGACCAACGACATTGCAAAATATCGGTACCATCATTGTCTGCCATTTGTACAATGTGAGTAATTCGTGTATTTATTGGGTAGAACACGACTGGTAGTGTAGTTGTCACAGGACTAGTGTTAATGTAACCGTCTGGTCGTAAGCCTAAATTCAATCGATTGACGATTGACCATGTGCCTCCACTACCCCAATAAAGATTACTCATCCATGCACTCGACTGAAAGCCAATTGTAATTGATGTTGTTAAAGGCAAAGTCAATGTATCATAGCGTTCGCCAGCCCATGATTCGATAATTGGATTTGCGTCACAATCTGTCGTCGTCATAACAGTCGAAAGACCACCGCTAGGATAAGAAGAACTTGAGCAGTTCACTAAACAAGTCATGAAAGAGGTAACTGGAATAGGTGTTTCAGCGGCCACATTAGCTTCAGTACAATAAGGCGGGATAAAGCTACCCCATTGTCGATTCCAAAAGTATCTTTGGTGTATAAGAATACTCGCACTACTCCCCGATGGTGTGCTATTCAATGGGCGCCTAGAACGAATCCATATATGAAAATGAGAGTACAATGATGGTTGAGGATGCATACCATGAGATAATACCGCCACGAAAATGTGCTCCTTCGATTGTGTTAAACAATACGTAGAAAACAGTAAGCAATAGATATCCAACTTGCTCCATTTGTTTAATGCACCATTACTATTTCTGTTTATATATGGGAGTATGCAAGTACGTACGTTTTCGAAAGATGTTAGTAAAAAGTACATTGTTTTAAATTTGGTTACGAAACATTTAACAAAAGCAGAGCAAAATGATGTATGCTAACTTCAATGTACTTTTTCATTCAGGCAGGAATGGAACGAACGCACAAGTATTAAAGAAACACACTCAATCTTATTTTTCAATAGATTCAATATGTTTTTGTCATGAAAAGTAAACAATTCAATTACGTCCACTAAAAAGTTGGCAATCTTGTTCTCCCAATGTGTATAGTGCTGCACCGTTTCTTCAATCAAAAGTACATCCATAATTTTTTCGATCAACGCCTCGTGTTCTTTTTCCTTTTCTTGCTCATGACTATCCGCCAGAAAAAGTATGAATATGTATTTAACTGCTTTCTGTGGGATACACGAACCTAAAGTCTCAATTCATTTCTATCTCAAGCAGCAATAATGGATATTTAAGTAAAACAGCTGATTGCCGAGCTCCGATGAAATGCGAAAGATTTGCTGTTTGGAGTATTAGTATGCATTTTGGGTTATTTCTTACCCAGAAGTTATAGCTAATGCAACATCGAGACTAAATACATATACAAGGAGACTTACTATTCGGCCTCTGAGTACATTTAAAGAAGAATCATCTGCAATAGACTATACTTAAAACTATTGCCATATTTATCTCAATCTGTAAGACGAATGAAAATTTCTATAATGTCTCAATAATGTGCATTTTCATTGAACTTGTTTAGTCAACGTTTAAATCAAATAAACGTCAATAAAGTAGGTGTGCCATTGTTCTATCAAGGACACTTAAAATAATAAGAAGAAAGAGCTGATCGTAGTCTTTGTTTCCGTTGTTTGTTTGATCGATAAATACACACGTTGCCGAGAGTAAACAACAAAAGAAAACTTATTGTCCATTGGACTTCTTGCTCTGCTTCTCTTTTAATACTCAAACAATGAAACAACTAAGATTGCTTTTTCACATGTATTCTCGTCTTCTTCTCTTTCTTATTGTGCAAGTTTTCTTTTTGCTAATTCCAATTAGCAGTATTCAAGTTGGATCGATTAATGATGCAATCTTATCTGCACCCCTTGCTACTGTTATACCAGTGAACGATTCATGTGATAAATGCATTTGTCTGATGCTCTTAGTTTTTGACGTCTTAGGCGTCAATTGTTTGTGGAATCGAACGTGTGCACTATTTTATAATTATTCATCAACTTACAGCATTGACCAAAAGTCGAATTCTAGCTTCCATTTTCTCAGCTTACCACAAGAACTAGAGCAATCGACATACGCATCGACTGAAAGCTCAATCATGAGTAGATTTGATCTTAATATCTGTCAGCGAACCCTTCTTCTTATTTTAGTACCTTGCAATTTCACTTGTCAAAACAATAGTACATGTTCAATGCTTGGAATATGTGCCTGGGCAAATCAATGGTTAGTATTTATTCGATTTGAAAATATCGTTTTTAAGTTACTGAAGTTTAGGAGTGGAGCCCAATGCGAAATTCCTATTTGTTCACCTTCATGTGAAAATTCGGAAGTTTGTGTTTTACCAGGCGTTTGTCAATGTAAATACGGCTGGTCAGGAAGTTACTGTCAGAGCGGTTAGTTTCAGCAACAAAGACGAAGTTGTGGAAAACGTTTGTTTGTTCTAGTAAAAACAGTGCTGTGGACATTCGACAATACATTAAATGACACGAGTGGTCAATTTATGGGGTCAGGTCGTTATTCCCCAACTTATACGTCAGATGTCGATGGATATGACTTAGCTTTGTCATTGAATGGCACTAGAAACCAATGTGTAGTTGTCAACCCGTATCTGAACATGAGTTATTTTAGCTTCACCTGGCAGTTTTGGATTTTTCCAACGATACCAATGACGAGAGATACTATGTTCATTGGTCAATGTGCTCAGGCTATTCGTGATCGATGTTTTATAATTATGACTAGGACTACCGTCATGTGATTTGCATTTTGGGATGATGATGTTAACGGTACAAAAAGCATATATGCCAATAAATGGTCCCACATGACCTTCATTTACGATTATGCAGCAAATCAGAAACTTATTTATCTCGACGGTGTTTTTGAAGGCTTTCAGACTTCAAAGGGAGCTCTTGAAGCAAATTCAACATTTATGACTTTTGGCTGCCGGACGACTAACGGAGGTACTGCCTATACAAATTTCTTTACCGGTTATATAGATCAAGTGCTATACAATTCTCGGGTGAAAAATGCCAGTGAAGTTCTCGACGATGCTACATTAGTAATTCACTTTTGGTTTCTTTCAACTGCACCTTTGACTGACTCGGGACCTAACCATATCAATGGAAATTGGGGTGGTGGTGCTGTATCAACTCCATCAGGCATTGTTGATCAAGGAATAGATTTGACTGTGAATGGGTCCTATTTTCTAGTCGCAGGGCTTGTTCTTCTAGGAACCAATTATAAGCCATTTTCACTCTCGTTCTGGTTTCAAACAACTCTATTCAACGTGAATACTACCATTGCCCATTCGTTGGTCTAACCATCAATAGTTCGATGGAAATTCAACTATTCAATGGTATAAACAATACGATCTTAATTGGTTCTGTAATGCCTACTAGTAGATGAAATCATGTCGTATATACATATTCAACAACAAATGGACTTTCAAAGACATTAATCTTTGGAAATCCATCGTTAAATAACTATTGCGCATCAATAATGAACCAAAAATTCTATGGTAGTATCGATGAAACTACACTGTATTCACGAGAATTAGCAGCGAGTGAAATTTTACTATGATGATTTGAGTCGATGGATTGAAAAATATTTTCGCTTTGTCTACAAAAATGAATGTTTTTTACCATAAAAAATTTTAAAACTCAAGGCGCATCGTAATCAACTATTACTATGCAGTACGTTTCACCCATCCTTTATGATGTGTACTAAATAAATATTCCTTGCCGTGATCTATAGCAAACCGTCCTTGGCCTTCGTTTTTCAAGAACCAATTCAGACCTTCGTGTGGTCCATTACAAGGTCCATCGTATTTTGACGCGGAGCAATATAACGTATGCCATTTGCTTGATAGACGGGTGTCTTGCACAAGAATATAATTACCGATATTCAGTGCGTACTGCTGATAGTAGAGCAACTCTTCGTAAACAGCTTGAGCATAATGATCACCATCGAGCGATATAAACACATTTGAGGGTTTCAATTCGGTAAAAGTTCTATTTACGATTGACTTTGCTTTTTCGGACACGCTCGCATGTGGAATAAATGTGATGTAGCGAGCGAGAAGTGGATATCGATCGATATAGGTCTGAGCTTCGGGATTGATATCCATGGTCACGATTCTGAATGGTCGGATACTCTTTTCACTCGCATTGTAACGATATTGATACATAATCGAAGCAAAAAAGAGAGCGGCCGCTCCTCGATATGAACCTGTCTCGATGACCAGATCAATGTTTTGATCATGTAATATTTCAGCAATCGTAATAGCATCGTTCGGGTTTTGTAGAAAGTGAACACCGAGAAATGATTTTTTCATCCTAGGAAAGAAGAGCGGATCACTTATCATATTCATGTTACAATCAATTATTCAAACGAAACGCTGAATTACCATTCTTTATTTAATTCGTAATACTTATAATATTCATCATAAAACCGAGCTATGTTTGTGTTATCGATGGGGAACTTCACAGACGCTAATGTCGTTGATTTAACTGCTTGGGATGTGGTGGACGTAGTAGAACTAGTAGATACTGTTGGTGTTTGGCTTCCTCGATTTGACAATAGCCATGTGGTAAAAAGAATACCGATGACAAAGCCAAAAACACTAGAATGGTATGATTTATGCTGCATAGGAAATCTGCCACCTAAATAAAAAGTATTGACATTACTTTTATCCGTTTATTAAAAAATTTCGTTATTTCTTGATAATATTCGAAGTCATGAAAACGAAAAAGACACAAACAGATATGAAAAGGAAGGAAAACAATTTATGATACGTTAGCAGGCCGAAATATGCTCTAATAGCGTACCATGTTTTACCTTCTTGATATTGATATTTATTGCTCTCTTCATGCATGAGAAGAGGAGTATGCCTTAGTGTAAAAATCATGTATGTTTGCTATATGAGTAGCCACAGTTTTCTGTTCTTGTAGAAATTCTGGACAGAAAAGAAAAAGAACAAGCACACTTTCAGCTGCGTTTAATCTGTACTGTGACTCCGCTGTATGTATGTGCTGTACCCAAACTTATGTGAATAAATATCTACCGAATTTTGCGTACTGACTAAATATTCTTCTTGCTTCTCACTTGAAAATATCAATATTTATGAGATAAAAAGTAGAGTACTTTGTTACAAATTGATATCAGTTGTCATTATCACTGTATGATGATTTCGTAGTTATTGTAATGTCAATCTTTACGAGGACGTGGCAAATTTCAAACTGTTACCAATTTGAAAAACTAACCGTTAAAGTTTTTGAATCTCATACTCTTACAGTTTCTACCGAAGTTAAAACCATATCGCACATCAAATACCAATTTTAAACTTTCGAATGAAAGTTTCTATTTCTCAATCCATGATAGACCAAAGTATATCGCTGTGGTACCTCTACCCAGTTCAATCAGTCCTAGAGTCGGATCCCATGGGAACCGATAGGATCCAGTTAACTTGATCCGATAAAATCCGGCAGTGGGTACCGACCGGATCCTAGTAACGTGAACCGTTGAAATCCAATACTGAAATAGTTTTCTAGCGAATATGCAAAATGGAATTACATGCAGTGGCGACAAAAATAAATAGTAATTCTCTTAATTGATTTTTCGTTGCATAGATCCGTTCCCACAGCAAGTCAGCGGCATATTCTGTGTCAAATCGGTTGATAAGATAAACTTCATTCCAGTGACTCATTTCAGATAGGTGTCCAGGCATATATAAGTGCCTGGAAACATACCTTGTTCAATAAAACACCATGCTCGTAGTAAAGAAGTGACTGTATGTCTAACAGAAAGTACACTGAGCTATTTATATTCAATGAATGCGAATTTCATTTTGTTAATCGTTAGTAATTTATACATTTTCAAGCAACTGTGACTGTGCATATCTATATCTGTTTTTAGAAAAAGCGTTTCAACTTGCTTACCAATTTATGTCTCGAAGAAAGATCAATAGTTATCGTCATAAACCGAAAGGTAAATACCCAGTCCTTAAAAACCTTTATTCGAATGGAACGCCAACATCATACAAATAGGTAAGACCATTCATTTCAAAACTGCTTCCTTCGAAACCTATCCTCGCAGTATCATAACTCACGTCAGTTCAACTTCTGCTTCAGCCCATTTCCAACTGGCACCATGCAGTAATTAAGACTATCATTTATCTTTCACCCATTTCGGTATCTTTCATTCTTCACCTCATTTCTGATATGTCAATCTGATATTACCCCTCATATGCTGAAATCATCTCGGACGAGATCTTAGCTCAATCCATGGCCACAATAGCAAGTCATACTGTCATTTCACGCAGAAGTCCTGCCATTTGTCGTATTTCTACAATACACGCACATGGATGAGAGCATTTTCACAACAGTAATACCCACCTTCATAGATTCGCTACTCCCATACACAAACAAATAAACGTACGACACAGCATTCCCCATATCTACTCAGCGAACCACACACAAACAAATGGAGGATTCAGAATCGAAAAGAGATCCACAGCAAATCCTATACATATGTACTGACAACTAACAAGTGGAGGATTCAGAATCGAAAAGAGATCCACAACAAATTCTATACATATGTACTGACAACAAACAAGTGGAGGATTCAGAATCGAAAAGAGATCCACAGCAAATCTTATACATATGTACTGACAACTAACAAGTGGAGGGTCCAAAATCGAAAGGGGGTCCGCAACAAATCCTATACATATGTACTGATAACTAACAAGCGGTAGATTCAGAATCGAAAAGAGATCAACAACAAATCCTGTACATATGTACTGATAACTAACAAGTGATGGATTGGTACCGCGGTTGTAGCGGAAGAGGTTTTGTGCTTGGTAGGAATCGGAGAATGGGAAAGCAGGGGTGAATATATATTCTTTAGTGTTCGTAGAAATATAGGTGATGAGGAATAGAGCAAAAGAATCTTTCACATCGTTTGAGGTTGCATTGTGTCAGGCTACTAATCGAAAATTCTACGAATAGGCATGTTTAAGGGGAAGTATTCATATGTTGAATTAGATTGAATTCTACGAATTTGCATGTGATAGAATATTCAATATCGGGTAGATGTGGGCGGCAGTGCATTGCGAAGCTATGTGTACTGTGTGCATTCATTGTCACAGTGAAGGATTTGGTATGTAGACTGCGATGCCTGTTTTTGTATGATTGTGAATAACTCCTGAATTTATGGAATACTCATTGGCTCGCGTTTTTCAGTTTCAAGGGGAATGGTCGTTAACATAATGTGGATTATTTGGGGCTATTTTTTGCGAAAAGCGCTCAATGGGCCAAATCAGTTCGTGAGCCGTGCGACTAATAAAATGGATTTTTGAGGAATACTAACGAGTACAAAATAGAGTCAATGAATACAGGGATTGTTTGTAAGACAACGTAGTTATAACCGTTTACCTGATGAGATATATCCGAGGAATGTGAGGCGTCATTGTCGGAAGGAACCGCGTATAAACTTGTAATGAAATCCCTTGGTACAAGTATTATAAAGGTCATTGACATCCTCAAAAAGATTGCGCAACATACACGGGTGTATCTACCAAAACTCGTCAGGTTTTTCCAGGAATGTCGCCCCATTCTGATACAACTTTGATGATTTGCAGATGTTTGAGTAGTGGTAACTTCGGCGATAAAAATTTGGCAGGTAAAAACGGAAATATTTCACTTCACTAAATACGGACGATAGCAATAGAACCGCAGATAATTTTAAAATGATGGAACTACATTTTAGAGACAGTGTACATGAAATCTAATTAAGAAAAACTAATTCATCATGTCTGGAATGTTTGCTCTGCTTGATAATAAAACCGAGGAAACAGCAGGCTAGGTGTTAGCTTTCCCTTACAATCCAAAGACTCCTGCCCACTAGACGTCGATAGGCGGAACGGAAGGTAACGGGAAAAAAGCTGATGATCGGTATCGGTTCCGTTAGTGTGTGTGTGGTTGTCCTACTTCGGAATTGGAGGAATGAATGACGTGATTCGAGGCCTTCGTGATAACGTTTATTCATAACGACGAGAGAAGAAAACGACTTATGTCGATCACAGTTCAAAGACAACTGCCTCTGTCTGATCTTACAAGTTCAAAGAGCGGTCAGACAGGTGGCATAGAGAGAAACCAGAGAGAAAGAGATCTATATATTATGGCATCGAACCGCACATAGGACATGTAGATCTGAACAAGAAGAAAGAAAGAAAAAAAGGTAGCGATAATAATGTACTATCTGTTATCGCTAACACTAGGGCATGTTAGAAGGCATAAGCAGGTCTAGTAAACTACGGCTTCAGAATATCTCGCCCAGGCCACTTTTGATGGAAACCTCGAAATATCTTCCAAATCCATCTTAGAATGAATCGGTTTTTCAAAGTTCAGAATATTCTGTTGAAGATTTTCATGAGGATTCAGAGTATTACGTTGATATTTAGGTTTGACCCAGTTTTCATAGAGAAAAATCAAGTTTCTGTGAAAGTGACCGTAAAACGTTGGTAGCATTTTTACTATCTACCATGGAAGATAAAAATAAAATTTCAGTTATATTATTTACTACCAGAATGGTCAGCATCAAGAACTTGCGCAACGCTGAAGGTCTTATTAGAATCGGAGCATGTCACCGGACAGGCTGACGATTTTTCCCGGATACAGCGATATACTAATTTTATCGGATTTCTGAGATTTTCAAAATTCCGGCTCCGACGACCGGATCCTATCGGAATATATTGGTAATCCGACAGTCAGATTCCAATGCAATTCCGTCACCAGGAATCCGATCGGATTTTATCGGGTGGTCGGATCCAACATCGGATTGGTTGACCTGGGTATGGCGCACCCGTTAGATGATTCACCTTTACAATCTAACATCCCCGAGTCGAACACAATGCATGAAATGAATGTGATAAGCTGTATAGTTATTCTGTCTTGTTAGTCAACAGCCTTCTCAGTAAGTCAGATGAAAAAAATAGTTAAAGCGAAGCAAAAAAGTATAGTCTTGAAGAGTTCAGTCAGTTTGAATGACATCAAAACATGAGGCTACTTGTAATATCAGAAGTGAGTTAAGTTTCTTTGCTTTTGTTCACCAATACAGGAGAGAGCCGTTTCATAATTTGGTGGAAGTCCCTCGGGGCGACGAATCGGTGTTGTCGGCAACGAAATGCTATATGGAATTCGAGTACTATCGTTGTTATTTGACTCATGAAAAGGTATTTTTTTCAATTTCAATGCATGTGCAGACAAAGCTGGTGGTTGATAACGATTTCGTTGACACTTGTATCGATAGATACAAATACCACATATACAGAAGATACCAAGCCAAATCGATAGAACGATCATAAATGTTCGGACATCTTCAGGACTGTAGTGATAACCAATTTGATATGTTGTTTCACGTGAACAAGATGAAACTGTGTATAAAGAAAAAAATTTTTAGATAACTGGCAGATACCCTTCGCTTTCATTAGATGGACTAAAGTTTCGATCTGACTAATATCAATTAGTTGTGTTGTCAGTAACCTCATCTTTCACAGACGATCAACGTCGATGATCAAGGAACAACTCATACGTGTGGCTTTCGGTATTTTCATCGAAGAAGATACATCTTTCAGCGTAAACATTTAATCAATCACTTACCTAGTGCTGAGAATGATTTATTGCTGGATGGGGTGAGCAATAAGAAACGAACAAAATCGGGACCGCTCGTCTGGATTGAGAAACTTCCTTTTATACAGGGTGAATATGTTGTCACCATCAAAACGTACATATGTTCGTATTGCATCGTGAGAGTCATTCGAAATTGTTTCTTACCAGCGGTGTCATCATCACATGCGATTAAATTTACAAAAGGATTGGACGGATCAAAAGAATTATTATAAAAACAACCGTAAGTGTCCCATGAACTATCACTTGTGAAAGTGTATGTATCAGTTGCAAAGGCTGTTACTTGAAGAGTCTGGTAGTAATAGGCGGAGTCTGAAGCACCATTAGGTCGAGCGAATACTGGACTGTTTGATGAAAAGTTGTCAAAATAAGTTGATAGTATTGCAGGTGATGTCGTGGCTAAAATACTTCAAACATTAATTTCAATGTAAAGTACAAGATTCAACTTCTGACATTGAGATTAATCTAGAAGTTGCATGATGCGAACATGAATGCACAAAAAATCTGAATATGACTTTTTATCATATTTACTCACTTGTTGTCGCGGTGGATGTGCTTGTTGGTAGTACATATGTTGTTAAATCAATGAATCCTGGACCGACTGCTTTGACGGAGAAAGCTCCCATGGTCCCTGCAGTATGCGTTGTGACCATCAAAACATACACTTCTTGGTGCTGGAGAGTAATATTGATTTGAAATCCTTGGTCACGGCCACCATCATCATCACATGTGATCAAATTCTGAGAGAAGTTCAATGGACTGTAAGAATTCTTGTAAAAACAGCCATAAGTGCTCAAATAACTATCGCTTGTAAAAGTGTAGTTACCATTTCTAACAACTTTTACTTGAATCATCTCATAAAAGTAATAATCATCTCCTGTACGATTGAATCCAAAGAATATTGGCGTATCGTATGACAAGAGGCCAGTGTATGTTGAAAACATAATCACCGAAGTCGGGGCTAAAAGAACGTGAACACGGTTCAGTTTTAGATTCAGTTTCAAAATGGGTTAATGTCTCATGTAATCTCGGGATACGATTTGACGGCAAAAAACAGTCGTTCAAGACGATGCAAAGAGAAAAGGTGTGGATGTGAATGAATAAATGGGTATTGTAAATAGATCTTTCTCATTCACATCCAGATTCACTCACTTGATGTTATTATAGGTTCATGTGTCGGTGGTGCGATTGATTTGAAATTTACGTTGTCCGGTCCATCGACACTGATCTTAAAATCTCCCGTATGATTGGGCCAATACGTTGTCACAATTAAGAAAATTGTTTGTACGCGTTGTAGGGTAACGTTGATTCGAAAATCCGGCACCCCATACATTTTATCGCCACATATAATAAGATTTCGATATGGATATAATAGATCGACATGATCATGATATAAGCAGCCATATGTGTCGATTAAACTACTACTTGCGAAAATATATGTACCATTTGTGTCTGTAGTAACTCGAAGAGCTTCATAATAGAAGTAAAAATGGTAATTAAAAAAATGCGGCCGATAGAATATTGGACTGTTTGATGACAAGGAGCTCGAGAAAGTGGATATGACAGGAGGTGGCATCGTAGCTAAAGAATATTTAAAAAAACATGCATTGTATCTGACGTGAAAGTATTCGTAACATAGAACTCGTCAGCAAAACATGTGTTTGCAGTTCAACCGGATCCTTTTCATAGTGACGGTCTGTATCCAGCTGCTCGAACAAATCAGTAGGTCACGTCATGTTCAAGTTGCAAGAGAATAAGAATTTTTATATGTAATAAGCGCTTTTCAATTGAACGAGAACATTTACTCTTAGACGTTTTTTCAAATTTTAATTGTTCTAATTCTAGAGCCCTCACTATTTCTTTATCAATAGTGTTTATTTATTATGTATAGCTACTTCAATCAACTTACATGTTATTTCCATGGGTCTACTGGTAGATGGTGTTAATGATGTTATCCTAAGATATTCCGGACCCACTGCATTGATCGTAAAACGTCTCGTCCAATCGATTTGATATGTCGTTACAATCAAAACATATGTTTGTGCAAACTGCAAGTAAACGTCGATTTGAGACTCATCGCTTTCACCACTCTTATCTTCACATGTGATAAGATTTTGATATGGATAGGATGGATCAACTGGATTATCGTATAAACAGATATACGTGTCCCATGGACTATTACTAGTGAAAGTGTATGTACCATCTGTCTGAACCGTAAATTGAAGGGCCTGATAATGGTAATAGCCTGCAACAGTAGCATGAGGTCGGATAAAAACCGGGCTGGCTGAAGACAAGGAGTCCGAATAGGTAGATAAGATAACAGTTGTCGTCGTAGCTAGAATAAATGGAACACATAAAGGCATCGGTTTTTGAAATCTCTATAGAAACGGATCTTAGTCATAGCGGACATCGAAATTTTATGACTGCTCTCGAGACCTAACTACACTTATGCAGCTAAAAACGAGTTATTTTCAAAAGAGAATCTAACTATAGAATATTCATAAATATGTCAAGAGTGAGCAAACATTAGTCAGACGAATGAATAAAATTATATTCGACTTGACATGATAGATGCTATGCTTATGTAATCTTGTGGTAGTAACCGTTGGTAATATTTTCGGACTACGGATGACTATGGCAGTTGGACCACCAGTTGATAGAATTGAATATTCACCTAGCTTCTGCAGTAGTGTCAAACTCGAAAACTGAATTCAGTTATTCAACTATTGCTTCAGTTTTTCGGTTTTTCAGTTATTATAGAGGACATTCTGAAAGATGTTTTCAGTCACTACCATAACCTAAATCACTAGTGGTAACCAAAACACCTGCATATTTCCTAGATAAATTTCGACACCCGCTTGATTTTCCACACCTCATAGAACAATTACCCTTCGTAACATATCCACACGGGAACTATTTTCCTTCACCAACTGCTAAGGGCAATACCATCTCAGTTCGAAACTACTACCTAGACACAAGAACAAAGTACCTCCCAAAAGTAACAGTTTCTCTACGAGCGCTCAGACGGTCTAAAACCGTCTTCGCTAATCCTTCGCTCCGTTTTCCCAACGCTCCACAGCATACAAAACCCACTCATAAATGATATCTCATACACACTCTCACCTACACCCGCACTTAGATAATACCCCATAGACACCCTCACCTGCACCCTCACTTAGATGATATTCCATACACATGAATAACTGAAAAACTGAAAATTCAGGTACTCAAGTATAGTAGTTGAGTAACTGAATAACTGAAGTAATAACTGAATTCAGCTTTCGAGTATTACATGTATGGCATTCTGCAATAACAAACATCTCAGATCAAGAAAGGTGGTGCTCAAAATTAGGAACCATTCTCGATTTAAAGAAAATTAACCTTTCACACCGAAATACTATTTGAGCTACAGAATTGAGGTAGTCGAAATTTAATGTGCATTCATCTGAAGAGGTGCGAACAAAAGTCTGATAGGGAACTGTTCATCATGTTCTCGCTAGGGATGTACCGAGACCGAGACATGACCGAGAGTCTCGGGCGAGACAGTCTCGGTCTCGGGTGTCTTGGGCGAGATCTCGGTCTGTCTCGGTCTTAATGAAGTCGGTCTCCAAAAATGTCAACTGTGTGCAAAATTAAATTTAGAACCTTTCACGTATGGTCCGCTGTTGAGTTTAAAATAGCATTCGCAAGAATTTATTATTTATTTATGAAAAACTAACAAATCTGTGTTTATTTATCATTTATAAACACTTTTTCAGGCAAAATAGCGTTACTAAAGTGTAGCAATTATGAACCTTTATGAATCAGCTCCTTTTATACTCAACAGTGGTATGGTGACTAAAATTTGGATGAACGAGAAGCTCGATGTCTCGGCGAGACTACGAGATTTCGACCGAGATCTCACCCAAGACCGAGATGACCGAGACCGAGATAGCCGAGACCGAGACTGACCGAGCCCGAGAATCTCGGTCTCGGTACATCCCTAGTTCTCGCTAATCATTTCTCATTCTGCTTTACTCAAACATTCTATGACCAGCAACACTAAAACTTGGTTTAAATTCTTACTTTGGATACAACTGAGAACAATTCCAACAATGAAAATAGTGATAAGCGATGAATCAACATGCGAACCGCCAAACAGTCGCAAGCACTTTCCTGGTATACGACCGACTGCGTCTGCTATTCTTGAGTATTTCTTTGAATTCAGATGAAGAACATTGGATAGAAGTATATCGTTCATTTGTCGATATCTATCTGAATTTGAATCGATAGCGTCTACCGTGATTGTCAAAAAATCGGCGAAAGAATCTGAAAATAGTATTATCATCTTAACGAGATTGTAAAGAAATCATTGCTTTATACTCTTTTGTCGTTCTTTTGATTTTATCGTGTTTGTCATAGATAACGCTAATCTATGTTTGTCGAAAAAGAAAAATTATTCAATAAAAATGCTGGCAGTGAATGGTGAGTGGAGAAATGAAGAACAACACCAAAACACCCATCCAGACCCCACCCACAGGGTAAGCTTCCTGTTATCAAAACTTCAACCTGAATATGACTTCCACATCTGAGTATGTGCAATAATCTATTGATTAAATCTAAAGATGTGTGAATCGATCGTTTTATCGTGTGGGTCATCTACATGAAAACACTCCGACCCTCACCCTCAGGAGTCTGAATGCCCAAATATCGTTTGATTCTACTATTGGACAACGTCATTTTCTATAGCAGTCATGTGGATAAAATAAACAGTGACTAGATCACTTCGTCAAATTGAAAGAGTAAACGAAGACTTTTAAAAAACGAAAAAAAAAAACTGAGCTCAAAGAGCATAACTAAACATTTGTATTAGAAGAAAGGAAATGATGTCTTTGACGGCATTTATTGGATATATTTTCTTTATAATTCCGCTCGAAAGGATCGTGAATGAGTATCGTTGACATGGACATATTCACTATTGGCGTGGGTCATTGTCCGGATTACCACTTGCTGCAATTGTTGTTTGTGTGTTCGCAGTTCCTCCGTTTTTGCCTTCGGATTCGAATCAAGCCATTTCACTTGTTGTTCGATCGCCTCTGCANAAATAAAAACTCGAGTTATGGGAAAACTGAGCATACCACTATATAGAGCTCGTTGAGTTCTACGTGGAACGCTGTTTGGCACGGTTGGAACGCATTCCTGAACGAATATGGGAAGCTTTTACTCGAATATGGTGCCAGTATTTTATTAAAAAAATGAAGTATTTTTTAATTTTTTTAACTATCGTTTGAACTATGGAAAATATAAATACACCATTAGATAGAGCTCGCCGAGTTCTACTTGGAACGCTGATTGGAACGCATTCCTAAACGAATGTGGAAAGCTTTTACTCGAATATGGTGCTAACTTCACCAACGTGTCGTGCAAAGCCATTTGATAAATAAAAGTATGTCACAGTTTGGTGGCAACAATTTTGTACGGAAAATTCAAACTGATGCTCTCTTTGCATTAGTCGCTAGCTATTATGTTTTTATAGTACGTCTATAACACTATTTTAATTTTCAAGAAAAGTTTATTTTCGCAAGAAGTAGAAATGATTTTCAGTTGAAATGCCACTCGTTCGTATTATTTCGCATCCATATTTTCTGAAATAAGATTGGATCTTCTCTGTACGTGTAAAGGACGTCAACAACGATTTTTCGTACAAATAAAAGTGTTGATTTTCTTGTTTGTCTTAGAAGAAAAAAAACTATGCGTATCAATGTTAACTATGACTCATCGTAATTCGTGTTTTACAGAATATGTTAGAAAGCAATCATACAGTGCAAATGACAGATATTATTTCTCGTTCCACTACTACGCAAATGAACTTAATTGTCTTTTTTTCGCATAGTATATGTGTAAAAAAAATAATATCAATTACAACTTATTTCGCAGTCAAAGAATTTTGATGTAACGAACAGCAACGTTTTTCTTTAGTGTCGCCATTTGAGTAATGTCGAGAAGAAAGAGTTCGACGATGGCTTTTTCTTTGTCGTTGGAAATCGAATTGTCAAATGTTCAACACCAACTTTACTCATTGATAGACCACGTTCATTTTCCACGCGTTTCATCACTGTATTCAACGTTTCGTTCCTCGCTGATATTATCAGAGGCTCTGAGTTTGGTTGATTCGCAATTTGAATTTGAGTATTCTCAGGTAAAACCAAAGGTGTATCATCATTCTCAAGTAGGCTGTCGACCTGAGCGTTGGTACATACTTCTTGCCAAATGGTAAGACGTGCTTGATTGTTTTTTTTCGGATAAACAACACGATGGATACCGGTTTTAAAACGATCTTCGGTCAAAACACTGATTGCTTCACCTAACCATATAACGCCAATATTATTACGTTGATCTGATTGTGAATTATTCGGTCCATCAATCCATTTATTGTCATTTCGATCTTGTAGTTGAAGACCGTCGCATGTCGATAGGATACTCAACGAAAACAGACCTGGGTCATAGTGAGGAACACAATTCACTTCATTTGTATTCAAACCAACAGCTGGCTGTTCCATAGATCCTATTCTTTCATTGAAATAATTGGCAATGTCCAACATATTGAATGGAGATAAAACTGTTAATTCTTCGTTTGTTTTCTCTATCATTTTCAGAATAATAAATGTTAATATATTCATCCAATCATTAAACAGGGTGTTTAGATGTTGTAGTGACTGTTCAACATCGTCTGTCAAAAGAGGTCGACGATCAGATTTTATACCATACTGATCAGTCAGTAATTTAATACCCTCTTTATGGTCAACACATGTGTAACCGAATGCATTTGATGATTTATAAGGTAGCTTTTCTTGTGGAGATTGACTGAAAAATGTCGAGAGTGTTTTTTGAACGGTACCTAATGAATCATTTTCCATGGGTAATTGAATGAAACACCATCCATGTGTTTCAAATTCCTTTTGCATTTCATTTATTTCATTTCTGTCACCAGTTGATAACTTGGCAAAATCGATTATTATATGATCGTTGAGAAACTTGCTTGCCATGCATGCGTATGATACAATGAGAAAAGAAAGACACGTCTCGTTTGCAAATTGTCAGTTGTTGCTCAACTGTTGAGCAAGAATCGATGAGTCACGTCGAAACAGGACACGTGGCGATGTATTCTTTTTCTCTCTCTTCGACTGTCGTTATTGGTCGACCGATTTGTTTGTATGTGTAAAAAGAAATGAGAAAGAGACAGTCAAATGCAATTCTTTTATCTCTTTGTGTGCAGTTCAGTCGGTGTTAACACCGATGTTTTACAAATATTCGTCCCAAAGTTTTATTGTGCTGGTTATTCATTTCATTTCCAGTAATACTGCATCAAAATGCATATTCTCTAGAACTATATATTCTGATGGTTTTCAACAACAATTGCAAGTCGAAGCTTGGGGTCGTGATAGTCTTAGAATTCGTCTAAGTCCAAATGTGATCATACAAACGCCGGACTATCAAGCATTACTTCCAGAGAAGCCAGCTATCGATGAAGTAGATTGTCAACAATCAAATGGAAATACATTCATCAACGGTAATCTTCGATTCAGCATAAGTGATGATAATACAACATGGTTAATTGAACGCCAGTCCGATGGTCTTCATCTTATTCAAACACAATCGATTACGTTTTCACCATATAGCTATCCGCTTTCGGTATATTCGCCTGTTTATACCCTCTACAATTTGTCATTGGGATACATTCATGTTCAATATGGAAATCTTTATGGTTTAGGCGAACATCACTATGGTCACAATTTAACATTGCCATACCGCGACTTTCATTTACCGTTCGTGTTTTCTTCAACGGCTCCGACAAACGGTGACATAACCATTCCGTGGTACGTGCACACGTCTGGTTTTGGCTTTCTTTGGAATCAACCAGGCTACGGTTCATTTGATGTGCGAGATGACACAAAAATTACGTGGACAGCGAATGCCACACATCAACTTGATATCTGGATAACGACTATACCTAAAGAAGAAAGTTTATCTTCATTAATTTATCCTCTGCTAATGAAAAACTATGTTGATGTTGTTGGTCATCCAAATCCGTTGCCACGTTTTGCTTCAGGCTTCTGGCAATCGAAGAACCGTTATCGTACGCAACAAGAANGCAATCGAAGAACCGTTATCCTACGCAACAAGAACTGTTAGAAGTTGCAAAAGGTTATTACGATCGTCAAATTCCTGTGAGTGTGATTGTTATTGATTATTTTCATTGGACGTCGTTTGGCGATTGGCAATTTAACAAAACATGTTGGCCAGGCATAGCGCAAATGGTGGATCAGTTGAAAGCTTATAACATGAATTTAATGGTCTCGGTCTGGCCTCATGTTGCCAACAATTCGCAAAACTTCATGTTTATGAATACTACAGGTTTACTAACGCACGATGCCAATGGAAGGACTATGCCTACGAACGAAAATCTCTATATTTCGGATGAGTTTAATCCAGCCACTCGACAATTTATTTGGGATAGAGTTAAGACCAATTATTTTGATTATGGTATCAAAATTTATTGGTTAGACGCCGATGAACCCGAACAAAGTCGACCGGATCTACAATGGTGGTATGGTCGACATGACGATGAGATTGCTTTGGTTTGGGCGAGAGAGCATCAACGAACGTTCTGGGAAGGATTACGACACGAGCTGCCAAAAGAAGAAGTAATCATGCTAAGTAGACAGGCATGGATAGGAAGCCATCGAATGAATGTGGCTGTTTGGAGTGGTGATATCGATTCGTCATGGGAGGAGTTATTAAAACAAATAAAAGTCGCGCAAAATGTAGCTTTATCAGGAATTTATTGGTGGACAACCGACATTGGCGGTTATCGTCATGCCGGCTTATCGGACGATGAATTTCAAGAATTATTATTACGTTGGTTTCAATTCGGAGCATTCTGTCCATTATTTCGTCTACATGGTGAACGCTATCCACCTCTCCCAAACAACGAATGCGGCTTTTCTGGCGGCCACAACGAAGTATGGTTATTCAAGTATAGTTCACAGATTATCAGTATCATTGAGTTGCGAGAATCGTTACGCGATTATGTTGAATATCATTTGAATATTTCAGCGGAGAATGGTACCCCTCTTCTCCGACCAATGTTTTATGATTTCAATAATGATGAACAATCATACAACGCTGAAGACCAGTATATGTTTGGAACGGACTATCTGGTTGCTCCCGTTTACACATATCAGGTTACGTCACGTTCGGTGTATCTACCGAAAATCAGACAACGAAATTCAGTCTGGCAACATTATTATACAAAGGAAAAATATGAAGGTGGTCAACGTTATAACATTGCAACTACTTTGTATGATTTTCCACTTTTCGTAAAAGTTTCATCAAATGATGATGCAACTGTTGATTAAAAGAGTCGATTTATTTTTAAACACACGAATATGGATATGAGAAAGAATAGAATAAACTGAAAAGTGTCAGATTGTACGAGATAAGAAAGAAGTTTTTTTTTAAGAGGCCAGAATACGTTGCATTCGTTGTCTGTGTCTGGTTTTCGCTTTCATATGATTTGGATTAAACATAGTTGCCGCTTTTGCGAGTCCAGCGTACATTGCCACAGCGTGGACAGGCATCAGAATAACCAAGAATACCGATGTCATGATTGCTACTGTTTGTTGACACGCATCCTCCTACAGTTAAACGACATAATTCTATACATTTCAGGAGTAGAAAAAAACGTACGAAATCCTTTGGATACATGACAGCAACTGTAGATTCAGTTGTTGCACCCGATGTTGTTGGGGCTGCGGTTGTAGGAGCTACAAAAAAGGATCAATTCGGATCAATATTCACTTTTATATCATCGAATTTTCCTTACCAGCTGTAGTTGGAGCTGCAGTAGTTGTCGTTGTTGCATTCGTTGTAATCGGAGTCGTTGTTGTTATGACAATGCCCGTTGTTGTCAACTATTCAGACATAATCATCCTAAGGTAAATAAAAACTGGAATCAATCGTTACCAGTGTATTGATACTGGTAGTTGATGTTGGTTTTGTTGTAACTGTCGCAGTGCTGAATGGTGTAGTGGTTGTTGTCGTTGTGCTTGAGACTGCCGGATTCCAAATATTGAATCGCCAAAATGTTGTATCAGTGATCGGCGACGATTCCGCATCTGAAACACCCATTCAATGATTCATTGGTATGAGTAGGACGAAACTTACGACAGAAGACACTTCCGCTAGCAAACCCACTATCCATTGTAACATAGTAGAAGCTGCCGGGCGTCCACGTATGGTTGGTAATGATAACGATTGTGTATCCAGTGTAAATTATATTTGCTGCATAACCAGCGTCATAACACAGAACCGATGCGTTCGTGCTTGCATCATGAAAACAAATGTCGGTTCCATTACGAGAAGGACGACCGACCAAACTTGTTGCTAGATGATCAAAGTCAAAGTTGAAGAAACAAGGATAAAATATTTCCAGAATGTCTACCTTGTATGAGAAACATCGATTGGTTGGAAAAGACCGTACCCACTGGACTTGCTGATCCTTGTACTAACGTTGGGCGAATCAAATNATAGCGTTCGCCAGCCCATGATTCGATAATTGGATTTGCGTCACAATCTGTCGTCGTCATAACAGTCGAAAGACCACCGCTAGGATAAGAAGAACTTGAGCAGTTCACTAAACAAGTCATGGAAGAGGTAACTGGAATAGATGTTTCAGCAGCCACATTGGCTTCAGTACAATAAGGCGGAGTAAAGCCACCCCATTGTCGATTCCAAAAGTATCTTTGATGCATAAGAATACTCGTACTACTCCCCGATGGTGTACTATTCAATGGACGCCTAGAAAGAATCCGTATATGAAAATGAAAGGACGATTATGGTTGAGGACACGTACCATGAGATAATACCACCACGAAAATGTGCTCCTTCGATTGTGTTAAACAATACGTAGAAAACAGTAAGGAATAGATATCCAACTTGCTCCATTTGTTTAATGCACTATTGCTATTTCTCTGTTTATATATAAGCGTATGGAAGCACACCCGTTTTCGAGAGACGTTAGTAAAAAGTACATTGTATTGAATTCAGTCACGAAACATTTAGTAACAGAAGCAGAGCAAGATGATGTATGTTAACTTCAATGTACTTTTTTCGTTCAGGCAGGAATGGAACGAACGCACAAGTATTAAAAAAACATACTCAATCTTATGTTTCAATAGATTCAATATGTTTTTCTCATGAAAAGTAAACAATTGAATTACGTCCGCTAAAAGGTTGGCAATCTTGTTCTCTCAACGTGTAGTGCTGCACCGTTTCTTCGATCAAAAGTGCATCCATAATTTTCTTGATCAACGCCTCATGTTCTTTTTCCTTTTCTTGTTCATGACTATCCGTCACAAAAGTATGAATGTGTATTCAACTGCTTTCTATGGAACACGCGAACCTAAAGTTTCAATTCATTTCTATCTCAAGCAGCAATAATGAATGTTTAAGTAAAACAGCTGATTGCCGGGCTCCAATGAAATGCGAAAGATTTGTTATTGGGAATATTAGCATGCATTTTAGGTTATTTCTTACTCAGAAGTTATAGCTAATCGAACATCGAGACTAAATACATATACAAGGAGACTTGCTGTTCGACCTCTGAGTACATTTAAAGAAGAATCATCTGCAATAGACTAAACTGAAAACGATTGCCATATTTATCTCAATCTGTAAGACGAATGCAAATTTCTAGAATATCTCAATAATGTGCATTTTCGTTGAACTTGTTTAGTCAGCGTTTAAATCAAATAAATGTCAATAAAGTAAGCGTGCCATTTTTCTATCAAGGGCACTTTAAATAATAAGAAGAAAGGGCAGATCGTAGTCTTTGTTTCCATTGCCGAGAGTAAACAACGAAAGAAAACTTATTGCCCATCGGACTTCTTGCTCTGTTTCTCTTTAATACTCAAACAATGAAACAGCTAAGATTGCTTTTTCACATGTATTCTCGTCTTCTTCTCCTTCTTATTGTACACGTTTTCCTTTTGCTAATTCCAATTAGCAGTATTCAAGTTGGATCGATTAATGATACAATCTTATCTGCACCCCTTGCTACTATTATACTAGTGAACGAGTCATGTGACAAATGCATTTGTCTGATGCTCTTAGCTTCTGACGTCTTAGGCATCAATTGTTTGCGGAATCAAACGTGTGCACTATTTTATAATTATTCATCAACTTACAGAATCGATCAAAGTTCGAATTCTAGCTTCCATTTTCTCAGCTTATCACAAGAACTAGAGCAATCGACATACGCATCAACTGAAAGTTCAATCATGAGTAGGTTTGATCTCAATATCTGTCGGCGAACCCTTCTTCTTACTTTAGTACCTTGTAATTTCACTTGTCAAAACAATAGTACATGTTCAAGTCAATGGTTAGTATTTATTCGATTTGAAAATATCGTTTTTAAGTCACTGAAGTTTAGGAGCGGAGCCAAATGCGAAATTCCTATTTGTTCACCTTCATGTGAAAATTTGGAAGTTTGCGTTTTGCCAGGTGTTTGTCAATGCAAATACGGCTGGTCAGGAAGTTACTATCTGAGCGGTTAGTTTCAGCAACAAAGACGAAGTTGTGGAAAACGTTTGTTTGTTGTAGTAAAAACAGTGCTATGGGCATTCGACAATACATTAAATGACACGAGTAGTCAATTTATGGGCACAGGTCGTTATCCCCCAACTTATGCGTCAGGTATCGATGGATATGGCTTAGCTTTGCCATTGAATGGCACTAGAAACCAATGTGTAGTTGTCAACTCGTATCTGAACATGAGTTATCTTAGCTTCACCTGGCAGTTTTGGATTTTTCCAAGGATATCAATGACGGGAGATACTATGTTCATTGGCCAATGTGCTCAGGCTATTCGTGATCGATGTCTTATAATTATGACTAGGACTTCCGTCATGTGGTTTGCATTTTGGGATAATGATGTTAACGGTACAAAAAGCATATATGCCAATAAATGGTCCCACATGACCTTCATTTACGATTATGCAGCAAATCAGAAACTTATTTATCTCGACGGTGTTTTTGAAGACTTTCAGACTTCAAAGGGAGCTCTTGAAGCAAATTCAACATTCATGACTTTTGGCTGCCGGACGACTAACGGAGGTAGTGCCTATACAAATTTCTTTATCGGTTATATAGATCAAGTGCTATACAATTCTCGAGTGAAAAATGCCAGTGAAGTTCTCGATGATACTACATTAGTAATTCACTTTCGGTTTCTTTCAACTGCACCTTTGACTGACTCGGGACCTAACCATATCAATGGAAGTTGGGATGGTGGTGCTGTATCAACTCCATCACGCATTGTTGATCAAGCAATAGATTTGACTCTGAATGGGTCCTATTTTCTAGTCGCAGGGCTTGTTCTTCTAGGAACCAATTATAAGCCATTTTCACCCTCGTTCTGGTTTCAAACAATTCTATTCAACGTGAATACTGCCATTACCCATTCGTTGGTCTAACCATCAATAGTTCGATGGAAATTCAACTATTCAATGGTATAAACAATAAAATCTTAATTGGTCCTGTAATGCCTACTAGTAGATGGAATCATGTCGTATATACATATTCAACAACAAATGGAACACTCTTTAGTTCCATGGCAACGACGTATTCTACAAATGGACTTTCAAAGACATTAATCTTTGGAAATCCATCGTTAAATAACTATTGCGCATCAATAATGAACCAAAAATTCTATGGTAGTATCGATGAAACTAAACTGTATTCATGAGAATTAGCAGCGAGTGAAATTTTACTATGATGATTGAAGTCGATGGATTGAAAAATATTTTCGTATTGGCTACAAAAATGAATGCTTTTTACCATAAAAAATTTTAAAACTCAAGGATCATCGTAATCAACTATTACTACGCAGTACGTTTCACCCATCCTTTATGATGTGTACTAAATAAATATTCCTTGCCGTGATCTATAGCAAACCGTCCTTGGCCTTCGTTCTTCAAAAACCAATTCAGACCTTCTTGTGGTCCATTACAAGGTCCATCGTATTTTGACGCGGAGCAATATAACGTATGCCATTTGCTTGATAGACGGGTGTCTTGCACAAGAATATAATTACCGATATTCAGTACGTACTGCTGATAGTAGAGCAACTCTTCGTAAACAGCTTGAGCATAATGATCACCATCGAGCGATATAAACACATTTGAGGGTTTCAATTCGGTAAAAGTTCTATTTACGATTGACTTTGCTTTTNTCTATCCAACGCCCCATTCCAAGCTCGTGTTCCAGACGATATCCGTTGAGTATTTGATCTCCAAATAGGGGCCAAACAAGTGTAGGCGTTCCATTTATCATGCTTTCGAGTAAACTATTCCAACCACCGTGCGACACAAACAAACGGACAGCTGGATGTGTGAGGACGAATCGCTGAGGAATCCAATCGAGAAACAAATGTTGTTCATCACCATTGAATAAAGTTGAAAGATGAGATTGTAACTTTGTTTTCAGTGACCAAATAAAAGCGTAAGGTTTAAGAGCACGAGCTATCTCGATAATTTGAATCGGTTGAAGAAATGTCCATGAACCAAAGGAGACATAGATCACTGACGATGAATGATTCGCTACCTCCCATTGTCTATCTAACCATTGTTTGACACGAGTTAGACTAGCACTCTATAGAACGAGACAAACGATCAGAAAAAGATGAGGAAATCAATATTGACCTGTCGTGTCCGTTGAGTAACTTTGGAGATGATCGGTGCAACAAATAGAATGGACGTATTTGAGCCAGGTAGTGACCGTTGGCGTAGCGTACGTAGAACTTCTTTATCAAATTCGAGAATTGAATTACAAATGATTCCTTTAATAGGAGCAATTGTCTGGTACATCAGATTTTCATAGTTTGAGCCTACTTCCCCACTTTTAACCTTTTTAATGAAAGTGTCGGCAAGGTCCACAAAAGCTACCAAGCTGTTTGGTAGAAAAAAGTAAGCAATAAGACCTTTTCGAAGAGCTTCGGAAACAGGTGGTAAAACAAATAAATCAGTAATGAACATATCAGAAACTATAACGTCAATTGGACGACGAATCGACCGAGTTGCCACTGGACGCGATGTCGTAAGAGACGTAGAAAAGAGGAGTTCGATGAGTGGCAGATGCATTTTCTCGACGATTGGTTGGATGTGTGTAATTATGCTCTTATCGGCGCTCTTCAAATAATATAATTTAGATTTGCTGAATTTCTAGAAGAGGAGCTATTTGCATGCTATAAGAAGAACTCTTACTTCATAGTTATGA